CGACAGACCCACGCAACATCGATATCATCGCCTTACAAGAACCTTGGCTGGACGCCAAACGTAACACTCGGGCCACCGGGTACTGGTCCCCGATATACCCTACTAATCACCATACAGACGGCCAGGGGCGATCACGCTCTGTAATACTAATCAACACGCATCTACTTACAGACGGATGGACAGCCATCCCGGTCAGCTCTCCGGACGTCACAGCCGTCACCCTCCAGAGAGCCAACCAAAGACTTCACTTATTCAACCTCTACATCGACCAGGAAGACGACGACGCCCTTCACAAGGCGGCTGCGGTGCTGCAACAACTCACAGGGACGACAGACCACCTCGAAGACTGCCAACATCACGCTATCTGGCTTGGCGACTTCAACAGGCACCACCCGATCTGGGACGAAGCCCGCAACCACCACCTTTTCGATCAACGATCGCTGCGCAAAGCTGAGACGCTGATCAACTACACTCTCGGATGCGGCATGGAGATGGTCCTCGAAGCAGGCGTCCCGACACTACAGGCTCACAACTCGAAGAATCTCACCCGGCCCGATAACGTCTTCGTGTCAGATGCGCTCGCGGAGGCAGTTCTGCGCTGCGAAACACACCCGGACCTACGTCCGGTGAAGACTGACCACTTCCCTGTTAGCACACACATCGACTTCGCGCTCCTCGCGCGAAACCCCCCGGAGCGGAGAGACTTCCAGGCGGTCGACTGGGAAGAGTTCAACCAGATCGTAACTGACGCACTGCAGGACATAGACACGGACACCCCCATCGCCTCACGGGAGGAGTTTGAGCAGGTGCTCGACCGCATCATGGCAGCACTTACTGCAGCTGTAGAGCACGCAGTACCCATCCGTAAGCCAATCCCGTTCGCCAAACGCTGGTGGTCCGAGGAGCTAGCGAAGAAGCGAAGACACACGCAGAGCCTATGGCGAGATCACCACGCTAACAGAGGCACACCAGACCACCCATCACACAGGATCTACAAGAGAGCACGCAACCGGTACAATGATGCGATAGAAGCAGCGAAGAGAGACTGCTGGAACTCATACCTCGACTCACTGGACCGTACAACGCTCTGGACAGCACACCGGTTCCTCAAGAAGGGCCCGACAGACGGCGGAGCAACTCGGATCCCACCACTGGTCACCATGGACGCCACGGGCGCGAAGAGAACCGCTACCACGAACGCTGACAAAGGCAAGATCTTATACGACGCATTCTTCCTGCCACCGGGGGACCTCCCAAACCTCCCCGACGACTTCGACTACCCCACCCCTTCGTTCACCTTCAAGCCACCCTCTGACAGACAGATCGCTGCAGCGATTGGAGACCTCCGCATGCACAAGGCGCCGGGCCCAGACCAGCTCCCAAACGAAGTTTACCGCTACTGCGCCAACACACTGACCCCGCACCTGGGACGCCTCTTCCGAGCCACCTTCACACTACACTACTACCCGCCCCGCTGGAAGGAGTCGGACACGATAGTCCTCCGCAAACCGGGCCGTCCGGACTACGCGATTGCAAAGGCGTACCGCCCCATCGCACTGCTGAGCTGTATGTCCAAAATCCTCTCTCGCTGTGTTGCGGACACGTTGGTCTACCAAGCGGAGAAGCACTCCCTGCTAGCTAACTACCAGTTTGGCGGCCGCCCGGGCCGCACGACGTCGGACTCCATCCACCTGGTCACGAAACTCGTCAAAGACGCGTGGAGGGGACGCAAGGTCGCATCCATTCTATTCCTCGACATCAAATCCGCCTTTCCGGCAGCCACGCCAGAGCGGCTCTTCCACAACATGCGCATGCGAGGTGTCCCACAGGTAATCACCGACTGGCTGCGTGACAAGCTCACCGGCCGGCGCACGACACTCAAGTACGATGACTACTCCACCCCCGCTTTCGACATTCACAGTGGGATCGACCAAGGGTGCCCGCTCTCGGTTATCCTTTACGCTTTCTACAACTCGGACTTGCTCGACGCGGCAGACCCCACAACCCGGCTCACGGCAGTCGGGTCCATGGACGACGTGGCAGTAATCGCGACGGCTGACACTTTTGAGCAGACACACAACATGCTCCGACACTTCATGACAAAGAAGGGCGGGGGTTTCGAGTGGTCACGACTACACCACTCCGAGTTCTCAGTAGACAAATTCGCACTCCTCAACTGTGCAAGGAAAATCAAGGAACTTGGCCCCGCGCTCGAGCTTGAAGAACACGTCATCCCTGCGCAAGCGGTATGCCGATTCCTCGGAGTCCTCCTCGACCGACAGCTCCGCTTCCACCAGCATGTCGCCTACGCCCTCGCCAAGGGCGCTGCCTGTATCGCAGCTATCCGGCGACTGGCAGGTGTACGACACGGAGCGGCACCCACAGTGATGAAGAGGCTCTACCTAGCAGTGGCAATCCCGACCGCCCTCTATGCAGCTGACACCTTCCTCCTCCCCGATCGACAAGGACGCGACGGCAGCAGGGTACGAGGCTCCGTTGGCGCAGTCAGAAAGCTGGCCACTCTGCAACGCCAGGCACTGCTACTCATCACCGGAGCGATGCGCAATACCGCGACGGACGTGATGGAGGTTCACGCCGGACTCCTACCCTTCCGCCTCCTCGTCGACAAGCTCTGCCACCGAGCAGCAGTTCGACTGTGCACTCTACCCAAGTCCCATCCACTCCATCCCCACATCGCGCGGGCCAGCAAGCTCACCCCGAAACGACATCACTCCGCCCTCCACACAATGTTCCGTGCATATGGTGCCACGCTAAACCCCGCAGCTACAGAAACCATCCTGCCGGTCCGCAACCACCCAGCGTGGCGCCCTCGTACACGCATCAGCATCGCGGGATCGAAGGATGAAGCGGAGCTCGAAGACGAGCAATGGGAGCGTAAGACAGGATTGAAAATCTATACTGACGGGTCAGTAATCGACGGAAAGGTCGGAGCAGCAGCGGTACTAGTAAGACCAGGGAACCCCAGACGACCAAAAATCCTCCGCTACCGCCTAGGCCCCGCGACATCCCACCACGTCTGCAACGCGGAGACGAGCGGGATAGTGATGGGGGTACACATGGTACGCCAAGAAGCCCAGCTACCCGGCCGCCCCTCTATCGCGCTCGACAACCAAGCAGCAATACGCGCAACTCAATCCAGGAAGCCGAAATCGGGGCACTACCTCACTGACCACATCCATGCAGAGCTCCGCAAGACGTCCGCGAAGCACCCCAATGCCAAACCAACAACACTTCGCTGGGTACCGGGCCACCTTGGCATCGCAGGGAACGAGCTTGCAGATGAACACGCGAAGCGCGCAGCAGCGGGCGATGTCAGCAACCCGAAGAGACTCCCTGCCTGCCTTAACAAGGCACTCCCCGCCTGCGCGGCCGCGCTCCGCGCGACACACCTCACCCTCCTGCAGACGGAAGCCAAGAAGGGCTGGAGCATATCGCCTCGATACCCCAAGATCAACCAAATCGACCCCTCACTACCCTCCAAGTCGTTTCTTGACCTCATTGCACCACTCTCGCGCCGACAAGCAAGTCTCCTCATCCAGCTCCGCACGGGCCACGTCCCCCTCCACGCCCATCTCCACCGCATACGACGCGCAGACACAGATATATGCCCGGCGTGCGGAGTGGGGGCCGAAACGGTAATACACTTCCTCCTCCGCTGCCCCGCATACTCGCGCGAGCGCATGGCGCATATTCACATGAAGCTAGGGCGTAAGGGAGGGAAACTCGAGCACCTACTGAACAGCGCCGAAGCGCTCCCACAGCTTTTTGCGTACATCGACGCGACGGAACGCCTCCGGCAGACGTTTGGGGCTCTCACCAACCCCGAAGACTCCACCCCTGCCCCACGACCACCCGCAGCGCCTGCAAGCCGTCGAACACGCCAGCGCGCACAACCCCCTCGGCAACCCCCTCCACCGACACGACAACAACGGCGTACCTCCCCCGACGCGCGCACAGCCCGCCCGCCGCGAGCCGGAACTGCACGTTAGACACCATGCGGACGATATCTCCCGTCGAGCAGACAGCTACCCCGTCCTCCCCCCCCTCCCCTCCTACCGACCACGCTGATTAGTGTACAACAACGGAGTAGAGCACACGCACAGCGAAATACCCGCACGAAGACAGGGATCCCGAGACGGAGTCCGTCCGGGCTCGTACGACCACCCGCAGCGCTTGGGCAACGCATGCGAAAGTGAATAGGTGGCGGACGAGCCGTCCGGCGACCGGAGTTGAGGGAACTCCCATCCAGCAAGCTGCGCGGTGCACGAAGTGCAAATTGCTCCCTTCCACAATGTATGATACTGCGTCGGCACCCCTACACTACACTGAACCGATTCCTCCTGCCCATCCCGGCCGCCCGTCCTAATTCTCCCATCTCCCACCTCCGCCCTCCCTCCTTCACTCTACTCCCCCGCACCCACCCTGCCGCTCGGTCGTCTCCCCTCCTCCCACTCCCACCCCATACTCCCCCACCACCACCACCCGCGAGGCCACGGCCGCCTCGCTCCAGAGGCCAAAACACACGACTCGGAGTAGGCACTCCCCCGGCGCTCAGAGGCCGCGGAGGAAGCTGGCGAACCTGGGCGGGCGGAGCGGAGGTCATGTATGGTACCCTCCGGCACTCACCCCCACTCTCGCATCCGCACCCACTGCCCCCTTCGCTACCCACTCACCCCGTTTCGACTGTGCAACGGCTAGACCCCTCTGGCCACCCCGGCCCCCGTGCCGACACGTCTTCCGTCCCGTATACGCATTTCATTCCCCGCTAGATAGACTTGTACGTATCGCCTACCATAGGGCTCGGCCCTCCAGGGCGTTAAACAGGAAATAAACAAACAAACAAAACGTCATGCGCTTGGTGCTTATATGCCCGCACAGTCCGCCGAGAGAGGGGCACGAACCGCACAATTTCCCTCACACACAACCACCAACGCACCCAGCTTTACTACGCAACTCTTTACCTCTCCTCACTGCACACGATGTCCGACCTCCTGAACAAGCTGAGCGGCGCGGTCTCCGGCCAGAGCGGCGCGAACAACAGTGCTGGCATGGGCACGACCTCTGGGGGCGGCATGCAGCAGACGGGCGAGAAGAAGGACTGGCTCGACAAGGGCATCGCCGCCGCGGGCAAGAAGCTCGGCGTCAACGTCGTGCGTCGCGTTTTTCTGGCTCTGCAGCGTGCGCTCGAGGAGAGGCTGACGGTTTCGGCGCAGAGCGATCGGAACGCGGACAAGGTCGGGGACTTTGCGAACAACCAGTTCTCGAAGAAGGAAGGTGTGTTCTCAGTTTTGCGAGTTTTCACCCCTCTGTTGGAGCGACATGGCTGACCGGGGGTGCTTGCGTGCCTTAGGTCACGGTCTTCCCGGTGTGCACTAGACGTGCGATGCGACGATGAACACAATGCATGGATGTAGCATAACATATTTGTACAACGTGTTGTAATTATATCGTCTCCGTATTCTGTTCAGCACGTTTGCGAGTTTGGATCGATGCAAGTGGAGAGTCGTCGACACAAGGCTGGCGAAAGCACTCGTCCGTCGGGCCTTCCTGCCCCTCCTCCGCGACCACCTCCACCCACATGCGACACGCCCTTCTGGGACGGGTTCGCGTCCTGGAAGCTGTAGAGTACATTAGCTCGAGGTTTCGGCCATTGGACGAACAAACGTTAGCACATCAGAACAGACTTATGTGGTGGTCGGGTCAATGTAGGTACCCACGTGACAACCATATTGTGAAGGAGCATTACAGCCGATTTAAGTGCCGGCAAAAATCCAAGCTCCGTCTACATTTTGTTTGTGCTGAATCTGAAACAAGCAGTCACTGTCTGTCGGTATGCGAGGTCGCCAGGAAGGGACTTCCATATGTCGGCATCTACGGCTTGTAATATACATTGTATTTCCCTCCAGGAACGTTCAAGGGAGGCCCTTGTACTTGTTGAGGAATTTCACAGTCGCTTCAAACGACCCTTCCTTTCCTGCCTTAACCTGGGGTTTGCTCTGAGACCGACGTATTAGAAAGCAAGCCGGTGATCTGCAGCACAGGACACCGACCATATCCCCGCGGACCGCAAAGCCGTGCTTGCACCCCGGCCAGTACGTGCGCTCGTAGCCGGGCGCGAACCGGCCGTTCCCGAGAATCTCGTCCGCCTTCGCTTGCGCCTCGGCCGGGAAGCTACTGTCCTCCTCGCAGCTGTTGATGAGCAGCGGCGCCTTTGCCTTCTGTGCGTACTCCTGCCGCGTCCCCATCAGTGACATCCGTGCTTCGCGTCTGGCACCGAGCCAACTGAGGAAGGCGTACCTCGAGGTCTTCAGGGTTGCGCAAGCGCGACGGGTGGGACACGACGGTGACCTGCGCGTCCCCCTTGAGCGCGAGGTGCCACGCCGGCGGCGCGCCGAAGCAGTACCCGGTCGTGGCGATCCAAGTGACGCCCTCGGCCTTGAGCGCGGCGACGACGCCGTCGAGCGCGGACGTCCAGCTCTCCGGCCCGTGGCGGCCCACCCAGCCTTCGCGGTCGAAGGAGCCGGGGGGCAGAGACATGAAGTTCTCGGGGAGGGCCTCGCCCTGGAAGAGGTCGGGCATGACGGCGCGGTAGCCGTTGCGCGCGAAGTCGTCGACGAGGAGCTGCAGAGGAGCGTGCGCGAGGTGAGCTTGAGACGCGCGCGCGAGGGATCGAGAGGTGGACCTTGTTGTTGACGAGAGGGATCCCGAAGACGTCTGATAGGAAGAGCACAACTTTCGCCTTGTCGTGATCGCCGGCGGGTGTTCCGACGTAGCACTCGACGCCGCTGATCTGGTCGATCTTGCCTGGGTGGAAGGTTGATTATTGCTGTGAGTTTTTCCACAAAGACAGTCCAGACGGCTCATGAACACGCACCCTCTGGTTCACCTTCGTGGCGGACACCTGCACAAGCGCGTAAATACAGGGTCGAATGGCATCATGCGGCGGTATTGCACGCATCACACATACCAATGAAGCAATCGTCGCACATGGGTCCCGACATGTTCCTTCTTGTGAGATGGGTGAGTCGAGTGCCAGAAGTTGGTACGAAGGAAGAAGATCTTGAGTGAGAAAAAAGGAGATGGGCCCTTTGCCTTTATATCCGGGGAGTCCTCACGGTCATGTGCCTATTTTGGTATATTTTGTACTATTCGGGCTGTCAGAAACATCCCGCGAGGGACGAGCGGAGTGGGTGGTGGGGCACGGGATGTCCACAGCCGGCGAGTGGACGGCGATTGGGTGGTTCCCGCGAGGACCCACCGCGAGCTCCGGAGTCGGAGGACTTTCGGCCGATAAGCCGACGGCCTTTTTGGGGGCTCTCATGCGTCCGTCAGCGATCGTAGCAATGAATTCGTAATGGATACATCACTGCTGTCCTACTCGACTCGTACAACATCCCAACGCTGTTCCTTCGTTCAAAAGCTTCCATCTTCAAATTGCAACAGGCGCAGCAGGTCGTTTCTTCCGAAAGTCCGACGGGCAGCACTTCATCCACGAAACAGTCCGTAAGCATCACATTTACTGGTGCTCGATAGCCATAAGAGAGCCGACGAAGGTCATGAGCTGCGGAAAGGTGTCAGCATCACGTCTGGTAGCTTGCAGTAGCATGAACGTACGAGGCGAGGGCGGACGTCGACGATATCCTCGGGTACAAGGAAGATCAGCGCGTTCATCTTACGCGCGATCGAGATGGCAAGTTTGGCTGCAGGAAAGGGTCAGTCTAGATGTTTTTGTCCAGCGACATCTTTACTTACCATTCTGTCTGCGCTCTTCGTAATCTCCGGACTCGCTGACATTGATGACCATAGATTGGTCGACGATACCAGGACGGAGTGCCTCAAGCAAGTCAAGGAAGAAGATACCCGTGGAGAGAGACGGGTCCTTGAACGAGCGCGCCGGACGGACGCCTGGTTTTGCCTTGGCGGCCGTGGCGTTGGCCCATTTAAGGATCTCCGTGTCGGTGATTGGGCGTCCCTTGCCAGATAGTGAAGTAAGAGTCTGCGTGATGTTTTTCCTGCAGACGATACGGCTCAGTATATGCAGGATATCAACCCATTGCCGTACTCACCTCATAAGCTGCCAAACGAGGCCGAGCACAAGTGTCTTGCTGCCATCGACGATGTCCGATCCCTGAATGCCAACGAGACTCATACCACTCTGCTTGCCCAGGTCAACGACGTAGTTGCAGTTCTCCACCTGCTTGAAGCGCGACAGCTTTGACATGTTCGGCGTCACCCCTATCTCTTCGGCCTCCTCTCCGTCTGCATACACCGGCTCCGGCCCTGCACCTGCCTTCGGCTTGGACACGCGTCGCCAGACGACGGACCCGGGCATGATCTTATCGAACGCCTGGAGGATGACGACACCGTCGCGTAGATTCTCGAACAGGTTGAATACGGACGGCTCGACACCGAGTGAGTTGAGCCAGAGGGTGAACACGCGCGCCTCGCGTTCGCCTTCGGCGTCGAAGTCCTCGACCACGCCGTAGTCCTTCGCCTCTTGTTCATCCAGGGGCTCGAGGCCGGGGTAGTTGTTGAACAGGTTCGCAACGAAGGCAAGATTGAGGCGCGGGTTGCCAGAAACGAGGGAGGCGGGCGTAAGATACTTCTTGCAACCGATGGCATCTGCGTTTTGTAGAACCTGTCATGGTATTTCAGGCGTGACAGTATCAATTACGCGGGCTGAACTCACCTGCTCGGCGCGCTGACGGATGTCCCGAGTCTGTAGGGGGGCGGTGGAACATTTGTCGGGCACAAGCTGATGCAAAAGCACGGTGTAGTTCTCTCCGTCGGAGACATCTCGACTGAAGTTGTTCACTCTGGCAATGCAAATGAGTAAAGGAGATCGCGTGGAATATCTGGAGCGTACCTCCGTTTCCAACCCGCTGCCTTCAAGTGGTAGTTGAACCATCGCAGGAGAATCTGGTCAGGCGTCAAGCGAAGCAGGTCCTCGATCGTCTCGCCTTCCTCGCACAAGCGATACAGCTCGGGATGAAGTTTGATGTCGACTTGGGCCAACAAACCGCGACGGATGACTTGCCAGATGAGACCGAGGATAAGATGCTCACGTCCCTCCGCAATATCCGCGGAACCGATGTTGACGACCGAGCATCCAATGGCCTTGGCCGAGGTGATGACAATGTTGTTGTTCTCAGTCATTTGGAAGGCATTCAGTGGCTTCCTCGCAGTCGGCTTGTTCAGTACACGAGAATCGATTGTGTCAGGGACCGAGTCATTGATCAGCTTGCACAGAACGAGACCGTCTCGACACTCGTCGAAGAGCTGCATGGTGTTGGTAGGAATGGGAATCCTTCCTGCGAGGTCTGCATCTCCTTCCAAAACCTAAATATATTATCAGCATTCATGTCGCTGTTGTCCATTCCGTGAAGATAGACAGCCAAGCAGCACAACTTCCAAGCTTCCTTCCCATGCGATCGGCAAGTGTACACGGTTGACACACGCGCCTGCGTCGGACTTCAAGATATAGACTCACCGAATTAATGTGATTTGCGAACTCGGACTTCTCTTCCTCGTTGATGGTGTGGCTGACATTCGCATTTGAGCCTTGCATTGTAACCTTTCCGGCTCGTGAGGGGAGGATCGACTCCTTCGCTTGACTGCGAAGCTTCACGTTGAGCTATACGCAGGTTGAGGCAGTCCCAAGATCAGCTGATATGCTTGGATCTGAAGTATGTAGGGCGCACCTCTACCCAATCCTCAAGCTCTACCTTCCCACTCGAGTCGACGGAAACGTGCTTCAGGACTTCTCGTGCGCGATCATAAGACTCTCCGTTCGCTTGCAGAGACTGGAGCACCGTCTGCTTGTCCACGCGTCCTGGGCTGTCCGTCGTGATCGCACTGTGCGCGAGGAGCTCAGATCGGCGTCGCAATCTTGCCGAGGGGGCACGGGAAGGGGACGTACTTGAAGCGGCTGATGAGGTCGAACATCTCATCCTGCGACACCTCCGGGTACTTCTTGCGCAATCTGAGGGCCTCCATGGCAAATGGCGAGGGGAGCGGTGGGGTACGTGGGGGAGGGGGAAGAGAATGGAGATGAGGGTGAGGTTGGTGGCGGGTGTGGCCGCGCCCACTGACGTCGTTGCCGGATATATGCGGCGGCGCGCGGACCCGTCGCCCTGCACACTCTGTAAGCGCGGCGCCCAAAACTTACCTCTACCCACTGCGCCTGCGCAGCTGCATCGCCCTCTTGTTTCACGGACTGCGCTGCGCTGTTTCTCGGTGTGGAGGCCGACTCGGAGCACTCTGTTGGAGCCCCGCCCATGCGTTCATCATGGATGAGTCGAAGCTAAGCACTGCGGGCGCGCCGACGTGCCAAGCCTGGTGAGTGCGTATATGCTGCTGTTCTCCGCTTGGGCGATGTCGCGTGCAGCGCTTTTTATGGCTCGATGCTTTCTTGGCAGGAAAACTCAGCGTATCGTCCTCACGAGCGAGGTCAGCGCCCGTCACGTATAGCAATGATGACTGTATTACAATGACTCACACTCACGGCAGTCATGTTCTAGTGCTTTCTGTGACAAGCGTCTTGAACCCGGCTTGAAGTGCTAGAACTCGTCCGTCAACCGTTCCGACCAACGGCTGTCTTTGGTTTCCCAACCTGTCTTCGAGGTATGTCACTTGCCCAGGCTGGCTGAGAGGAACGTATGAGAGCGCACAGGGCAAGGTCGTCGCGCCTAACCTTGCGTTGTAGTTCAACACCACGAGGCTCTTCCAGTTTGTCTCGTGAGCTCGCTTGCGTAGCTGGAAGTAGTCTCGTGGCACGCCTCTACCTGACTGGTACATGATTTACATCGTGGAAACATTGCCCTTCGGTCTTGTTTCCGGGATGCCGGGGCGAGACCCTCGTGTCCATCAGCCATTGCTCTAGCTTCGCCGCACTACTACATTGACACCCTCTTCTCATCGGTGAGTCTAGGTCCAGGCCGATGTCCGTTCAAACCAGGGTCGGAGCAAAATTCTCCGCGTTGGACGGACCGGACCCCGGTGTCCAACGTGCCCTACGGCTTCTGACAAGTCATAATCCACGTTGACACGCCAGTCCTGCGGCTTTATTCACCTATACGGATACGCCATTTTTAACACCCAATCCAGATCTCGGCGAGCGACTGTTCGTCCAGCGTCACCGAATCGTCATCATCCACATAATGAGCCGCACGTTGTAGATTTCGGAGCGCCCGCATGCCAACCAACGGGGGCGCACCTGACTTCGAGTCCTCAAGTTCACCCGCCTCATGTGCAGCGTGTTCGTGTCCCGTGGACCGGATACCGTTCCACGACCCACGCACAGACGACATCAAGCGATAGGGAACGCTCTATCACACCCTGGCGCTAAGTTGATGATGTTTCGGTGAACCGAGTTGCTACTTTTGTTGGTCCATGCCTGACGCCCAGTGAGAACTTACAGGTTTCAGAGGGTTTCAGGCGGTTTCGTTTGGGCGAAACCGCCTGGAACCCTGAGAAACCGCTTGAAACCGTCATATCGGTAAAAGAAACCGTATGAAACTGTGCACAAAGTTTCATACGGTTTCGTACGGTTTTGTGGGGGTTTTAGACGGTTTCGGGCGGTTTGCGGGTCGGTTTCGAGCAGTTTTGTGCGGTTTGGAACGATATCACATTGAATTGCTATATATGGTACACTCCAAAACATATAGCTACCCTGCGCCCGCGTCGTCCGCCTACGTCCACTCGCCCACTCCGTGTGCCCACATCCGCTCCACAGTGCATCGAGCACCAGCGTCCCTTCCGCACCCCTGAGAAGCTCCTCTGGCGGTGCGCTGTCCTCTCGGCGGGTAATTGTACGCTGGCATTGGTGCTCGGAGACGCTTGCATTCGCAAGAAGCATGTGGGTGAACCGCTCGGCTGCGTGTGCGGAGTCCCAGTCAGCTCGCGTGTCGCGCCGACGGCAAATAGAACACATACACCGTACTTGTCCAGGAGCGTCCACTCCACCCGGCGGGTCTTTGTTGGATGGGGTGCCCTGTGTGAGCCTGAAGAGAGACTGGTTAGCACGCGACCGGCGTTGGCGCGCGGACGGACGCACATGGCAAAGACAATCACGCCGACGCTACGGCTGTCGACGAGGTTTGAGAACCCGTCCCGTGTAGGGAACGCGTCGTGCGCAGCCACTTCCGGCGCGAGGTATAAGGGGGCACCACAGAACGTCGTTACCTAGAGGGCGTCATCAGGGAGCGGCGCGGCACGGCACGGCGAGATCGGGATACTCGCGAACGTCCCATTCATCTTGTATTCATCGACAAGTCGGCGACCTTGACCGCAACCCACGCGGAGTGGTCCTCAATCGAGCGGTGCACCCGGCCTGCGGCTGCCGCGTCAGTCGAATGGGCGAACGCACTGAGTAGCGGTCGCGGACGCACTGATTGCACGCGACATTTTGTCGAGCACAACGTCGTTTATGCGGGGCTTGCGCCGGAACCGGTGTGTGCGCTGCACCTTGAAGAGGTCAATGCACTTGGTGTTCGGGTGCACTTTGTTGCAGGTCCCAATGGCGACTAGAAATAGGCCGTGCAGCGGAGGCGCATACAGGCAGGTAGGGAAAATGCTGAATATATGCAGTGAAAACACTCACGGTAGGCGGGTGGCGTGATGGCTGCGGTGCAGGGAGAGCGAGGGCGACGTTCGCAAGACGTCGCAGTGGGTGGAGGCGGTGGGGAGAAAGCATGGTAGAGGTCGATGGAGAAGTCAAGATGCGAAGTGCTCTCCGGCGATAGCACGATGCGAAGATCCAATCACGTGATTATCACACGCCCTCGGCTCGCGCTGCCAGGACGAGGACGACTTCGTGCACCTGTCTGCGGACGACATCGCCAAGAAGACCACCCGCAAGCCCCACGCGCGGCCGCCCAGATCTCCACACACTCCTCCGCGAGGAAGTGTACCCGAGCCGCGGGCGAGTAGACTGTAGGGCGATAGTACTGGTGCTAATAGTGTTGTGTGTAGTTTGTGGCTCGCAGGGGATAGCACAGGATTGCCGCGCTGCGTTGTGTGTGCCACTTGCGAACGCGCTCACTGGCGGCCCCAGCGTGGTTGTGCACGTCGGTTGAGTCGTTCTGGTACGCGTGAGATTGTATAAGTACACTGCAAAAGGAAGCGGGCAGGCCCGTAGACGAAGCAGTTGAGAAGAAAGTGCAAATCAGCAATTGCTGTCATGCTACTCCACCCGTGTGAATGGAGTGCCGCAATGTCTGCTGTGTTGAAACTATTGTCGAACTTGCGCATTTGAAGCTGCAGAATGCAACTTTTCAACACATTGTTGTCGAAAGTGTCTATTAATAACGTGTCTTCCCCGGGCGTCTAGCGGCTTGAAACCGTCCGAAACCCTCTGAACCCGTCTAAAACCCTCTGGAACCCTCTGAAACCTGTACGTTCTCACTGGGCCTGACGATCGCCTATTCAGTAGGTAATGTTGCCCCGCATCCTGTTACGTATCTTCAGCCTCTAATGACGATTTTCGCTCCCCCTCCGGATCGTACGCCGGCCAGGTTCCGTTCTTACCTGTGACCGGATCCAAGGCCATATTTTGACGAACGCTCATAACCGGATCAGCGTAAGTTCGTACCGGAATCTCCGAGCCGGTGAAGTCGCTGAAATGGGACTGGTGGACAGAACGTGGCGGCCTAGAGCGTCGGACATTGCGCACTAGTTCGCTTCGAAACTGGCAACGATGCTTCGCCATTGCGGTCGCAACCTTCGCAAGTTCACAGGTGATAGGTGGTGCGGACCCAGGGCAAGCCTCGCAAAGGTAACTTGGAACCGCCAGTGAGGAGATTCACTGAACGAGAAGGTAGAAGACTGAATCGCGGTCACCGATCATCAACTCACGCAGGCTGTATCAGATGCTCGGCGCGGCAGGACAGTGCAGCCCTTGGCCGTCCGTCCCCCAATCGTGTCTGTCCAGGTCCCGCGGCTCTCTCGTCGCGCTACCGCGTGTTCTGGACCTGCGCTACGCCAACCCCAGTTTCGGATGATGTTTCAGGTCCAGGGTTGCCAGCCGTTCTGGCAGAACCGCGGTTCGAGGTGCATCGCGGGTACACTAGTGTCCTCACGTCATCTGCAGTTCCTCCGATGCGAAGTCGTGTGCCACGACCGTTTGGCCACCGTGCTCGTGCAGCGCGCCACTGTGCGAATGGGAGTCCACGGGCGCCGCGATCGTTGACACTGGTGACAGCGGCCAGGGCTCGAGGAACGTACGCAGGGGGTGCACGCTGCAGAACGCCCGCCTTTCTGCTGGAATGCCGCGCTGCGGACGACCTGACCTCCGATCGGCCGGCGAGAACCTGCCATAGAAAACAAATAGGATTTACACGTTTCCAGAGTCGAACACGGGCTGCCGCTTCGGGTCCAAGGCTTCTCTCGTCTGCGCCCAGTGACCTCGTCGTGGCCTATCGTCGCGCGCCTCCGTACGTGTCACCGTCACATTATCTCCCCCGCCGGCTTGCGACATTGACTATTCTCCGCACCCACAGCGCTCCCGTCTCATCGATGGGGTCCACGTGCCCCGGCGCGACAAGACAGAACTCTATCCCCGCCTCCCTCCCTGCCCCGCAGACATCCAGCGCGGAGTCCGCGTACCACGCCTGCACTGCTCTCGCGCGGTACGCGGACGATGTCGCGTCCCCTCGATGAACTTAGCGCACCCAGCGATTGCACAGTGCGCGCAGGCACGCGCGCCCGCGCCCGCGCCTTCGTCAGACACAAATCGGCAACGTTCGCAGAAGTACGCGCTCCTCCACGGGTCGCCCGTTGACGCTTCACTCAAGGGTGCGGAGATGAACCGTTCTCGCCGTCCTTCGGTACTCGAGCGGCCACCGTGCAGTCCCGTTGGGCCTGAGCGCGGATATGGGCTCATGATGAGACGGGGAATGGCGCGTCGGGCGCACTGGGCGTTGCCGGGGCGCGCGCGGGAGCGCGCCGAGTTCTGTGCTGGAGCGCACTATCGGATGGCAATCTAGCCAAAGCCGATTTGCACCCCGGAAACGGCGCGGCGGCAGTGGATTGTGGGAGGATCGGACGAGGGCCCGTCCGGGGCGGGCGGGGTGCTCGCGCGGGACCAGACCTGGGCCACGAGGAGGCTGGGAGCATGGCGGGAGGAGGGACGCGTGCGGGACAGGCAGGAGGACGGCCTTGGCTGAAGGCGCGCGCGCAGGTGACGGTGGGCGCCGCGGGGAGCTGGGGCGGGAGGCCATCGACATCGATAAAGGCGCGTTCTAGGCAGCCGCACGCTCGTCCACTCGCGATCAAGGGAGGATGCCGGATGACGCTGGATCGGATCAAGATCCGTCCTCGACCCCGTGCGCGGGCAGTATAAGTGCTGGCCACACCACCCTGTCCTCTAAGCTGCCCTGGCCTGTCTCCGTAGCCATCGTCTCCAACCGCGACCATGGTCAGTCTCCCGCGTGCGTACCCCCGTTCCCCCACGCTCACCCGCCACCGCGCGCGCCCCTCTAGGGTGTCACTGTCGAGCCTCTCTCTCCTGGCGACGGCCTCCACTTCCCTTCCACGGGTGGTACGTCTCTCTTCCCCGCATTGTCCCTTGCCCCCTCTCACCCCCGCGTTTTCACAGACAAGGTCACCATCCACTATGTCGGCAGGCTCGAGAACGGCACTACGTTCGACTCAAGCAGGGATCGGTGAGCTCCATCTATCTCTCGCGCTAGCTACCGCTAATCTATCCACCTGAAGCGGCTCTCCCTTCGACACGCTGATTGGTGTGGGCAAGGTCATCAGGGGCTGGGACGAGGGTGCGTACTCTTGCGCACGCGCATACTACATCCAATCACTCATGGACATGCGTTGTTTGCTCCAGGTGTACCATTACTGTCCCTGGGCGAGAAGGCGATCATCACGGTGACGCCAGACTTCGTGAGTCTTCGTCCCTTCGCATTCCATACTTCTCTCCCCCGCCCCCCTATTCTCTTCTGTGCGCGTCCACTGACTTTCATTGCGTGTAGGCGTATGGCTCGCGGGGATTCCCACCGGTGATCCCACCCAATTCTACCCTCAAGTTCGAGGTCGAGCTGCTGAAGATCAACGATAGGGCTTAACTGCCCCTCGGCTTCCGCGCTCCTCTTTTCATCCCGCTCGCGCATCCGCGATGGGTCTCTGGCTGATTGCAATCGTACATAGCTGGGCATAGGATGCCCTTGTGATATTACTTCTGTTCTATAGTACTCCTCGCCCGCACACCCTTCGCCTCCTCTGCTCCAGTATGCCTCTCCCATTCGTCTCTTGTACTCTCATCGTCCCTGACTATCCTCCCTCCCGTCCTGCATCTTTCGAGCTTCCACTCCGGTTCCTGTACGCGAACCCCCTTGGGGCTCAGGCATACCCGCCCTGGCTTTCTCTGTTACCCGGACTCATCATCTACCCCCGCATCCCCGCACCCGCATAGTATTCCAGGCCAAGCAATCGATAGATTAACACCGCACACTACACGCATCTCGCGCCCGCCCGGCGCATCGATTGCCCGCCGCCCGCCGCCTGATTCTGCGCGCAGGTCGAATTTGACCGGGTCCGGGACGCGGTCGACGCAGAACATATGGAGCGGGCTGCGGCAGCCCGGGCGCGATGGGCCCCCGCGACTAGCCCCGCGCCGACATCGCCCATCAGCTTGCCTATCGCGGACGTGGGCACCGGGCAGGCGCGGGCGTTGGCGTCGGGTGGACCCGGCAGCGAGTGCGCGCGGTGGTCGTTCGACCTCTCATGATCTCAAATCCGACTGAAAGTACTTGGCCAGCCAACCGCGGCGAATATCCCCGTCTCGACGGAGTCATGGGCCCAAGACATTCGCGCCCACAGATGGCCTCGTTCGAGGCCTCGGACGAAGACGAAGCCGCGGTCCTCCGCCCGTTCCGCCCGGTTTAACCTCAAGGTTGCGCGCCGCGGCGAGCGCGAGAGGTCGCGGGCCACGCGCGCGTGATCTCTCGGACGCCGCTTCGCGTCTCAGGCGCACTTCGGCGGGGGAGCCCCTCCGGCCGCCATCCAGCCATCCATCATTCTGCGAGGTGGGCGGGCGCGATGAAGAGCATTCAACACAATAAACTACCTCGCAGCCGTGTACTCGGAACGCTGATACGAGTACATGTGCAATTCTCGTTCGTTCGCCCCCGCGCGCCTCCAGCCCCCGTAACCCCGCGCGTCCCGCACCAGTTCACGCACCGCGAACCGCTGGGGAGTCCTCCCTGGGCCAGCGCCCGCCCGGGTCCAGTGCGCCCACGCTATGTACTCTACATACCCGGCAGTGGCAGATCGGATACCCGGGCGAGCGCAAACCACCTTCGCATTCCGCGCGACGCGTGCGCAGGGCGCTCCGTGCCCCGAAGGAGACACACGCACGCGTGAAAACCGTCGTGGCCGGCGGTCATGGTCATGGGACCGCCGCGCTGGCCCGCGCGGGGGCTGGGTGCTCGACGTCAACCGTACGTCGACACTTATCTCCCCCGCGCGCCTCGACCGCGCGCCGCGGAGTGTGCGTGTGGGGTGCGAACGGTAAACGGCAAACGGCGAGCAGCAGGCTGTCAGTGGTGATCACGCACATGAGCGAGGGTGCCGCCGCCCGCACCGCGCTCGGATTTTTGCGACGCCACCCGTCCGTCCGTGCAGGTTCCGCGGAGGGCGCCAGGTGGCCCGGCCGGGCGGTCGCCGGTGCTTGTTCCTTATACCTTACCGGACGAGCGACGATCAGCGTCCGGCCGGGTGATAAGCGGGGAGGCCTGCAGGGGGTGCGGGGAATAGATGACTGTCGAAGCGCGGTGGCTCGAGTGCCCCGCAGGAGTGTTCTCGTGACGCCGACGGTCGGGCGAGCAGCAGGGATCGCCGCGCGCGCAGCCCGCAACTCAATCGCCCGTTGCTGCTGCCGCACACACCCTCGGTCGCCCGCGTTCATCTCCGACCTTCAGGCGATCGCGCACGGAGGGTGCCTGCAGCCCTGATGCCCGAACGAGGGCGGAGAAGGCGTGAGGGGGCCCTTGGCAGAAGCCTCGCGCGCGTCGACGCGCACGGCTGGCTGGCACCTTCTCGCTCTGGTCAGCCGGTTGCCGCGATGGGCCCGATGGCCACCCGTGCGCATACTTATCGCAGGGGCGCGGCACGCACTATCGCTCGCGCGCCAGCCGTCGGATCGTGCGTGCGAGGGCAACAGCCAGGTAAAGCCACGGGATCTTCGCAACGACAACCAATGTCCGGGTGCCTTGTTGCCCCAGTATCAGCCAGAGTAATATGAACGTGAGAAGGCCTCCGCGGCGTCTGCGCATCACAGGTCCGGCGTGCGCCCTTCGAGTGCGCCAAGGTGCGCCACCGTGTACTCAAAAGTGTATCGGGACAGTGTGGCAGCTGGATGCAAGCCACCCAGAGAATTGTCTCAGAATGTGATTGACCGCCTCACCGCCGGCTCGGAGGGTGTGCATGTGGGCACGAAATGCCCATTCTCGTGCTCAGAATTTTTTGTTTCCTCTTGTTCATTTTCAGGCAGCACAAGTGCGAAAACGGCGCTGAATGAACCGCGGCTCGAATAGACGCGGGTCGCCTTCCGGGCCGTCGCATCGATGGCTATCAATGACGTCACGTCCCTCCGAGATTGTCGGCAAAGCCATCGAGGCCGCAGAAACGCCCTCATTGCGCACAGAAAAGTCCGGGGGATCGTGAAATATTGGAGGAAGTGGAATGGAAACACGATGGTACATGGGAGCTTACAACATCAACGGAAACACACGCAGCGCAGTCCACCAATAGACGGGCGTCTAGTTGATCTTGAGCAACTCGACCTCGAATTTGAGAGTCGCGTTCTCGGGGATCTTAGGTGGGTAGCCTCGCGGGCCGTACGCCTATTGGTTTTGATAACGATAAGCATATATAGGGGTCGATGAGCAGATCTACTCACGTAGTCAGGCGTGCACGTGAGGACCGCCTTCTGGCCGAGTGACAACTTCGGTACCCCTGGAACAGGATGCACAACGTGAGCTTAGACATTGAAGGCGCACCACGGAAATCGCCAAACGAACCCTCGTCCCAGCCCTTGATAACGCGCCCTATACCAATCTGCGTGACGAAAGGCTTGTTGCTGCACGCCCGATCGGTGAGCGTTCAAGTGGTAAACAGAGTATGAAGACGAACCGATCTCTGCTGGAGTCGAAAACACTGCCGTTGGTGAGCCTACCGACGTAGTGCATGGTGACGGTGTCTGCGGAGGGACGTGGGATGAGCACGCGGATGTCCAATGCAGGTGCGATCTGGACGATCGATGGGGATCTAGGACGCACCGCCGGGCTGGGGGTAGTTCAAGCCATCGCCTTCAGCAAGAGTCTCGACGTGGACGCCCTGAACACAGATCAGGCGTCAGCGGCAGACACGAGGAATCGTTGGGACGCGGGTGTGGGGTGGTCGCGCGCAGGGACGTACCATGGTGGTGGTGTGAGGATGAGGAGGGCTGAGCGGGCGGTGCGGCGGAGAGTGGTCACGGATTTATAGGCTAGGCGCGGGGTCGAGAAGCCTGTCACATTTGGAACCTTCACGTTGGCGGGGCGGGCCGTTGTGTACGCCCAGATGGGAAGGTGCCAGGCCGGGACGCGTGCCCGCCCGCGTGCGCCATCGATATGTACGCCAACGAGCCCCGCGCGTCGAAAGGGGACTCGGGCGGAGGCACACAGGGGCCAGCGGGCCCGGCGCCTCTCAGGGGAGCCTCCTTCCGGCCCGGGTATTCCCGAGGGCTCTGGCACGCTGGCGCCTGCGCACTCAAGTAAGTACTCCAACTCCTCATCTGGTACACCATCACTGCATACGGATCTGGCGGAGCTCCAACTCTAATGTCATGGGTTGAGTAACCTTCACCCTCTCGTCCGCGCCCTCCACCCACCGTCCCGTCCCTCTTGACCCCACACACCCATGGCCACCACCCAGGACTCAGGACGGTCTTACCACCTCCAGTGCACAGGCCCCGCGCTCGAAACCGCAGAGGCTCACAGCGCCCAAGAGCACATCACGCTGTTTGGCAGCTGTTTCTGCCCGTTTGTGCAGAGGGTATGGATCACGCTGGAATACCTCGGGATTGACTACGCGGTACGCATATAGTCATCTCACCTGTGCGCTAGGAAAGTTGCAACAGCCTTTCTTTTAGTATTGTACGTACGTGTCCGCCCAGACGATCAGCGTCACTCCATTGGCCCATCCAAGCTTACATTGGACCTGAACATCGTCCTTGCCCGCAGATGAAGTGGATCCGTACAAGAAGCCTGCGGAGCTTCTTGAGCTCTCGCCCAAGGGCCTCGTTCCAGCGCTGAGGCTCAACAATCACCACCCTCCCAATGCCCTGAACGAGAGCACCATCATCATGGACTACCTGGAAGAGTGCGTTCGATTCACTGTTTCCCTGCCTCCTCTTCTCACTCTTGATCACCGCACGCGCGCTCCGCGGTTGAACAGGCTCGCGAACGGGGACACCAGGCGCTCCTCGCATACCGTGGAGAGCCTCTTCCCTCCGCCTTCTGACCCATGTGCGTTGCGCGCCTATGCAGTGTTCCATTCCTCGCTCACTTTACATTTTCTGGCTGTTGATACGTCATCGGTCACTCTAGACGCACGCGCTCTCATCCGCTTACAGGCGGATTGTGCGAGCCGCTCTCTAGTCCCCGCTTTCTATCGATACTTGCAAGCGCAAGACGAAGGTACGAGCAACATAACCGAAGTCGACGTTGTATCAACCCTGAACGCAATCGGCCACAGCGAAACAGGTTGAAGGCGCAACGGCGTTTGTGGAAGCAATTAAAGCCCTTGTAGCCCTCTTCGAACGGGCAGAGCGCGAAGGATACACGTCATACGGACTTTGGAATGAGGGCGGCTCGCTCAGCTACGCCGACGTGATGGCAATGCCATGTATGTTGGACATTACCAGGGCAGCTATGTTACTGCACCACTGACTTCTCGGTCCTCAGGGCTCTTCCGCGCGACAAATGTACTCAAGCATTATCGGGGCTTTGTGATGCCAGAAGGCGAGCGTTTCCAAGCCTACATGCAGAGGCTGGTAGCGCACCCTGCGGTCAGACGTACATGCAGCACGGAGCAGCTATACCTTGATAGCTACGAACGGTACGTCAAGGACGTTCGTGTCAGGTTCACACGGGCTGAAGGGTTACGATCCATCGTCGATCACTCTCACTATTGGTACTTTGAAATCTGTAGATACGCCTTCAATCGTCCGAACACCAGTCAAGTGGCGAATGCCATCAACTCGGGAGCGCCTCTCCCTTGAGACATCGTGGTAAGGGTAGTCTACACCCTATCTGACGATTGACACCGATAAGCAGACACTCTGTAAGACTCGAAGGAAATGTCTAGGATTGAGAGAAATGGCGACACGAAGTTTAGCGTATAGTATCGCTTTATTGGTTCCATATCGTCTATCGAAGCGTTGCAAACATGTACTTGAAACAGAAAGTTCTCACCCACCTCTCATAATTCGTCGTCGTTGAGAGGACGAACGTTTCCATTCCCCGCAGTGGGTTCTCAGATCTCAGACTTAAGTGACGTTGAAATTGTCTATCTCGCAGGATAGCATAGCAACGGTACAAACCTTCCAGATGGTCTACATGGGTCTCGAACAGCATTCACATGAGTATCAGATCCGCATGTCACCCTCGTTGGCACTGCATGTGGTTGGAGATCATTACAACGACTTCTACACGCATTACACATGGTCTCGGTGCTCTGTCGCGTACAGAAGAGGCTTTGAATATCTAGTGCAGAGTTCACTGCAATCCCCGCTTGGATACAAAACACGGCCATGGCCCATGGAGGCCGCAGCAGCGGCTAGCAGCGGATTATGAAGAGCGAATCTGATGATCGGGCGGCGCTCCGACCAGCGGGAGACATGGGCGGGTGGCGGTGTCGACGACGCTGGGAGACGGTCTGAGACGGTCGGGGCGTCCGCACGCGCGCACGACCTCCGACCCTTTGCCTCATGTGGTGTGAGCCTGACGGGCTTGCATTGCATTCGATCCCCATCTGCTCGATCCTTGATACATCTCTCGTCAACCCTGGTCCTGCCGCCCGTGGCCGGAGCGTTCATCTTCAACGCCGCCTTCAAATCAGCCCGCGGTCCGGTGACCCCACCGCTTAGCAACAACACATTGCCACCCTCGGATCCCCAGTCGTACCTGCTCGAGTCCAGCCCCTCAACGACCTGCCTGACGACGTCGGGCTTTCCTGTCGATGGCTAAAAAGACGAAACGCGTCGATGCTCGCAGGCGCAGGGCACGAGAGGGCAGGGTGGCGCGTTAAATATCGCCTGCACCCGAGGGCCGAAATGAAGCGCAGTACGTACGCGCCCGCTTTCCCCATTGCCAAATCTTGGATGGCGGCGAGGTCGCCCTGGCCCGTCCTTCAGCCGACGCGAGCGGCCGCGTCCGTGGTCCCGTCCTTCGCCCTCCTCGCGTTGGACGCAAGGGGCTTGCCACCACAGGCGAGACGCTGTTGGATGCTTGGTGCGCCCGATGCTGCCGCAGAGTCAGCCTGTGCAGATGCAGTCTGTGCAGATGCGAGCGAGTTATCCCCGGGCGTTGCAAACTCAATCACCCCGCGTGGAAGACGACCCCGTCTGCCAAGGTCTGCCAACTCCGACTCCTCCGAGGCGCCGGTGCCTTCACACAGTGGAGGTCGACGACCTGGTGGGTATATAGCCCACCGTCGCCCCGACCCCGCGCCCATCACTGTTTCCCTTCCCTCCTCCCCTTCTTCTTCCGCCGTGCCGGCTCTTTGGACTCGAGACACGCTGCCTTCGTCTCGTGTCTTCCCTTCCTCCACACTTCGCTAGCCAGCCCGCGGTCCTCGCTCAAGCACGACTTCTCCCTCACTGAAGCCCGATCGGCCCTAGCCACTACCCCCCCTCAAGCCTCAAGAAGAGTGCGCACACGATGGTCGCGCAAAACCCGCTGTTCGTAGGATGGAGTCTGCGGAAGTTCAAGGCCACCGTCATAAACGATATCTGGCCGGAGGTTCTGTTCTTCACCTTGGTCGCCACCAGTGAGTCTTCATCTCTCTCATGCTCTGCCACATCCCCCATGGAGCTCATGTATGCGCCTAGTGGTGTCGCTGGTGTCTGAGATGACCACACACAAGCTGGCCGTCTCAAACGGTTTGCTTACCGTGCTGGGTACTGTCCTCGGTCTGGTCATCTCGTTCCGGACGTCGTCGGCGTATGAGCGGTGAGTGAACCTCCGTGGGTGTCGAGTGTCGGTCGCTGATGGGCGCTTGTTCAGGTACATGGAAGGTCGGAAGTTGTGGACGACCATCTCGTTGGCGTCACGTAACCTGGCTCAGATTGTGCGCATTTCATTCACACGTATGTGTAGATCGCAAGCTGACGCCATCGGGCTCGGGCTTAGATCTGGATACATGTTCCCTTCGACCGTACAGACAAGAAGACCGGCCAGCCGAAGTCTCAACTCGAGATTGTGATCGAGAAGAAGAGCATGGTGAACCTTATTCAGGCCTATTCCGTATCTGTGAAGGTAAGTTTCGCTTTGCATACTTCATCTGAAATGAACTGCTTCCTGACACCGCCTTTTCCTTTTAGCACATGCTTCGCGGTGAAGCCGGTGTCTATTACGAGGATCTTTACCCTCTCATTTGCTTCCTTCCTCGTTACGCCACTCACAACTCCGACAACGCTACCGTTGAGGACATGCTTCCCATGTGGAAGGCTTCTGAGATGGACAACAACAAGCACCAGGCCGCACACACTGTCACAACGTCGCGCCCGATGTCGCCTGAGGGGGGCACCACCCGAACAAGCAACAGTGAGCGCTCCAAAGAGGTCGGCGACATCTCTGAGGACCAAATTTACCACTCGCTCCGCGGCCGCCAGCTTCGCAAGCCGAAGAAGTTTGACCCCGAACAAGTCCTCCCTGCCGTGTATAGCGAGCACCCGTTGAAACCGGCAAGGAACCCGCCGAAGGAGTCCCTGTTCGACTACCTCCCCTTCCTGCGCATTTTCAAGCTTATGTTCAAGCCCTGCCGCCGCACCAAGTCTGCCCCGGTGCTTCCGACGAGCTCGGGCCCCACTCGTACGCTTACTGGCAAGAAGATTCGTCCCGAAGCTGTCGACTCGAATGTCCCGCTTGAGATCTCGCTCTTCCTGTCGAGCTACCTCGCGTGGCTGCTCCGCAACGGCCAACTTGTGCCCGCCACGGCGTCGATGTTCGCGACAAGTATCTCGCAGCTCCAGGACACCGTCACGAACCTGGACCGCATCAGGAACACACCCCTGCCGTTCGCCTACCAGGCACACCTCCGCATTTCACTCTGGCTGTACTTGTTCTTCCTGCCCGTAAGTGGCGCTTTGGGTGTCTTTTTGACACCGTTGAGCTGACATGATGCTCGCGAAATAGTTCCAGGTATGGAGCTCGTTCCATTACTTGACTATTCCGTGCGTATCCTTTCATCTGGCGCTCAGTTGGGGTTGTGCGCGGCTGACACTCGATATAGCGGCACCGCCTTTGCGTCGTTCTTGCTCCTCGGTTTCCTCGAGATCGGTCAGGAGATGTGAGTTCGATGTTCTCCCGTTCCGTGATGCGCTTCTAACTCCACGTGCCGCGGTGCAGTGAGAACCCGTTCAACTACGATATGAACGATCTCGGTAAGAAATACCTCCTTCTGGGTTTGCTGTAAATCGAGTTAACCGAATGCGTCCAGACCTCGATGCGTTCTGCCTTTCCGTCCAGCGCGAGCTCCACGAGATCACGGCGGTGCGTTCTTATCCTCTTGTCGGTCAGGATATGTCTCATGTGGTCTGCATCTAGCACTCCTGCCCGGAGCCCGACGAGTTCATGATCACCCCTTGGAACCAGCCCTTCGCACCCGCTGACAGACGCACAGCGCAGGAGATGATTGACGACGTCAACCACGAGTACCACGGCCCCGAGACAGGCATGCGCACTATCCGCCGCACGCTCCTCAAGAGTTGGTGGGACGTCGAGCAAATGACTCGGGTCTAATCGATGACCGATGGACCCATTTGACCTCTCAAGCACACGATCTCAAACACGAAAACAAGCTCGCAACCTCAAAACGGCCGTCCGTCACATCGCTCTCACACCTCCCCGTCCCCACACATAATGATCTGCTACTAGCACGTCGCTGGTACCACAAGCCTGGCGGCCGGGGTGACTGTTTGGGCGCCCTGTGCGTTCGGCGCCATCTCCGGATCCCTTCGCCACTACTAGAAGTCAGATACGCGTACATACGACCCAGCACCGCCTCTTCTGCATTCGTCCGTCTCGACCGATGTGACATCCGCCCTTGTATACTTTGGCCCCCACAAGCGTCCTTCCCGCCGACGGAAGCGTCCATTGCACCGACTGTCCGCGACGGCTCATAGTTGCATACACCCATACGTCTACGTACTTATTCCTCTCGCTGTCGTGTTTTACGTCTCTTTTAAATGGCATACGGTATGATATCTGGGCTCCTATGTCCCCGGGATGATAACGGCACCTGGGAACTCGTGACCGTCGGCGCTCTAATGGGAGTTGAATCAGAACGCGTCTCTGGCGCCGGGACGAGGACGGGGGCGTCAGGGCACGTTGCGCGACGGTGTGGCCAGCCACTGGGCTGCAAAACCCCCGCAGAGCGCGTGGCGGGGGCGAGGCGGGCGAGGCGAGCGACCGCCGCTCGCACTGGCAGAGACGTCCGCGCGCCGGGTGATATAAGATCCGGGAAGGATCGTGCACGCCGCCGCTAGAGGTCTGCTCGCCGCCTGCCTCTTCTTCTCTCCTCCCGCCCGTCCACGCGCGCCTCGTCTCTCTCCCACTGCCTCGACGACCCCGCGCCCGCATACAACGACCACAACGAGCAGATCGGTGCGTCAGCGTCTCCACCGCTCGCGTGCGGCCGAGCGTCCGGGAAGTACTGACATGAGGCCTCTGATCGGCGCTGCAGCTGCTCGCCCCACCGTTTCCAGCACCCAACCCTGCTCATCTGCGCCGACGGCCCCCCACAGTCTCGCGCAGCACCCCGTTCCAGATCGTCTCAGTGCCCCCTCCCAGACACCGCAGGCGCTCTCTCACCCTCTCTCCTCGTACGCCCACCTCTCGAGTCTCTCCATCCCGTCCTCAGACTCGTCTCGCCCTGCATATCCTCCACGCACACCTCCCCACGGCCCCCACACTCTTCACGCCCAGCTCGGTCCCGCCACGGAACCTGGAGCTCTCTATCGCCTCATCGCCCGCGCGCTTCCGCCTTCCTCCGTCCCAGCTACCCCCGCCGCCAACGCCCTCGGTCTATGGCCACGCTCTTCTCCCGCACCCAGCCCATCTCGAAGCAGAGCCCGCACCCTGGCCCGCCTTCAGACGATGACCCGCCCGGGGGCGCGGCCCCGAGCCCGGTCGGCCCCGCCGGCGCCGGCGCGACGAGCAACATCGCGCTCCTCCACCCGGAGACCGAGCCGGACGACGAGTGGAAGGACCGCACGCGGGCGCAGATCCAGGCGGGGATGGCGGCGCAGGTCGCGCGCCTGCACCGCGAGCGGGACGCGGCGCTCGCGGGGGTGCCCGAGGGCTCGCCCGCGGCGCTCGCGGCGATCGCGCGGCACGAGCAGGAGATGCACCTCGCGCGGAGCCGCGCGCAGGGGCAGTACAACAGCGAGCTGCAGGGGGAGCGGTTCGCGCGCGCGCTCGCGATGGGCATCGACGCGCCGGGGGACGCGGAGTTCCAGCGGTACGTGCAGCAGCAGCATGAGATCCTCGCCCAGATCGAGCGGAGCCGCGCGCCGGCCATGCAGGCACCGACCACGCACGGAGCGGATGGAGAAAGAGACAGAGAAAGAGAAAGAGAGAGTGCAGGGAGGAATGGGAGTGGAAGGGATGGGGCAAGTGGAGGTGGAGGTGGAAGTGGAGGAAGAGGTGGATCGAGCGTGGAGAATGGACACAACATCCCTCCGGCTAACGGTGAGCGCGATCCGACGGCTTCGAGCGCGAAAGATCCCAATGCCAGACGCGACTCCCGTCCCCTCACAAGGCCAACCTCGGGCTCCGAGTACCGCCCACGGGACCGCACACAGAGCGGGGGATCGGAGAACATCCTCGGCTCGGGTAGCTACAGCGCACGACCCGCTCGATCACGCGGGAACTCGTCCGTCTTCGCCGACTTCGACCCCACGGCGACGAACGGATCATCCTATCCGTATGAGCAAGGATCTATCGGACGACACGGCGGGATAAGCACTCTATCCAGGACACGGCCACAAGATATCTGGCTCCCTGGATCTCCTTCCCCTGCGGCAAGAGAGCATGGTCCTTCAACTTCTCGCGCCTTCGCTCACGCTACCGCCTCGCCCATTAGCCCAAGTTCACGCGAAGGTGGACCTGTCGACAATGGCCGTACCGTATCGCGTGCCACCAGCATCCGCTCTGTAGAACGACCGTCCCCAGGCGATCACCTCGAATTCGGTTCCCTCCCCCGCGATCGTTTCGGCATGGGTGATGATCGTGGGCCCTCGCGCAAAGGAAAGGAGCCCGAACGCAGCGACCACTCCCGCCAACCTTCGTTCACGCAGCAGACATCAGCACAGGAAGCTCGCCGCGATCCCCGAATGACGATACCTATCACTCCCGCCCGTCCCACCCTTGCCTCCCAGACGTCCGACGACCCGTACCTTACGCAAATCAGCCCCATTGCGTCCCGCCCGCGACCCTCTGAGCCCAACGACGACGGGATCCGTGTGCGCCCCGTCGGTGCGCCTGTGGCCGAGGACGACGGCATACGCGTCAAGCCCTCAAGACGCAGCACGATGCCCGACCACTATTCCTCCGAGCAGCAGCAACAGCAGCCCCCATCCCGCTACGGCAGTCAGTCCTCGACGTCTGCACGGCCGATCCCACGCAAACGCTCCTTCCAACAAGACTTCGGCGACTGGCCCGCGCAGGCCAACGCGCACGCGAACCCCTTCTACGGTCCGCTGTCTCCATCCATGTTCGTCCCCGCGTCCTCGAGCCGCCCGATCCCTCGCGCGTCCACAAGCGCAGACGACGCCCGGCGCGAGTCCCCGTCCAAGTCCTCCTGGCAAGGCTCCTCGCTCAGCCCGCCCAGCGCCTTCCCGTTCGCCGGGCAAGACATCCCCTCCGCCACGTCCTCGCGCTTCCGGCACTCGCCCAGCCCCGCGAGCAGCGGGATCGCCGGCAGCGTCGGGAGCACCGGCGGCGGCGGAGCCTCGCGGCGGCGGAACTCGGGCGGGAGCCGCTCGGTGCGCTCCCGCGGCTCGCGGTCCGAGTTCTGGCCCGGGCCGAGCGACGTCGCGCAGCGGCCGCTGCAGACGTACGAGGAGCAGTCGGTCGCGTCCGACAGCGACTCGGAGGAGGACTACGGGATGGACATGGACGAGCTCTGGGACAAGCGCGAGAGCTTCGAGGCCCGCGGCGCGGGCTCGCTCAAGTGGCAGGCCCGCCGCCAGACGGAGGAGGCGCGGAGGCGCGAAGAGGAGGCGAGGAGGCGAGAGCAGGAGGCGCGGGCGCAGCAGGCGGAGGCGCAGCGGAAGCAGGAGGAGATCATGAAGCAGCGGCTCGACATCGAGCAGCGCGCGGCGGCGCTCGCGCAGCAGGAGGCGCAGCTGGCGGAGGCGAAGCTCCAGCATGAGCGGACGCTGCGCGAGAACCTCCAAGCGCAGCTCGAGGAAGAGCGGAGGAAGCGGATCGAGGCTGAAGAAGCGACTCGGCAACGCGAACTGGAGGAGACGGAGCGTCGAGAACGAGAGGCCAAGGAGAAGGAGCAGCGGGAGCGGGAGCGGCGGCTGAAGAAGGAGCAAGAAGAACGCGAGGAGCGAGAGCGTCTCGAGCTTCAGGAGAAGCAGGAGCGGCTCAAGCGCGAACGCGAAGCACGGGAGGAGCGGGAACGTCAAGAGAAAGAGGAGAAGGAGCGGAAGGCACGCGAACGTCAAGAGGCGAAGGAGAGGAAGAGGCTGGAGAAGGAGGAGAGGGATCGACTGGAGCGGGAGCGCATCGCTCGTGAGAAGAAGCAGCAGCAGGAGCAAGAAGAGTGGGCTCGTAGGCGGAAGGAGGAGGAAGAGAGGTTCGCCAGGCAGAAGCGGGAGTGGGAAGAAGCCCGCAAACAGGAGGACGAACGACGCGAAGCGGAACGACTCGCGGCGGAGGAAGCCCAAAGGCAGCGGGAGGAGGAGGCTCGACGACTGGAGGAGCAGCGACAGCGGGAGGAGGAAGAGAGGCTACGGGAAGAGGAGGAGGCCAGACAACGCGAAGAGGAGGAGGCGGAGTTGCGGGAAGAGGAGGAACGTCGCCAACGCGAGGCTGAAGAAGCTCGTCAGCGCAAGGAGGACGCGGCCCGCAAACGCCAGGCAGAGAAGGAGCGGAAGGCCCGAGAGAGAGAGGAGGAGCGGCAGCGGAAAGCTGAGGAGGTACGGAAGCGGAAGGAGGCCGAGGAAGAATGCCAACGTGAAGCCGAACGTCAGCGAGAGGCCGAGCTCCAGAGGCAACGCGAAGCCGAAGCCGAAGCTGAAGCCCAACGACAACGAGAGGCAGTCCAGCGGCGACGTGCTGATGCAGAAGCCCGTGAACGCGAAGTCGCCGAGGCCCGTCGTCGGGAGCAAGCCGAGGCTGCGCGCAAGCGTATGGAGGAGGCTCGTCAACGCGAAGAGGAGACTCACCGCCGAGAACAAGAGGCGCACCGCTTACGGGAAGAGGAGGAAGCTCGTCGTCTCGCCGAAGAGGAGGCTGCTCGTGCGGAGCAGCAGCGTCAAGACCAGATCTCTTCGGTTGACAACAGCACACCCCCTGAGTTCAACGATCCGATCTTCCTTCGTGAGCAGCAGGCAGAGCTAGAGCGCTTCGAAGCCGCCCTCGAAGCTAGGAAACGCGAAGAGGAGGCCAAGAAACGCGAAGAGGAGACCAAGAAACGCGAAGAGGAGACAAGAGCACGCGAAGAGGCAGCCAGGCAGCGCGCACAAGCAGATGCTGACCGGGAGGCCCAGTTCCGGCGTGAACAGGAGGAGATCTACAGGCGTTTCCAGAGCGAGGAACAGGGCCGCGCACGGGAAGCCGAGGCGCGTCGGCGAGCACAAGAAGACATGCGACGCAAAGCGGAGGCACAGTCGCTTCGCGATGACGCCGTACTCGCCGAAGTCCTTCGCCGATCCGAAGAGGAGCACCGCATGCAAGAGGAACGACGTCGTCGCGAGGACCGCAGGCGACAAGACAGCGTGGGCGGCTCCTCAGACACCGTCCGACCGAATGTGTACGCCCAGTCTTCCGCGTCCGCGTCGTCAGCCTCCACGGCCTCTCCCCGTCCCATCCCCAACCCTGGCGCCTCCGTCCACCAGAATCCTCCGCTTTCAGGGGATCGCAACAGCACCGCTTCATCGTCCAGCTTCAGCAGCTCCAACAGTCATTACTCCTTCGGATCCACCCGCTCGAACTCCAGCGGCTACACCAGCGCGGCATCTTCTACCCGTGCCCCTCCCACTCCTTCCACTCCAATCCCCGGGGCAACAAGCTCAGCCTCGAAAGGTTGGAGACCATCGCCAGTCTCGCCCTCGCCTTCGCCTTCCACCCCCACCCCGACACGCTCCTCCTCCGGTGCTTTCCACACCGCGTACGGCGGCAGCGCATACACCCAGTCCTCAGCAGGCCCCACTCGCGGCTCTTCCTTCGCCGCCTCCTCCCCTCTCGACGAGCAGGAGTGGACGCGCCGCCAAGAGGAGCATGCTCGTCGACAGTTCGAGCAGTTCCAACGCGAGCAGGAGGCCAAGGCGCGCGAGCAGGGCCAGAAGACCGCGCGGCAGATGACGAAGGAGGACGTCGTGCGCCTGTTCGACGAGCACGAGAAGCGGTGGGCGCGCCTGCCCACGCTCGACATCCTCAGCTGGCACTCCTTCCCGTGGCCGATGCTCACCCAGCCGAACGATCCCGAAGCGCTGACGTACGTCGGCGTGCAGGCGTACGTGCTCTCGCCGCACTGGCCGGGCGAGAAGACACAGAAGGAGCGGATCAAGGACCTGCTCCGGAAGTGGCACCCGGACCGGTTCGAGACCAAGCTCCTGCCCAAGGTGCGCGAGGAGGAGCGGGAGCAGGTGCAGGAGGGCGCCGGCGCCGTCGCGCGCCACCTTGGGAAGCTGCTCAGCAGCCTGGCGATCAGCGCCGAGAACGGCCTCTTCGGTTGATGTGTACGAGGTGAGCCGCGTTTCCGTCCGCGTCCGAGGGCTCGGTGCTGATATGAGGATGTGCAGGCGCAGTCCGTTTCCGTCCTGGCAGAATCAAGGATCAATTGTAGTTGGATACCCCCACTCATCCACTGTACGAATACATAGCTCAATCATCACGGCCGCGCAATACCATACTCACCGAACTGTACAACGGCATCCTGGACGCATCTGCAGCAGTAGGGACCTGGGCATCGTAACATTTATCTCATGTATGGTATAGAAGAACACCTATGTATGCACTTACCTCCTTTCTTGTTTGTCTCTCCAATCTATTCCCCTGGGCAGTGTTTCCGAGTCGCCTTCCATCGTGCTTGTCTTGTGGCCGACCGTTCATGCGCCATAGACTGGGCTAGAAGTACTCCGAAGCCTTGACTTTAACTGGGTTTGGTTCACGGCTTCCAGTCGTCCTGCGTCCGAGACACACACACACACACTCATGTCCAGACATGAATGCTGTAGTCCAAGACAGAACGCACAGAGGGACATCGCTCGACCCGACGCAGACCCACCCGGCGCCCCTGTGCCTCCGACCTGAACGAGCACGGCCTCAGCCCCTAGGTCGACGGCAGTGGCGACGACAGCGCCGAAGGTGGAGGTGGTGGTCCGAGACAGAGAGAGATGAATGCACGCAGCAGGCCCCGAGCCGATCCTATGTAGGCCGCCGACATCGAATGTCGACCGCCCACCATGTCGGGATTCCGACGACAGTGGCACTCGCTCGATCGGGCGACGAGCGAGACGGAGGCCGGCCTGCGAGACACAGCCCGGCGGCGCGGTCAAAAGCCCGGCGCTGGGCAGAACAGTCGTCGAGCCTGTAGGACTCCGAGGCTCGAGCGCACCTAGTACACGTCCTTTCCTTCGGACGCGGGGGGCAGAGATTCGCCAGGATCCCGACCGAAACGGCGGTCGGCGGCGCGCGGTGCTCGGAAGTCGAGTGCACACGTCGTCCGTCGCCAGTGCACGACCCAGACGGCCGGGAGCTCCTGTACTCGGAAGGCTCCCATATGCCGGACTGGGGCCCCGTCGGACGGCGTCGAGCAGCGGCAGCGCGCACGGGGTGGAGCGGGCCTCAGCTTCTAGCGCGATGGCGAGCGCGAGGGATGCGCGCGCGCGAAGCCTGGCGGCGGAGGACGCACCGTGCGCGCGACGGATGGACGTAGGGGGCTGTCGTGTTCCCGCACGACAGCCCCCGACGAACACGCGAAACGCGGGGGGGGTCCCAGGACCCACGTCCCGTGCGCGTGGACGCGCAGATCGGGGCTCGCGCGGGCCGCGGTTGGGAATGCGGGGTGAAAGGGCCGGCTTTCGGGTGGCTGCGGAGAAGAGGTGCGGGTTAATAGACGTTTAGGCTGTGTAGTACTAGGCTTACTTCTGCTGAAGTCCTGCGTACTGAGGCTCTCACGTTGCGCTACGCCCCGGCTTCGCCAGCTTTCACGCACGTGTCTTATCATTGTCTGCTGCGAAGTGCATCCGACCGTCCTACAATGTGGTATATGTGCTGCGGGCAGACTGATCAAGAACCCGTTTACTCACCCATGACCACCGAACCGGTCATTCAGTGGCAGAGCCTCGCGGCCGCCAGGTTTCTCCGTCGAAGAACGTCACGAATATGTCATGGTGGGCGAGATGACTCTCAAGTTACGCGCGCGCGGCGGGCACAGCGACGCCGACCGGGTGGGCGCGTCGCGCACGGATCAGGGTACGGGTGGCGGGCCGGGGCTGTTGAACAAGGGGTTTGTGCGTGAGCGTGGACGTCAACAGCACCTACGAACGCCTAAGAGGATGGATCAGACATTGCAAGTTACCTACTTGTATGAATCTGCAGGCACGCAGGCGCCCATATCAGTGAAGGTCGCACCACCGTCGACGCCCAAAGCTTTGATACCTGCTGTTAAACAGCTCGTTCTAGGTCAGCGGGTACAGCCCGGCGCTCAGCGCTGCTTGTGGTCAGGACGCCCTGGTGAAGTCTTACCGGAACACTGATCCCGGACTGGCGCCGTGTCCCAGGTTTTGCCTCGGAACGAGCGGGAGGCTACGGTCGCGCTACTGGCCGCAGTCTACTAAGCGAAGCATGGTCCACGTGTAAACACCCGGGATCGCGCGCGAGCGACCGCTCTCATCTCGTCGTCGCTACGGCTCGCGCGAGGTGGAGCGATTGCAGCCGTCGATGAATGCGAACTGCCCACGACGTATGCGGGGGGCGGCCGGGGTGCTTGGGGAGGCGAGTCCGCGCGGCACCCTGGGTTTCGTCCAGAGGGAGCCATGGATGCGTACGCGTGGGCAGCACGGCAAACTTCGACTCACCGCGTCCCCGTCTGCGCGTGCGGTTTCTGAGGCTTGCAAAGTCGACGGACGCGCGAAGTCTTGAGGACATTTCAGTAGCACCGCGGCTCGCGCGCACCCTCGCGCACCCCAATCGATCGCAGGCTCGCTCGAGAGACTAGGGACGGAGCTGATTGGTGGGCAAAAACAACGATGGATGGCGGGGGCCGTACTAGTACGTGCCACCGATATTTGTAGAAATCGAGTGGACCATTGAATATTGAATATTGAATATTGAATGTCCCCCCGCGCGACTCGAGCGCCTACACTCCCGCCCCGGTTTCACTCGGTTTCAATTTTCAGGCAGTTCCAGTCGCCCGCTACGCACACTAGCTCCATCTCCCTGCGCGGAGGCAACCGACGGGTCGTGAGACCATGATGATGCAGGGCCCCGTCGGCGATGGGCATGATTGGCTGACGTCAGCCTCTCCCCTCACCCTCCCGCGAGCCGTTTCGATCTGCGACGTTCGGGTCGAGGGCGGCGTGTGCCTCACCAACAGCGCGTTACGCAGGGGCGGGGCTTCCGCGCCGTTCGCACCGGGCCCGTGGCGCGCGCAACGCGCACATCATGAAAGGCGGGGCACTGTAGTGGGAATAGCTTGAAGTCAACTAGCCTGAAGCCAAACCCTCATCAGCCGTTCCTGAATGATCTCCCCCTCCACACCAAGTCAAACACAGCACGCTCCCCAGTCTCACTTTGATGCAGAGCGAAACGACATCACGCAGCAGACAGAGAGACGATGGTCCGGGGGGGACGAAAGAACGTGTTGCAAGCGCGCGTTGCGTGCGCGCGGTCTATGTGGGGTGGTCCAGGATTAGATACAGCATATTTACAGCGGCAGTGATGGCTACAGTAGTGTTCCGCGAACCCACGGCTTTATACGTGCCGCGCCGGGGCCAGGGACGCGAACGGCAGGTGGGCCGCTCGGGAGACGGCGGGCGGGCGAGAGAATGAGAGAGATGCGCACGGACTGCACAGAGGAGCGAATATGGCGGGAGTAATGGGGAGGGGAGGGGGAGTGTTCATGGAGAAGCAAGCGGATGCGGGATGAGAGATGAGGAGAAAACGACAGCAAGGATGGAGAGCGAACAGATACAGAGACGCGGGCCGGGGCGCAGTCCTTGAGCCGTGGAACCGAGTGAGCTAGGGAATGCAAGGTGAATGTGAGAGGGTGGGGAGACAGTGAGCAGTCAACGCGCGGAACCCAGGAGCAGACGAGAGAAATCCTAAACGAGCGTGCTACAGGGGCACTACTGTGCGCCGCGCGGGGTCCAAAGTCGTTAACGAGCGTGTCATATGGCGGGGGTGGCGGCATAGATTGAGAGCTAAGGGATAAGGAGCGGATGTGATGTCGGGTGGGCTGCGTTGATAGGCGGTTTTGGCGAAGAGATGATGCATATGCAACAGCGGAGGCACTCATGATTCCACGGTCGGTGTGCCGAGGCATTTATGAGATGTAATACCAAGCGAGGTTGACGCGGCCGACGTCCTTGATGACGACTTGCGCCTGGACACGGCAAACCTGCGGAAGGACCAGAAAGGGGACGGTTAGCGCTGGTGCGAAAATCGGACGGGGACCGGCTAACGCACCATGTCTGCCGTCTCCCAGTCCTTCCAATACACGTGTAGGCTCCCGTCGTCCTTCGTCTCGATTTTCCGCACGGCCCAAAGCTCTCGCACCACTTCACCACGTTGTGGACCCGTCTCCGCTGCTCGGCCTGCAAGTGCCGGTCGTCCGATAGTGATGCTGACATGGATGACACCGAGCGCGACGAGTGCATGTCGAGCGGCGTCCCGCTGATGACAAGCTTCTTCTTGCGCCGACGTTGACGACCGGTGAGTGACGCGAAGAAAGATTGCGGGCGAGGCGCAGGGACGAGGAAGGAGGGCGACGGTGTACTTGGCGAGGGGAGAGGGAGCGTGGGGCGAGGGGGAGAGCCGGGCGACATTGGTCGCTCGGGGATGTCCAGGTGGAGAGGTTCATGAAGCGCGGGGAGCGGTGGGGGCGCGGCGCGAGTTCGGGGAGGAGAAGGGGGGACTCGGGCTCGTAGAACGGGTTTTGCGCAAACACCGGAGAACCGTCGACGGAGAGGTCCTCAGGAACGCACGACGGGGAAGTGACCGCGAAGGGGTCGAAGGAGTCTGCAAGCCGATCGACGGGGGTGGACAGCATCGAGACGGTGGACCCGGTGGAAGAGTCGGAGGACACCAACGACGGCGTTATGGAAATCTTGGTAGGCATCGTGAAGGAAGGTCGTGAGCTGGTGGATGAAGAGCCGTCGTGGGAGTCGACTCGGCGGATGTCGAGGACGTCGGAGGAGCCGCGGGGAGTGTTTGGAGGGGGGAGCGGTTTGGAGATCGAGGTCGTGCGGGAGCGACCGGCTATTAAGCTCAAGAAACGGTCTCGCTTCTTGGCCTTGCTAGCCGGAAATGATGACGCATCATCAAGGGACACCTGAGTGATGCGGGGGTGGGAGGCAACGGAATCAATAGACCAGCGAGACGCCGGCTCAGATTCACCTTCCGCGGCGCTGTTCTGTGGCGCGATAGGCGGGGACTGCCCGAGTTCGACCGCTGTCGCTGCGCACATAGGCGAAGGAAGCAGCATGGCCGCGACGGAGAACGAGGGAGAAGGCATGGACGCAAGCTCGGCCAGGTGGCGAAGCTGTGGCGATGACGCCGATGTCGAGAGCGAAGGAAGGCTGGGTCGGTCCTTGCGCGTCGGACTGGAGCACATCGGGCGAGAGTCGGGACAGCCCGCAGTCGCGCTACTGCTCCGGAGGCGGCCGGTGGGCTTTGGAACGGGGATGTCCTGCACGGGGTCGGTGAGGTAGACGGCGGTCCTCTTCTCGGCTTCGCTTTCGCGCTCTTCAAGGAGGGAAAGGGTGGATGAGATAGAAGGGTAAGTCGCGTGCCGGGTGTTGGTTGAGCGCGAGGCGGGGGGGCTTCCGGTGAGCGAGAGGCGGGAAGTGCGCGGCTTCGGGCTTGAATAGACGGGGGATGGTGGCATGGGTGGGGAAGATCGACCGCTGGCGGCGGCGCGGAGAGCCATGGGCGGGCTCGAGACCGATGTCCGTATTGAGCGGGCGGCGGGAGAGGGGGGCGGGACTATCGGCAGACTGGGCCGCGAGCGCAGACTGCGCGGCAGAGTGGGCAGTGGCTGGAGGAAGATCCATCAGCGGGGGTCCAGAGGAAGAGAGCTGCCCGTCCGTGGACCGGGCGAAAGGCCCAGACCGCGCCGCAGTGTGGGGACGCGCTAGCCTTTGCAGGTCAAAGCCGCGCGCCCGGAAGTCGCCGGACGCCACCACGAGGCAATACCAAAGCGGCAGGTGGGCGGACCGAGCGGCGCCGGCCCTGGAAGCCAAAACTTTGGCAGCCAGGCGTGCGATCGCCCGCTCGGCGACTCCCTCCCGCCCGCCGGCCTCGTCCACCGCGCCCCCACCCATCCCGCCGCTCGCGTGACGCGTCCCCCACGCCGGATCGGGCGCGTTCGGAGACGGCGGCGCGCGATGGCCAAGGGGCGACGCGTCGAGGGCCCCCGCCCGACACGAACCAATGAACTCAACATACCTTGTCCGTCTCCATTCTTGGCGAGGGCAGTAGACTCTGCGTACGCGATCGAGGCGTCGAGGGCGTCGACTGGCGAGTTGAGAAGAGCGACGGGTCGTACAAGTGCGCGGCACACGCTTCCTCGTCCTCCTCGACTGTGGTTTGTGCGAGAGCATGTGAGCGCCCGGAGGGACATCCAGCTGGGAGCGCGACGCACCATCGAAGAGGTCCGGGATGGAAGCGAGGGAGTCGGTCGCCTTCTCGTCTGGCCAACCGTACCCCGAGTCGACCCAGCGTGCGGTGTCGTAGGCGGGGTAGCTGTCCGAAAAGTGCGCGTCATCGTCGCCGTAGCCGAGCTGCTGGAGGAGTTCGAGCTTCGCGTCGAGCTCGCGCGGGGACGCGACGAATGCCGACCTCGTGAGGGCGGACTGCATGGCGAAGGGGGACTGCGTGGCAAGACAGAAAGAGTTGAGGGGGCGAGGCAGGAGTGATGTCGGAAGACATACCTGTAGCGCGTCGAGCGCGTGGCCGATGAGGTAAATGTTATGCTGCTTGCAGGTGACCGCACGCGCGCTTGAGCGGAGAGAGCAAGCGAGGACAGGAGGGTGTGGATGGGAGATGGGCAGGTGCGGACCGGGAGAGGGGCAGGCTGCGGATGGGCGTCGGGCGTCGGGCGTCGGGGGGTGAGAAGGGGAGGAGGATCACGGAGAGAGCGAGCGGAGGAAGGGTATTTGAGCGCAGGAGAGGAAGCGAGAGCGGAGTCGGGCGCCTGTGACAGGGTTTGATCGCGAAAGTGGAGAAGGGGGCGCCCGACGGACTGTTCTGCGGCCAGCCACGGCGGAAATCTGGCAGCCGACTTGGCCGCCTCCGATCAAGACCCGCGCCGCCGGCCGCCCATCTTTTCGCCCGCCCCGATTTCCGTCCGCCGTTCTCGTCCAGCACGGTCCCCGGCGGCAGACCCTCTTCCCTGCTCGTCCACCCTCGGATCTCCCCCGCCGCTCTGCGCAGTATATCCTACTCTCTCCACTTCACTTCTCGTGTCATATGACGAATCCTAGATCGCGGCGCACCTCGTCGCGACAGCGTCCACAGGAGGCCTCGCAGGACCGAAGGACGATCGCGGTCTCCTGTCTCAGCCTTCCGTCTACTGCAGCTGCCCAGATCCCGGCTCGTCTCTGTGTCCCTAGGATGCGCCCGTCGCACGGTATTCGTCATACGTTCTTCCCCGCCTCACACATCTGTGGCTCGCCCTCTCAACCCCCCTGGCTCTCAGAATTAATATCCGTTCTCGCATCCTGCAGGCCTCCTTCTCAGTGTGTGCCCCCGAGTCCCCGCGGTCGTTCGTACAACCAGTACTGCACCCGATTCCGATCAGTGCTGCCGGTGGGCCCAGCTCTGCCCAGCTCCTGCATACCCGTCGCCTGGAAGCGGCGCGAGCACCCAGCACCGTACTTACCGCCGCCGCAGCAGCTGGGGTTTGGTGTTCGTGATAATACAGGGCGCGCACGTCCGGAGGCGCTTCCAGTCAAACCACAATCCCCGATCCAGCACCATTTCTGTCCAAACGTTCGCCACGGCTCGTCCACTGTTCACTGCGCACTACCACCCCGCACCGAGCCGGCGGGCGTGGGCACTTGAGCCAGTGCGCGTACGTACGGCGAGACGGGTTCGCAGAACGAACTCAGTCGTCGGGCCCGCCGCAGGCCAGCTCTGCTCGATGCGTATGCGCTTCTCGCGACCGCCGGGTGCCCACACGTTCTCACCCCGCGCCAACCCCGCGGTCATTCGCAGCTGGGAGAGGACAGAACGAGCGATGGCCAGAGAACGCCGGGCGTCCGCGATGGCCTCGGCGCTGGGCTACCATCTTCGGCTGGGGGCCTTCGGTGAAGGCTCCGTCGTCTCGGGCGCACGCAGCCAGCACTTGCGAAGGCGTACGTACGGCCGCCACGGACTCCACGTTCGTCGCACCCCTTCGACCGGTGCCTCTCCCTGGCTGGGCGGCCTCGCAGGTGCGCCGTTCGTGCGCCTCTACCGACGCCCCGAGAGGTTCATTGTGCGGGGCCGCCGACGACGTCGACGTCGGCATCATCGAACGTCTTCTCTGCACTCGCGCCGGACGGGTCGCATGGTGGCCCTTGAGGGGCCTGCAGCGTGCGCACTGTCGTCCCCGCTCTATGCACCGAGGTTTCTCTGTTTCGTCTCGGCCGTTCGGCCGCAACATTGAACGCTCGAACCCCGCGGCGGGTGCGCGGAGATCTGTTCGCGCTCGACACCCCGCTGCCAATCTTCGTCGATGCAGGCCCGGGCTGGACCACCGGACGCTCGAAAGCGCGGTGCTCACCACCCACGGCTGCGACAAGTGGCAGATAGGCACGGCGCCGACGGACGCAGGCACCGGGGAGTGTGTAGCAACAACGCGCACCCAATCAGCCACGGCGCGGGCCCTCTGTCCCCCCTCTGCGCGATGCTTGTTCGCCCACGAGGCGTAGAAAGCCGTCGGGGCGCGCGGGGAGACTGTGCGCCTCTGCTTACATGCCGCACGCCAGGGCCGTCGCCAGGGCTGAAGCGTTGACGAGAGCCATGGGCCGCACAGCGGGAGATGATCGTCTGGCTGCGCGCTGTGTCCACTTCCGCCGCGCAGGTACGGCGGGGTCGCGCGCTGACCGGCCGTCTGACTGCGTTCGCGCACCCTTCCTGCCGCTAGAGTACTGCCGCACCCGCGCGTTTCCCGTGCCTGGTCGACCGCGCCGCGCGAGCAGTCCGGACGGAGGCGGGGCAACGACGCTGCCCTCGGCGGGAAGCCAGGCGCGCGGGAGCGATCGCGCGCCAGAAACGTGGGGGCGTGCGCCTCGCGCCTCCCCGTGCCGCGGAGGCCGAGCCCCCATTGGGTCCTTCACCCGCCTCGCCCTCTCCCGCTTCGTTTTCCGGCCAAGCTGCACGTCGAGCTTCTGCCTTAATGGGCCGCGGGCTTTGCGCGCGCGCGCGGCCCCCACAACTTCTCGTTCTCGTTCTCCGCCCATCATCGAATCGATGGCCTCTTCGCACGCGTACGGACGGGCGGGCCCGTGCGCCCGTCACGCGCACGAGCGTACGCACGCCCCGGGGCGGGTTCTGCCCGCTTCGCCCGCGGCTTCCGTCTCTCGACCTGCGCCGTCTGGTGCGCGTGGCACACGGCGCGGGGACTACACGCGGCGCGCGCTTCGCCGCCGCCAGAAGCCGGAATCAGATTCAGAGGCGACTCTCGACCCTCCAGATCTCCCGCGCGTGCGCGTGCACGACGCGGAGGGGCAACCCGTCTGGACTCTCGCTGCACACGCGACATACCCGCGCCGCGTGGTCGAGCCCTCGGGGAAAGGCTCCGCAACCCGTCGCCGCCGCCGGTGTCCGGTGGGCGCCACGGTTCGACGTTCGACGTTCGACGCTCGCCGTTCGCCGTTTCCACCGTCCAGCTCGTCCGCGCAGATCTAGAAAGGCTCGGGATGGGACAGCCCGCGGGCGGGGCTCGCTCTCGCGCCCCGCGTGGCCGGCTTCCGATCTCGCGCGCGTGTCGTGCCTCTGCACTGGCGGCGGCGGGATCGACCCCGCGCAAGCACTGTGGGGGCGGCGCCGGCGGGGGACGGCGGGCGGGACGTGCCGATCGATCCCGTCCAAGTCTAATCAGTCTATTCGACAGCCGCAGAGCCGTGGCCGCACACGGGGGTCCGCGCGAGCTCTGTCGGCCTTCATCGGCATCCAGTACAGCCCACATCCTCCTCCTCTCCGCCGGCTCCTGTCTGTTGTCCACCTCGTCCTGGGCTCCCGCCGGCGTTCGTCTTTCTAGGGTGAGTTTCACCCGCTGTGCCTGCCGTGCTAGATATCGTACAGCGCGTCTGATCAGTGCTTGTCTACTCACCGCATCATCGCCCCTGCAGCTATCGCTTTCTGACCTGCTGCATAGACGTCGGACCAGGCCCACCGGCGTCATCGAGCCTACGACGGGCCAGCTTCAAACGAGCATAGTCGCAACCAATCTTTCGAGTCCATCCTATCCGCGCTCGCTGGAATCTGATGTATTCGCCCATGCATTGCAGGTACGTTTCGCGCATCGGACTGATCCGCACCAGCTCACATCAACCGGTTAGCCAGCTCTCCGCCCCAGGGGAGGCGGAGTATCGCTCGCGTGGCTACGGATACTCACCGAACGCGGGTGCGTTAACGGATGCTCAGCTACCATCGAGTTCCGCCGCGCACGAGGTTTGTGCAAAATCCGCGTCTCACGCTTACCTTGGAACCCTTGACCTCATTGCCCCTTGCGGACAGTCCCGTTGAGAGCAAACAGAATCCGCCCATGGAACACGGCAGGGACGCGACAAATCCGACCGGCGCGACCGTCGACTCCTTCCAGCTACCTCGCAACCACCCCCTAACTCCTCTTGCGTCTTCTTCCCAGCTGTCAGGCCGTCCACCGAATCCCAGTCTGAACAGCAGCTAGCCAGCGATGGCCATCCCACTTCCCTCGGCCACACACAACCGCCCGCAACTTGCTGTCCGGGACCCACGGTTTTGACGACACCGTGGGTCCCCCCAGCGTCCGCCGCCCACCGCCCACCGCCAGTCTTCCGCATCCAGTCGACGGCCTGTCTCACAGCGGTCGACGCACGCCAATCCAGACGTCCGCGATGCCCGTCTCCCCTCGGTGCCGCGGCGTCCGCCCTCCTCGCCGGAAAAGCCACCCTAAACGCATCGCTACCGAGCGCGACGGATTCCCACGCACGTGCGTGCAGCATCCCAGGTGGGTTTCGTATGCAAGTCCTCGTCGTCGACCTTGTCGGCCTGCGGGCGGCTGGTGGTGACGTCACTGTGGCTGCCCGGTACCGCCGACCGCCCACGGCGCTCCGTCACGACGGGCGACGTGTCCCGGCTCCTGAGACGGTGGCCTCCCTCGCGGCGTCCGTCTGCTCTACTCTACGGCGCGCTGACAGGATACATACCGCTGCGCGAACCCCGCACTGGTCTCCTGGTCGCCGACGAGCGAGCGTGAAAGCATCGCGGGAGCTGCGCATGTGCTCCGGCCTGCATACTTATAGTCTAGTGGCTGCTGGCGACAGACGGCAAACATTCCTCTGTCTAATCTCCCGGTTACTATCTTTCAGTCGGTCATCATCCCGTCCTCCTCACAGACTACTCGCGCCCACAGGATCAAGGGCGGGCACGTGTATCAAAAAGTCGCAGCGCACGTGCTGGAAGACCGACACTGTGCCGTGATTATTGCAAAGTCTTGACCCCTTGGAGGAAGTCCGGCCTCCGCGGTATGTCATATCTTTATTCTCAGACCGCTCGTAAGCTGCTCAGCCTTCACGGCCTGGCGTTGGCACTGACATACGGCGGGGAACGCCTTCCGCCGGCCTAACCGGATCGCGTTCTCAGCAAACAGTCGTCCGGAATCTGGACGCAAGTCCTGACCAAAATCCTCGCGGTCCTCGGGGGCCCAACCTTTCCCACAAAACCTGGTCGTCAGCATTTCCAGTCGGACGCTGCGCGGCGCCAGAGGAAGCCGCTGTCATTTTGTCAGTATTCTCTGCCCAGGACGAGGATTCGCAGCCCCACCTCCACGCTGGACGAGCAGAGCGCGGCCCCGTTCCCTGCGATCTTCTCGTCCGGTGTGCGTTCGATTCGCGAATGAACGCGAGACATGCACCACCTCCTCTGGCGTACGCACGGAAGCGCGGCGCGGGCGCTGTTACGCTCTACCCCCTTGGCCCCGCACCTTTTCGCGTACGGGGCTGTGCGCGCCAAGTTCGCCCTCGACGCGCGCTCAGACATTTCGTCTTTCTGCAGCCCCGTGCGCGAGCGCATTCGCGCCTCCAGTGCGGCGACAGTGCGCTTCAAATCCCTCAGCCCTCGGAGTAGTTGACCGCCCCGTTCCAGTCTAGTCCGACGCCGCACGTCGCCTCGCTCCGCATCTGGTGGCGCGCCGCCGGGCGTGTCGAGGCGCACTCGCGCCCCATTCAGGTCGCGGCGGCAGCACCCTGCACTTAATCCCGCGGGATGCGCGATCGACGGCGCGGCTCGCAGCCCGTGTCCGTCGCGATTCGCTCGCCGCGACCCGGAAGGGGCAAGGGGGCCGCACGCACGCACGCACCGCCCGTCGCTCCTTCGCGCAGTCCGCGGCCGCCGGTGGGACGATTCCCGCTCGCGATGCCGTGCGTCTCCCGTGCGTGCTCTGCGCTCGCGCGCGCACGTCCTCGCGCCGCTCTACGGCCGAGTGCGCGCGCGCGACGCGCAGCGTACTTGCTGCGAAGGCCGTGCTGCCTCCCGCTCTGCGCGTCGATGGCGCGTTCGACGGGATCCGAGCCATGGGTCGCGCGCGCGTACAGCCGACGCCGGCGATCTAAGCGACGGCCTCGAGGCCCGCCAGCGCCGACCGGACATTGGCCTGGGAGAATACTGGTTTGCGGGTGGATCACCGGTTCACCAGTGGACGTCTGCACACTTGTCGAACGTTGATCTACAGGCCCCGGGGCGAGCTCGCTAGCCAGCGTCGTCGACATCACAGATTTGCAGCGCACGGTTACCACTGCTCCTCGTGAACGCCGAATGCTCGACATCCGACGTCCCCAAGGTCTCACCAGCTCCTCACCGACACCAGCGCCATCCCGCCATCCCGCCAGCGACCTCTCCCATCTTCCGTGGCCCCCAAAACCCGCCGGGCGCTGCAGAAATCGGGCGGGGGCGGGCGGCGGGGGCGGCGATCAAGCTCAAGTCGAAATTGGACTCGAAGTGCGACGGTCGAGCTTCGATGTCGGCACGCGGCGGGGAGCGTCCACCGCACGTGAGCGCGCGCTCTGCACCGACTCGGGGCTTCTGCTTACACGATTTAAACTCAAGCATCCGCTCTAGTGCGCTCCGAGGGCTCCCTTTGTCGTCGTCGTGCGGGAGTCGAGGCGGCAACGGCCCCCGGCGGCTCCTTTAAACCTGGAGCTTGAGCGGCGGGGTGGGACCGTCGTCCGTTCGATCGAAGCGCGGAGGTATCGGTCGTCGCTGCTCGTGCGTGTCGACCGCGGATCTGGGAGCTGGGACTGTGTATTGGAGTTGGATCCACGCCGCCGGTGCGCTTCATGTGAATTTCCGTGTGGGATCGACGACGGACGACGACCCCGCCTACTGCCGGCGTGTGCCTGTCGTCTCGGAGAGTATGCGGCCAAGCGTGCGAGCTGGACGCGAAGTCGACAATACACGCTCGCACACCCGTCTGGTGAATGTGCGCCCAGCCGAGGCCCATGGATCGGCGAGGTTGATGTCGCCAGCGGGTACGCGGAGACTGGTGGGTGCCAGAAAGTGGCAGAGGGACTCGAAATCGTCCTTCTGGCGCGGGCGAGTAGCAAAACGTTAACGCTTGCAATACGGGCAGGGATTCCGGAGGCGGCGACCTGCGGCGACGTACGTCGACCGCCGCGCCGCGCGAGCTGTCGTCCCGGTTTGCGCGCGAACGAGGCCAACCGCTCTCGTCACCACGTGTAGTTCCTGAGCAGAGAGGCAGTAATCTAGGGTCTTTGGGGCCGCACGTTCATCTCCGGTCCTTCAAATTGGCATTCCCCGCTTCAGCACAGACTAGAGGTGTACAGCATCCCCATGGTGCGAGAGCAGCGCTCGCCGTTCGGACGCTCTCAGCAGCGTTTGGAGACCGAGGCCTAAGGCCTAAGGGCCAGAATAGCCGGGCGCGATTTATGTTCTTGAATGCCGATGTATATAGTGACGAAGCGCTCGCGTGTGGGTATATACAGCTGGATCCGCGGACACAGCTGAGTGATATCCTTTGCTGCATTGCGTCAGGGGTGTCTGGTAGAGCAAGCTGGGAAGAAATTGAGTGACGCACGCCGAGAGGAAGACCAACGCTTCGGATGAGCGGCACTTCACGGGGGCGAGAGCAGCAGCCCTTTGGCACACACATGAGTTTAGCGCGACAGATTGCACTCGGGCCGACTGCAAGGCAGTGAGGAGTGTGATCCCTTGGCGGTGGTGCTCGGCAATTCATGGGAGCAGGCGGCGGCAAGGCAGAGACACCAAAGAGCGTAAGAAGAGGGTTAGAGAAGCAAAGAGCTAGCACCGGGACCAGGCCGCAATATGAGGGTGAGCGAACGGGGCCAGGTGGGTGGAGGTGCTGGTCAGAGAGGCAGAGACGGGGAAGACGGCGAGTGCGGGCCGAGTACGGCACGTGAATTGGGCACTCCACTCCGAAAGTCGCCCAGCCCGAGCAGCGACGACGGCCTCGCTTTCCTGTCTGTCCACCGCTGCATCCACACCCCTCCCCGCCTCCCACCTCCCACCGTCTCCGGCTAGTCCTCCACGATCGCACACGTTTTCCGCCACGTGTGACAACCGCGATTGCCGTGCTTCAAATACACACCCTCCCTCCTCCCGTACCCTCCCTCCTCTCAGCCATCCTGCAACGTGTAGTCGACGCGACAGAAGGCTTTCAAATTTCCGGGACACGCTAACGCATTGTGTGTCGAGCCATACTCTGGCCTGGTCAGTGTCTCCGTCTTGCACATATTTCCGCATCCTCATCCCTCCCACGCCGCGTTCTGTTCGCCACATATACAATCGTCCACTGACTCCATTTAGGTCTTGAACTCTGCACACAACATGCACACGCCTCCTGCGAATGAGTTCGGCGTGGTCTACATTATCGAGAATGCCCAGCAATTTTGGTCAGGCACGTTGATATCCTTTGCCTCAAAAATGGTTCCCTTCTGATTAGTATTCATAGAGCTCGAAGACATGCTTCGTCTTCCCGACAAGCCTTTGCTTTCACAACTTGACGGGGCTTTGCGTCAGTTCATCACCTTCTGCGCCGTATACCATGGTCAGTTGATGCGCATATACCCACTTGAAATCTCGTTTCTAACTTTGCATCCCGATCCCACTTAGAACAATATTTGCAGAGCCCCCTGCAAATAGACCACGCCTGCAACACGATCCTTTCCTCGGAGCTGTTTTCTTTCCATTCGGAACGGATGTGTGAGCTCATGGTTGAGGACGCGCAGACGGTACGTGCCTGTCCCGTTCTTTCGACGCGTAAATATCTCATCTCCTCGTCCCCCGTGCTTTTGGTTCCACACCCCAACAGAACACAGATCCCATTACGAGATGATTCTGTATTGCGTCATGCTAGCATTCGGTCGTCGGAGTGCAGTCTTCCTCCGCTCCCAGAAACGTTGGCACACCCTCTTGCCCCTTCTCATGGACCACGTTCGCTCAGAAGTCGACCCGGAGATCGACGCCCACTACTACGGTGCCTCTTCAGGGACGGGCTCAGGTGCGACGCGTTCAGCAGTCGTCCCCATTGAAGCAAAGCTTCGGTCATTATCAGTACGGCTCCTATACGAGGTATGCCGCGTCCAGAAGATGTCGTGCAAGACCTTCGTACGTCCATTGCATTCTTGTTGCGCGGTGGGCTCATGCAGCGTGGTTAGGTATGTTCGATGACGCGTTTATGGACCATTTGTTCGATCTGGTAGAGCAAACTCGTGACATGGACGAGAGTCGTTCAACTATTCCGTCATCAAGCTCATAGTAGGTGCCGAATGGTGCCATTTCGATTCCGTGTGACATGCCATCAGGTCGCTTTGAACGAGCAGTTCATGGTCGCGTCACTCCAACCACACACACCGCAACCGCACGTCAATGGCTTCGCGCAGCAGCAAGAGAGCTCGAAAAGACCTGAATCAACGAATCGCGTGTTGCGGATCCTCATGTCTCGTGCCTCATCCAGTCCTACTTTTGGAGAGAACTTAATCTTCATGCTCAACCGGGCCGATCGATCACCAGAGGACCAATGTATGCAGCTGCTCGTGCTCAAGCTGTTGTATTTGCTTTTCACCACGAAAGGGATGTCCGAGTTCTTCTACACCAACGACCTTTGCGTCCTCGTAGATGTCTTCCTGCGGGAGATCGGGGACATCGACGAGGAGAATGAATCCGTAAGTGCATCAATACTTTTCGCTTCGATCAATATTAAGCTTTTCGGCCCGTTTTTTCTAGTTACGGCACACGTACCTGCGCGTGCTCCATCCTTTGCTCACGAAGACCCAACTGCGCGGTATGCCCTATAAGCGTCCACAGATAGTCCGTCTCCTCGAGTGTCTCATCGAGAACGAATCCATCCGGGACGTCGACCCCACCACCAAGCGCCTGGTCTCGCGATGCATGAGCGGGGAGTGGTGCGTGCAATTCCGCAAAGACGCCCCTTCGACGTCCTTCGCGGCGGATCCTCGCAATACACCATCTACGAAGAAGATATTAAGCGTGGTGACAGTCCAGGCCTCGATGCCGTCTCGGTCGCCTCTGCGCCAGATTCGGCAAACGCGGTATCTGGTGCGCCGAAGCCTCAGCTTGGACGGATGGACTCCGTGCGCGGGAAGCTCGCGAAGGCCAGCAGGAGTGCAGAGCATCTCCCCCTTCCGTCACCCACTACAACGAAGCCCCGCACTGTATCCAGTCAACATACCTCATACGCCGCGAGTGATCACACCGCACCGCCATCTACGTCCAATCATCACCACACGCGGAAGGGACCAGGCCCATTGTCTGTTCCCCCACGCCTCGCGAGCGGGGACAGCGCGTCAAGCCTCCCGCACGTTGCCGCCGCCGCACCGAGCACGCACAACAAGCCACGCTTCCGCGCGGGCTCGTTCAACGTCGACGCCACGACGCCCTCGTTCTCCGCGCTCTCGCTCGACGACCAGCCCACGCCACGCGCCGCTCGGCGCCGCTCCCGCATGCGCACGTTCTCGACGGCCCACTCTCCGCCGAGCCCGAAGGCCTGCCATCCTCGTCTTCGTCCTACCACCCCCACTCCCCTTCCTCTTTTTCCCCCTCGCGGCGCTCGCCCCCGGAGATCCGCGTGCTCTCTCCGACGTCGCCCGCGGGCACGTCCCCAGCCCCCGGCATGGCGTCGCCGACGCTCTCGACCTCGTCGCGGAGCTCCCTCGAGTCGACGGCGGCCGGGAAGACGCGGCGTGCGCCGCCCGCGCCCCCGAGCAGAGGGCGTAGGAAGCCGCCGCCCGCGCCGGTGCGCGCGTCGGGCGTCGCGGGGATGAACGCGATCGCGGCGAGCAGCCAGCCGAACCTGCCTGCGCTGGCGGCGGGCAAGGCGTCTGCGTACTGATGGGCTGGTCCGAGGCGGACGAAGGGAGGACTTGGCTGGCACGGGTCGTCGACGTGGTCGGTCTGGTTGTATGTTGTGCGGCTTTCGCCCTGTTCTCCTTTTCGCTTCACTCTGCTCGTCCTTGCCTCGGGTGATTCCTTTTTTGTTTTCGCTTTTGTTGTCCACAATATTCTCGGCTCAACCCATCATCTTGCTCCATGGACCGCACTGGCCATGCACATGAACATTCATACTTCCTACATCGCACTCTGACTCATTCATCATGTATATTAGCGCATTTTCGGCCCATGGTTAGCTGCGTAGATGGAACTTTGAACGGCTTTTCAGTGACCGACGTGTCTGATTTCGCCGTGCGGCATCAGGGAGGACAGAGAAATGTAATCTTCGAACCTTGATGCAGTTGTCGAGATGATTGATAACCCCACTCGTCCTTATAGGCTCGACATCTTTCCTGTCTTGTACGCCTGGTCTGCGTTTGGGGCAAAAGTAGCGCACCAACTCTGTAACCTGAGGGTCCAATGGGCCTCGACATCGCCCCACGCCATCACTCGTCGACGAACCCACCGCCGACAGCCGTTATGCCATCGGAGCGTCGGGCACCGTTCTCCACGTTCCCCGTCCTTCATGCTTCTGAATCCTCCCCCTCGAGCGCGTGCGTGCTTCTCTCGCGTCCCACACGGTTCGGGGCGCGCGTGTGCTGCGTAGCAAAGGACGTCCTCGGGGCCTGGCTGACTGCGATCTTCGCCCGAGGGACATTCGAGGACGACGCTATAGGACTTCCGGGCGAAATGCGCAAGTTTATCTCATCGAGCCGGGTTCGCGCAGGATCCGGAGCGGAGGGGGGATCTCCGTCGTGATGTTCGCGTGGGGCCCCTCCGACGGCTCGCGCGCGCGGAGCGAATGTGTATTGAAGCTTCAGTCGCGGCGCGGGTATGTAGAGTACGGCAGCGGGCGTGGTACTAGGCAACGCATTTTGAATGCGCGCGCGCGTTCGGCGACGCAGCTGCACATGCCACAGAAACGCACGTCGCCGATCAGACCACCCGGCGCGAGCGCGCCCGCCCCGTTGCTGCCCGGATTCCGGACTCTCGAAGGTCCAAGGTTGAACGTTGAGCTTGAGCTTGAGCGCGCAGTCCCCCCGACGCAGCGCACATGAACTCGATCAAGTGCTTCCAGTGCAGCCCCCGAAACGAAGCCCGGTGCATATGTGCATCGAACGCACTGGCCCGCGCCCAGCTCTCGAGTCTCCGGCTGTATACGCCTCTGCTCGCCGCGCCCCGTCGGTCTAGAACGGCGCGCCCTGCGCCCACCGTGCGTTCATCTCCGCCGGCGAGGCCGCGGGATCAACGATGCCTGGGCGGCGGTGGTCCCGCACGACCACATCGACGCGTTAATGTCCTGTCGGCCACGCGCGGCGCGCCCATTTCCGACGTCGCGCGGCGGCGCGAGGCGAGCGATTCCCGTGCTGGGCCATGGGCATTGCGGATCGGGGGTCCCTGGGCGTCGTGAGTGCGTGTGGTTAGATTGCGCGCGAGGGCGGGGGAGGGGGTGGTGAGTTGCCCGGTCCGTTAGGGCGGGCAAAAATGGTCAGACGCAAATCCGACCGAGGTCTAAGGACGGCTCGTGTGAGGTATTGATCACCCGAAGTGGAGGGCAGCACGGTCAAGTAAGGGCAGGGAAATGCAATGGGTCGTGATGATCAATTAGAGGTCGTGGCTATATACATTTTATAGCGAGGTCGTAACAGAGGCAAAGTGAGAGAGCGACTGAGAGCGGACACAAAGGGACAGAAGAGCAGGAGAGCACTGCGCGACTACGTGGAGGGACCTGTACGGAAGCGTAAGAGGAGCAAGAGACTGAGAGACTACTAGGAAGGAACCCTCGTGGAAAGGCGTGCCTGCGACGGTAAGTTCATACTACATGCAAGTGTACGAGTAACAGCGACCGGGCGGAAGAGTCTATGGATGAGCGAGGAACGAGAGGACAGGACGGAGAGGTATAAATACATAACGATACGGGTATAAGAGACGATGATGACGTTGCTCCAATACATCCGGTGCGGCAGCAGAACGTGAAGTGTGGGGGAGACGAAAGTAGAGAGATATAGCGATATGAATATAGACCGAGAGTAGCGTGACGCATAGATAAACATATGTAAGAGGGAGGGGGAGAGAGAGACAGAGAGAGCAGACGACGGTGCAAGTGATACACGAAAGCGCTTCGAGGAGAGCCACAGCCAAAAGCCAAAAGCAGAGAGCCAAAGAGCAAGAAGCAGAGACACAACACCAGCGCCCTGCGCAGACACATGGCGCGAGCAACAACACAACATCCCCAACCACGTGCAAACCGGCGACGCTACTCGCGGCCTGCGAGTATGGACCCGACTGCACCATCTTCATCATACAAGGGGGGTGCGCTCACCGCCTCCAACCACTGCCCATCCGTCCACCACCGACGGCGACGGGTACAGGAGTAGCGGTAGTCTCGCGCGCCTTCTGCGCGGTGACGTACATGGCCATCACGTCTTCGACATTGGCCGCGCCCCGGCCGGATCGGTTGAGTGCTTCGGTGGCGACGTCGAGCATCGCGAACTCGTCGTCTTCGGGGGAACTGCCGGGCTGGACCATACCCGCGTTCCATCCACCTCGTGAGGGGTTAGGGAATCCAGACGGCGCACCGAAGGAGCCCGAACCGCCGAAATCGGGGAACCCTGGTGGGCTGGCGGAACTGCCACTACCGCTGAAGCTGGGGAAGCTAGGAGGACTGGCCCCCGAGGGAGCACCCCAACGAGTCCAGCCGCCACCGTCCATGCCGCGCTGCATGGCAGGGGTAGGCTCGTTACCGAACCTAGCAGGAGCGACCTTGGCCGGCGTAGGAGTGGAGCGTCCGCGCGCAGGGCTGGCGGTACGGCCGCGCTGCTCCTGTTGCTTGGGCTGCTGAGAGCTAGTCCATTGCGCCCAGGGAGAGGCGCCCGCGAGAGAGGCAAGGAGACCTCCACCACCCAAACTGCCGGGAGAGGCGTCTTCATCAAGCTCATCCTCATCGTCCTCATCTTCGCTGAGACGATCGCCGGCACGGCCGCTTTCGTCCTCGGACGAAGACCCCGCAAACCAGGCTGGGTAGTCACGACCGGCAGCTCGGCGCATTGGCGGGGGCGATGGTTCCTCAGGCGAGGGAGGTTCTGCAACCTGGCCGAGACGGCTGGGGCGGGTGGGAGCATAGGCGTTCTTACCACCCGAAGTGCGCGTTTGGATGGGGGGTGGAGACGTCCACGCACTAGCGGGGGAGGGAGTCGCAGGAGCAGTGGGTGGAGAGGGAGGCTTCGGAGGGGCGTCCACGCCGACGGCTTTCGCAGCCTTGGCTGCTTGAGCTGCCGCCCAGGGAGACAAGCCCGCAGAAAGAGTACCGGTACCTGTAGTGGTTTCATTTGAGTTTACGGCGAAATTCACCGACTTGGGTGGCGGGGGGACTCTCGAAGTCGGCGCTGGTGATGCAGAGCGCATGTTCGAGGTGGCAGCAAGCTTCGAGGCGGCACCCCAACCCGAAGCCACAGGGGTCGGCGCAGGTGTCTTCTCGACCGCAACCGGCGCAACCTTGAGAGCCGGCGTTGTTGCCTTCACGGGAGGAGTCGGAGTCGACCTGCCGGTAGCCACCGCCTTGCCTTTCTTGCCCTTCTTGGCCGCCTTGCTCCTAGAACCCGTGTCGAGGACTTCATCCACGTCAGCATCTAGCTCGGGTTCCGGCTCGGGTTCCTGTGCGAGGCCCATGTCCCAATCGAACTCCGGTCCGTTCTCGGGTACTGACGCTCCAGGGAATGCTCCAGGGGGCCGAAAAGCGACTGCTGGCGGCTTGGAAGGCGGCATAGAATCGGCCGCTTTCTTGTTGCGGTCCCCGAGGTTGCGAACGCGGAGAGCCTCGGTGATGATCGAGTCGCGGATCCCGACGATCTCGCGAGCTACCTGCTCCATTTTGACCGTGTGCGCCCGGATGAGCCAAGAACGCTCGCTTTCCGGCATGGCTTGACGAAGCGAGCGTGCCAACTCTGCATCCTTTTCGGCAGCCTGATCGTGGAATTGCCGGATAGAATTGGCGAAGGTATTGTCAATCATCTTCGAGAACTCGGCGTCAGCACCGGCAGAGGCGTCCAAAGGCGCCATGAGAATTGAGACCGGGACGGGATACGTGAGGAGACCATGGGGCTGGGCCGCGGGAGGAGAGACGGAGCGCGGGGACTTGGCTGAGGTCTGCGTGGGGGGCTGGACAGAGGAAACCTTGGCCGATGCTGGGGTGAAACCGGCCCGAGAAGGAGTCCGCGCATCTTCGAGGATCGCACCACTCGTGGAGGGCCCGCCCGAAGAGCTCTTCTGAAGGAAAATGTCAGCTAATACGAAGAGAGTGCTTATCGCAAACACGTACGACTGGCTCTTCGGGTACATCAGTGACCGATGCACTGCGCGAGAATCCCCATGAGAACCACGAGGAGGGCTGAGTGGGGGCAGGTTTGCCCTTTTGAGCAGACGCTGATTGGGCAGTCTGCTGAGCGCTCCGGGCGGCGAACGCTTTCGCAGCGTTGAGCGGTGCCTGGTCTGCTTCCACGGTCGTCCTTTCAGAGAGCGACGGGGGAGAAGGGGTGGTGAGGGTAGAGGGGTCGATGGTGTCCTCGCAGAGAAGGACTTGCTCGACTTCGAGCATCTCTTGGGGGGTCATGTCCGCCCAGTCCTCGGGCTCGAGGCCGACCTTGGCAAGGCGGGTGTTCCACTCCGCGACAGCAGCGGTTACGAACTCGCGACGGACGGAGCTGATAATGTTATCGCGGCCTTGTTCGAGAGACCTTCCCTTGACGCGTGAGTTCTTCTCTGCCTCGGCGAAGAGCTTGAGGAGATGTTGTTCGACTTCGGCCTGATGAGGCCCAACCCACTCGGCACTGAATCGGCGCCATTGGATACGAACGAGGTCGGCACGAGTCTGGACGCGGCGCTGGGCCGGGGGAGGTACGCCTTTCGGCGCAGTAGAGAAGGCGGACTTTTGGTTTAGAGGGGCGGGCGCAGGGCCGGGCTTGGGTGGCGATACGGACGGTTTCGCAGGGGGTTGGGGAGACGATCGAGGCGGCGCAGGGACAGGTTTAGGTTGGACAGAGGCTGGGATGGAGGGCGCAGCGGTCCTCGGTGGCGGGGAGACTCTGGAAGGCATCGTGGCGGGAGCGGCGGGGGCAGCAGGGGGGGAGACGGTTACTGGGGCCTTGGGTTGGGCAGAGGGCCTGGGAGCGTTGGACGCCTTCCTTCGGCGGTTCATGTTGGGCTGAGGAGTGCTGGGGAGGGGAGAAGAGGCCTGCGGACGCGGTGGGCTCGAGAAGGGGATGGGAGAGCAAGGGCGGATGGCTTCATAGAATGTAGTGGGTGGTGGTGCGGACGAGGAAGAGATTCGCCCTCGCTCTCAAAATCGTAGCTCGCGCTCGGTATCTCCCGGCTCAAGAAAAACTCCGCCTGTCCTGGATCGGGTAACATCGGCTGAGCTGGCTGTTCTTTGTCCGTCACCTCGTGGCTGCCTCGTGGCCGTTCCCCACTGCCCTGCGCTGCCTCCCATCTTCATTTCGTGCTCTGTTCGGGCTCAACCCAGTCAGCGTTGCACTGTCGACGCGCGCAATGTGTGCGGAATTACCACCACGGCAATCTCGTCTTTCGCCCGCACTATGCGGCGCTGCGGTCGTAGACACGCTCCCGCGATACGGGTTCGCTCTCGTGGCTCCGGGCTCCCAACAGCCGCACGAAACGTTGTTGTGCCCACGCCGTGGCCAGCGGGGATGTCGATGAACGACGTCGCCTGCACATGACTAGGGATCTATGACGTAGTCGCCCACTAATCTTGCCGTTCGGCCATGTGCCATCCGTAAGAGGCAGCCCCATATATACAGTGCCCGCCTGTCTCCCTCTTAATCGTGTATCCCATCTCCGCGTACGACTTTCACGCCCTCTCGTCTTCCCTCTCAACTCAAGATGGCCAAGGTTTCGTCCACAAGTGACGTCATCCTCTACTTCCTTGCCATGTGAGCCTATCCTTTCCTCGCTCCCTTCGGGAACTTATGGCGTCATGTGACCCTCGCAGCTTCATTCCACCAGCTGCCGTCTTCTTCAGTAAGTCACAGGAGAGTGCTTCATTCGAGGCGTGTATCCTCACCTGTGTCCTTCAACCAAGAGCGCGGCCTGAAGGCAGGTCAGTGGTCACAAACGCTCTGTTGAATTCCCAGCATCTGACCTTCGAGAAGACTTTTGGATCAACATCCTTCTATGGATCTTGGGTTGGATCCCGGGCGTGCTCCACGCTTGGTAGGTGACGCCGCGGCTGTGCAGGCCGCATTGCTCACACGATACGAACAGGTACATCATCTCGAAGAGTGAAGGCGCAATGTGATGCTCCTTTGGTTGGTATCCACGGACTCCTGTCGAACGACCCGTAATTCCCGATCGTTGTTGATATCTGTAGATAATCTGGCTCGGGCACCCCTCTTTGTACATATTTCAGCACGTGATGATGATGCAGGGCACTATGTTCTGTTCGCTTTGATACGTCCAAGCTGAGGCGGTTGAAACAAACGCAGGAGCCCAGTATCCTTTGCAATTTATATTCGCAAGGGAGCTTGGTTGGCAGCTCGACTACGGTACGAAGCTATTCTCGAGAGACTGGGGACCATTCGTAATCGGTACATAGGAAGTTAGTGGGACGAAAATCGCCAGCCAGATGTAGCAGTGGCATTCCATAGCAGAAAGCGAGACTAGATGTAAAGCGTTTTGGAGAGCGGGGAATACCAAGCGGAGCAATTTGTAAAAAGAGTGTGGGAGCGGATGCTCAACTGGCACATTGGACGGGAGGGGAACGAGAGCCGTGATGGGGTCGTAAGGTGGTCGTAAGGTGATCGTAAAAGTATAGTAGATGAGAGCGAGCGTCGTGAACTTTGGTCGTGAAATGAAAAACGGTGAAACATATACAGTGACGGTCAAAATAATGCACACCCTGGCTCTGACGTCTAGTGCGCTTCATGGCGGGCTCGAATCTCGTCCGTTTTGGATGATATCTGTATGTACGGGTAGATATTCTGAATTAGAACCTGTGGGTACTTGTTTGAGAAGATTCGGACTAGTATTGAGCGAGATAGGAGGCAAACTCTGTGAGCCACCTTGTCACAGCTGTCACAGCTGTGGGCAGGGGGCGACAATGCATGTCCGTAGAAGCAGAACAGCAGAGAGTTGAGAGCTGCGATTTATTTGAGGCTTATTGGGAGTCTGAATGATGCTCTGTGTAGGAATTTCAGGCTGTAAAAACTTCTGGTCGGGTCATGTTTGAGCAAACATGGTTTTGAGCTTCCTCAACTCAAATCCGACCATTTATTCGCACAGGCTCGGTCTGACTGCTACTGCAACAATATGGAATATTTTTAACATGCTCATAGACGTGATTGATGCAAAAAACCAGAGGAGAAAAGGTGCAGATGTGGTTGTAGAAGGTGCACTGTGGTATTGATCAATGTCACACACATCACAAATCGATGTCTAGAACAGGACAAAGGACCCTGTGAGGCACGAAACTGCTGTGAGAACTTCCCATAAAGAAAGGCTTTCAGATAAGGCACGCAAGGTTGGCCGCTATGGCTTCGTTGCATGGGTACATACTCAGGAAGTTGCCTGATGTGACATGTGTGGCTTCACCAAGTATCCCCCGTCCCATGTTCGCCGTGTTTTTCGCAATTCGTGCATGGTATGTGTATGTATCAACTTTATAAGTCTCTGAAATGTGCTCAAGCTAAAATTCCAGAATACAGACAGCCAGGAAGGCAAAACAATGGAGGCAGGGCAATCATTGAATATGATCATGTCACATCAGGCAACTTCCTGAGTATGTACCCATGCAACGAAGCCATAGCGGCCAACCTTGCGTGCCTTATCTGAAAGCCTTTCTTTATGGGAAGTTCTCACAGCAGTTTCGTGCCTCACAGGGTCCTTTGTCCTGTTCTAGACATCGATTTGTGATGTGTGTGACATTGATCAATACCACAGTGCACCTTCTACAACCACATCTGCACCTTTTCTCCTCTGGTTTTTTGCATCAATCACGTCTATGAGCATGTTAAAAATATTCCATATTGTTGCAGTAGCAGTCAGACCGAGCCTGTGCGAATAAATGGTCGGATTTGAGTTGAGGAAGCTCAAAACCATGTTTGCTCAAACATGACCCGACCAGAAGTTTTTACAGCCTGAAATTCCTACACAGAGCATCATTCAGACTCCCAATAAGCCTCAAATAAATCGCAGCTCTCAACTCTCTGCTGTTCTGCTTCTACGGACATGCATTGTCGCCCCCTGCCCACAGCTGTGACAGCTGTGACAAGGTGGCTCACAGAGTTTGCCTCCTATCTCGCTCAATACTAGTCCGAATCTTCTCAAACAAGTACCCACAGGTTCTAATTCAGAATATCTACCCGTACATACAGATATCATCCAAAACGGACGAGATTCGAGCCCGCCATGAAGCGCACTAGACGTCAGAGCCAGGGTGTGCATTATTTTTGACCGTCACTGTAGGAATAAGCAAAAGGGCAGCATGTGCAGCACTGCATTCAAAGCAGTGCCCGTTAGACTTTGTCGGATGTGGGTGGTTGATCAGGTCTGCCATTGATAAGAGCAGGATGCTCGTGGCCGCGCTAGTTGGCCACTCACCACCCGCGCTGGCTCGCAATCAACTCCGTGATATCCTGCTCCTCTCCCGGCACGTCCTGCTCCGCGATCATCTTCTCCCGATGCAGGTCCGCCACATACAGGCTCCGCAGGCTCTGGTACGCCGCCGTGCGTCGCGGCCCCGGCACCTGATGCTGGGGCTGCAGCGGGACCGGCGCCGGGCGGCGGTATTGGTACTGAGGCTGAGGCGGGTACTGATGAGCCTGCTGAGAGACAGGAGCAGGGCGGGGTGCGCCCGCATCGTCGAGAACCCGTCGTCGGACGTCGCGCGGGCACGCTCCTCGCGGCGGCCCGCGGGGAGCGGCGCGAAGCGGATCGAGCGCGGGGGGCTCTGGCCGGGCGAGCGTGGGGGGCTCTGGGTGGGCGAACGCGGGAACGCGGGGTACGCGGCGGGCCCGAGGGGCGAGGGCGCGGAGGGCGCGCGCCGGCGCGGGGGAGTGCTGGGGCGGGCATCCCGTAGTAGCCGTCGTTGGCCTCGTTGGAGGCGGGAACGGGGGGAGGGGCGTGGACGCGGGGGACGGGCGAGCCACGAGAGACGAGGATGGAGCGCGTCGGGGAGTGAGCGGGGTCCGTGGGGGTGGGGTGGTTGGTCGGGTACTGCATGGTCATCGTTGGGAGAGAACCGGGCGATGTTTTTGGGGGTGTGGTCTGTTGGTGGGGTGGTGAGGAAGAAGTAGACCTTTTGAGACTTTCAAGCCAGAGTGGGGCTTGCAGTGAAGCAGCGGCAATGGGGGGAAGCGGTCGGAGGTGGTCAGAGGAGGAGCCCGCCTTTTGTACGCGGCACAGAATCCGAGTTTACTCCTCCGCTCGCTTGAAACGTTGATGCTAGGCTGCCAATTGAGGCCAACATGGTCGGACAATGGCGAGAGGCGTGTGAACGGCCACTGCTGCCGCACAAAGCAGCCTGGGGTATGTCGGATCAAGAGATAGTAAAAGTGATCTGGTGCCAACGACTGCGGGACTCGAATCGTTCAATGTAGACATGTATGGAGCAAAAATTGCGACTACACGTGTTTAGAACATGTTTGGGGATCCACCAATCTCGAATCACTATTGTTGCACACGGGCAGCGCGGCTTGGACATGGTGCATTGGAACATCTGCTGTCCCAAAACACGCCACCGGTTGGCTGGACTGTTGGGAACGGGATACACGATATCGGAACAGTCAGCTGCAGGTCCAGAATGATCGCGAAGGGGCGTCAGGCTTACTGAAGATGTGAAGGGAGCAAGGGGGCTACTCTTGATGACAAATTTCCCGGCCGTTCAACAAAATCCAAACAGGTCCAAGCAATCTTGAAGTCACATGCTGAATTCTCGCAAGGCGAGTGCTCGCTCTTTCTGTACGCGCGTTCATTTAAAACAGGAGCGAGAAGCAGGAAGGTGCATACCACATGTACGTCCATTGAACCCGATAACGGGAGTGGCCTAAGGCCCTAGCCGCGAGCCTGTAAAGCGGGGGTTGTTAGGGCATGATTTTTTTTGCATGCACAGATTAGCCGCGTCCCACCAACAATCGAAATACTGATCTATGTCAAGGGACCCCGTGATTCTAGACAGTGTGCACATTGAAGAGTAGCTCCGATGTGGGGACGCTGCATAAAATACAAAGGCACGTGATGAAGGGATTTGCAGCCATCCTCCTTCCGAACAGGACCTACCGCCTACTTACCATCCGTCGTCAAGGCGTTTTAGGGAGGCAGACGCGACGCTCACCTTGTCTCTGGATCCACGCATCCTGTGTCGACTTCAATTCTATTGCTAAGATGTCCGTGCTATACAAACACGGAGGCCGTAGCCGGGTGGGCTGGCTATAATGGCTCTTGAGAAGAAACATACTTCCTGTGATACTTCACTCCAGAACAACCTGCATTTATTTTACGGGGTTGAGTACTATCTTGAATATAGACGCGCAACCCAAGCGTAACCGGCGAACACTCACCTGTTCTAAGTCAGAACTCGTTCTGGACAGACATTTGACTTCATTCAGAGGAGTGTAAAACGGAACGAAACGCGAGACACACCACAAGGCAACGGGATAACAGCATGGAGGTTGGGTTCAAAGTTGTCGCAGCCCGAGACAAGTGGTGGCCGGAGGGCGACCATCAGGACCCCGATCGCACACTCGACGATTTATCCAGGCCAATTGGGTTCCGATCGGTCAAACCACACCGTCGACCGTGAAATCTGACCTCCATCTCGCGGCAATCGTGAGCTCCATCGCTAAGTTAACAGGTAAGAATAGTGGCTCCTTGCATTCAATCTAACTAGCCTCACATCTTCGTGGTACCCAATGCAGCTCTAGTGATCCATCACAATGTCCACTGAGGATGTCGATGACGGAGGCATATTTCTCGGAGACATGTTCACGGTAGGTACATAACCTGTCCTGTAATTTTTAACCAGACGGATTGATACGATTTAAGGAACCTCCAAGACCGCCCACCCCTGAACCAACATTCTCCACCTACGAACGCGAGCGTCCTGACGACGACGATTGGCGAAAGATCGAGATTCGTCTCGTTGGTTCTCATCCCCTCTGGGGCCACTATCTGTGAGTTCTTGTCATCGAAAACCAATCAATACTCACGATTGCGCACTTTAGATGGAACGCCTCCCTGGCATTCGCCTCATATCTCGACGACCACCCCGAGCTGTATCAAGGCAAGGACGTGCTCGAGCTTGGCGCGGGCGGAGCCCTGCCAGGTTTAGTGAGCGCAAAGAACGGGGCGAGACATGTATATATCCTTCAACCTCCAATAATTCATGACGCACTGATTGTCGTTGGCTTGCAGACCGTCTTGACCGACTACCCAGATCGGGCTCTCATTGACAACATTTCTTACAATGTTGGGCGCAACATCCCAGAAGAAGCTCGAGCTGCAGTTGGCGTTGAGGTGAGTCGGGATACATTGGATGACTATTCAGAGCTCACCTCTACGTGCCAGGGGTATATCTGGGGCCATCCTGTCGAACCATTACTGCAACTCCTACCTGACGGTTCCGGGGAACGGGCGTATGACCTGATCATACTGTCAGACCTCGTTTTCAACCATTCACAGGTACGCACTCGTCGTTGTGAGCCAAGACACATTTCAGGAACATGCTCGCGGGCAGCACAACGCGATGCTTAGCACATGCGTGAACGCCCTCGCGAAGACACGTCCAGCCACAGTACTCGTGTTCTTCACCCATCACCGTCCCCATTTCGCAGCGCGCGACATGGAGTTCTTCACGAAGGCGCGCGAACAGGACTGGGTCTGCGAGGAAATCCTCACTCGCAAATATCCGGTAGGCCAAGCGTGGGTGCTATCTCTACAACACGCTGACGCCTGTTCCAGCCCATGTTCCCTGAAGACCCCGGTGAAGAAGAGGTTCGGGCGACCGTGCATGGATGGAAATTGACGAGACGATAAAAACTATGGACACACAATGCAAGAAATAGACTTTCCCTATCAACCTACAAACGATGAGACACCAAGGAGACAGAATGGGTCGGCAGCGTGTAAGTGTCGTTCTTGCCGATGCATCATGGAAGGGGGCAGTGTTCGTCTTGTCGGAGAGTCCGACATGAACGCTCGCGTTTATAAGCTTGGGACTCACCGCACGATGCCAACACATTTCAAGACCAGAGAGGGGGAACGATGCGATATATTACGCGGAGTAAGGGTGCCGTCACTACTATGCTGTAACTTGAGGTGCAGGCTCTAGGGTTATCGAGGGGTTCACGTCCGCCGGGATCTCAGGGTGAATGAGCATGTTGCCCAGTCTCGGAGGCGACTTGCGGCTGATGAATTCCGTCTGCGTAGGGAGCTTTCCTGCAACAATGCGTAACGCTAGGCGGAGTGTTGAGACAACTCAAAGTCATGGAGTGGGAAGAGGGCTTACCTTGCCGTGCCAGCTCCTCACGAACAGGAGCACCACCAATCTCCAGAATAACGCGTCCAGGAGCCACCCTGCGCGTAGTTGTTAGAACATATACAGGATGCGACCACAACGCTACTCACCTGGTGGCCCAGAACTCGAACGAACCCTTCCCTTTCCCCATACGAGTCTCGTTTCCCTGCGAGCAAAACGCAACATGAATGAAGCCCCTCCACGTCTACGCGCGCCCTCTGAAAGAAAGAGCAACACGCACCTTCTGGCAAACGGGCACGTCCGGGAACACACGGAACCAGACCTTGGCACCCTTAATGACCTTCAGCTTCTTCTTGATCATGTCGTCGATCGACTTGAGCTGTTGCGCGGTGATGCGCGCGCCGTGGCCGCAGATGCGAAGCCCCCACTCCCCGTGGGCGAGCGTCGTGCCCTTGGTCGCGCCCCCGGTGGGCACGGGGAGCACGCCCTTGTGCCGCTTGATGAACTTCACGCGCATCGGCGCCCAGGAGTGGCGGCCGCGCGCGAGGACGGCGGGGGGCGACGAAAGTGCGGGTCGTGGGGCCGCGCGCAGGGCAACGGGCGACGGCCACGTCGACGGCCGGCACGCCGCTAGCAGCGGGCGGGCGGAAGATGAGAGGGAGAACATGGGGGAGAGGGATTATGTAAGCTTCGCTGGCAGAGTTTCCGCAGGAGGAGAACGTCGTGTGGCGCCTGAGTCGGGGTCGAGCGCGTACGCACCGCGTCTCGGTCCGCCCTTCACTCCTCCTTGAGGGACTGCTGCTCGCTCTCCAAACATCCTCGTCCTCGCACACCCATGCCCACTGCTCGTGCCTTGAGCTCAGCGCTGAAGCGCTTCAGCAGGCCATCGGCCGGTCCGGAGGCGAAGGCTCTCGTCAGCGGCCTGCTCAAGCAGCACGGCCCTCTCTCCAACAGAGAGATGTGGCACCTCGTCTCGAAGACATCGCCAGAGACCTCTACGGGGGATAATACGTCCATACCCTCTATGAGGTAAACATCCACGCCGTATTTCTCGCATTGGCACTGCGCTCATGCGTCCCGTCCCCGCCCCTCTGGTACTAGGTACCTGAAGCACATCGTGCTCGAACAGATGGGACAGTCTGGCGAGCTCGTCAAACGCGTCATCAACAGGGAGGTGCCTCTGGAGTCCAACACACACGCTACCTCTGTCTCGCCTGTTAAGACATGGCGTTGGGACTTCATGGAGGCTCCTACTCAGTCAAAAACGAAACCCGTAGAGAAGGCACCATACGGCGCGGAAGTCGGCGTAGGCGAGGACTTCTCACATCTCAACAAAAGGAGACAGCGGTCCCGGGTGAGGCACGTTACTCGCGACGTCTCGTGGATGAAGGAGCTTGATGAGGTTCGTCGGATCGCTGCGGAGAGGGATGCGAACGTTTGAATCCATGTAGGCCAGGGGATGGAGGGATCTCGTTGTCGTATGTTAACGCCCATCTCTACTATAATCGTTTCTAGCTCCATTGCTTTGAGCACCGCGTGTAACATCGTGGTGTACTTCTGAATTTCGCAAAGCCGACGCTTGATAGTGATGTTCCTCGCCGTTTGAGGATTACTGCCAGTTCAAGGACAGTACTGAGCTCAAGGTAGTGGCTCGCATGTGGAGCGATCGACTGAGTGTAGTAAACGAGTGGCAACAAGTGACTAGCAGGCATAACATACGTATACTACATGTGTGCAAATCCGGACGCAAAGCTACTCGGACAAAATCTACCCTACTCGAAAGTGATCGGCGAGATGCACGGAGAAGCGAAAGAGAGAGACGACGGGCGAGAAGACATCGGAACATACTGCGAGCAAGTCCCTCACTCAACCTTCTTAGCCTCTGCCATGTCCACAGGCTTTCGCCTCTCGAGGACCTGCACAAACTTCTTGGGAAACCACCCTTCACGGCCCTCGCGTGTGCGACCCTTCCACCACTCACTGCCCTCGACCTGTAGAGACGATGAGTAAGGCGGCACAACAAAGATGGCATTTGCGAACTGACCTCAATCCTTGGATCAACCTCCGCGCCCGTCGCCGGGTCCAACTTGCCCATGATCGCCACGATCTCGTTCTCCTTCAGCGCCAGCTCCGCGGGCGTCGACGCCTCGAACGGATACAGCGCGCGCGCGAACGTCAGCTGCGACGGGTCCAGCGGCGGCAAGGGGCCCTGCCCGAGTTGCCCCTGCGCGGCCATCTGCTCGCGCTGGCGCTCGGAGAGGACGCGGATGAGCTTGTGCATCGCGTAGGGGACGCCGAAGACGGCGAGAAGGAAGATGATAAGTGGTTTCTTGCTCGCCTTGGGCGGCGCGGGCTGCGGACCCTGCACGGGGCGGCCGTTGACGAAGTCGCGGAACTCGCCACGCATCGAGCCCGCGGCACCGCCCGAGGCGCGGCCGGTGAGCAGTTCGCGGAGCCAGCGGACGAGGCCGAAGAGACCGAGGACGCTCCCGAGGGCGTTGCGCAGCTGGCCGAACTGGTCGACAACGCCGACCATGGCGAAGAAGGAGGAGTGGGTCGCCATAAAGGTGGACTCGAGCATCTGCGCGACGCCGGAGAAGGTCTGGACGATGGAGTGGAGGAGGGCGAAGGTGTTCTGGGTCGTGGACTCGAGGGTCTGGGAGAGGGAGGGGTTGTTGGGGTCGAAGGGACCGCCTGGGCCTGGCATGCCGTAGCCCATGCCCGGCATGCCGCCGTACATCCCGTTCATACCATAGCTGCCGTATCCGCCATATCCGCCGTAGTTCATCCCGCCGTACATGCTGTTCATGCTGTTCATGCCGTAGGGCGAGTACGAGGAGCCGAAGGTGGAGCCATAATTTGACCCATAGCGATATGGGGAAGGTGAGTTGTATGGTGAAGTAAGGGAGTTGTTTAGAGCGTTTGCCGTGGTTGGGAGGGAGGAAGCAGCGGCTGATGAGAAAGCAGCGGGGCGAATAGGGACGGATGGGGCCGTGGAGGTCGTGGTAGCTTGAGTAGGTGCCTGGGCCGGAGCAGATGCAGAGGATGGGGTCGAGACTGGAGCTGCTGCAACAGCACCTCCAGCTCTCTCCCAAGGCTTTGGTGGGGAAGGCATGGCTGAGAGGGGGCACCGCCGCAGAGGACAAGGAGGAGCGGACGAGAAAGGCGTTAGAGCCGGCAACTCGCTCCCGCGGCAAAGCGCGCTTAGTCCACGTGGCCGCCCCAATCACAGTCGTCTCAACGGCTACCGCTGAGACTTTTTGAACCTCTTCTTCTTACAGCAGACATTCCGTTTCATGCGAGCCCTGGTAAGTGCACTCATTTAGTGTGATTTAAGATTTAGGATGCTACTGATGGGCCAGATTTCCGCAGAACCGACAAATTTGATTCATAACAACGATCGAGCTACATATTCCGAACTTGATATACATGGTGGTAACTCATACAGTAAGCATAGTTTTCGTGTGCGGTCGTGAGTTGTCGGCGCTGAAACGCAGATTACGAGAAGATCATGCCACAGGAGCCCGCCCTTGTCTTTCCCGCAACCTTTCGCTCCTCCTCAATTTGAAGGGCAGCTTCATGATCACCGGAGGGGCGGGAGCCTGCCCTCCATCCTCCGATTCGGTCAGAGAACTCAAAGAGCTCGAGCTGCCGGACCTAAACGACTTGACAGACTCCGTATCCGTCCTGTCGTACACCGGATACACGCTTCCCGCCCACGACCGAGCCACCATCATTTCGCTCGCCCGCGGGGGCAAGACCAGATCGGCAATGTCGTACGGAAGTTCGGCCGGATCGAGCGAACCCTCGCGCACCCACGTCCCGGCGCCGTCATCACGGTAGATCCGCATGTGCGGCCCGTCGGACCTCATGGTCACCGGCGTTCCCTCCCGCTCCAGGATCCCCTTCGGTCTGCGGACGGTCGGCAGCTCGCTGGTGCGCGCCGTGGACTCGCTCGCCAACGCGGTGGGATGACGTGAGGGGCACTTCTTGGCCGGCGCGAAGCGCACGACTGTGCTGTGCCGGCGCGGCCGCGGTACGGGCTCGGGTGGTTCGCGCACGGCGACGAGAGAGTCGGCGCGTTGGAGCACGACGCGGGTGCGGACGTGGCCGTCGTCGGCTGGTTGCGGTGTGCTTGGGCCTCTCTGGACCATGCGAGACTCGTGCTTCAACCTGTTCTTGCGTGGCGTCAACAGGACCGAGCCGGGGTCGAAGTCGATGAGGGGCAGTGGAGTGCGGAAGCGCGCCTCGGACTCGGCCTCCTCGTCGCCCATCATGCTGTCTCCGTCGCCGTCGACGAGGGACCCAGAGGAGGAGTGCGGTGATGGTGTCGCGGTGCGCAGGGCGGGACTGCCGGTGGATGACTCGAGATCCTCGCTGTAGTTCCAGCGGAGGATATGCCCCTCTCCGGTGGCTGAGAGGGCGACGTTGATGCGTTCACTGTCGGGATAGTGTTTCTGCACGAACGCTTTGAGCTCAGCGACGCGGTCTGGCTTCGAGGGGGATGTGACCCGAGGCATCGTCGTCTACAGCACCGTATTCAATTAAGTCCTTTATGCCTTTCGACCGCTTTCTAAATGTTGAACTCACCCGCTGCTCCGCTGAGATTCGTTGCCGGGGAGTCTTGAGTGGCGAGGTTAGGTCGAGAGATATTGGGGATGATCTCGGTCGGTCCCGCACTCAAATACCTTTCCAGAGCTGCACGCTTTACCAGACATCCATCTCCTCGCGGCATCAGCTTTGTGTGTGGTCGCTTTGTGGAGGCGCTCGCTTGGTCTGAGCTTAGCCTTTGCGCTTCGTCAAGCGTCAAAGCCCTTGCCAAAACCGGTCCAAGCGCTCGCCTCTTTTGTTGTCATGTCTGCCACGAGCTCGAGCCTCGTTGCCTCAACGTCTGCCACAAGACTAGATATGTACATGTTCATCCTACGATTATCGCAACCCGCTCTAAATGCTTGTTTTTTCTATAGTGCTTACTCGAGACATCTCATCTGTACCAACTGGACCCGGGTCCACTGGCATCCTGTCTCGAGAAGCAGACGAATGTGTGAGCCATAGTCCCTATGAGGTGCTCAGTCCTGGTCACCGCGCGGATGGCTACATGGCGGCGGCGGAGGCTCCTTTCAACCGGCGGATTTGCAGTGGCACACTTTGTCACGCCACTGCAGCTACCACTCCGATCGTCACCGTGCCGCTCGCGACGATTTCGCCACTTCAGCTCTGTGGTGTTCTGGTACAGCGCTGTGTCACCCCTATCGCTCCGGTCCAAGATTTCTGCCTCCACCACACCCAGGCAGAAGCTCTTCGTACTCTCCCGTCAGTAAATCTCCCCAGATGGCTGGAAATCTCTACAGTCTTCCCTCGGGCTCCCGATTTGATACTTGCATACCTAGTGGGACCTACCATTGGTGTACACAACATGGAGTTGGTGTGTCGTCCGCTTTGCATGTAATCAACGCTGCTTTTATGTTTCTTCAAATACGGGGGACCGTTTCCATGCCGCCTGGTGGTTCGCCCCAAGTTCTGTGTGCGCGAGATCCGTTGTGGACGGTTCGACTCCCCGATTAGCTTCACAAAAGTCTGTTTAAGCGCCTTCTATGTGCCGTAAATCGGGCGCCTCCATCTGCGCTCCCGTCCACCGTCCACCCTCACAACTACCGACGCTGCGAGCCATTCGCCACAACATTCACTCCTTTCACCTTCATCGCTATGGCGCAGAAGACGGCCAAGCAAAAACAGTCATCTAGTGTGTTCTGTCCGACTTTGGCAATGACGTTTGTTGCGGCTGACCACTGTACTACCGGACAACCTGAAGTACCCGTACAATGCGCGCTTTGCGGACACGGATTCAATGCTCCGCCGCGGTTAAGAAGGGCTCTGTACAACAAGCACGCGTGCAAGAGCAAGGGGAAAGATCCTGCAATCTCTGCGGCAGCCAGTGGAGACTCCGATGACCCCGACCACACGGTGCAGCCTATGTCAGTCGTCGCGCCGCCTGCCACGGTACGTACAGCAGCTCGGAGGAACGCCCGATCTGTGAAGCCAGATTAGTATTCAATAAGATGTTATTGTAATCTCAGGCGGACACGGCACAAACCGCAAACAGATCAGCCTCGACCACTCAAGCCTCGATCACCGTCCCTTCGGAGGCGGGGGCGCAACCACTGCGACAGCAGCGGCTGGTGATTGTCATCAAGAAACCCGAGAGGGATTCGGCCTCCTCACGCCCAAAAGCGGAGAAAGCAATCGAGAAAGAAAACGCCAGAGACGACCGGCTATAACAACCTTCGGCCGTAAGCGTAAGCAATCGGAACCACCTACTCCTTGCCCATCACGCAAGTCCGCGAGACTTCAGAACAAGGGGGAGCGGAAGGTGTGGACGAAGGACAACGCATAGCCACGCAAGGGCTGTTGATTCGGACCTATGTATGAAGCATGGATGAACCCTCTTTTTCCACCATAATGTAGTTCCGGAATTCCGTTTTTCACATCCAGAATTCGCGCCCAGGTTCACCATGGTCTTGGAAAAACTAAAATAACTGGACTCAAGAGCCCTTTGACAGACGAGCAAGGATCAGGCGGGGTGGATACCGACATTTGAGTACATATCAACATGTAAAGTCCGGTATTGCATCTCATTTGGTCGATGTATCTTGTCTCCCGCGTAAATGGTTTACAATCTGGCGTTGAGTAGGTGGCTATACAGTTTGGTCATGTGAAGATCCGGTTTCCCGTTTTGGGCACTATAGGCGCCTGAGATATCACATCACTGGCGCCAACGCGCGCCGGCACCCAGACAGATACTATCTATGGCACAAGCTAGGCTCACAGAGAGGGAAAAATACAGCAACGGATAGTCATGGTACAAGAAGTGGCAAGGAGGAACAGGGAGGGTTGATGCAGTGTCGGGGAGAAGTGTGCTACAAAGCGATGGATGGTTGGAACATGAGGCCTGAGGTTTCGCGTCGAGATGCAAGGAGTGGATGGATGTTATGGTTGGACGGTAACGAGCGTACAACACGAGGACAGTAAGATGATGTGGTCCAAGTATGATTTAGGTTAAGAAGTTGTGGATGAATGTCCTAGGTTGTTCGTGAGAGATAGTCTTGCCAGAGACCGTCGACGAACGCTGGGTCCTTCTGCGCGCCTCTAAATCAGATGCTGTACCTCAACGTCACGGAAAATTTATGACTCACATAGATAGCATCGAGGACTTCTTGTACGAACTCTCTGCGACCGAGGTTAGGCGCAACAGGCTTGGCAAACATAGCGGCAAGGAGGGCTTGTTTCGCAGCATCCTTGTCGAACGCCACTTCATGAGCATGCCCATTGGTCTCGTTCGCGACGACCTTAACTTGCTGCGGGTCCATAACAGCAGTCTTCGGCCCGGGGGAAGAGACAGTGGCAGCCGCAGCTACAGGTCCAGTGCGGTCGTGTCGTAGGAAGCCTGTGCTGGAGCCCGTGCAGGGAGGTCCCAACCTTTCTCAATCTCCGCCTTCTCCTGCTCCTTCCGCAACTGCTCCCTTTCCTTGCGACTCTTTCTCCCCTTCTTCTCCTTCTTTCCTTGAGGCGGCTAGAGAAGATGGCAGGGTCGCTGAGCGCACGCGTATCGTTAAAGTCCAGCTCAACGACGTCATCCTGCTCGAACGAGCGATCGTCCAACGGTGCACGGGGGTAAGGCCAAAGGTCGGAATTGGCTTCGAAGGGAACCAATGAGCGCGCGCGCGCGTCTGCCGATGTTGCCGGTGCAGCCGGTATAACGGGGGCTGCTGAGCTTCGGCCGTTGGCCGTTGGCGTCATGCTACGCTGCTGGGACTCGGAGGGCGAGGTCGATGGTAGATGGGCTCCGCCAGGGGGCGCGCGGGGGGTGACGTCGCCTTGTATGCGACCATGATCATGACCGTTGGTATACGGTTTGTAGGGCACCAGACGTCCAGGAGCACTTTTCGTAGCGTATTTCCCATTGGCACCGAACCTGGTGGGCCCGGGTACGTCTTCCTCAGAGGCCTGGTCTTCCTCGCTATATTCGTTGTCCCCTTCATAGCGCCTGTGCCCAGAGTGGTGGGAACTCGCCGAGCTGGGGGCCGCAGACGACGCTCGAGAGTGGGGAGAGAGACCGAGGAGCGAAGATATGACGTCTTGGTTCAGAATTTGCGGAAGAGCACTTGAGGTGGGCTTCGGAGAGACGATGACGATTTCCTCAGGTCGGGATGGGAGAGCCGGCTGAGGGGGCGCGAAGGCGGCAGACGACGATGCAGGGAGCATAGCAGATGCGAAAATAGAATCCAATAATGCGGGGCCTCGAGACGGGGGAGATTCCGCGATTTGGTGAGTGGATGGTGAAGATGCCGTGTTGTGGTGCGCAAATGTACTACCGCGCGTGAGAGCAGCAAATAGATCGTTGACTGACTTTTCCTGGGTTGCCATTGCTGGTTGTTGTGGTGCGGGGGTGGGAGCAAGGGAGGTAGAGGGCATCAGTTTGGCGAAGAGTTTATCCAGTTCGGAGCTGTTTCCATCGGGAGAGGGGGCTGTCGGGGGCTCTGAGGGTTTGGTAGGAGCGCTGTTCACCACGTTATGTTGTACTGGGCGCACGGTTTGACCTGAGGTGGCTGTCAGCTTGATACGGGTCATATTGAACAGAGTGGCTGACCATGCGGAGGGAGTACGGATGCACGACTCGCCGTGCGAAGTGGGTCAAGAACGTTCGCCTTGCCATGAGGAAAACGAAACTCCTCTGGATATGGAAGCCCTTGCTTGATGTACGAATATAATCTGGAAATTTGTGAGCGATGAGATGGTGGAAGCGGTCGAGGGGTATATGGCGAGATGTATTGGGCGTATACACCCCAACGAGGTTTGTGACCCTTCGTCGGGAGCACAAGATTACACGCAGTCTAGAAGTACGGGCGATGTAAAGGATGGAAAGGGAGTCTGCGTACCTCATCATAACGTCTTTCAGAGGCTCTCGTGCATCTGTTGCGAACATCCAGAGTCCAAGAGTGATCCCCCGTCCGCCTTTCTCTTTCTCAAATACAGAGTCTCGATATCCGGGAGGCACTCGCAACGCGAGCTCCTTCTTGAAAGCGTCTCGGCTCTCCTCAGGGATAGGGTGAGGCAAACCCATGGCCAGGCGGGTTGCGGTGTAATCTGAATAAAAGCGGACCATCAAGTAGTTCCCCATAACCTCCATGTCGTCCTCTGGATAGATCGGTCGCACAAAATCCTCAGCACCCTGTCGGTTCAAGATGAAGAACCCATATGTCGGGTAGGTGGACCTACGCTCAGAGGTCAGCTCAAAACATGCAAGGTACATGATGGGTACGCACTTTTCGAACAAGAACATGCTTCCCTCGTATCCATATCTTTCCCACTTCTCTCCCGTATGATAGTAGATGCAGACGTGGCTGAACTGGTCGATAATGGAGGTTATCGCGGGCTCCTGGCGCAACAAGACCTTCATGTTGCTTTGGTAGATCGCCAGGAGTAGGTCATGCTGCCGCTGTGGCGTTACTGTAGGGGTGATGACCCGCTGAGGAGGAGCCTGTGCTTTTTGTGCATGAACATTTGGTATGGAGCGGCGCCGGCGAGGGGCCATGGTAGATGGGGGAGTAGGGAGGAATATGGTTCAGGTCCGTGGCGTCCAGCTGGGGAGGCGCATTCACCTGCGGTAAGTGACCAATTATGGATTAAATGTGACACTAAGACTCTTATCTCGCGCTATTTACTCCCACGGCCGTTTCGGCACACGCACCCGCGCCGCTCCTCCTTGCCTCCTGCCGCTCTTGTGCTCCTTCCCCCAATCCCTCCACGAATATCATGAGCGACCGCAAACGTGCCTGGGAAGGCAATGGGGACACGAACGCGTCTAAGAAGCAGAAAAGGTGCGCTTCCACACTTCACAGTCCTTTTTCAAGACCTGACGTTCTCCCTTGTGCTGCAGTACCGTCGTGAGTGTCCTTCCTCTGCTCTGCGAAGGTGAATATACTCATTATAATTTCTTGGACGCTTTCTATAACCCTCCTTCGATCGTTCAGACTCCTTCCCATGCTACTCCTTCAGGCGGCGCGGTAAGTAATGCTCCACCCAGTAGCGTACGTAGTGTCTAACCGACTATTTCGCTCGCAGCTCTCCGGAGATGCTCTAATTGCCCAAAAGAGGGCTGAGATTGCGGCCAAGATTGCAGCAATGAAGAAGAGTGCTCTGGGAGGGTCCCCAGCTACTACTCCCGCATCAGCGTCAGCGTCCGCCACCGCCAGTCCATCACCTCCAGTCGCAGAAGACATGGCTCGTCGGATCGCGGACGTCAAGAAGCGCGTGTCCGAACAGCAGAGCAAGCTGTCTTCGAGAGACAACCCGTACATGGTGAGTCAATATGCGCCATATCATGCATGCGGAGCCATTGGAGTCAGGATATGGGCGGGTACGGAGGTAGAGTGACCTTATGTGTCAGTTGCTGCGAACAGCGGTTCCGATTGATTATTGGTTCTTTTTTTCTGGCAGCGGCGGATATGCAGAGTTGCTGGACTTGTGTACTCACGGATGCCTTTACAGGCTATGCCACAGAACAAGAAGAAGGCACCTCCCCCTCCTGCAGAGCCGGCCCCGCAAGGCGCAGGTTTGAAGATGGCAGCCCATCCGCTCTTGCTGGACAACACCCCCACCGCTCCACAATCGAAGAAGGATAGGTACAAGCCCATGCAACCTAAATTCGCCTCGATCAAAGCCAATGTGAGGAACGCGCCGATCCCTCCGCCTGCTCCGACGCCGACGGTATCTATGGAAACGTCTGCAAATCCTTACGCTTCGGCTGCATCTGCGCCCACGGAGAGCGGATTCGACGGTGCTCCTAAGGAGCGTGTGGGCCGACAATTCCGATTCAATCCCAAAGGCAAATACGTGCAGATTGCGAACCAAGTTCGCCAGGAGGCTCAACTCGAACAGCTGAAGCAGCGTATCGCGGAGAGTGCTAGGAAGGCTGGTCTGGACTCGGAGTTTGAGACGCTTGAGAAGCACATCAGAGTATGTCCACAAATTCACTCTTGTCACTGTGTCCTCAACGGATCCAACCTTCCTTACAGCGAGAAGCTCCCCCGGAAGCTGAGTGGTGGGACGCGGCTCTTCTTCCGAGCAAGTCATACAACGATATTGAAGAAGGGATGCAAAAGCTCAACATCCGAAATGCCGATTCGCCTATCACTCTATATATCCAACATCCCATCCCAATTCCTTCTCCGATGGACAAGAATAAGGTCGTAGCGAAGCCCTTGAAACTCACGAAGAAGGTTGGTGCTTATGGCTGCTCTTTCTTCGACATTTGTTGAACAACATGTGTTCTCAGGAGCAAAAGAAAATGCGGAAACAGCGTCGACAGGCAGAGTTACAAGATAAGCGTGACCGTATTCGTATGGGTCTTATTCCTCCAGACGCCCCCAAAGGTATTAGCTCTACATCCTGTCGGGAACCCCTTATTCTAACCGAATAATCCAGTCCGTCTCGCCAATCTCATGAAAGTGCTGACGTCCGACGCCGTGCAAGACCCCACAAAGGTGGAAGCGCGCGTTCGCCGGGAAGTCGCGATACGCAAACACCAGCATGAAAAAATGAACGCGGAGCGTAAGCTCACCGACGAGCAGCGCCGGGAGAAGATCGATACGAAGAAGCACGAAGAGGAGAAGAAGGGTATCTACGGTGCCGTTTTCAAGTTCGTATATCCTATTCCTCCCTCCCTCCGTCTGCCAGTTGCTGATACCGGGACTACTCAGGGTGAAAACTCTCTCCGACCCAGCGCACCGCTTCAAGGTGCGCAAAAACGCAGAGCAGAGGAGCCTCACCGGCGTCTGCATCTTCCACCCGAACTTCAGTATGGTCTATGTCGAGGGCGCTGCGAAGTTCGTCCGGGAGTACAAGCGCCTCATGCTCCACCGCATTGCGTGGACCGAGCCCGCGCGCGAGCGCGGCGAGGAGGATGTCGAGCTCGAGGACGCAGAGGACGACACCACGGCGGACGGGGGCAAGGGCAAGGGCAAGGTCGCTATCGAGGGCGATAGCGAGGCCGCGCCGATCTCGCTCGAGGACAACCAGTGCTGGCTCGTGTGGGAGGGCCAGCTGCGCGACCGGTCATTCAACAACTTCAAGCCGAAAAGCTGCCCGACTGACGGCGCGGCGAAGGAGGTGCTTGGGCAGAAGCTCGCGGGGTACTGGGACCAGACGAAGAACTGGAAGCCGGAGGAGGAGGAGCTGTTCTGATTGGCCTATCGAGGCGCATTGATGGAATTGTCTTGCGGTTGGTCGAGATCTGTGTATCCTATGTTTCTGTAATGTCATGAGGGATGTTGCATTCACTTGGGCGCCACTAGTAAACGCCGCGTGCTTCGTCGAGCTCGCTTGGCTCAGGCCCTCCGCCCCCGTCCACTGGCACACTGCGTCGAGTTTTTCCTTCCTCCCGACATGCTCTCTCTCGCTCATCCTATGTTCTTTCTATCTAGATGGGGCGGGCTCTGAAGCTCGGAGGGGTGAGCTCGGTCGTGGCACGGCGTGCAGCGGCGGCTGGCTGAGGCTGGCTCGCACCCGTCTCGTCGCGCCTGGGTCTGGTTGGTGTCAGGCGGGCGGATGTAGACTGGGTGAGAGGCAAGAGTATATCGTCATCGCGATAGTGCTGTTTATTGTGTAGGCCGACAGCACACGGGCAAACCATGGTGAGTACTTGTCCTGGCTGCCCAACGCCGCTGGAACGCCTGTGTGCAGTCAAGCGAGCACGGTGCTCCTCCTCCTCCCCTCGTTCGCGGAGCTTTGCAGGACTGTAGTGAAGATTGACGAAAATCACAAGCTTGTACGCCGCCTTGACTGCGTGTACACCGATGGAGACGGGGTCCGTGGGGAAGGGCGAGCTCTGAGATCTAAGAGGGTAGAAGGGCAGCCTCGGGGAATGAGGCCGGCTGGCCCTCTCCCGACGAGTACTTACTATATGAGTACTTGTGGCTCCTCATGGCGCAGTATCGCTGATAGTTTGACATTCATTCGAACGCGGACCCAAAAGGGACAACGGTCGAAGAATTGTGTATGCAGCAAGTACTAAGTACCAGTGGTGGATGTCAATGACCGGTCGCGGGCCCGTGGGTGACACGGCGTGACATCTACCCAGTGGCATGAAGCGTCACAGATTCTCGGGAATCGCCGGCGTCCGGCGTCCGGCACCTGGGTGTCAGATCTAGTCTCCCCGAGTGCTTTCAGGTAGCTTCGCTCGCCCCCCCATCTACCCCCCTCCGCTACTTCCCCGTTGCTCCATGGAAGACGAACAACTCCGTGACTGGTTCGAGAGATACCTCGACAACGATCCGACGCGTAACGATGGCCCCTCTGATAAAAGGGGTCTCTACACGCCTGAGATCCGGTGGAGGGATCATCAACACTGGCTCGAGGAGCGTGGGTATATCCTTCGCCCTCGCCTCCGTCATGGCTGGGTACCGTCATGGAAGGGAACTAAGCAGAGCTGGCTATTCTGTGAAGACGGCGCGTCTATAATAGTGCGTCTTTTGCTTATGCTCTTTCGTCCCACTGACGCCTCAAACAGGGACCTTGGGTAGACGCCACTCGCATCTCGGACGGTGCTATTGTCGTTCTCAAGCGCATATCCAAGAACTCCTTCCCCCACGAAGTCGAAATATCTCGCATGTTCTCTGTTGAACCCCTTGCATCCGATCCTCGCAATCACTGTGTACCCGTTTACGAAGTCATGCAGTCCCCGCTCGACGACGACATTGTTTTCATTGTCATTCCCTTCCTTCGGCCATTCGAGAAGCCGCCCTTTCGCACTGTTGGGGAAGCCTTAGAATGCATGCGGCAACTGATTCAGGTAGCATTGTCCTCCTCACGCTCTCTCACGCTACTGACACGGCGCCCTACAGGGTTTGCACCTCATGCACGAACATCGTCTTGCTCATCGGCAAGTCGAACTCGTGCTTCTTTGTCGATTCCCAAGTCTTATTCTCGTGCTCCGTCAGGGACATCAAGGATAACAACGTCATGATGTCCCCCGTGCCGTTCTTGTCAGAGATGCCTCACCCTTGCTTTCCAAAGAAGAGCTACGATTTCCGTCGCAGGATCAAATACACCACTCGCACTGCCGCACGCCCCAAATACTATTTTATCGACTTTGGGATTTCGTACATATACCCCAAAGATTGTGTTGCCCCTCGCGCGCCTCCCTTACGGCTCGGTATACTGACGGTGCCCGAATTCCAGGGGTCAGGCCAGGATAAACTACACGATCCCTTCCCAGTCGATATATACTGCCTAGGCGAGCTGTTCCGGTCGATTTTCACTGAGGTATAGACATGGCATTACAACTCTTTTCATTTGGGCTGACACCCGCTCACAGGAATATTACGGGCTCAAGATGTTGGAACCGCTCATCGCGGATATGATTCAGACGGATCCCGTCAAACGTCCAACTGCCGCCCATGTTTCGCTGCGGTTCAACGAGATTATCACTTCCGTGCGCTCGTGGCAGTTACGATCGCGTCTCGTCCGCAAGGAGGAATTTGGGGTTGTCGGGTTGTTCAAAGCTATCAGCCATGCTTTCCGAACGGCACGGTACATCGTTTCGAGGACACCAGCTCTCCCTACTCCTCCATCGAGGTGAATGTCTTGGCTGTGATTGCTATTTGAGTTCTCCTGCTTCCATCTGCTGTCGAGCCACTGCTGTGTAGACATTGCTTATTCCCTGCGCGCGATTTTCTTCGTTGCTCAATATACCCCTGCAACTGCTATTTACCTATACGTTCACTGTTATTTCTGCAATGAAGCAAAGCCCTTGAATGTCCCTTGTTCTCACTACAGTGCACTCCATCACAAGACCAAGTGTCAACACATTCGGACCCTCTCAACGGCCAGTGACCACTGAAACCGGGTGTCTCTTGTGTGATCACCATTCCGCATAACGTGGACTCATGGGTGCCACTCTAACCCAGTGGAGGCGTCCTTGACTCTGTCAATGAATCACCAATATCCGTGACAGACATTGGTGAAGGCGTTAGCGATGCCCGCGAGTGCCGCATATCTCAGCCCGTCATCAAAAATATGGGAACTTTATTTGTGCAACCCCAAGATGAGACCGAGAGATAGAGGCCACAGTAGAGGAAGTGAGGACCGGGGTGCCGCAATTGAGTAGGAGATGAAGCATTATATCCAAGTCTCTCGACAGAAGCGAGAGATGAACGGTTTGGCGGCGTTTGCTCAGCGCTCACTTGGGCCAATCGTCCCAGGGCGTCTTCGGTTGCCGCTGGTGGCAGCCTGTGGTAGCGAGCGATTAGACAAAGCTCTCCTCATCTTCCCTCCATGTGCCCTTTCCTTGAACTCCCCGATGAGCTTCTCGCCGACATCACTGCGTATCTCGGAGCCAGAGAGCACATCTCTCTGCTCCCAGTGTGCAGACGCCTCTATGCCCTCGTGCAGTCCCATGCCGCATTTCAGTACGCCATCGGCCTCTTCGCCGCCGGGATGGTCGACCACCCAGCTTCGCCTCTCGTCTCGGGGGAGAAGCTCTATGCGTTGAAGCACAAGGAGGAAGCGTGGGGAAGGCTAGACCTCTCGAATCGCAAAACTATTATGATGCCTCTCAATCCCTCAGGGATTTACGATCTCACGGGGGGCCTTGCACTGTTTGGCGAGCGACTGATACCTACGAGCAACCTGGGCACAGATGCCGTATGGACCCTTCCCCTTAATGACGCTTGCAACTCGGAAGAACCAGAGCTATTTCATCTGTGGTCAAGATTGGATGTGGGCCTGCGGGTGATCGACGTTGGTCTGAACATCCACGAGCACGACCTCATCGCAGTAGTCACTTACAAGTGAGTTTGATATTTGGTCCCATAGCTTGAACTCGTGTTTACATGCGAACAACGTACAGTTACGTGGCCGCAGCAGAGCTCTTGGCCTCCATTGACATCCACTTCAGACAGTCACTCACTGGGCAACCGCATCCAGCGGCGACGCAAAAAGTCATGCATATCGACACAATCCACTATCTACCAGGGCAGTGCAGCATCATGCTAGAATTCTCGGGAGACACGATGGTCTTTCTTCTCAATAATTACTTCCCATTTCTCACTGAGGACGCGGTAACACTAGTGATCTACAATTGGAGGACGGGCAAGATCTTAGCGGTGAGTCTCCACAGCCCATCTTTCCCGGAAAGTTTGTGAAGCGACTCCATCCCAGCATCGCAAATTCGGCGACCCGGATATGGTCACCTCCTTCATCCTGCTCGACCCTTGGACCATAGTCCTGCCGATGACCTACACTCATACTCTCGAAATTTGCCACTTCGGCGTGGATGTCCCTCATACGACCAAAGACCCCTTTGAAATCCTACCGCTTTGCATCTTGGAGCTTCCTCCTCTCTCCTACGGAGCATTAGCCATTCGGGCGACATGCCGCTGCGAACCCAACGTACGCGGTCCAGATTCGCCCGCCCGTCCTCCGCGCACCACGCCCTTCTCCTCCGACCCCGCCGTCGCGCTCATGGTCCTCCACGTTGCCGTGCGCCTCCCCGACGCATCCCACAGCATGTTCACAATGTTCGTCCACCGTTCCACCCTCCAGCACCTCTTCCGCGCTGCGCTCCGGTTCAACTCTGCCTCACACGGTTCCTCCCCTACCCCGGACCCTCCCAGCCCGGCCTTCCGGCGCGTCCAACCCTCCCACACAACCTCCACGGACGTCGACGGACCCCCACCGCCGCCGCCGGAGGAAACTCTGCCGCTCGCACTCGGCTGGAAGCAGTGGGGACCGGCGCGCTGTCGGTGGTTCGAGGACGACCGGGGACGGACGCGGTGGATCACGACGACATGCGGGCAGCGGTACGTGCGCCTGACCGAGGACGGCCGGCTGCACGCGTTCGATTTCAACCAGCGCGCGCTCAGACGGCACATCGGCGAGCGGGAGCGGGCGGGAGAGCCGGTGGGGACGCGCGAGGTGGAGAGCGTGCTCGAGAGCGAGGAAGAGAGATCCGGTGAGGTGTGGATGGAATTTCCAGTGGGGGACGTGATCGAGGCCTTTGAGGACGGCGAAGAAGAGATGGAGGACGAAGAGGAAGGGGAATGTGAGGATGAAGGGGATGGAGACGACGATGGAGACGAGATGGAAGTAGAGGACTGCGGTGCACAAGGTAGGTCTCCAGGCATCATGTCGGTGGACCCGCAGCGAAGGTCGAACAACTGGTGCTCCATCGCATCGGTGACGGCCATACACCCCACCGGAAGAGTGTTGAAGCTACATAATGTACAGGTTGTCGGGCTACTTCCAAATGAACACCCATTGTGTACTTTCGCACTAGACAATCCGTCTTATGCACGACCTTTCGGGTCTGATGGGCGAGCTTCCTCAGTTTTCCGCTTCTCGTATTCCTGCACACGTTTCCGAATCTCTCGCCTGCGCTCCTCACCAATCTCCCTCGCATCTTTTCGGGCCTGCGCGAGATTCCGCGCTGCGTCCACATACGCCTGATACCCAGCAGTGCATGAGGGCCACAAAATCGCAGGTCCGATGCCCGCGCCCAGAGCCTACGGATCCCAACAATCAATATCACCCGGTCCTTCCACGCTTACGCCAGTTGCTCCTGCTGTCGGATTGGATTCGGACTCGGACTCGAACATGGATATGGACAGCGTTATATTTTCAATTCCGTGCGCTCTGAATGGTCACCAGCTCGCTGCGCTCCGTCACCTCCAACCCCACTGAGTGTAAGCGTGACTAGTCCTAGCAGTGATAGTAGTACTACGTCTCGACGCGCCTGTCTCAAGCCGGTCACGCATGCACGTCATGCGCACACAACCTTTCAATGCATCGGTCCAGGGTATGTTCCGTGACGATATCGAACGGCCGCGCATTTGGTCGCAAGGTCGATTACAAACGCCGCAATGTAACGCCGAAGCTAGATATGTGTTCCGAGTATGGAATCACACCGCAAAACGGCTCTGCACGCAAGATAAGACGTCAGGTCAAGTCCTACCCGTCCCCTTGGCGAGTGAGAATACTGCTCACCCTGAGGTACCGGCCCTTCCGCTGGAGGAAGGGGACGACTAGGACGAAGAGCGCGGCGACGATCCCGCCCTCGGTGCCGAACGCCTGGAGCGCGCCGTGCTTTTCGACCCAGACGATCTGGAAGTATGCGACGCTGAAGCCGCCGAGGCTGCGCGCGAGGTTGAGCAGCGCTGAGATCTCGCCCTGCGTGCGGTGCGGTCAGCTGGCGTTCACGTTCAGCACTCGTTGGGGCACGTGAACGTACCCCGTGGCGGGGGAAGCAGTCGTTGCAGTATGCGTCTGTACAGAGGTGTTGTGAGCACAAGGGCAGTGAGGCGCAGGTGCAGAGCAGGGAGGAAGGGACTCACAGACCGTGGCGGTGTTCACCATGACGGCGGCTATCGCGAGCACCCAGCCCATCACGAGCGCGGCGACGGGGAGGTGCATCTGGAACGCGGCGCCGAGAAGGACGAAACCCGCGACGTAGAACGGCAGCGCGACCCAGCACGTCCTTCCATGCGTGTGTGGGTCAGAGGCTCAGGGAGAACGAAGGAATGTGGGGTGGGAGCGCAGTGGAAACGCACCAGAGCCGGCTCTCGGCGGCGAAGACGCCCTTGTTGCGTCGGACGGCTAGCTCGAGGAGCCAGTCATTGAGATAGCGCGCGATTATCTCGCCGATGACGACGGCGCCCTGTGTGTTGGGGGGAGGAAGTGTGAGAGGCGTGTGTGGGACTGTGGTGGGGAGGAGGGTGTGGGGGCTTACGATGGAGCTCGCATACGTCGCCGAGATCTGGTCTTGGTTGAACCCGTAGCCGTTTGGAGGGTGACCAACGAGTAGCAGGGTGTTCGTTACCTGCTCGCAAAGATCCGAGTAAGAATGACTTCACGGTCCACAAATCTGACCACACACGTGTAGACCGATACCAAAGCCAAACAGAACGCCCTGGCAAGAAGTTCGGTCAATCGGATGGGGAGCTGAGCAATTCATCCTTTGAACGTACCTCGAATATGAGAATCGTCAGTAACTGAGGTCGCCAGACCACGTTCAGAGGCGCAAGGATGATGGTCGTCCAGGAGTCTCTGAAGCGCGCCAACCGGTACCCAGTAACGCCAATCAGAGTCTCGATGCGCTCTCGTACAGGGCCCTTCTTTGACAGAGGAAGGGGATCCGGGAGGTGCCGGTCGTACATCCTGAAAATCAATCAGTCTGAAATGATTGTGCCATCACGACGACAGCTGTAGCTCACGTCTCCTCCATGAACAAGACGATGAGCACGACGACGACGAGGTTGTAGATGGATCCGATGCCAAACGCCCATCTCCAGCTGTTCATTTCGTCAATATCGAGAAATCAAGAAAAGAGCGAAAAGCTAGCTCACTTTGCACGTGCCACTAGGAACCCGAAGAGGAAAGGCGCAACTTGCGGAGACAGAACGATCCCCATCGTCCAGAGGTTGAGCTATCGATCCACCTGGTCGGTAATCAAAACAGTGCAGGATATCTGACGTGCACCGACCTTCCTCGCCCTAAGATGCACGGGCCACAGATCTGTGACAACATAGAGACCCTGGGAGGTACGTCGGTGAAAGTGATCGAGAGATCCCACGGCCATGATTCGATACTCACCGATACCTGGGAGCAAGTTCTGGGGTACCCTATTCAGTTCAACCGCACTCATGAGATATCAATAGACGTACCCAACAAGTGCATTTAGATCTCGCATGACTATATGTGTGTGAACAAGTGAGTTGATTTTGTGGCAGGAGCAAGACAAAATAGTCACCAGAAGATACGGCTAAGTTGGGCGCAAAGGTCATTCCAACAGAAGTCCCCAAAGAAAGAAGCTTTCGGGTATGGGATTAGCGAGGCAGGGGGACACGACAGCTAGTGGGCTCACTTGTGACCAGAAAAGTACAGGCAGTCGGCCATACCGACGAATAAGCATGATATATACAATCCCGCCCCACCCTGAGAAGGGTGTCAGCACCTGTGCGTTTCGGAAAGAAGTTACAGACCGACCGATCAAAAAAATGGCCCAACTGGATGTGCACGTTAGATGGTGTGCATGTAGTTGAGTTGATCTGAACGCACCTCGAACCGAGTTGGGTGACAGTGGTGGGAGACGTGTGGAACTCCTTAGCAATGAAGGACACAGCTGCAATACCTGAGATAATAGCGCGTACGTAAGAAAAACCGGTGAAGCAAGAGGCAGAAGAGATATGTACCTATTGAGGAGAGGAAGTCGGGCATGGTAGCCGCCAGCGTGACGATGAAAAGTTGAAGATTTTTGCGTCCATCGCTCCACTATCCGTGCAATTCAGATATGGTGAGCTAATTTCATGTCTGGAATACATACATTTTGAGGATCATTGGGGCTGTCTGTCGGCTGAGGCCAGAGGATCTTGGACTTGTCTGGCGAGAGCTTGAGACGCTCGGCTGTGATGTCTCCGAATTGGGCTGGTGCCGCACTGAAAGAAGGTGAGCACATTGAGCCTCCAGAGCACAGTGCAAGTTGCTCACACCGGATCTAGTACCAGCCGACCAGCACTCTCTTCCTGGTACTGAAGCAACGACTGGTAGACCTCGTTTGAAGTGGTGAACTCCAGGGACGGCTTGAAGGAGCTCTTCTCTACAACATGGACGTCGACTTTGCTCGAAGAATCCCTAGAGTCGACCGCGACTTTGTCGTCCATGGCCAAAAAGCGAGAAGAACGGTCGTGAGGGGCGTCGGAGAGTCGACTCGGGATCCCAGTTCTAAGCCCTGAGGGGGTGTATGCGGCGCCTGAAGACGATATATCGGAGGGTCTCAGAGGCGACAGACCGGGGCGTGTCAGGAGGGCCTTAAGAAGAATCCAGTTTCCTGCCCGTGTGGACGTGGTCGCACGCGCTGCGGCGCGTCCTTGAACCTTCCTACTGGAGCCTCTGTAGCTTACGGGAGTAATCAGTCACGAGGAGTGTTCGCGTGCGAGGAGAAAGGCCGGCGACAACAGGTGCGAGAAGAACGCCAGCGTTGGTTCGTACCCACGCATGACCTCAGACCGACAGATAGAAGAGTCCCAGTACGTCGGAGTGGTCGCTTGATTTGCGCAGAGCGTCAAGCGAAAGCAAGATGCGTCGAGACATGGATTCCCGAAGACAGTCATTTGATGATCAATGTCATCGCGTGGAGCAAGCCACGGTGTCTTCTGTGCGTTGAGGCCAGGCACGATGACGAAAGGGAGCACGAGAAGGGACGTTCGGCAGAGAGTCCAAGGGCGCCCACGTCATGTTAGACGCTTGAACCTTCCAAGCTAGACGATTCTGAACATAAGACGTACTCATGGCCGCACTGGATGTCTGACCGCGACGATCGCGACTAGCGTCCATTTGGATGCTTTGGTACCAGCCACGCTGCAAAGAACGTCAGCGCTTGGTCAGCGCAGCTTGAAGAAGACTTATTTTTAGCACTTACCGTTCATCTTCCAGGCAATGTCACGTACCATGGCGTCTTACTGTAACTGACAGCACTGGACTTGATGCATGGTGAGCAGTATTTGAACAGGTCCATGGCCAGTCTGAGCGTGGTTGGGTCAAGAGCACAGCTAGCTGTTTCGAGACAGCCAATGTCACAAGATATTCGCGTGCACGTGAGAGGGGTCACACTTGTCACTCTCGAAAAGACCCAGTGTCCAGAAGCGCTGGAGCCATCCGGCTTGTTCGTCTGCAACTAGTTTGACCTTTACCCAGGCATATCACGATCACCACACCAGACAATCAATCCCCGCCGCACATCATGAGTGCGTTCGGTGAACGGAAGAACGCCTTCAAAACCCCGCCAGCAGTCGTCGCTCGAACATCAGCATCACAAGCCGCCCGAAGAGATCGGGTACGCAAGACCACCTCACACGAGACGCTTTCAAAGCTGACTCGCGCGTCCCTTGCAGGCACTTGAGGCTCAGAAACGAGTGCGTTCCCTTGACATACGCCTGTGCTCTCGTTTCGGCTCACGCGCGGATTTCCTCATGATCATCAGAGACGCGCAGAGCGCATAGATTCCGCTCGTTCGCTCGACATCCTCGCCGATCTCACCCTCGGTCACTCCGACGACGACGCGGGCGACGACGGCGGCCCGAGTGGCGGGCCCGAGGTCGTGCGCCAGGGCATCGGCCACTTTGCGTCGATGCTCCCGCCTGCCGCAGCACCCTCCTCCGACTCGGCGACAGGCATCACCAATTTCTGGCCGCGCGCCCCAGTGGCTGCCGCAGCTTCCCCAGCCGCAGAGGAGCTGCAGTCGGACGCGCAGATGCTCGCAGCGTCGTCGCTGCCCACGACCTTCGAGGGCAAAGCGAGCGAGAAGAAGCGCGCCAAGGGCAAGCGTAAGGGCAAGGCGCGAGCCTCCACCGCGACCGACGCCCCGCAGGCGCAGGGCCAAGCCGCAGCCAAGCCGCGGAAGCCGACGAAGCCGAACAAGTGGGCGGACAAGTGCATGTACGCGGAGCTGCTCGAGATGGACGAGTCCCTCGGTGGCATCGGCGGCGACGGCATCCCGGACGACATCGAGACCGCGTTCGTCGCGCTTGCGCCGGTGCCGGTGGGCAAGCGGTGTCTCGCGGTCACGCACCAGGCGTCCGGGGTTGCTGGAGTGGGTGCGTACGGTCTTCCCGCATCTTCGTAAAAAAGAAGTTGAGCTTAAGCTCATTTTCTCCCCTTTGGCAGTACCCAACACGACGTTACGATCGCGCGTGCTCGGGAAGGCGCTGATGAAGCCCTTCCCGTCCTCGCTACCGCCCCAGACCGTGCTCGACTGCATCCTCGACGACAACTGGCGCGACAACGGCATCCTCCACGTCCTCGACGTCGTCTCCTGGAAGGGCCAGGACCTCGCCGACTGCGAGACGCCATTCAGGTTGGCCAATCCCCTCCCCCTCCCCTCCCCCTCCTCACCACCGCTGACGCCCCTCGTGCAGATTCTGGTGGCGCGACACCCGCCTCTCCGAAATCGCATCGTTCCCACCACCCCAGTCCTCCGCGCTCACCACGGCGAAGCGCTACCAGTTCCCGCACCCGACGACATTCGCGCCCGTCCCGTACGACACCGACACGACGCTCGCACACCTGCTCGCGGCCGTAATCCCCGCTGCCCGCGCGGCACGCGGCGCCTTCTTTTCCCGCCCGATCCCCCCTACCCCGGCGGCGGCGGACGCGATGGAGAGCGACATGGTTCTCGACGCGGCGCCCGTGCAGCTGCAACAGGCGCGCGCGGAGGCGCGCTCGGACGGGCTGCTGCTGTACGTCGCGCAGGCGGTGTACGAGCCGGGGACGAGCCCGCTGAGCGTGTGGGTCCCGCTGCGGGCGTACCGGACGCGGGAAGAGCAGGAGGGGATGTCGGTGGATGCGACGGCGGCGGACAGTCCGCTGGACGGCTTCGAGCGGTGAGTGCGCCTCGGTGTTGACGGTGCATACGGACTGATGTTGGGATATAGCTTGGTTCGGCGAAGACTGGCGAAGAAGGAGGGACAAGGTACCCCCGAGGTCGAGATGGTGTGACGGGTGAAGTCGTTCTGAAGTGGAAAAATGTTGGGGTATCAAGACATGATATCTTCGAGTACTTAGTGTCTGAGGAAAGGGCGAAAGAGAGCTCGGAAGATGGGTAGGCGTTTGGGAGATGCGGGGTGACGACGTTGCAGCACAGAGCGAGGATGGTAGACATACAGTGGCAAATTACGAATCAATTGTACGATAACGGTCGTTCATCTATGGGGGAGGTCGGGTGCGCCGACTCTAAATGCAGGAACGTCCGTGTCCTCCAGATCACGCGTTGTGCAGAGTTGCTAATCAACTAGTCATCCATCTCCTCAGCCAGGGTAAGTCGCTCCTGCACCAATCGCGCAACAGCTTCACCGTTGATGGGGATCTCGTTGCCCTGGAATCCTTCCGGATAGTTGACGGGAGGGACGTCAGGCCGCGTGAAGTGGCTAAAAAGAGGCATCAGGAGGTGTCCTTGCAGCAGTATGAGACAAAGGGCACTCACTCGCCGTCCCAGAAGCCGTAATGCACCATGCCCAGCGCGCGGGTGGTATACTCGTAGTCGTGCGCGAATCCTCCGGGGTAGAAGAACTCAATCACCGTCGACCGCGGCGTAGGCCGCATCCACAACAGCGCAGTCAGTCCGTTTCCGTGCACACCCATCATGATCTGACAACACGCTCGCTCCGTCAGTCTCCGCATTCATGCGAAGCAAGAGGCTGCTCACCGTCGTCCTTGCGGCGAGGCGGAACTGCTCGCTCCGCGTGAGCTTGTCCATCTCCACGATGTTGACCTCATACCCGTACGTGTCGCGCAGCTTATATAACTCTGCAACGAGCACCTCGTGGTCAGCCTGAATAAGCTTCCTCCGTGTCCAGCCTTGACGCGAGACGTAGGTGATGACGGGCTTCGTCGAGACCGCGTCGACCGACGAGACGTCGTAGTCGCCCTCTTGCATTGAGAAGCCGATGACGTTGTTGCGGATGGTCGTCCACCAGTTGACACTGCCGGGCAGCGAGAACGCGTTCGCCGCCGTGCGTTGCGTGCGGAGGTACATCTCGCCGTTCATAGCAGCTGCGCGGTCGGCGAGCACGACGCGGTCGAACACGAACACCCGGCCGAGGGCGGCTCGCTCTTTCCAGTCGTTCATGAACTCCATCGACATTGAAGGGAAGCAGGCGCGGACGACCCATTGGTTCATGGCTGCGTAGTCGCGCCAGTTTGCAGCGTCAAGGTGTGGGAAGACCATGCGGCGCGGAGCGGGGAGATGTGTGTCGCCGGAGGGAGGAATTGTGGGGTCCAGCGAGGAGTATGTCCTCCAAAAGCCGAAGAAAAGCTCGGCCGACCAGTGGTAGTAATGTGTGATGCTGGAAACAGGGCTCAGAACCCGTTCAAACAGTCAGTCAAAGGACTCACAATTGCTTGGGGTCGTACGCCAACCACTGGAGGAACATTCAGGCTGCGTACATGCGAGATGCCTGCTCACAACTCACCGAGACACCGTCCATTCTCTCCGCCTCAGCTCCAAACAATTGGTGGGCTTCAGCAGTGCTGATCACTCGCATTTGCTTGTCCGTCGGCGCACGTAGTGGGGAATCCGCAGGGTCACTTGTGATGAAGATGCCGCTCGAGATCATATACAACCGCTCCGGGACGTTTTCCGGCTCGTCAGACACGATGTACAGGGTTCCATTGAGGAGGTAGAGCCTGTCAAAGATGGTCCATCCTGTGCATATGATTAGCAATGTGCTTGAGCTTCATTGAGGCAGTTAGAGTGCAGTCTGGAACGCTATGCAATAGTGTGGACATACGGGAAGCATCATGTCCACACCACTGGTCAGCACACTAGATATCAGCCAATACCCATCGTAGGAAACAAAGTCTATTGCCCAGGGAAGTGAATGAGACGTTTGCCAATTTCTCACTCCTTGTCCCCAACTTCACAAGGTGCACCGGCTTGAAAAAGAAATACAACACATACAAAGGCGACTTGCCTGGAACATGAGCCACAACTTTCGTCTCCGGAACGTGGCTTGTTCCCCAGTGAAGTGGAGGATTAAGCGTTTGGAGTGTGTACTGCGTCTCCAGAGTCATCGGTAGGGCGGAGGAGTCATCGTCGACAACAAAGCCTGATCGGTCGAGTGCCTGAGAAACGCCGTTCTCGACACTTGGGGTGAAGCTGGAGGAGAGGTAGAGGAGAGAGACGAAGAGAACGCATAGGATGACTATCTCCCTGGGGGTGGGACTGAACGGCATTGTGGGCGAGTGTCTGCGGCTGAGGGGAGTGTAGGGTCGGGTCGTGATTCAGAGCGTCGGCATTGGAGGATGGGCAGGACCGGGCCAAGAGGTGGTGGGGGGATGTCGAGGCTGGCGGTGGCGGAAATGCGGTCGCGCCAAGCGAGTGCTTGACCTGTCATGCGCTAATTATAGCGGTTAGGTCGCGTCGAAAGGCGGAATGGATCGTGCTGTGATGACTTGAACCCGAACCCGACGTCCTCCCAGCCCAACGCAGAGATGGAATACGAACACAACATCGACTGCACAACATCAGCTGCGCCTGTCATGCTCTCGCCCCCCCCGCGGACCCGATTGGGCGCGTTTCACGCGATGGGCCATTGACTCGGCGACGGCCCACGGGGAGTCACGTCATCTACATACTAGTAAGTACTTACTTGATGCTCATGGCACAACAGTGAACACTGCTCTCCTGCTCACCAGGCTCTCTTTCTAGACCCCGCTCGGCGAGGCGACGATGCGCACCACCGTCCTTCCCATCGAGCTCTTCGAACTAGTCATCGACTCCCTCGCCCACGAACCCACGCTGCGTTCAGCATCCATCGTCTGCAAGGCGTGGCTTACCCGCAGCCGGTTCAACCTCTTCCGGGTTGTCGAATTCTATCTCCCCACACACCTCGACCGCTTCATCGACCTGCTCCAGAAGGCCCCCATATTGCCGATCTCGTGCAAGAAGTCACCATCTCGGAAAACTCCCTCGTGGCCCTCTTCCGACCGTCCCTGTCCGTCGTTGCTCGTTTTCCCAACTCCCTATCCTTTCACCCCTCTATCCAACCCCGTCGCTTCGCAGTGCACAGCCAGCTTTGGATCCCAACGCGCTATGACCCCAACTATCTCGTAGAGCTCTCAAAGTTCACTTCCATAACCACACTCGACCTTCACAATGTCACCTTCCCGACCGTCGCGGACTTCGCCATCGTACTAAGCGCTCTTCAACATGTCACTCATCTGCACGTTGCGGACCTCGACTGTCAACGCCAACTGGATCCAGGCTCGGCTACGGCTTGCGGGGGCACATTACCCTTCCTCACGAACCTACGGATTCAGGCCCATTACCCCACGTCCATCGCAGATTGGCTGCTTCGTGCATGGAGATTCCCGTCCATCCAACACCTGCAATGCGACTACCAACTTGACGGCAGTGTCGGACAAGGCCTCGGGGCATTCTGGGCGCACTCCGGTGTGAGCCTTGAGACATTAAGTCTCCATATTTCCAAACGGCCCACTGCTCATCTTCCTCTAGATTATATAGGTACGTGCAATTGGCATCACTAAGGGCGACTGGGTCGCTCACCTGTGTTCTCCAGAACCTCATTTCGACCTTTCTATGTGTACTGCCCTCCGCGCGTTACGCGTCGACTGCCGCCACGATCGTGACATCTCTCCCGACTGGACGTGGCTCATCTTCCTCATCTCCCATCTCCCACGCAAGACGAAGCCATCCATAACTCTTTCTTTCATCCATTCAACCCACGCACTCGCTACCCTGCACACCTTCATACCCGAACTAGATCAAGCTCTCGTTAATCTCTTCCCGCGGTCTGTGCACTTTGCTTTCGACCACCGGAATTCTCCTCTGGAAACGGACGCAGACGAAGAGGCGCTAGTTGCCCAGTTTCAAGCAATTCACTCACAAGGACTTCTAACATGTACGTCCGCACTCCAACTGCGTGCAGAGGTAGCAGCGGGAACCATTAGGCTATCGCGGTCTGACACTGATGCGTGTTTTGATTTTTAGTGACCTGAATGGCAGCCTGTATGGTTATATCTGCCAGTTGTATGCACTTATCGAATATATCGCTTTACGGAACCACAACACCAGCTGTGGAGCTGCACCACTCGCGGCCCAAGTACTGTCAGCGCTGACGGCCCGGCTTGGCACACTTGTTTCCACGTCGTTTCCCTTCTTTCCATTCCGCACTCAATGCAGCAGAAAAATGGATCCAAGCCATGATGCAGCTCAGCGCACTATGTGCGTCGAGAGGAAATTCTCGAGAGACAATGTCGCAATTATACCTCGTCTATGTAGTAGGTGACCTTCGCTTAGATGCGACCAATTTCAGACGATAGCATGTAGAAAGAGAACGACGACAACATGGATAGCATATATCATAGTGTCGGACATGTCCGTAGGATGTCCGAATTACATCGCACACGGCGTGCGCATAGAGGGAATGGTACGTATGGACGAGAGCGAGAGGAGAGTATGGAAAGTATCCAGGGAGTTCATATACACCGTACTCAATGGTCGTACACTGACAGGATATCGTGGATATCGCAAGAAGATCGGCACTAAATCGTCTCTAGATGAGAGAAAACAAAGAAAAGGCGCTCACTTCCACGCAGGCTTGCCGCTCTGCTGCGCCCGCGACGCGGCCCCAGGCCCCGCGGCAACAACCCACTCTCCGATGCTCTTCACGCGACGGAGCCTTGTGCTGTCGTCAAGAACTTCCTGCGCCTGCTGCTTCTCCAGGCTCTCGAAGCCCTTGACGAGGTCTCGCACGCTTCCGCTGCTGCTCCTTCGGTCACTGAGCACGCTCATCGACGAGCGCGGGCGCGGCTCCGGCGGCGCCGGCGCGGGGTGCAGCTCTACCAGCCTGCGCGGCGGCGCCGGGCGCGGGATCCGAGACGGCTTGGGGGGCGGGGCGTGGTTGAGGTTGACGAGTTCCTTCGGGTGCGCAGAGCGCTCGAGAGGTTTCGAGACGGGGGTGGAGATCGGGCCGCGCGGCTTGGCGAAGACTTCGGGAGGGGGGATGGGGAGGCCAGGATGCGCTGGTTTCTTGGGTTTCCGCACGGCGGAGGGCTTGGTGGCGCGAGGGAGGTAGGAGAAGAAGAAGCCCTTCATTCGCGAAGTGATGGATTGCGGGGGAGGCGGGGGTGGCATCGCCATGGAGTAGTCACCTGCGCCTGGGACCTCAGATTCCGCTCTGGCAGCCGCGGCGGGGGACTCTGGAGGGACGGAGACGTCGCGCGCATCGGCCACCGGTGCTGATACACTGCGGTATGCGTTGGGCGGCGTGGAGGGACCAGGCTCGTTTCGGGAGATGGCCACTGCCTCGTCGAGGAGATGAGAATACCGGGGAGCTAGCAGCGACGCGGGAACCACGGGTCTACCTGATGTCGAGCTCATCGAACCGTGTCGTTCAAGACCAGGTTGTACCGATGACTGGCGGCTTGGTAAAGGGGTGAAATCTGGAACGTCGGAAAGAGTGACAGAACCGAAACGTCCGCTGGGGGTAGGGGGGGCAGCCTTTCCAGAACGTTGCTTTTTCTGGAGTGCATGTGCTCTCCGAAGGAGATTCTCCCTAGCATATCGTGAGAAATGGACCTTGAACGCGAACATTCAGAAGAGGCTTACCTCGTCCAACCAGGCCAGCATTCATCCACAGGGATTCCTCCGGTCTGGTCTAGGAACCGGTTCACGACTTTCTCAAGGTCGACGTCCTCTACAGGACCCAGGACCGCCTCGCCAATGCCCCTGTGGGCACCAAGCGCAAGTCGCTCATCTGTGAAGCACGAATCCAATAGCTTCCAGTCGTCCTTGGACCATGCCCGGGGGCCTTCGACGTTGAATAACGGGCGAGCCCATGCACGTGCTCCCGGACGTGGGGTTTCGAACATTGGGCTGTCGATAGGAGTGGGAAGAGGAAGCTTAAAAGTGCCGCTAGCGTCCAAGGAAAACGACCCGTTGCGAGACGGGGTCTGCAAGATAGACCGCTCAGCATCTTGCAAGAGTTGAGGGATTGTCGTCAGAGGACTGCCAGGGATGAAGACTTTGTCCCCGACGATACCGCCAAGGGTGCGACGCCGGTTCACAGGAGTGCTTGACTTCCCAACAGCACCTTCCATGGTGGAACGGCGTCGAGCCTTACGCAGTGCGGAATCGATGCTCGAGTGACGACGCTTGCGAGAAGGGTCTTTGATCACGAGGTTGTAGTCGTGCTAGAGGTATGGCTTCGGCATAGAGAAGGAGGAGAGTACGGTCAAGACTCACCATCTTCAGAATCGCCGCGGCGCGCGCAGCGACCCGAGGGTCGTCGCTAGTGATCTTGACAACTCCATCGTCGAGATCCCCACTCTCATCCCCACTCTCGTCCTCGGCGTCGGTTGCCACATAACCCTCGTCAACCAACGTTTCCTCGACAGCTGGGCCATCCGCAGGAATCTCCACATCCTCCCAGGACCGTGGCACAGCCGGGGATGTCTCTGCTTCAGATTCACTGGGAGGCTGAGCATTCACAGGTGTCGCGAAGACGGCTTGAATAGAAGGCATAGACGATGCGTCGCACACCACCTGGATGTCAGGAGACTTGTGCCGCCGGAGAGGGGAGGTGATGGATATGAATCCTCTGGGTCGTGCTTGAGGACCAGAGGTAGGAGATAGTGATCGTGCAGGAGTGAACGCCGGACGTGGGGGTGTTGGGACAGTAGGAGGTTTGGGGCGCGTGTCATGGTGTTCGTGCTCTTCATCACTGTCGAGCTCCAAAGGTCGGGAGAGCTCACGATCGACAGTCTCTTCGTCGCTGGAGTCATGTGGATCGGGAGCATCTTCAACATCAACGTTGTCGTCTTCGTCTTCCTCCAACTCATTTTCAAGGATGGACATGCTGGGGTCGACAACCTGGGCGTCCTCCATGGACGACTCCCCGTGTAATTCCATAGAGAAGTCCTCATACACCTCACCAAATCGCACTTGATGCCCCGAGCTGGAGAAGCTGTCTTCCTGAGATTCGACATCAACGACTGGAACGGGGGACGGGGATCGTTCAAGGACGGAGCTGCTGGGAGGTGGTGTTTCTGGGGCTGTCTGCTGGTCCTCCGTACTGTCACCTTCCTCGGCGCCATAGGACTGCTGATAAAGCTCTCCTGGGAGGCCCTCTCTCGAAGCATCCAACGCTGTGTTGTCCAGGAAGAATACGTCCTCGTCGTCAAGACTTCCTCCGGCTTCCACATCTTCTTCCGGGTCAGCGACGGCTTTGAGGGGCGGAGAGCTGGAGGCCGGAAAACTCCGACGTCGCGGGCCAGGGAAAGGGCTGTACGGGTTGCCCCAAGCCTCCTGGCGGCTACGTGTGCAACTACTCGGTGGGTCTGCCTTCGTAGGCACAGTGAGGACTTTAAACCGTCCTGTGAACTCCCCGCTCTGGTCGAACTCTTCGGGATCTGAATCGTCCGTCCACGCGCCAGTGTCTTCCGGGACGTTTGTGAAATCGAAGGCCGGGGGCGCACCGGCGAATGAATCGTCTTCGTCGTCGTCTTCCTGCTGCATACTGATGTCCCTGCTGGAGTTCAACTCAGGAAGAGGTTCGGTGCGGACATTACTAGGGGGACTGGCAGATGAGGAGGCAATTGAAGGGGTTTTGCGGGAGCTTAGCGGAGTGGCCGTCACTACGGAACCTAGGACGGATTTACGGCGCCGTGGTGGTCCTGGGAGTCCCTTGAGTAGTAGGGGGTCGTCGCTGGGAGACGCAGGTGGAGGTGGAAGGCTGAGGTCAATTTCTGGAGGCTCTTTCTTAATGGTCAACACGAGTTTCTTTTTGCTCTTCGGAACAGTAGACTTGCGTTTGCTGGACTTTGTAACTTTATCGGGGGAGCGGGTGTTCCTAGGAGGGGTGTGGATGATTTCACGAGGGGGAGTAAACCGTTCCGCGGGAGGTTCATAATGAGGTATCGGGGTCGTTGATCGTCTCCGCGAGGAAAGAGATTGATGCGATAAAGTGGGCAGGGGAGGGATGTAATCCGCGCTCGGGTTGCTGCAATGAGGGGAGAGGAGTAACACACGCTTGGAGGGTGATTCGCTTCGACCATGTGAAGCACGCGTAGGTGTTCCAGGCTCTTCCGGAGGATTGGCGGAGCGGCGAGAGGAGCCGTGATTGGTTTGCTTGCGAGGGCGGGGATTGGGGGTAGCCTCATTGACGACAAGGCTACCTGGTGGCTCGTTGAAAATGGACTCCAATGCAGTGTGAGAGGCAGACCGATTGTGAGCGTTCCGTTTGCGCTTTGAGCTCCCTCCAGTACTGAAGTCGGCAGGTGATGGTGAGAAGGGTTGCGTAGGGACCGATTGAGCACGTGAAGCCTAAACGGCATATGTATCAGCATACATTTTCAATGATTTGCCGTTCAGAACAAGAAGTAGTGCTTTTGGAGTGCATGATAAGGTCAACCCAGCGTCGGGGCCCCTTCAAGGGAATACGTTTCACTCCAAAACACTGAAGCCAATCCATCCTAGCTCACGCTGATGCCCGCGACGGACACAACTATCGAACTCGCACCATCCGCAACCACCACTTGAGCACGAGCGTACAGCAACTCACAGAGCGGTGAACATCCCGGAGTATGTCCTCTGGAGGTGGGCTGAATAGCATGCGCACGGGGTCCATGTCTTCTTGCGTTTGGGAGGACGGTGGGGTCAAAAGGCCAGACTCGTTGGGGGAGTCCTCATCTTCGCGATCAGCGTTGGTCCTGAGATTCAGTGCGGGCGATCGCTTTTGCCTCGAGGCCTTCGCGTTGTGCTTCGGGCGCAGCCCAGCGTCGTCGAGGAAAAAGGTGTCGCTGCCCATAGCTGGGGGCACGTTCTCCATAAGCGAGAGATAACCAAGACAAAACCACGAGGAAGGCGGGGCAAGACAATGAAGTCAAAGCGGGGTCTAGAAAACAACAACGGTCTCGGCAGCGGTGTGCCGGTTGGGTTTGACCGGTCAGGTGACCGCGGTTGAATTTGCTCTGGACCGTGACGCCCCCGGACCTTACCGGACCGACCTCGTCCAACGCGTCTGATGGTGCGCGAAGAGATTGCACTCTTGCCTTCGCCCATGAAGAAGCAGTCCGACGATCATTACTGGGCATCCTCTCTTCGCGCTTCTCACCACTACGGCGAAGACCACGATGGCTCTCAGTCCGATGACGCAGAAGATTCTGGCACCAAGCAGACTGCACCTGTGAAAGCTTTGAATTCCGAGGCAGCACTTCTTGAAGACCTCGACATCGGGTCTCGGGAAGACACCGCAGTTTACAAACCCAACCCTTGGTCCATCGCAAAAGTCAATGCAGCCGTCCGCAAGAACATCTCTGAACAAGCCACCCTCGTCGCTCCCGCTGACAGTGTGCCCCGGAACTTGACAACCCGAAGCAAGCCGCCAGCGCCCGGAAAACCTCCTCTACGACCAGCAATCCAACCAAGTACCATCAAGCCGTCGCCAAAGAGCAGCGCCGCCGCATATTCCAGCACTGCCTCACTACAGCCTTGTGTTTCTCACTCGTGTCCGACCCCCGACCACGACCTGAATGCTCACCTGCCGTCTGATGAAACTTTGGTCGATGACATCGTCAGCTCTGAAGGCTTTACCAAACTTGACACCCACGATAATGTCGACTCCATATTCCTCTTGTCTCGTCCGTGCTCTCCTTCATGCCTGTCTGATCTTGTGACTGAACCCTTGCCGGACGGATGCTTGGGCGCTGAAACTACCTCACTTGAGTCTACAATTCATAAGAAACCTCATCCATCAGAGACATCTTCCAGTCTTTCATCCGGAAAAAGAATGCGTTCTCTTCTTTTCCAATCTCAGCTCTGGAAAAGCCCTCGTCAGGCTTCAAAGCCTGTCATCAAGACACGCCCGCTGATCCATATGCATACAGGTAGCGTGAAGGCACCTTACATATGTATTTCTACGCCTGACTACTTCCAGGTCTAGTCCAAGATCTTGCTGGTTACTCTGAACCATCGCACAGCTCCCTCAATCTCGCCCCCACGGGCGAACAGTTCTTTCCTAATCCTGAACTTCGTCTGGAAGATCTAGGACCAGGATCTCTTACGTATGATGAACGCCGGTCGGACGACACAGCGGCCCATGCGCTCTCTTTCGGGCGCGCATACAGTCCACCCATCGAAGAGGGCGCATATATCCACAGCCCGCCTCTTTTCTCACCCTGTGCCTTCCCGAGTCACCCTGTTTCCTCACCCAGCCCACATCGTGATGAATCACACAACAATTTCGATCACGATCTGTCGTCAATATTTGCCTTTCATCCCTTCGAGAATTCCACTCCGGGGCCCCGTGCGTTCATGTCCTCATCCCATGCTGACCGTTTGTCGACCATCCTTCTTCGCGAGAAGAGCAAAGACTTACACGGATGTCGCTCAGGTACCCCTCCCCCTCGAAGCATCAGTTCTCCGGCGAGAAGACAGTATCGTAAACGCGACGCATATGAGGCTTTCTCCTCTCCCAACGCTCAATGGAGCACGTTCGGATCGAAGAAACGCGCGAAACCGGCTCAAAGTAGCAAAACTCGGAGCACGCCTCTTGGCGCGTTCAAGGTTCCCATTCGCAACCCCTTCCAGAGGAAAGCTACGCCGCAGGAGCCTTGCAATACAGAAGATGAGCAACAACCGGCCCTGTGCACTGCAAGACGGCTCGTGACTTGGATTCCTACCGCGCCGAGGAACAAGGGTCCTACAGAGGAGGAGGGAGGCGGATATAGCCCCTCCCGTCGACCCTTCCGCCCGATGGCTATCAAACGAGCCGCTCCTGAACCACGATCTCTGACGGCCCACAGACATACTCCAACTCGCCCGCCACCTAACAGCCCTCATCCAGGGGTCTCAAGCCGTCAAACGCGACTATCAAGTACCCATTCCTCAAGTTCGCAAGATCGTAGAGTCACAATGGATTCAAGAGGCTTGCTGGCACGGTATCCTGGCGTTCGCCGCGGTGTTGCGGGGGTGCGTTGCTCACGGCTCGAGTTTCGATACCATTCTCACTGCCACCATTCTTCGCAGTAGCGCAAACGCCTGTACGCGGAAACATCGGTTCTCTTGGAATTGCTGGAGCACAACGCTGTCATACGGTACCTCCGTAGAAGATAGCATTTAAAAGTTCTGTTTCTACTTGGTGTTGCGTGAATACGTCTGCAACCGACGCTTCGCAGTTCTGCTTGCGATATATTAGGGAGTCCAGATTTGGAACCTTACGACGGGGTTGGGGCTCGGAATGCATCCGAGGTTCGCCGACTCGGAGGGAACTGCCAGTGAACCTGCTCAGTGCTCTCACCTCATCGTCCCCTGCTATGCACAAGTTGCGCACGGCTTTGACCCAACAGTGTGCAGGTTGCTCGCGACATGCCTCTACGAGTTCTACCCCGTTCCCGTTCCCCACCGCTGCACGTCCAACCCCCCACCAGATCTTCCACCTACCATTAGGCGCAAGCCAGAAGGACATCAAGGCCCGATGTGCGTACTCTTCCCGCAAGCAGACCCTGGGCTAATGCTCCGTGCGACCTGCGCTCACCCCCCTTAGACTACGAGCTCGTGCGCGTGCACCACCCCGACTCCCCCTCCGCGCAGCTCCTCTCCCCGGCCGAGCGCCGCTCGCGCTTCCAGGCGATCTCCTCCGCGTACGACTCCCTCCGCGGGAAACGAGGCTCAGCTTCCACGCACAACTTCGCGCGCGACGACGTCGAGATGTTCCGCGAGGAGCTCGAGCGGCGGAAGCGGGCGTGGGCGCGGCGGCAGAGCCCAGGCCCCGAATTCGCATACCCGCATGGGCCCGGGGCGCGGAACCAGTGGACGGAGAGCACAGACGACGCGTGGAAGGACCGGGTGATCTTGATTGTTGGGATCCTTGTGAGTGCGCTGCTCATGTCTATGCGTACGTGCAAGGAGGCTCAACGCCTGCACGTGCAGGCTTTGGGCGCGGGCATCGGTCCCGCGTTTCTGTGGCCTTCGTACACCGCTGGGTATCAGGCGCACGTGGACGCAGCGCGGAATCTCGCGCAGGCGCGAAAAGATGCGAGGGAGTTTGGTGAGGAGCGTAGGCGAGAGATTCGGAAACGTGTGCAGGAATACGAGAAGCGAAAAACTGAAGAAGCTCGCCCATCGGACCCGAAAGGTCATGCATAAAGATGGATTGTCTAGTCCAAGGATATATAATGGGTGTTCATTTGGAAGCAACCTGTACATTATGTAGCTTCGACACTCTTCCGGTCGGGTGTATGGCCATCACCGATGCGATGGAGCACAAGCTCTTTGACTCTGCGCATGGTATGATCCATCTAACTTATCAATCTCAGCAAAGGGCGGGAGGATATAACAAGAGTGGAAGTACGGACCTTGAGACCAACAAGTATGTCTTCGTCGAGGAGTATGCTCTCATACTTGTCCAACGGCATCACGCTGGTCTCCACATACGGCAGCGACGACTTCAGAGGAGCTTTCCAAACCCTCTTCTCATTGATCTCCGTCGTGCCGAGCACGAAACGCACCTGACGCTGCGGGTCCACCGACATGATGCCTGGAGACCTACCTTGTGCACCGCAGTCCTCCACACCCATCTCGTCCTCATCCTCGTCCCTTTCATCCTCATATTCCTCTTCCTCTTCGTCATCCTCCTGCTCCTCGTCGTTCTCAAAACCCTCGATCACGTCCCCCACCGGCAATTCCATCCACACCTCATCGGATCTCTCTTCCTCGCGCTCGAGCACGCTCTCCCCTTCACGCGTCCCCACTGGCTCTCCCGCCAGCTCCCGCTCGCCGATGTGCCGCCTGAGCGCACGCTGGTTGAAATCGAGCGCGTGTAGCCGGCCGTCCTCGGTCAGGCGCACGTACCGCTGCCCGCATGTCGTCGTGATCCACCGCGTCCGTCCCCGGTCGTCCTCGAACCACCGACAGCGCGCCGGTCCCCACTGCTTCCAGCCGAGTGCGAGCGGCAGAGTTTCCTCCGGCGGCGGCGGCGGCGGCGGCGGTGGGGGTCCGTCGACGTCCGTGGAGGTTGTGTGGGAGGGTTGGACGCGCCGGAAGGCCGGGCTGGGAGGGTCCGGGGTAGGGGAGGAACCGTGTGAGGCAGAGTTGAACCGGAGCGCAGCGCGGAAGAGGTGCTGGAGGGTGGAACGGTGGACGAACATTGTGAACATGCTGTGGGATGCGTCGGGGAGGCGCACGGCAACGTGGAGGACCATGAGCGCGACGGCGGGGTCGGAGGAGAAGGGCGTGGTGCGCGGAGGACGGGCGGGCGAATCTGGACCGCGTACGTTGGGTTCGCAGCGGCATGTCGCCCGAATGGCTAATGCTCCGTAGGAGAGAGGAGGAAGCTCCAAGATGCAAAGCGGTAGGATTTCAAAGGGGTCTTTGGTCGTATGAGGGACATCCACGCCGAAGTGGCAAATTTCGAGAGTATGAGTGTAGGTCATCGGCAGGACTATGGTCCAAGGGTCGAGCAGGATGAAGGAGGTGACCATATCCGGGTCGCCGAATTTGCGATGCTGGGATGGAGTCGCTTCACAAACTTTCCGGGAAAGATGGGCTGTGGAGACTCACCGCTAAGATCTTGCCCGTCCTCCAATTGTAGATCACTAGTGTTACCGCGTCCTCAGTGAGAAATGGGAAGTAATTATTGAGAAGAAAGACCATCGTGTCTCCCGAGAATTCTAGCATGATGCTGCACTGCCCTGGTAGATAGTGGATTGTGTCGATATGCATGACTTTTTGCGTCGCCGCTGGATGCGGTTGCCCAGTGAGTGACTGTCTGAAGTGGATGTCAATGGAGGCCAAGAGCTCTGCTGCGGCCACGTAACTGTACGTTGTTCGCATGTAAACACGAGTTCAAGCTATGGGACCAAATATCAAACTCACTTGTAAGTGACTACTGCGATGAGGTCGTGCTCGTGGATGTTCAGACCAACGTCGATCACCCGCAGGCCCACATCCAATCTTGACCACAGATGAAATAGCTCTGGTTCTTCCGAGTTGCAAGCGTCATTAAGGGGAAGGGTCCATACGGCATCTGTGCCCAGGTTGCTCGTAGGTATCAGTCGCTCGCCAAACAGTGCAAGGCCCCCCGTGAGATCGTAAATCCCTGAGGGATTGAGAGGCATCATAATAGTTTTGCGATTCGAGAGGTCTAGCCTTCCCCACGCTTCCTCCTTGTGCTTCAACGCATAGAGCTTCTCCCCCGAGACGAGAGGCGAAGCTGGGTGGTCGACCATCCCGGCGGCGAAGAGGCCGATGGCGTACTGAAATGCGGCATGGGACTGCACGAGGGCATAGAGGCGTCTGCACACTGGGAGCAGAGAGATGTGCTCTCTGGCTCCGAGATACGCAGTGATGTCGGCGAGAAGCTCATCGGGGAGTTCAAGGAAAGGGCACATGGAGGGAAGATGAGGAGAGCTTTGTCTAATCGCTCGCTACCACAGGCTGCCACCGGCGGCAACGGAAGACGCCCCGGGACGACTAATAGCCCAAGTGAGCGCTGAGCAAACGCTGAACCGTCCACCTCTCGCTTCTGTCGAGAGATTCTTATAAGTATTTAAGTAGGTAATGCTTCATCTCCTACCCAATTGCGGCACCGCGGTCGTCACGTCCTCTAGTGTGACCTCTATCTCTCGGTTCCATTTTGGAGTTGCACAAAGAAAGTTCCTATAATATTGTTGGTGACGGGCCGGGAAAGCCATAATATTCGTATGTCGCGGGCATCGCTAACGCCTTCACCAATTTCCGTGGATATTGGTGATTCTTTGACAGAGTCAAGGACGCCTCCACTAGGTTAGAGTGGCACCCATGAGTCTGCATTCTGCGGAATGATGATCACACAAGAGACACCCGGTTTCAGTGGTCACTGGCCGTTGAGAGAGTCCGAATGTGTTGACACTTGGTCTTGTAATGGAGTGTACTGTAGTGAGAACAAGGGACATTCCAGGGCTTTGCTTCGTTCCAGAAATACGGGTGAACGTATAGGTAAATAGCAGTTGCAGGGGTATATTGAGCAACGAAGGAAATCGCGCGCAGGGAATGAGCAATGTATACACAGCAGTGGTTCGACAGCAGATGGAAGCAGGAGAGCTCAAATAGCAATCATGGCGAAACACTCACTTCGATGGAGGAGTAGGGAGAGCTGGTGTCCTCGAAACGACGTACCGTGCCGTTCGAAATCCATGACTGATAGCTTTGAACAACCCGACAATCGCGAATTCCTCCTTGCGGACGAGACGTGATCGTAACCGCCACCAGTTCATGGAAGTGATGATCTCGTCGAACCGCAGCGAAACTTTGTCGGCAGTTGGACGTTTGAGGGGATCCGTCTGGATCATATCCGCAATGAGCGGTTCCACCATCTTCAGCCCGTAATATTCCTGTGGGCGGGTGTCAGCCCAAATGAAAAGAGTTGTAATGCCATGTTTATACCTGAGTGAAAACCGACCGGAATAGCTCGCCTAGGCAGTATATATCGGCCGGGAAGGGATCGTGCAGTTCATTCAACCCCGGGCCCTCGAATTCGGGCACCGTCCGACTGTCGACCAGTACGGGAGGCGCACGAGGGGCAACACAGTCTTTGGGGTATTTGTACGACATCCCAAAGTCGATGAAATAGTATTTGGGGCGTGCCGTAGTGCGAGTGGTGCATTTGATCCTGCGACGGAAATCGTAGCTCTTCTTTGGAAAGCGAGGGTGAGGCATCTCTGACAAGAACGGCACGGGGGACATCATGATGTTGTTGTACTTGATGTCCCTAACAGAGCACGAGAATAAGACTTGGCAATCGACGAAGAAGCACGAGTTCGACTTGCCGATGAGCACCATGATGTTCGTGCATGAGGTGCAGGCCCTGTAGGGCGCCGTCAGTGGTGTGAAAGAGCGTGAGGAGGGCAATGCTACCTGAATCAGTTGCCGCATGCATTCTAAGGCTTCCCCACTAGTGCGAAAGGGCGGCTTCTCGAAAGGCCGAAGGAAGGGAATGACGATGAAGACAATGTCATCGTCGAGCGGGGACTGCATAACTTCGTAAACGGGTACGCAGTGATTGCGAGGATCGGATGCAAGAGGCTCAACGGAGAACATGCGAGATATTTCAGGTTCGTCAGGCTCGTCGTTCTTAGATATGCGCTTGAGAACGACAATAGCGCCGTCTGAGATGCGAGTTGCGTCTACCCAAGGTCCCTGTTCGAGGTGTCAGCGAGACGAAAGATCATAAGCGGAAGACGCACTAGTATAGACGCTCCGTCTTCACAGAATAGCCAACTCTGCTTAGTTCCTTGCCATGACGGAACCCAGCCATGACGGAGGCGAGGGCGAAGGATATACCCGCGCTCCTCGAGCCAATCTTGATGATCCCTCCACCAGATCTCGGGCCTGTAGAGACCGTTTTTGTCAGTGAGGACCAAATTAAGCGTCGGATCGTTGTCGAGGTATCTCTCGAACCAGTCAAGGGGTAGTTCGTCTTCCATGGGGCAACGGGAAGTGAGTGGAGGAGGGTAGATGGGAGAAGAATCTGCGTGACGCCTCGGCACGCGGAGTAGATATCACCGTGTATACTCTACGTAATTGACACCCACGGTACCAGTGTTGGATACACAATTCCTCGACAGTTGTCCCTGCATCCTGCCTTTCGGAGCATATCGAACTCCCAGCCACACTGCGCTATGGGAGAGCTCCAATTACGCAGGGTCTGATTGGCCAAGCGGCACCCATGACCGGTCACTACTAAACGTAGGCGCCTCTCACATGAGATGTCTACGGGGCGTAGTAGACAGACCATCTGCCCACGTCCCGTACACGTCTCATCCTTCACGAGCCTCCATGACGCAGTGAATGTGTCGCTCACCGCTCCAAGCCATGTCCTGCGTAAAAGCATGCCATTGAGTCGGATTGAGCTGGAGCAAGTTGTGTGACAAAAACATGAATATTCACCGCAGTTAGAAGCGATGCCCGAGGCGATAAGTTTTCCATCTGCAGAAAGCGTGCGCTTCAGTAGTCGACGGATAGCCACTTGAAAAGGAATTTCACAATGGGCTCGATAGCAATCGACAGCAAGATGCGGGGGCGTTCAGATGAGGGTTCAGCAAACCGTACTTTATGGAGGAGGAGTGGGAAGAAGGGGTGTCCTCGATGCGACGTAACGCATCGTCCGGAACACGTGGCCAATGGCTCTGAAAAATCCAGTGATGGCAAACTCCTCCCTGTGAACGATGCGTGAGCGTAGCTTCCATGGGCTCATGTCAGCGAGGATCTTGCTGAAGTGCTGGGCGACTTCTTCCATGGTAGGCCGCCTGGAAGGATCCGTCTGGATCATATCCGCTACCAACGACTCCAATATCTCGAACCCATGGCTTTTCTGCAGACAGGTGTGAGCCCCTTTATGGGTTTGTATTCGGATACTCACAAGGATGAAATGCTGCCGAAAGAGTTCGCCTAGATAGTACACGTCGGTAGGGAATGGGTCATGCGGCTTGTCGGAGTCCTGGAACTTAGGAACGGTCCGTACTCTACCCTAGACCGGAGGCTTGCGAGGAGATATGCAGTTCTGTGGATATCTACGCGAGATTCCGAAGTCGATGTAGCAATATTTGGGTCGCGCCGCAGTGCGCGTGGTGCGCGTGATCTTGCGACGGAAATCATAGCTCTTTTTGTCGAAGATGGGGTGCGGTATCTCTGACAGAAATGGTACGGGGGACATCATCACGTTGTTCCTCTTGATGTCACTGACAAAGAACACGCATCAGATTAACAGGGAGGGTATAATACGTGGTTCTACTGACCGATGAGCGACGCGATATTCATGCATAAATTGGAGGCCCTGCGACCCGTCGTCAGTTACATACAGTTCAAAGTCAAAAACGAGCCGAATCCTGCCTCTATAAATTGCCGTATGCATTCGAGAGCTTCCCCCATGGTGCCAAAACGCGGAGCGTTGAACGGGCGAAGGAATTGAATGACGATAAAGACTATGTCATCGTCAAGCGGGGATTGCAGAATGTCGTAGACGGGCACGCAGTGATTGCGAGGGTCCGAGGCGAGGAGCCCAGCAGAGAACATGCGAGAAATGTCAACTTCGTACGGATTTGTGCTCTTGGAAATACGTTTGATAACAACGACTTCGCCGTTTGACATACGTATGGCGTCTGCCCAAGGCCACTTGTCGGTGGCGTTAGCGTGATAGATGCACCCAAACAGAAGACGTACAGATATTGGTCGTCCGTCTTCACAGAAGACCCAAAGTTTCTTGGTACCCGTCCAGGAGGGTACCCAGCCAGGTCGGAGGCGAGGGCGAAGGAGATACCCATGCTTTTCAAGCCATTGCTGGTGATCCCTCCACTGGACCTCGTTCGGGAAGAGGAGGGTATGGTCCCGGGGCTTTTGATCCTCGTCTGCAAGCCATACCCTGAACCTTGCGATGGCCTGTTCTTCATCCATAATCGTACAGAGATGTGAAATAGACTCGGGAATGTGGAGCAAAAATCAAGACAGGGACAGGGACAGAGACAGAGAAAAGGATGAGATCTCAGGAATTGGGAGGGAGTCGTGGGGACGAATTCAAGCCGCGGCTGAAGCGCTGACCCTCAGGAGAGACTTGGAGTGACAGCCCATGTGAGCTCTGGCAAATTCCGGGCTCACGTCACTTATTAAGTCTTATTATTGGGACGGTATGCTTCATCCACGATGCCGTCTGCGCACACAAACCGTCGCGTATGAGATGCTCCTAACTTCGCTCCGTATCGCCAGAAAGTGCAGCTTCCAGAATAGCCATAGATTTGGTGCTCCGACCTATATAATCATCTAGTTCAGGCCCGTCCTTGCGTGACAAGAACAAACAGCTTCTCTGTGTTGTCATACTAGAGAGGGTCTGCCGACCTGTTCGGAGCGAACTGCGTACGGCTGAGCAACCGACAGAAGGGACTCCGCCCGGCGCCGGCGCCCCGGATATTCCGGCGCCTCTTCCCTTGCATGTCCGCAGGCCCTGGCCAGGTGCGTTCTCTACGTACGCCCCCACCCGTGCACCCAACTCCCCTAGACGCGTCTTTCGCAGTCTCGCCATGGTCCTCCCACACAATCTCTGCTCGCACATCCAAAACGCGTTCCGCACGCGGCACCAGCGCATCGCCGTACACCACAACACCCAAAACCTCGCCATCCTCTCTATCCTCCTCCGCAACGGCTTCCTCTCCAACGTCACCCGCGGCACCATCAAGGCGCCGTCGCCCGACGACTTCCTCCTCGCCGGCGACGCGGAGAAGCGCATATGGGCGGAGCTCAAGTACCGCGAGGACCAGCCGGTGCTGACGGGCATTGAGCTCGTCAGCAAGCCCAACAAGCCGGTGTTCATGGACAGCAACGACATCCGGCGACTGTGCACGGGACGGCACGTCCAGAACGTGAAGCCGCTGCGGATGGGGGAGATTGCGATCGTGAAGACGCAGAGCCGGGAGCACCAGTGGGTGGAGGCACGGGAGGCGTTGGAGCTGAGGCTTCCGAGAGGAGAGGTGATTTGTCGGGCATGGTAGGAGGGCTGCCTATTATACTGGTGAGTAAATCTAGACCTACCGCGCCCGCCTTTGCTGACGGCCTTTCATAGGCCTCTCATAGTATATATCACACTGCACTAATTCGTGAACGCAATTCACCAACCTCCCGGCATATGCATGCTGCACAAGGCCCAGCTAAATCGAGCGTTGGAACACGGCGCGTCTCTTAAGACTCGTACTGCGTTTGTGAGATGGTTATTACAAAGAGGTAGAGTTCGGTACTGGTTAGGGGACACTAGGTTCTGGTGACCGGTGAGCTCTATGAACGCACATTTGCAAGTCCGCTTTGTGGAGGGGTCGAACTGGGATGGTTAGATATGCAAGCGACAGAATGTCGCATGTGAACCCGTCGTAATCGTACACTCTGTATACATTGCTCCATCCAACTCATACACCTGGCGGGCGCGAAGAGGGTCCTATACGAGTATTTCTCCTCGACGCTTTTCCGCCTCCGGGCTTCTCCATAGCGGCCTTCAATGCACGAATTGTGGAAACAATCTCGTCTGAGCACGAGATTACATCAGACATGACCCAGTTACGGGCGAGGTATAATTTCGTGAACTCACTGGCAATCTTCGGGTTCTCCGCCTCGAACTCGTAACGCTTGTTGCGCTCTGCGCCGCTGTGCACGACGAGCTTGAAAGTCGCAGCATTTTTGCTCGACTGTTGGCACGCAACGACGCTCTTGAGGTGATAAGATGATGTCTTGCCGCTGTCGAAGACGTGCTTCGCCTTCGTGGCGCCTGGGATGATCTGGTATTTTAAGTCAGTGCTGGAGAGCAGTCCATTATGAAGAGTACACGAACGTGAATGTATCCTCCGTCGATCGTGAGTACACGGGCACTACGCGTTACCATCATCGGCAACTTGCGATACACGGTGTATTTCTGTGGAGCTGGTAAGCACACGTCGCAACACGAGCAATACACCGCTTACCCTGTAGGCCTGCATGAGATCGAGCATGCTGCTGAGAGTCTGCTCTTGAATGGAGACATCGGTAGTAAAGATCGACGCTGATGTAGCAAGTACGGTCAGCTTTTCGTCCGTAACGAGATTTGATGGACGGACCGTTTGGATCGTTGGTGGCCTTGCGCTCACGCATTTCCACACCGTACTCGTGAAGCAGGTTCTTCTTCATAAGGATGAGGTCGCGTCTCCCTTGAAGACTCCTGACCGTTCGGTCGAGTGGGATGTTCACTTTGGCCTCTTTGGTCTCGATCACGAGCGCGTACTCCTTCGGATCGGTGAAGCCGCGTTTCTGGTTCTGACAGACTAATTCTAACACCTCTTGCATGTACATGCCGCCAGAGCTGCAACCGTTGTATGAGTGACATCCATGGTAAAGGAATGCATGAAGTTGCGTACGCTTGGATCGTGGTAGAGACGTGGCCTGGCTCGTCGGCAGAACCCGCGATGCGGATACGGAGGAAGAGCGGAGGACCCGAGCTCGAAGAAGGACCCAACGAGCTCGACAGCCCCACTGATGAGCCCATGGAGCCGAACGCGCTGCTTGAGATGCCCAACAGGTCTGCCGGTGGAACGAGGTTTGTGGATGGAGCGGCCTGGGTGAGCAAACCTGTCGACTTCTTCTTGACAACCACGCGCGAGATACGTCGCTGTATCTTCGCCTCGAGAATCTTATTCTGCTGAACTAAGGACGAGTTGCGTCAGTGTCAATATCCCTTGAGGTAAGTGGTAACAAAACGCTCACTTTGTGATGGAGTGGCTTCGACGACGGCGTATGCCTCAAAGTTGAAGTTCGAGATCTTGCGCATGCGTTCAGGGGCTAAAAGGAGGGGTCAGAGCTGTCGCTCACTCGACACACGAGGAGTTACTCACGAGGCCAATCTTCGTCGACTTCACCATCCTCTTCTGCGATACGCAAGATCCAGCCACTTGCAGAGCAACGTATGTCCCACTTGGGGTCCTCCTCTCCACTCAACCCCTCGTCGATCTGGGGCAACCAGCTCTCTTCCCAATACGTCCAGAGCGCGTACCCAAGCACCTCTTCCACCGTGGCGTCCTTCTTGACACTGAGCTCAAGCGCTTGGTCCTTGGGTTTGCGAGCCATCGGGAAGAAGACACGGACGATCATACTGTCGGTCTCTGGCCGTCCAGATATTGCGCTGTACAGCTCCGTGAACGGGTTGGAGGAAGACGAGCTGGAAGTGGATGCGAGCATGGCGGTGAGGGCAGAAACACCCGCGCGGGCTGGCGGGACAGGGCGTCGTTCGAACATTCCGGCAGGTGTGTTAGCCGTGGCGGAGGGGGCAGGAGCGGGGGTCTGTGTCCTACTGTTGGCAGCGGTGCTTGGTGCCGGGGTGACCATCTCGAACATGGCGTCCAGCTTCCCGTCATCGTGCTCCGGTGAGACTGACGGCCGCTCGCCGCCTTCGCGGACGGGGCTGAGACGGGAGGCGCGTGCACTTGTACTCGGGGGTACTGAAGAATTGAGCACTGAGGAACCGACGGATGCGCCTGAGAGGATGGATCCAGTCTCCGAGGCACTGTCCGAGTTCACAGCTGCACGACTTGCGGCGAACTCGCTGTGGAGACGATGGGCATACGCGCAAAGACGAAGGGACTGAATGCACGTACGGATCGAACTCGTCCACCTCTACCGCATCGTCCGCGTCCGCGACCATGTCAAACTCCTCCTCGTCTTCGTCCGCCGCAACTTCGTCCTCCGACTCCGCTTCCGGCTCAGAAGAAGACGAGGACGAGAACTCCGGGTTGATGGGCATGGCGACCATGGGTGCCCGAACCATGCCCGGTCCGTTCGCTCGCGCCGCCATCCGCTGTCGCCTCCGCGCCGCCATCTCTTCTGCCCCCCTGAATTTCGGGATGAACATAAGCACGGGGCCCTTGGCGGGAACGGGCGGGGCCGAGCCATCCTGAGCGTCCTGTTTCTGTGGCTGAACAACGGAGTCCTTGATAGGGGATCGGGGGCTCCTCGGCTTCATGGGGGACGTGGGGGTGGCGGCAATGACCTCAGTGGTAATTAGAGTCTCCTCGTTGCTGCTTTTGCCACCGGCATTCTCGCGGCTGAGGGAGAGGCGGCCGGGATTGCGGGGCATGGACTGGCGCTTACCGTTCACCCTGAGACCCATCGCCCCCGTCCTGGTGGGTCCAAGGATCGTCGTGGTGTACTTCAGGTTTGCACCAGGAAAGCCGGAGTGCCTCCGTCGTACGGCGGGCGCGGATTCGTCGTCGCTGGGAGTGGGGCTGGAGGGCATGCCCAGCTCGGGCCACCGCTCGATATCTGCGAGGCCGGACGCATCGATGTAGGGGTTCGAGTGGTAGTTCTGGTCGAGGGAGATGATACGCGCTCCGTATGGGTCGTCGATGTGCTTTAGGTATTGTACGCGGAGGCTGTGGATGAGATAACTACGGGGAAGTTAAGAGGCGCATTCTCGGGAAGTAGAGTGCAGAGGACGTACTCCGTATCACTAATCAGAGACATGTTTGATTCTTATCTCAGGTTCTCTCTGGCAGAGCCGGCTTTGCAGGTGCTCGATAGCCCTCGCGATGAGTGGCTCCTTGTGGCGAGGCGCGCCTGGCACAATCACTTCGCGTACACTTGCCTAGACTCTGTCAGTATGAGACACGCAGCAGCTGGTGTGGTTTGGTTTGGAGATAGTGATAGCGGAAGACGGGAATTTCGTGACGAAGGGGGTGTGAGAAAGAGGGTCGAGTGTATGCGCGCCGGAATGCGCCCCGAGAAGCACGGAAAACGCGCGCGTCCGTTGGGAGTGCTTTGCCACTGCTCTCCCATAACTCTTCCTAAGCCCAAAACGAGGCTGCACATCGGGGGTAATCTCAGCGCACAAGAGCACGATGAGTCCCCCGCTGTTGCCGTTGGCTACCCCTCTGAGTTTCTGCCCTACTAGTCTTTATTCCCGCCTAAAACAAGGAGGGATAACTCGACGCTAAACCTGCACTGCCAGTGCGGAACGGCTTTGTCGCTCAGGTGCGTATAGTCGGCTACATTCCTCAAAAGCCCTGCCAAGTGACGTGACTCGTTCTAGCTTGACACGCCAATGCCACACTGCACATTCGAGGGGACCTACGCGGACATGGTTCACAGTGAGTAATGATCCGGCACCGATGTTTAAGTTTTCGTGGAGCCCGCTCTCTCGTCGACCCCAGCCTGCGTGATCCCTCCTATGTGGCGAGGTTGAACGGTGCCCTATCTTCACCTACACATTAGATGCGGACGTGGGTTTCCACCATAGCCTACGTTCTGTGCACTTGCTAATTCTGGCTGCAGCTCTACACGAGAGTCGCTGCGGGGTTCCAGTATGACCTAGTCCTACTCCCATTGCTGCGCCAGGAGGACTTGTTCGCCGGGGGTGCGAACGAAAGCATCCGATATGTCCGTGGTCCAATCTCCTTTCTCATTTCATGTCCCATATCACTACGCCGTCGTCCACTCGGGCAGGAAGCTGCGCGAGTGGAAGGTTGGACGGACCCAAGTTTGCCGGTCTCGATGGGGCGACATCGTGAACATGAAGTGCATGCTTAGGATTTGCACCGATTAGCTCATCCATTCACCAAACCAAGGTGTCGACGGCAACAACGTCGCTCCCAGCGACGCAGGTCACTCAACGTTCCTGAAACGACCCTGGACTCCGGACAGCACTGCCGCCTCTCGTCAGAGGGAACGTCCGCGGCTCGGAGCGGCGACATACTTACCTACGGTGGGCGATTTGGCACCAGTAATCCTCACCCTAGAGGGCCACCATCGATGACGACAGTGCAGATGATCTTAGGGAAGGCAGGAGCACGTAAAGGTTTGGGCCGCTTAGATCCATACTTCGTTTTCCAAGACCGGAAGGTCGCTTTGAAAGCGAGTGGGGTTTGGTGCATGGTAGGCCCTGGCATTTTGCCGCAGCTTGTAGTGAGGTGGAAGCTTCTAAAGATACGGTAGCTTATTGAGGATGTACAATGTTTGTCCATTTCCAGTCTTATTCGCGTTCTCGTGCCCTAAACACCATTTCCTCGAGAATTGTAGTGGTATGCTTAGTCTTTCTCGTCATCGATGAAAGTGGTGCTGAGGCATCCCGAGCTCAGACCACGCTCGATAGTCGCGGTTGAGGGAAGTGATGTGTACCGCGTCTGGGTCGTCAACACTGTTCTTCAGCCATTGCATGCGCAGGCTGTGGATGAGATAACTGGGAAGCTGAGACGCACATTCATCACTCATGGACATGGTCGATGTCCGTCCCAAATTCTGTTCGGTAGATATGATGCTGTATGTGCTTCCGACCACTTAAGGGTAAGTCTGCGGCGCTGATATCGTTGGACGACAGAGCATCTGCAATTCATAAAACGAGGCGCAAGTAGTGTACATCGTTCAAAGAAATCTAGAACAGCAATGCGGCGCAGACGGATCTCTCACATCAACCAGTAGGTATTCGCATCGTCAAAGAACTGTGGCACGATCGAGACGTTCAGATGGAGTATCGTGCCTACGATCCAAGTTAGTGTTTGTAACCACTCTATAGCCAAGAAGGAGCTTACACGCAACGCGGGGCCTTTAATCTGGAGCACAGGCACGATGAGGAGGAACAGTCCCGTCACGATTGCGGCTTCGACGCCAAACGTTTGTAGGGCCCCGTTTTTCATGGCCCAGGGGACCTGGAAATACGCGACGGAGAAACCGCCGAGAACACGCGCAAGGTTAATAAGTCCGGAGATTTCGCCTTGGTGCCGCGGGAAGCAGTCGTTGCAGTAAGCGTCTTGAGAACACGATTCGGTCAGCTAAGGACGTGCAGGTAGCGTTGGCTCTTATAACACTCACAGACGGCGACAGTGTTTATCATGATGGATACTTCAGCAATTCCCCAGCCCATGACGAGTGCGCCAACACTGAGGGTCTCCTGGAAGGACGCTCCTAGGAGAACAAAGCCGCAAATGTAGAGCGGGATTGCGAGGTAGCAAGTCCTGAAGGATGGTATGTGAGGAAGGGACTACTGTAAGAAGGAGAGAACTGACCACAGGCGGTTCTCTGCGATGAAGACGCCGTTATTGCGCCTGATGGAGAAGTTCATGACCCAATCGTTGAAGTAGCGACCGAGAAGCTCTCCGATAACAACCGCGACCTGCATCGATACCACAGATGAAGCACGAATAGGAAGAATTGAGAGTGGATATACTGACAATCGGAGTCCCATAGGCACCAGCAATACCGAATTGAGTGAAGCCATAGCCGGCGGGCTTAGGAATATCCAAGAATACGGCATTGGTAACCTGAAATATTTGTGAGTGGTTGATCAAGTCCAGGCAGAAAGGCCTCTTACGTTGATGCCGATGGCGAAGCCGAAGAGGATGCCCTCGAAAACCAGGAGGGGGAGGAGATGAGGCCTCCAGACACAGTTGAAGATGGGGAAGACTGCCTCCGTCCAGGTGTCACGGTACTTGGCCATCCTTGCTCCCGTAATGCCGATAACGGATTCGATGCGGTACCGCAGATTAGACGCGGGCCTCGGAATGGGCATGGGATTAGCCAGCCTGCGGTCAAACAACCTGAGGAAATGGTCAGCAAATCGTCTGAGCAGATAGTTCATCAGAACGCTCACGTCTCCTTGCCAAAGAAGGCAATCATAAGCACCACGATCAAGCTATATATGCTCCCGATGCCATACGTCCAGCGGAAACTGAGAGAATGTAAGCCAGTGCGATAGGAAAAGGAGGTCTTCATGATGTACCTGACACGTGCGACAATGAAGCCCATCATGAATGGCGAAAGGAATGGCGAAATAATGAACCCCATGGTCCACAGGTTCAGCTACGATATCATTGAACACCCAGCGTTCCATATAAGGTCGCCGACTCGCTCACCTTGCGCGCCTGGAGGTGGAACGGGAAGAGGTCCGTTACAATGTAAAGACCCTGTTGATCATGTCAGTATTCACTTCCAGTTTAGAAGAGAATCATGAGGAAGGTCACATACTGTCACCTGAGGACACGTTCTGGAACAAGCAAGATTAGAAGCACGGAGCAAGTCATTGGGTGGCAGATCAACTTACGCGAAGAAGCCATTCAAGCACCGCATGGCTAACGAACCATCAGCGGGTGGCGAACAGAGAAAGGCAATGGAGCAGCATACCCGTGAAAGTGTTGAGGTTCGGTGCAAAGGTGCAGCCAATGAGCCATCCCATCGCGAGGAGTTGCGACCAGAAAAGGATAGGTAGACGGCCGTAGCGGCGCATGAGCATGACGGCGACGATTCCACCCCATCCTAGCAAGAAGATACTCCAGCTACGAAGAACGTGATGAGTACATTGATGACATACGACACGTCTTTGCTCACTTCGAGGTGAGGTTGTTTATCTCGTTAGGGGTCGTGTTGTATGTCTTGGCGAGAGCAAAGATGTCCGCGATACCTAGTACAAGCTTGATGAGTAAGCCTCATAGCTCTGGAAACGCATATCACTCACCAATGCCGGAGTCGAAGTCCGGCACGATCGCGGCCATTGTGACAATGAGCAGCTGAAAGTTCTTCTCGAAGTCCGACCACTGCATGCAAATCAATACGCGGGCAGTGAAACTTCGGAGGGTCTTAAACGAACATTCTGAGGGTCCTCTGGGAAATCCGTAGGCTGAGGCCACAAAACTTTGGTTCCATCCTTCGACAGCTTCAAGCGGCTGGCGACAGCCTCACCGAACTCGACTTTCGCTTCCCTGGCGCCTAGTATCAGTATTATTCGCGTGGTCATTAAGTAATTGGAAAACTCACTCGGGATCAACAACGAGGCGACCGGCGTTATGCTCGTGGTAGTTGACGAGGTCGAATTCGGAGCCCGCCTGCGAACTCGCACCCTTTTCGTTGACCTCGGAGACAGACTGGGTCATCTCCTGCTTCTCCACACTTGCGTCTTGCGCACTCTTGTCGGCCATCGCGTCTCGTCAGCGTTGTGTGGTGGGCGGCGCGCCAGGGGCGAAAGGTCGCGAGCGTCGAGCGAGGTGGCGGCGGCGGCGCGGGGTTGCGGGGCAGGGTCGCACAGATGCGAACGCAGCGCGGGCGAGGTATCTATAGCCCTCGTGAGTCGCCGGCGGCCTGCCTGCGTTCCTGTGAACAGCTGAGTGCGCATGCGAGCTTAATCCGTGTCTAGCGTTGCCACGCGCTCTGTGATCCCCACGGGGTGCACACCGCGGGCGAGCGTTCACAGACGTCCACGGGTCCGGTGAGCTGGTAAGTCCCTTCGCTTCGTCATGTGCTGTTGCGCTGCGAAGTCAGATGGCAATTGCCGGCAGTCCAGCTGATCCATCAATGTATCACCAATCGAGAAGCACGTACCTAAGCGAGCTTAGCTGGTTGGTCGCGAGGTGTTCAAGGGCTTAAACGCGTTGTGTAGGTGTATCGAATTGTGATTGGCCGGCTTGGGCGGACCTTGCTTCAACGATCAACGCGCGATGAGGCCTTGAAGCTTGAGGACTCCCTTGCGGAGCCTTGAGGCCGCCAAGACCCTGTGGACAGCTGCGAAACGTTCGAAATCAGCAGTCGGACGCAATGTAATGAGAAAAGAATCACGATGACCTTCTCGCTCCCACCCCTGATGCGCGCAGCGAATCATACTTCCCGCACATTCACCTCCTCGACTTCCTCCCAAACAGCGCGGCTACCACGGACGACGACAGTCGGCTTCCGGGAAGACGTGTACACGGCACGTCTTCACAGCCCATTCTACTGGGTGTATGCCAAAACATTCGTCCGAGGAGGAGTAGGATCCATTTACCGACCGGAGTCCCGCACTTTCCTTCCGCCGGCATTCCGCTTAGTCTTCAGCAGCATGAGCCCCCTGCTCAATGGCTTCTTCGGAGCCGTTACATAAAATGATATGCGCAGCTGTCATTTTCAGATTGGTATTGCGAAACACTGGACGCTGGACGCATGAAGACTTACAACAAGTGTGTTGACCTGCTCACGGAGGTGGAGATCACGGAAAACCGGGGATACAGAGGACATGAAGCACGTGTATTCGGACTGAGCCAAGGACCAATCCTGTACCGTCCGCGTCATCTGCCTCGTTAGGGCGCTTCCGGAACAAGCCCTCAACCAGCCTCAACCGCGCCACCCCGCGCCACGCCAGGCGCACTCGCGACCTGCCTCCAGCTGCCTCCCTGCCGCCATCCCCTGATCAGTGACTCCAGCGACTTCATTTAGTAGTGGCTAGATGGGACTTGCACAGACACTTGCTATCTGAAAAGCAGTATGATACAATGGAAAGCAGCTGAGCCGGTACTTATGTACAACTAAAGCGAAACCGTCCTACTATATACTTGCCCCAAGAAGCGATCAGGCGACGCAACAAGTCTCGCGTCTCCCTGATATTCCAAGAAGCGGTACCCTCACTGTGTTCGGCCTTCCACATCACTGTGCTCGAAGGAGGCCTTGCGGTCGGCCGCAAGTCGGAGGCGCACTTTCTCCACCTCGCGGTTCCAGTCGGTGTGCAGGCTGAGCCACACCCCAGCCGCTGCGCTGTACACAAGCGATATGGTCAGACCGATCCACAGACCGTGCAAGTGCATGTCCTTCCAGAAGGCCAGCCAGATGCCGAAAGGAATGCCGATGACATAGTAGGCGCTCAGATTGAGCAGCGCGCCGGTGAACTGCTTGCCAATCGCGCGCAGGACTCCCCCGGCGATCGCGCTCAGACCGTCGAAGACTTGGAAGAGGGCGACTAGCGGGAGGATGGCGGCGACCATTGTGGCGACAGCTGGGCGTGGAAGAGCGTGAGAAGCTGTGGGAACGAGCCCACTAGATTGGTACACACCGGGATCATCGTTGAAGATGTATGCCCACTGATACCGGAAGGCCATAAACATCGTGCTGTATATCCGTCGTGAGCACGGACGTCACGGAGTTGGAAATTTGATAAGGTGCGCGAACCTCCATAGAGCACTTATCGCGAGGGACATGAGAATAGAACACTTCGTGGCCACGGCTGCACGTGTGGCGTTCTCTTCTCCGAGAAGGTTGCCGATGCTGAGAAGAACGGAAGAAGGATTAGGCTTATGGTTCAAGAGATGGGGTCGCACGGGAGCTGACCGAACCGAGGATGCCACGCTCAAGGCGAACGGAGCTTGGTATGTTGTCGATGCCGACACAAGAAGTACAGACTGTGTAGCCAGTGCGGTGGGGCCTAGCCTAGATACAACAAGTTCGGTGAGCACCAATAATCCGGGTTATGGTTGACGGGTATGCGTACTGGCTCGCCGCGACTGTGAGGAGAAACGTGATTGTCAGGTGACAGCTCTGTTCATCCACAATATAAGACTGCACTCACGTCCGACAAGTTCCCAGGACCACCACTCACTCGCGACCTGTCCAACGCCGGAAAGACCGAGCTGGACCAAGACACCGAGACTAGTGAAGCAACGCATGCTAAGTGGGTGCCATGCCGTCTTCGGAACGAAGAATACTCCATAAATGATGGAAAGTAGCGAGATCAGGTTGAAGGAGATTGCAGTAGCAATCGGCGCTCCGATAAAGCCTAGACGTATAGGCTCCGGTCCCCATACTACAGTTATCATTAGACCAGTTGTTGTTAAGGGAGGAGTGTATGTGAGCGCACCTAGCACATAGTTCAAGACGGCGTTGATGGGCGCTACACCCAGAATGATCCTCGTTGGAACGTCAAAAAGTCCTATGGAATGGCGAAGTCAGTGCGACGCTAATGGAGGAACAAGACATGTCTCACCTTGTGATTGGAAATATCTCCTGGAGATGGCATTGAAGGCGTATGCCGGGAGCCCAATTGACGCCCACTTGAGGTATACAGAAGCCAGCCGAGCGACTTCAGGCTCCTGCTTCAGATAGAGTAAAATACTCTCAGAGCTCCACCAAACGCAGAAGATGGGCTGCGCCGAACATAAGTTTTGTGTTTTGTCCAGTGATTGTCGTGTACTCACCACTAGAGCAGCCGACATGACGATAGCTAAATTCGCAATTATCAGTGCTGTTCACAAATCAAACGACGCGCCCACACGACGAACGTGTGACGGCCGACCGTGGGGCCCTGGCACCTTAAGATCAAACTGACTCACCCATGCGCTGAGACCAAAGACCAACCAATTGCGGCTGAGAAGAGGTCCATGCGCTGGGGAGCATGGTGTCCAACGTGCTCGCGAAGCCTTGGATTATACTGAATCCGGAGACGCTTGCAGTCATGGACCCAAGGGTGGACGCGGCAAGCGCTGTGGTGGACAGGTGTCCTATGGATATCACAGCGGCGATGACGAGCGAGAACTCGAAGAGATGTGTTCTGGGACCTCGTGTTACTGCACAGACGCAAGAAGTCCGAAAGGTGGACATACCCAAACACGGGGAGAGTGTATTTGGTGAGGATCGCAAGCTCTTCCCAGAACATTTTGGAGTAGACCGAGGGATCCGAAGAGTTCTCGGGATCGCAGACTTCCTGAATGCGGGGAACGGGGGGAGCTAGAAGGGGTGTGTGCTCAGTGGGGTCGACTTGTTTGGGGCCTGAGCGGTGGCCATGTCGGTCAGGGAGAGGGCCCATGGTGGGGTTGAAAGGGGGGAGATACTGGAAAGTGTGGCTGTCTCGCCGTGGAGTTGTGGTGCGGCCGTGGATATCTAGGCCGTTTTCGTCGCGGGCTTCGATGTCATGTTCGTCAAAGGTAGAGGGAGCTTCACTGTTCGTGTCGGGTTCGTCCAAATTCTGGTCGTGTGCCGCGTTGTACCGGGACAGAATAGCATAGTCAGAGGATAGCGAGGAGGGGGCAGAGTAGTGGACGTAGGTGGAAGACATGGCCGACACCAAGCAAGGTGGGTTTGGTCCAAAGTGGGGGTGAACGGCCTCTCCGAGGTCCGATGGTGGCGGGAGCCTGACAATTCTCCCCTGAGCGCTTCACCAATCGCCCGGTCCGGTCCGGTGCGCCTGATAGCCTTTGGCGTTCCCCAGCGCTAAATGACCTTGCTCAGGCCGCAGTAAATAAACGCGTGGCATTAGCGCCACTTAATACGCGACTTACCCCAAACTTACTTGTAAGCCTTCGAAGATTAGCCCGGCAACAAACGGAGCACGTCACCAAGTGCGGGTCTACTCACCTTCGTCACCTCCGCCCCCATGACCGACGCCGACCCTACACCTCCTCCATTACAGCCTCCTCTTCAAAACACTTCGTCACCGCGGGACAGGGAGCCGGATGCCGCCGACTTGGAGAGGTACCGGCAATGGTGGGAGGAGCGCAAGGCCAGGAAGGTGCGCGGGCAGTACGAGACTGTGCTAATGAATTTGTCTCACTTGGTGAGCACTATTCTCCCCGCTTCAATACACGGCGGCACATACTCACCTCAGTAACGCCGCTGCGGTAGGTCAATGGAACCTCTCTTCTTCCCTGAATATAGCGTCCGTACGTGTCCGCGGCGCCGTGCGGACCCGCGAGTCTTTCTTAGGCTCTCTTATTCACCCCATCATTCACTCGCCGGCCGAAGGAGATGACACGCTGGAGAACGTGCTGCGTAAAACGAAGAAAATCAAGGAGGTGCTGGAAGAAACCGACCTCTTCAGCCACGTTGAGGCCGTCATCGACAGGAGTCGCGACGCGCTCGCGCACGCGGACGACGTGGACGTGGTGTTCCTCACGAAGGAGAAGGGAAGGTACTATCTCAACACGAGCACGCAGGTCGGGAACAACGAGGGGGGTGCGGTACGTCGCTTTTACCTCACCTGCTTCTAATGCCCATTTCGGAAGCCTGCCCTTCTTCCTTTTCCTGCTTGCATTTTTCGAGTCGCTACACCCATGTTCCACACATGCCGTTTCCTTTCACTTGCTATGGGTCACAACTTTTGCTAAGAGTACCCATGGGTCTCATCACAGAGCGCAACATGTCGAATCCGCAACGCTTTCGGTGGTGCGGAGACCTTCGAAGCCAATGTGTCGTTCGCAACCAAGACACGGATGTCGTTCAATGGTTCCCTCAGTGCCCCCCTAACCTCGACGCTGAAAACTCGTGGGGAAGTCTCTGTCTTTGGCTTGGAGCGCGACAATTCGAGTTTCGCGAGCAGCTCGGAGGGCATCCGTGGTGTGCGAGCAGTAGTCAGGGTGAGCTAGGTCAGCTTCCTCTTTCCCGCGGCAGCACGAACAGCTCAACGCTTGTTCACAGACAAATGCTCTGACAGAAGGCACACATGAGTTTGGATATGAGGCTGTCTTGAGACATGTAGGCAACCTCACCCCGTCTGCGTCTGTCAGGTGAGTATATGCGCCGTCGTCACAGGCCCACACGCTGACCGACCTCTAGCATGCGCGAAGCCGCGGGGCAGTCGGTCAAGTCCTCCGTATACCACTCCTGGACACGCGATACCCGTGACGAACGATTGCTTGGTACCCGCGGCTCATACGTCAAGTTCTTCCATGAGCTCGCCGGTGCAGGTGGAGACACTTCTTTCTACAAGACCGAAATGCAGGGACAGCTCGCACGCTCGCTGCTACCTGGAGTAGTGAGCACCGCGCGTTGTTGAACTTTTTGCGTCGTCTGACACCGAGGATACCCAGACCCTCTCGTTCGCCGCACGGTCCGGTGCTCTTTGGCACTTCGGTGGCAAGTCATGCTTCTCGGACCGCTTCCAGCTTGGAGGGCCGGTTAGCGTGCGAATGTTCAAGCATAATGGAATGGGTCCTCATGATGGAGGTACGAGATTTGGGTCATGTTGCGAAGCTCGTAGCTAACATATAACGCAGCTGATTCGCTTGGGGGGAACTTGTTCTGGTCCGCTGGAGCTAGTCTCATCTCTGACATTCCCGGAAACCCCACTGGCCCGTGAAGACCCACTTGTTCATCAATGCGGGAGACTTGATGCCATGGACAGGAGTAAGCTTCGTATTTAGGTGATTGCCGGGTAATCGCCATGCTGACATCGAATGGTATTTGCTAGCGCATTCCTTATTGGATAATGTGGTCTCAAGCATATCGAAGCCGTCCATCTCCGCCGGGGTCGGCTTGTGTACAAACTCGATCCCATCCGCGTCGAGGTCAACTTCGGCATCCCTCTTGTAGCGAGCAAGAGCGACGGCGGCCGTAAAGGCTTCCAGGTCGGCATCGGCCTCGACTTCCTCTGATAGTTGCCGCCGCTTCGGCGTGCCTATTTACTTGAATATACCACTCCTTATAATCCCTCTGCTGGAACTATATATCCTCCATGCCTACTTTCTCGGCCAGAATACTCTCCAACGGCTGATGTCCAAGATGAAACACTCATGCGAGTCTAGGGCGACACCGGCGAGTCGGGGTGGAATATCGCACCTCGCGCTTTTACTCAAAACACGACTTAAAAGGTTTCAGAACACTTCGGTCCCAGGGGGCGACTGCGACGACCCCTTGCGACCCTCGGCCCGAGCAAGCGTATCCCATAGGCCAGGCACTCCCGTTAGACTGGAGATCGGTGGAAGACATGACGCACACGAGCAGATCTCGTACAGATCTAGGTTGGTGGCAGAAGCAGGCCGTGGGTGGCGATGAGTCGATCAGCGTGGAATGGAACACGAACGCTAATCTCCTGCCTTTACCTGGTGCGCTCAATCACTGCATCGCAGGCTTTTGGGACCCGGAAGTACAGCGACAGACGGTATGGAGGTTCCGAGAAAGGGGAGGCGGGTGTGTGCCCACAATCGCGTCGGGCGCGCCGGAACAACAGTGCGCCACTGACTAACAGTTGTGTATCACTGTATCGTGGCTATCGCACGCGATAGCCCTGCATATGGTCCCCAATCAGCAGCATCGACACCGTTGGCGTGGATCTCACACCCGGACACGCGTTCCTGGATGGGTTTTTTTTCTGGTGGTCGGCACGTGGGCGTTGGACGTTGAGTATTCTCCCGGCGTCTACCCCATCCACTGACATTGATCCTCACCGGCTAGCGCCCAGCTGCTCACACGACTACTGTAAGGATGCTGGTCGCGAAGGCTGGCAGAGAACACGAAGGTAACAGTCGTCCGCCTCGAAGTGGTTCAGTGACCGGGGTATCTGATGGGATGATGAACAGCGGCTGCTAATCTAGTGTGCCTCCACGCGAATGTCTTATCGTGGCTCCCAAGCTTCTCCATGATAGCGTCCCGTAAGAGCGCAGGGAGCTTGGGGGCACATGCATGCAGCCATCCTATATAACTCCAGCCGGGCCGTCGTGCGACCTCGGTCGTCCTGCGCCGCCCTCTGGCCTTCCGTCTCCTCGCTGAGCTCGCTCGCCCGTCCGTCCCGACACCACGACGATGCCGCTGTTCAACCGCAACGCCGGCACCGCGGCGGCGGAGGCTGAAAAGCCTTCCCGCCCCGAGTCCCTCAGCTCCGGAGAGAAGGACCCCGACTTCTTGGCGAAGAAGGTGGCCGACGTCGAGTCCCTCACGGAGGTAGAAGATGTGGCTTCCGTGGTCATCGAGCACGACGAAGACGTCGCCGTCGAGGTACGTCATCTGTCGTCCTGACCAGACTTCTTCTAAGCGATTTCTCGGTATTCAGGTCATCTCGACCCAAGATGATCCGGACTTGCCCGTTTACACGTTCCGCCTCGTGTTCCTGGGCATCGGCTTGTCCGCCTTCACGTCTGTGTTGGGCACCATCTACACGTTCAAACCGCAGAATGCGTCCGTGTCGCAGCTGTTCTGCCTCATCATCGCGTATGTCCTCGGAACGGCAATGCACTGTAGGTTACTGTTCAGTTCTTCAGAGCCGAAATCGTATGCTGATTAGGCTCTTGACAGCGGTTATGCCCTCCCACGGCTTTTGGCGGCACCTCAACCCTGGTCCTTTCAACATCAAGGGTACGTCGTCAGCTTGACATTGTAAAAAGCACTATCTGTACTGAGCATTGTGTTCCAGAGCACACTGCGATCGTCATTATGTCCTCGACTGCCTCGTCGGTGGCTGTGGCCATGGAGATCATTGCGGCTCTCGGTATGTCTCCTGCTCGCGTTCTCGTGTATATGAGACCTAACTTTGACAAACATGCAGATCTCTTCTATGACGTCAAGCTGAATGCTGCTGTCGCCATCTTCCAGATCTTTGCTACCCAGATGATTGGGTATGGTGTTGCTGGCATCCGTCGGTCCTATTTCCCCGTCTCGTTACACATTTCATGCTAAACGGCACTTCGCAGTCCGCAACCTGCTGGTATACCCGACCTAGTATGTTTCAATATGCGACTTGCTGTGGAACCGGCTCTGATCTAGTGTGTGATTCTACAGTGCATTCTACCCCACGTACATCTCCGTGGTCAACCTCCTTCAAAGTTTGCACTTTGGCGGTGTACTGAACCACAAGAAGCGTCGCTACTTCTGGATTGTGTTCGCGGCTATCTTCTTCTGGGAGTGGTGCGTGGACTGCTATTACGATGGTCTAACGGCGACCTAAGCCCCATTCCAGGATTCCGCAGTACCCTTTCCCCTGGCTCACGGCCATCTCCGTCGTGTGTCTTATCGACAATGGTCGGCACGATCTTGTCAGGAACCTCTTTGGCGCAGGATCTTCCAACGAGGGTATCGGTCTTCTCAGTTTCGGCACGAGCTGGACCCTCATTACTCAGGGAAACCCGCTCGTCTGGCCCCTCAAGACACAGATGAACTCGTACCGTCAGTCAATGCGACTGATGTTGAATATTTGGCGTACTCACTCCTAACGTAGTCGGCATGGCTATCGGATACCTTGTGCTCGTCCTCGCGTACGAGAAGAACGTCTTCAATGGGCGTGACCTTCCCTTCATGTCAACCTCCCTCTTCGGCACCGATGGCGACACTTACAATCAAACGGCTATCCTCACCAGCGACAACAGGCTCGACCCCTCCAAGCTCGCCGAAGTCGGTCTGCCGCGGTACTCGACCACGTACGCCATCTCGCAGATGTGCTATAACTTCAGCGTTGGCGCCGCGATCACCCACGTCCTCCTCTGGAGCTGGCCCGAGCTCAAGCGTGCTTTCGGGAACATGAACTTCATGAAGGGCGACCAGGATATTGACGACCCGCACTACCAGCGTGAGTGACACCATCATGGTGTTCTATGACTGCGACCTCATCATGCCAACGTTTTCACAGAGATGAAGAAGTATCCCGAGGTTCCCCAGTGGTGGTATCTCACTCTCTTCCTTGCTTCCCTAGCTGTTGGCATTGGTTGCAGTGTAAGCTATCGTCTGCCACCTCCGTTGGCCACGACTAACCGTATCTATTCGTTCAGTACAACGGTGGTGACTGGCTCATGCCTGCTTGGAGTATTATCGTCTTCACCATCATCAGCGCCCTCCTCGCCGTCTGCTTGGGTTTCAGTGAGTTTTTGGTGTTGTGTCCGCAACATCAATAGCTCATCTGTTTCGCGTAGTCTACGCTACGACTGGCTTCCAGATCGCCATCAAGTATGTCATCTACCTGCTGGCGGCTTTCGTGCACCCCGGAGAGCCTATGTGCGTCCAAATCCATCTCCCCTCCACTCATATTGCTCACGTGCTCTCAATTCTCTCCGCAGTGCCGTCATGTACGCGAATCTGTACGGCAACAGCTCCGCCTTCCAGACAATGAATATGCTCCAGGACCTCAAGCTCGGCCAGTACACCAAGCTTCCCCCGCGCGCAACCTTCTGGACGCAGATGGCGGGCTCCATCATCGGCTCCGTCTTCAACTACACGATGATGTCCACCATCGTCGCCAACAACCGCGCCGCGCTCATCGACCCGATCGGGACCCGGGTGTGGTCCGGGTGGATCATCCAGTCCTACAACTCGAACTCGGTCGCGCTCGGCGCGCTCGGCGAGCAGCTCTTCACCGTCGGCAAGGCGTACGACCTCATCGGCTTCGCGGTGCTCATCGGCTTCCTCTTCCCGATCCCCTTCTGGCTCGTCGCCCGCTACGCGCCCAAGGGCTCGCGCGTCGCCGCCGCCGCCGCGTTCGTCCACACGCCGATCGTCGCGCTCTACGTCGGCTACCTGCCGTACTCCGTCAACGGGCAGTGGTGGAGCTGCCTCGTGATCGGCGTCGCGAGCCAGTGGTGGGCGCGCACGCGCCGGCCGAAGTGGTTCAAGAAGTACAACTACCTGACGTCCGCCGCGCTCGACGGCGGGAGCCAGGTCATCCTCTTCATCCTCTCGTTCGCCGTGTTCGGCGCGAGCGGGAACGCGGTCGAGTTCCCGTTCTGGTGGGGCAACCCCGACCCTTCCGTGATCTCGGTCGATCACTGCAAGTCGACGTAGGAGGAGGACGAGTCTCATGTTTAATGCTTCACGATATGATGTCGGGATTTGTACGAAGCGTGTATCCGTAGAGCTAATTTTACAATTCTGAAATCCCGACGGCGTGTGCATGCCTCAACTCAAGGGCTCTGCCGCCTGTTGCATCCTCTTTTCGATGATCCTGCTATTGCTGTGAAGTTTTCTTCGACGCGACGAGGTACTCATCCCTGTTTTTGTCTTGAAAGTTCCCCGCAGGCACGTTGAGGGTGAACGAGGGGCATACAAGGGGAACGCTCCATGGTCCGGGATGTCCGCGTCCAGGGGCAGCGGTCGGCCGAGCTGCAGCATCAAGCGGAGTGAGCCCAAGCTCCCAAACAACACGTTGGTCGGACGCACAGCAACAGACGTCAAGTACGTCCACGCCCGCGCGACGTTCGGAGACCTGTACCCCCCTCCCAGCGCGCGACGCCGCCCGTCAGCCGTCTCCCTCTCGCCCGGACCCGCGCGAGACACCGCCGCTCACCTCCGCCCAGGAGCAGCACCTTGCACCCCCACCCGCACACCCGGTCCACGCACCAGCCCATCGACCCCTCGCCGTCCCCGATCGACCAGTTCCACGTCGCGTACGGGTCCCCCGCGAGCCCGTCCGCGCCGCACTGCACGACGACGCAGTCCGGCCGGAACGCCGCGCGGACGCGCTCGACGAGCGGCCACACGCGCGCGAACGCGCCGCGGCCCGCGCCGCGCTCGAGCGGCAGCGCGAGCGTGAACGGGTCGAAGCCGGCGTCGGACGGGTCCGAGAGGCGCGCGAGCTCGTCCGCGGGGAAGAACCCGGGCCGGCGTGGTGGACGGAGAGGGTGAGGACTTGCGGGCTGGAGGAGCCGGCGGCGGAGCGGTGGAAGGCGTGGGAGACGCCGTCGGAGAAGTGGAGGTCGAGGTCGAGGTACATGACGCGCGGGCGGGTGAGGCCGCCGTCGGGAGACGGTTGGGGGCGCTTGAGCGCGAGGATGGCGAGGACGCAGTCGGCGACGTAGCAGAAGCCCGAGGCTTGGGCTTTCTGCGCGTGGTGTCTGTTGAATTGAGATCAGGAGGCGCGACCTGGGTGAGAAGCGTCGGGCGCACCGTCCTCCGTCCCAGCAGATGGCTATGTCCACTTTGTCTTCTTTGAGTGCTTTGGCGGCTGCATTTGTGTGAGAAGATGGGAATTTGTGGAAACCATAGCAGCATGTGCCCACCAGTCAGTGATGCCCCCGCGACGTACTTGACATAGTCTCTCATCTGCGGGAACGGTGGACAATCCTGTTGACATAACTACTGTCAGCGCACTTGGACACCATTAGACTGCCAAGACCACTAGCCTCTGTCAGACCGAATTCTTCGTTTGCGTCGTCCTCGGTGCTGACGTCTTCCTTCAAAACGTGCTCGAGAAAATCCCGGTCATGATACGCTGAGAGCTCCCGGAACTCTGCGGGGGACGGCGGCAGGCTCTGCACGCCTAGACCGGCGTCATCGGTGGATAGCAGCCCAAACGCTTTGACGAGCGAATGGACAAGCAGGGACCTGTTCTTGTTGGAAGGCAGCAAGGACGACACCTAAGCTGAAGCTTCTTAGAGGGGATGGCATACCCGGATACCATAGATGCCACTCACCTTTACAAGATCGTTAGATACCACGTAGCCCACTCTTCTCTCGTACGTCTGTTGCATGTCACCAATTCTAAGTTAGTCGTGCGCTTCGAGGTACGCGGCTACGTCTTGAATGAGAGTGGTCAGCATGATGAATGGGCATAGATCGCAGTTTGACGGGCATACAAAACGACCCTTGGACTTGGCGTGCTTACACACATTGTATGACTGCCAAGACGAGCTACCTGGACTTGAAAGCAGATGATGCACGCAGGCGAGGAATTCGACCCGTGCCAGCCGGATATTGTGCAAGTTGGGACAAAGTTGGGAGCTTGCAAGTCGAACTGCCAGTAAGCGCCAAAATGATGAACCGGTCCGATTTAGGGTATGAGCGTGGGAAGTTGTCTCCTCTCTATAGTATGATATTCTATTCGTACAGACTACGATGGTCTACTCGCCGCCCTGTTTGTTTTGAATCCGCTCGATCCTCGCGATATCTCTGCTGCGCGCGAAGAGAGTCCTCAGCCCGACGGCCTTCGTCGGGGCGTCCACCCGTCGGGCAGCCTCTCCTTCCCCATCCACTGCTTCAAGTACGCCTTCGGGACGCGCTTCAGCCCGTCCGCCGCCCCCAACTCCTTCGCCTCCCCGTCTCCCCAGCTCTCCACCCCAAACACCTCGAAGAGCAGCGAGAGCTCGAGCCGGCTCGCGCGCGCGTGCACCGCGCCCAGCGGCCGCGCGACCGCCTGCCGCGCCACCTGCGCCTCGCACAGGTCCTCGAGCGCGAGCCCCCACTCCCCGCGCGCGCCGCGCCGACGAGCAGCCGGAGCAGGCGCCGGTCCGGGCGCACGGGCGCGAAGGGCGCCGCGGGCGTCCCGTCGTCGTCGTCGGCCGCGGCGGCGTGCACGAGCGACGCGTCGTGCTCGAGCGCGAACGCGCCGCCGTGCCGCGCGAGCGCGTGGAGGTCGAGCGTGCGCCCGCCGCCGCCGCCGCCGCGGAGCGCGGAGCCGTCGCCGCAGCACGCGAGCGCGAGCGCGGTCGTGAGCCGCGCGGCGGGCGCGGAGAGGTTGTAGACCGCGCGGAGGGCGGCGATGAGCTGGGCGCGGGTGAGCGCGCGGCCGTCTCGCGGGCTGCAGGCAGGTGGCGTGTCAGGGTGCGGCGGACAGAGAGGTGGTGTGGGCGGAGGCTTACATGTATCCGTGGTTTGCGAGCGCGTTGAGCGCGGGGCACGGCGAGCGGCTGTCGGTGGGGCGCGGGGGGATGTACGAGTGGTCGTTGAGACTCATGGAGGGAGTTGGAGTTGGGGCTGACATGGGGCGGGGTTTGGTGGGGCGGGAATACTTCACGGGGCGCTTTTCATCTCGACTGGACACCGTCCATCCCGGCCTGCGTGTTGAAGCGGAAAGGCCTCACGGGTAAGAGCCTCCGCTAGGTGCGTCAGAGCGCGGCGCGGGAGCGTATCGCGCTGTCGGGGAAAGAGGCAACGAAACTGGCCTGCATCGCACACGGGACGATATCCGTGACGGCAAGGACTTCCGCTGGTCCGCAGTACTTCGGGTTCCGCATTATTGCTGAGACTGACAGAAAACAATTTCGACGGCAAGTTCGACCAGCGCAGGCCACATACTTAGAGGGGGCAGAATCTGGAAGGGACAGTCCTGTACATGCGCGAAGGAGTTCGAGCCAGCGTGCTGTAAGTACTTCAACAAACTCTACGTAATGTCACAGTCCATAACCAAAGTCAGAGGACACTGTACATCAAATCCTATCCGGTTCCAGAAAATGATACAGATGCGCTCACCGCCATATGTACAACGCTGACGAACGGGGAGCCACCAACCGAGCCCATACGTCCGCATATCTACACAATTTCCTCTAGCTCCAGCTCTTCCCCGATGTTGGTCGACCGCACCGACCGCGACGGCTGTAACGACAGCCGCTCCGCGTCGGGATAGCTCGCATGCGTGTGCATTCTCGCGACACGGGTGTCTGAGCCAACCGCCGTGAGGCCGATTAGCCACGGGCTGTGTACGTGCTGGAGCTCAGCTGAGCCATCACTAGAATCAAGTGTCATGACATCTGCCGCGTCGATCCCGGACCGGAGAGGGGCCCCTATGTTCTCGAGTATGTCTTCGGAGTGGAAGATGGTGGAGAAGATCGGAGTGGGGAGTGCGCCGGAGGGGCGATCTGAGTCGGGGAGTGTTTCGGCGACTTGGCGGAGGTTGAGGAGAAAGCGGGTGATGAGGATGGAAGTAATGCTAAGGGAGTGTCAGATTGAAGACAACCGAGGAGAAAGACGAATGGAGCGTACGGAGATACGATATGTGAAACGCTAGTTGTTCCCTGCTGCTGCCGTGAGCATGGCAGCGAAAAGCCATAGGCTTGGTACATACGTTCGGGATGGAGCTGATAATCATTTGCGCGACGTTTAATGCTAGAAGGAGTCTAGTCCCATGTAAGCATGAAAGAGAACTCAAAGGGTCGAAACGCTCACAAGAAGTACAAGGTCCCTGCGTAACGTTCGAAGGGCATTAGTCGAGAACTTGACACTACGAAAAGAGAAAACGCACCGTCTCGTAGAAGCAGCACTGACAGAGTGGGGTTCATGTCTAGTCGGAGCGCAGCCTTCCTTACACGTGCAGTCTTCATAAGCGTGAACAAAAGAACCAGGAAGCTCGCGAATGCGGAGGTAGCGCGGTTGATGAAAATAGCTGTTGGCCTAGTGTTAACGGGCGTGACCAGAATTGGTACAGCGTTCCACACGCACCGCTAGAATTTTGTCAGATATTGAATGTTGTCAGAACATGGTGCCGATAACGTACGTAGTAAAAAGCGGCATCGACCTGAGTGCACACCCCTTTGAGGGTGGCGGAACGATGATGGGAACCGCCTGAGAGTACACATACTGACCCAGGATGGCACATGAACAGTGCGTCACTGTACGTATGCACGATGCGGCGTGATGATAACGTACCGTACTGCAGATAGGGCTGACGAGGAAGAGGAGGAGGACTGGCAGGGCGGGTCGCCAGTCTCTCGACCATGTAGCATATATCCTTAGAGCAAAGAAAACTTGACAAATTTGTATCAACGGTGTTATTCTGTGAAGGAAACTAGGGCGGAGCCGAGAACTTGCCTGCAGCGATGACGGAAGCTAGAATTTGAAGCGACTGGTGTGCACGTACGACGGGCGAACAGCTGACAACATCGGTAAATACACGCGCGCCGGTTGCAGTTCAGATTCAGACCATGTACCTCTGGGATGCTTTAGCGCAGGATATAGGATATATAGTGATACGCACCGTGACTTTTCGCACAGGAGCTAGTTCGATCAGTGCGAGCATACTGATCGCGAGGTTGACATAGCGGTTGAGCAGAAAAAGCCCAGAAGGTGCACCGATCCGCTTGCCCCATATGTACTCAACCTCCCGGCCAAATGTGATTATGTAGTCGAAAACGAAGAGTACTTTGGGCGCATATAAACACTCAGCTCCGAACAACACAGTGAAGTCGTGTGATGAATGACGTACCTCTGGCTGAGGCGTCTATGTATGACCCTTGTAAGCTGACCTCGCAGACTAGTTCACCGTTCCCATTCTAATGCGCATATAGCAATGCAATGTACTCACATGGTCCCAGAGGATTTGATCACATCATTGTGAACGGTATTGTGCATGGATGGAGGTGAGGGGGTGTTGCGACCTTGCTGGGGGAGGTGCAACAAATGTTCGCACTGCCGACCACGCCCGTCAGTCTATATCTTGCGCGCACTCTGCACAGGCGTATTGCAAAGCGTGAGGTGCCGAAACCGCTCGAAAATGCGGAGATACCACGTACCATGGGATGAAGAGTTTGACGTGAGCGGGGGAGGATTATGAAGGGAGGGTCTGCCTGCCCAGTGCGTGAGATGAAAGCGGGAGAAAGGTGGGTGAGGCGGCTTACGGATTTCCTGGTTTGCATATAGTCGGTCGTAATACTAATAGTCTGTCGGGAATCGGGGCGTCCGAATGTATAATGGGCGGTCGCGAAGTATGCCAAAGTGGCAACCAACAGGTGTCGCAGTCAGTGCTGTCCACAAGCCGCGACCACGGTACACCTGGAGCCCACCCAACCCCGAGTGTTCCCACATCCGGTCCACTGTTGACTCCATCTCGATGCGAAAGCCGCGAGGAAGGGTGTTGAGCAACGTGGTCGTGGACTGCCACCAGTGGCCGCCAGCCTTGAGCGCTCGATCCTAGCGCCGACCACGCTCAGTCGGCGCACAGCTGCTCGTCTTGTGCAACCCACCCGTCCCTTCGGATGCGGACGTGTCTGGATTGGCGCGTGGCCGCAGCACTTGGCCGTCTTCGTCATCTTCCGCACCTCCGCGACCCAAGCCAGTTAGCCTAAGTTACCCTTGCCAGGGCCTTGGCTCCCGAGACCCTGGCGCTCCGCGTGTCGCTTCATGCATCGCGCCCTCCACCTTCACACCAACCAACGCTCCGGCTCCCCCCAGAATCACAACGACGAAGGAAGTGGAGGTGAGTCTGTGACATAAGGATTTGCGCGCGACCCTCCCTCCCCGAAATTCTTAAGCGATGTTCTCTTTCCATGCGCCCGTTGTTTGCTTCCGGTCCCCAGTGTCTGGAAGCGAGAATGGTACGAAGACGAACCGGGCACATTGCACCTCAGCCACTGGACGAGGAGTGGGATCGAAATTCGCAACGTCTCACAAAGTACGGCAGTACATTGAGGGACGACACGTCGACTTCACGGCCCTCACGGCCATGCGGAAAGACATTGGATACTGGGCCAGTATCTGGGCGCAGTCGCGGTGTAGGATCCATGCGCTCGCGGCCGACAAGTTCCACGTACTAGACCTCCAGCCGGGATGCCCGATCAGCCAAGAGAAGCGGATGATGATCGCGCTGTTCAATGACTACATTAATGCCACGAAACGGGCGTGGCTCGTTGCTGCCATACTAGCGAGTCATTTCCACCACGTAAGGTCACAAGTGGTTGACCGTTCCAGGCGCGGAGCCACGAAACCGATGTGCAGTAGTACAAGATTCTCCGCTGATTGGTGAGTCCATAACAGCTTCACTTCGATGCAGCATCCATCTCAACACTTGTCATGCAGCCGCCAACAGCGCAGTGCGAGGACACCATCGTCGTTCTGTTTTATCGGAGATCCGGCGTTAATGCATCATACTTATGACTTGCTGCCTCGACTGGCGCTTCTGTCGAAACGTACATCCTCGCATGACGCATACTTTTGGGCACTTCCCGATGAGTATGCATTATGAGATAGTTATTGTATACAACATTCAGAGGTCGGCGGCGGTGGGGAAGATGTTGGGGTTGTAGCCGTTCGCCTGCAGACGCTTGACGAGGAAGTTGATGGAGGTCACGTAGGTGCAGTCCGACCGCAAGTCGGTGGTCCCGGCACCGCCGGTGAGGATGCCCGCGACCCTGCCCGTTCCGTCGATCACGACCGACCCCGAATCACCGCGCTTGGAGAAGACGCCGGACTCGGAGTTGCGTGGATAGACGGCGACCTCCCTCGACGGCTGACCCGGCTCGCCCTGGAAGCAGTAGCGAACGACGGAACGGATGGTGTTGAGGCGTCCGACCGTCAAGCCAGATGCGCCGCCGCGTTTGATGACCATGGTGTCGGGTTCGTGGTCGTGGACGAGGGTATTGTTGCCGGGCTTGCCCATCTCGCCGTCCGGGATGGTGCCAGAGAACTTCAGCAACCGGTCCCCAGGGTACTTGAACGAAGTCGGGTCGGGCGAGCGCGGGCGCATCCACAAGGTGAACTTGCCGGGGCAGATGGAGGTGCCAAGATCGATACAGTTGCCGACGAAGTTCGCCTTGTCGACGCGAGAGCGGTCGATCTCGACCACGGCCCAATCCTCAGTGCACTGATCAGGCCCGACGCCGAAATCGAGAGGCGGGGAGAGCACGACGTGGCCCATGGCGCGGTCGGCCGGAGAGCCCCAGTCGCGAGTGATGTTGGGGAGAAACTCGTTGAGAGCCGCGATCGCCCCCCTGGCGTCCTCCTCCTCGCGCTCGACACACGCCCTCTCCTTCTCGGCCTCCTCGTCATTACGTCCCTCAACGGCAAGCTTCCGAGCTGCGAGATACGTAAGAAGGGCATCCTTGCCCCAGATCTTCGACTTGATGGCCTCGATCCGCTCCTGGAGGGCGGCATCGCTGAGTAGGAAGACCTTCTTTGTCGCCTCGAGCGGGGCGTGTTTCTCGTTGGTCATGGTATCAGGGTGGAAAAGGACGTGGCGAGCGGTGAGGAGGAAGAGCTTGTCGGGGTGCTTAGGGTCGATGAAGAAGAAGCTGCCGGTACCCTCGACGTCGGGGGTGTCGGAGCCGCAAATGGGCAGGCCGAGGGTGGTGGCGAAGGGCTCGATGGCCTCGACGATGGGGTCGCTGGTGAAGACGGGCTTGTGCAGCTTCGCCTGGAGGGACGTCTCCGACGTACGGATCTCGACGTGGACGTCGGAGACTCCACTGCGCGTCAAGATGGAGCGGCAGCCGAGAGCGACCTCGACGCCCTTCGCGCCCGAGAGAGAGCCGGGGACGACCCCAACCCAGATGATGACGGGGAAAGACTCGCCGCCAACGTACCCGATACGCGCCGGGTCCAAGCTCGTCCAGGCCACCTGCTGGCTCGCGAGGTACGCCTCGATGGCGGAAGCGACGGTGGGCTCCCAGACGCGGTCCAGGTCGTGGGGACCGACGGGCTTGAGCTCCTTCGCGTCGAGGTAGGTCTCGATGCCCCAGGGCTCGATCCAAGGCTCGACGCTGGAACGCGCAACGAGCTCTGACTTAGAGGGGAGGCCGTAGTAGTAGCAGGCGGCCTCGACCGGAGACGGGATGCTGGGAGCGTTGGGATTCATCTGGGTGTGATGCGCGAAGCTGATGCGGATAGAGGAGCTGCTAGCGACGGGCTCAATACCTGTTGTTCATTCCAAGGGTGCGCAAAAATCGCCCAGGCAAGCATGATTCAGCGGGCTGAGGGACCTAATTAATGTGGTTAGGGTCTGTATTGGTGGACCAATCGCTCCTACCAATCGGACCGATCTGGACTCATTTGGTCCGAATGGCGCTCTTGCACGCTAGATAGCGTGCTAGTTGGCGGAGAGAGATCCAGTTATGAGAGCAGAGAGAGGAGATGACCGTCGGACTGGAGGAGGAGGGCCAAGGTTGAATCGATGACTCGAAATGGGCCGGGGAGTGACGTCACTCAAGCGCCTGTGAATTGCCAATCCGACGCGGCTCCACATGTATTCAGGCCTGCGCTTCTTGTGGCATCTCACTATCTCGCAGGACTACGAATTATGAAATAACCTACTCACGAACCTCACATTCAAGCGAACAACATGCATAAATACTATCGTACGGATACAGCGTGACAAGAACTCGTTGACATAGCATAGACATTGCGTGTGGCACAGCTGCTCCCAATACAAATGCTGGACAGCAGACCACGAGCGAATTCGCTAGAGGCAAGGAGTGGCGATGCGGAAAGTCGTGTGGGGTTCGTAAAAGCAATGTGACGGTCGGATCCGGGAAACCTGGGAGGGCCCGCCTATCGGATGCCGTCCCCGCCGTTCTGCTGCCCGTTGGCATAGGTCGACGTCGTGTCCGTGTACGCCGAGATGTCGAAGTCGTCGTCCTGGTTGTACGTCGTCGTCGGCCTGTTCACCTCTCCGCCCGGCGCGGCCGGCCTGAGCCCCGGGCCCCCGCTCGGATACGGCGAGGACGGCAGCGGCCGCTTCCTGACGCTCAGCGGCGACGTGTCCTGGAGGTTGTCCGTGCTCATGTTTCGCGCCGGCGGACGGCGGAACGCCGCCGCGGAGATCGTGCGCGGCGCGCCACCTCCCGCTCCGATGCCCGCGAGAGAGGGCGTCGAACCGCCCCCGCTGAGACTGTACATCGAATTTACAGCTGGCATCACCGGGGGTGTGAGGGGTGTGGAGACCATGGGGGTGCGGTACGGAGTTCCGTTCGACTCCATCGAAGGCACAGGGGAAGTGCGGGATATGGAGGGACGCCTGCCGCTGCCGTCCATATCGGTCGGCGCAGGCGGGATGGAGGGTGACGGCATCGAGCGGTCGCGTGCGCGCACGTAGCCGTCGATGCGTGGGCTCATCGGCGCACCCGACTGCGAAGAGACCGGCGGAGCGTAGACCGTGTTAAGCGGTTGCAGCGGCGACTCACGTCGCGGTTGGGTGGGGGACGGAGGTTTCTCCTTCTCTTGGATCGGCGAACGCTGCTGGTACGGCGACGAGCCATAGGGAGGCGCAGGGGATTGGGGAAGCGAAGGAGGACGCTCGGACGACGCTGACTGGGGAGGGGAGTTCGACGTCGTCATCATCAATGCGTCAAGCTCGCGGGACACTTCGTGCGCAGCCGCCATGTTGAGTGCATGCTCCTCAGAGAGAGCGGCGGCCGGTGGGCTGGGTGCGCGAGCCATTTGAGGGGACCCTGCGGTCGGAGACCGCGGCTTGGAATCATCTTGCGATTCCCAGGGCGAAGGCGGTGGTGATGTATTAATCGCTAAGATCCACCGGAACCATGTGAGCCAAACAGTCGCAGCCAGTGCGAACAGTGCTTACGTTCTGGGTGCTCCCGTACTGGCGGAATCTGAGGCCCATCCCCCATGGGTGGAACAGGTATCCTGGCAGACCGCGCAGGCGACCCATGCCTCTTCGAGTCGTTGTCAGGCTCCATCTCCGCACCTCCAAATCGCACCCTCCGGCTACCCGGACCTGTGGTATGAAGGGATTCGGTCGAGTGCGAGGGCAACATATACGCTAGCCCGTCGTCGTCGTCATTGAGCGAGTTCCGTCGCGAGCCAGAGGCAGGAGGAGCGCCAAGCCCGGTGGCCAAGCGCATCGCCGTAGGGAGTTGAGAGGGCGCAGCACCCGCTGGAAGACCTTGTGGCTGGAGATGAGGGTGTGTCGGCGTGTACATCGGCGGCGGAATCTCGAAGCTCTGCTGCGCAAAGTCGCTCTCTCCTTTGATGTCGCGGGGGTGCGCAGGCATGCCCATCCGACTGCCGGATGCGGGCAGAGGCGGCCCCGCGCTTGAACTCGCACCGTTGCTGACGGCATCGTTTATATTGAAGTCACCGAGAGCGAGAGCGACGCTGGACGAGAACGAGTCGTCACCGGGACGGTTCAACTCGATCGATGGAGCACGGGTGCCTTCGGCCATAGGAGGAGCGGAGATATACGGGTTTGTTGAGACGTTCGAGACGGTGCTGTTCGGCCCGGGAGGTGGGCGCGGTCCCCCAGTCTTGACGGGGAAGGTGGCGAAGCGACCGCCACGAGGGCCGGATAGTCTGCTGCCTTCAGCCGGACCAAGCGAGCTGGGTTGGGAAGGAGGACCGCCACTGAATGTGCCGAACTCGCTGATGGTGGGCTGTTGCGAACGGGGAGAGGTCGATTGGTCGAACTGCGAGATGCTGAAGCCGGACGTCTCCACAGGAGGAAGGCCGGCGTAAGGGTTTGTTTGAGGGGACATGGGAGGCGACGAGGGCATCTGCATTGGAGGAAGCGGGCTACCCATCTCCTGGCTGTAACCACCGCCATTGTGCTGAGATGCTGAAGGCACAGGCGAAAGCTCGTTGCCCGGTAGTGGGCGGATCGTACGATTCGTCGGGTTGGGGTTCGGATCCGATGAATACTGCACTTCATTGACGGAACGCATGGCCTCCGAGACGAGGAATTCCGTCCTCGCGTGGCCGGCGTAATAGGGCCGGGGCATCCCAGGCTGCGTCAGCTCCAGCGAGATTTCCTGCCCGAACATGGGTATGTGCGTATGACAAAAACCAATGACGACTCACCGTGACGGCGAGCTTGCCCAATTCGCCCACGATCTGCGCCCGAGGTTAGGCACGATCATCCCTCCCGCGATCCACAAGGTACGCACCACGCCTTTCTCGCAGCACTCGAGCAGTGCCCCGAACTTGCGCCCCATCCAGCTGCGGACCGACGACCGCTTGAAGTCACCAAGGTTCGCCTCCTCGGCCATAATGTCCGCGTCCATCTGCCTGATTTCGTCGCGAAGACGGTTCAGGATCTCCGTCTGCTGCTGCAGGTTCTTGTTCTCTGGGTTCATCTTGCTCAGCTTCCGTTCTGCGCCCTCTGCGTCCGCGAAGACGGACTTGCGCCGCCGCTTGAGCTCGTCCAGGTTCTCTTCGCGCGTGCGGACGGACTTCATCTGCTCGCGGATCGTGGTCTCATGGTTCGCGAACGTGATAAGGGCAGTAGCGAAGTGAGAGAGGAGCGCGTTGGACACCGCGAGCGTGTCCTGCTCGCGTACAGAGATTTGTATGTGGGTCATAAAAATCATGACGAGATGTACTCACCCCGAGGTCGTCGCCCTCGCCCTGTCCCCACATCCGAAGCGCGTCGGACGCCCGCGCAAAGTCCACGCTGAGGCGTTGCAATCTAGCCGGGGTTGGACTTCAAAATGATGGTGTGCAAGCAAGCAGCGACAACGTACGAAGTGAGCACCGTCTTCTCCGCGGTGATAAGGTCTTGAAGGGCTCGCAGGTCTTGCTTGCCTGCGAGCCCCGGGATCCCGGGCATAGTGGTATTGTGCGCGATTTTGCGCGCCGCGGTTTTAAACATGGTGATGGTAGCAGGAGGAGAATGAGGGTGGTCGAGGTCGTTAGAGTGGTGAAAATATCAGGGCCTGATGACGAAGAGGCGGTACAAGGCCTGCGCAGTCTGTGTGCACTTGGGGAACTACTGCGGCGACTTGCGGAGAGCGGAGATGTCACAGACCCGATTGCATCATCATTGGGCGCTTCTGCCTATTTATGGAGCGTCCCATAATTGGAAACGAACGCCAGAGTACTGCAACTTCAAGGCGAGGCCTGGCGAGGCTCAGCGACCAGAGGGCGACTGGTAAAGTCGTAGTTGCATATTCACAGGCCGCGGCAGGATAACGGTGGGGCAGAATACGGTCCTTGCAGCAGATAAGTAACAGTACATGCGATGGAAATTAGACTACAGCGGATCTGCTCAAAAAGCAGTATTAACAGTACATGATACAGTATGATGGTTGCGAGAGTATGTGATAAAAAGAGCAGCAGCAAGCACAGCGCCGCGGTCGCAACACAGCGCGTGTTCGGGCAAGGTCCTGCTTGCCTCGGTTGGTCGTCTGGCGAGAAGAGCAGAGCAGAGCAGAGACATAAAAATAGCAGCGGAAAGGTCTTCACCACCCCCGGTTCCATGTCGCCGCGATCTGGTCGAACATCACCTCGCCCTCGATGAACCGCCTTGAACGCCCCCTCCCGTTCATCCCAGCGCTCGCGGACACCCCAAGCACCTGGACGCTGCTCGGGCGCGACTCCTTGGCGCTCTCAGCGATGCTTTCCAGGCGCTGCGCACCACCGGAAGGTCGCTCCTTTGAGTGCTCCCGGTACAGCTTGTTGCGGCGGGTGGCCGGCTCCCACGTCCTCCGCGCGCGATCCGCCAAGATCGTCTGCAGCTCCACGGCCTCGAACCCCGGGGCGAGCATGACCGGAGATGCCGAGCGGACGCGAGGCTCTGGTGCTGGCGGGCGGGCTTGGTGGGGAGCGGTTTATTCAAGTCGACGAGGAGCCACTCGCGGCTTGCCACAGACGTGGGAGTGACGATGAGGGCGAGTCTTCTCCGTCGGAGTCCGACTCCTCGGCGGATGAAGGGAAGATGAGGTCGGTGGGGACGCCGTCGCCCAGCATCTTGCGGACGCGGCGAAGCTTCTCACGGCGGAGGGCAGACTCGGATGGGAGACGGAACGAAGGCGGACGGAGGTTGAGGCTGTCAAAGCTGGCGTGGTCGTAAGGGGGAGAACCGGGGATGGTGGCGAGACTGGGCTTGCGCGAAGAGCTCGGGACGGCGAGCTTGAGGAGCGGGGGACGCGAGACGTGTACGGGGTGCGCCATGCGAGCTCGTCGGTCTTAATGCGCACGCTCGTGTCGACTTGTGCGAGCTGCTGGTCGTGCTCGAGGAGACGGAGTCCGGGCTTTGAGTAACGACGCGGATGGAGTCCATGTCGACCTTGGTGACGGACTTGGAACGTCCGTGCAACTTGAACGGGTTCCTGCTCACGTGGGTGTCTTTGGAGGAGAGGGGGGCGGTACAGGTGTCTTGGTGACTATATGCGGCAGAATGGGTACCTCTTGTCGCTGAAGGTGCGTATATGCACTCACCGACGTAGGAAAGGTCGAGGACATGGGGCGTGCTGCCAAGGACCTGGCCAGTTTGCTGTTGCTGCGCATGAGTCTTGCGCGTTGCTCGCTCGACAGCTCGTTCCGGGTCGGTGGTGGCGGGGGAAAGCGGATGGTGGTGGACATGATCTCTGAGCTGTTCCGAGGGATGACAAGCAGGAGAGAAACGACAGAGGGGTGATAGAGGAGGACCGCTAGGGCCGATTCCGGAGGGCAAGCGTCGAGCGGTGGGGTCGCAGGGTGGGCCGTTTGAGGAGATATACATGCGCGGAGCCCGCCCGAGCGCCCCGGGTTGGCAGCAACAGAGACAAAAGGCCCGCAGTCGGACATACGGTTGGCAGACACGCCGCCCGGGCATACAAAAAGCCCACACACGGCATGGAAGGTGGCAGGGCCCGAGCTGATCAGCCGCTTTGCTTCCCGAGATCTGCGGACGCGACTGACAATAGTGGCGAGACGCCCGGGCCGATGCTGCCCAGCTGCTCCGTATAATAAGCCAGGGGTGCTCGATCTTCTGCCCAGAGCATGCCGCATACAGCGGCGTGAAAGGGAGAGATGACAATAGCGCTCTTTCGGCATCTTGACGTCGTTCGCATGCCTCAACTTCATCTATCGGCGATAAGCCTCCCATCGCCCAGTTGCCTGCGACACCGAACAGGTTAGTCAACGTCATACACATAGTGGGCTCCACACCTCTGATATCATGCCAAATGCATGGCATTAGATGGCCCGAATAACTTCGTGCCATGAAGGCCACGCTCAAGGTACCCACCACACTATACCACATCAAAGAAGGAGGTGACATACGACTTACTCAACGAGATCGCGGGAGCAGCCATAGTATGGCATTCGCCAAGCCTTTCGCCCGCATTTGTTGCAAAGAGGAGGACGGAACGTAGCCAGGAAGGAGTAAGGGGGCCCGTTGATGATGGTAAAGCGAAGGGAAGGCGCTTATTAAGCTCCGGAATTCGACGAGAATTCGAATCGTCTAACAGCTCATCTACTTGTTCTGAACCAAACCGCCCACAAGTATTCGCTGCGCTTTTCAAGTATTCGTACTTTCAGTTGAGCATCTAGAATAGCCTTCTATGTGGCCTGTAAACAATTACAAGCGATCTAAGTTACTTTTGAGGTTGCCCTGCTCTACAACGCCTTTTGGACGCGTCGGAACGTAGGCAACCGCGTCATTACAGCCCGGAGAATCTGCTTGGGGACTTCGGAACCTTCGTCGACTCAAGCGCGCGAGCGCCCTGTTTGCCCAACCCCTGCGCAGGCCTAGCCAATGGAACGACGACGCTCAGCTTCGAGTCCGCGCTCGAGTCGAGCGGCGTCGGTAGTTCGTCATTCTCCGGGTCCGACTCCGACTCCGGTTGCTGGGCAACGACCAGGTCCGAAGGAAGTCGTTCGAGCTTGGGGGCGCGAGGGCGCAGGCAGGGGCAGGGCAGCAACTGGCCAGTCTTCGAACACGGAAGGCTTGAGCACTGGTCTGACGGCGCGGCACATATGCGCGAGCCCATCTCGACAGTGAAGGGGATAGAGGAAGGAAGTCTGAGTCCTCGAGGGGTGTACCCGTAGTCGGGAGCGGCCCCCCGGAGGGGGGTGGGCGCGCGGGCGGGGGTACATGCATGTTCGGGGGCGATGGGCTCCAATTTTCGTCATCTGCATCGGCAGCCTCCTGCTCCTGCTCCTGCTCTTCTTCTTCTTCTGTTTCGTATGAATCGGATGATTCGATGCCGACCGAGTCGTCGCCCCAGTACGACCCTGCCGCCGCAGGCGTCGAGGACGCGCAGCGCGCCGCCGTATCGACCCCGCGCGGGACGTCCGCAAGCGGGCCGCCATCGCCCCCGCGCGCGTCCCCGGGGATCGTCTGCGCGCGCTCGGGCACCTCCTTCAGCCCGCGCGCGCCGTTCCAGATCTCGCGCACGATCGGCGGCGCGACCGCGATCTCCGCGCGGCTCATCCAGAAGGTGTCCACGGCCTCGACCGCCGCGCGGAACTCGGCGAGCGAAAGCGCGGACTCGGGGACGATGGTGAACACGCGGTGGAGGAGCGCGTCGAGTGCGGGCGAGATCGGGAACGTGTTCCGGAGGTGGGTCGGGTCGGTGATGTACTGCCGGAAGGACGCGTCGGTGAGCGTCGCCTTGTACCAGGGGACGCGGAGGACTGCGAGGTGGAGGAGGATGATGCCGAGAGCCCAGGTGTCGGCGCGGGGGGTGTCGTACGGGTAGTCGGTGTCGGAGCAGTCGACACATTCTGCACGAAGGGGAGAGAACGAGGTCAGAGCGGGAGGCACAGGGCGCGAGAAGGTACGTACCAGGACACATGTAGCGCTTGCTGCCGGTGTTGAATGCCGTACTGGACCTCCGGCTCGTCGCGAGCCCGAAGTCGGAGATGCATACGCGGGAGAGCGACGCGTTTGTCATGATGTTCTCCGGCTTGAGGTCGCGGTGGTACACGCCCCTCTTGTGACAGGCTGCGACGCCGTCGATGATCTGGAGGAACACCCGCTTGAGCCTTGCGGTGTTCCCCGCGAACGGAGAATGCTTGTGAATGAAGTTGAACAGGTCGCCGCCTTCGAAGTAGTCCATGACGATGAATACGTGGTCCTTGGTGCGTATCACGCGATGCAGCGTCACGACGTTCTCCACGTTGGAGACGAGCTCATGTAACTTGGTTTCGCGGGTTTGCAACACCGCTGGGTGCGACAACGGGTCCACAGCAGGCATGATCTTGATCGCGCGAATGACGAGGCTGGAATCTTCGGGGACACGCTCTACGGCGCGGTAGACAACGCCGTACGCGCCGGAGCCAAGGAGGTCGAGGAAACGGTACCGCCCATCATCGATCGTCTTGAGTGAGAAGCTGGGGAGAACAAGAGGCATGACGTGAGAGATGTGGGTGGAGGTTATGAGTGGTAAGTAGGGCCGGATTAGTATGAGTAGTGAGTGTTGGAGTAGTGTTGAAGCAATGTTCTTGCTCAGCCGTTCTCCACGCATTTATACCATCGAGCAGCATTGGGCGGGACGGTCGTGGCTATGTCCCGAGACCCTGTCTCATGTCCATACCAAACATCCGGCGGCTATGACGTTGCAGTCGGGACGGGGCCTCTCTATTCGGCCAAAGAAGGACCGGTCCGCCTGCGCGGGAGCGGGAACGCGGGCGCAGTATGAAGAGAGGGGTCACATTCCACTGCAGCGAAGCAAACGAAGGACTCAACTGTATCCCAAGCTCGGCCACGACAGTCGATCACTGTGACCCCCCAGCCCGACCCGCCGCCGCATCCCGCAACGCGTTCCTCACACCGGTCGTCCACGTCCCCAGTTCCTTCTCCAGCCTGACAGCCGCCTCTCGCAGCTCCATCCCCACCTGTCCGCCGTCTGCATCCCTTCCGAACCCAATGCGCGCCTCCTCGTGCGCACGGACGAGGGACTCGTACGCGAGCCGCAGCCGCGCCGCACCGGACGGCGGGAACATGCCAGCGTTCGCATCCGTTCCGCCCCGTCAGGGTTCGCCCGCCGCAGGTGGGTGCGCGGAGCGGGCTCGTCCACTGCGAGCAGCTTCCCGAGCTCTGCGAGCGCGAGCGTGCGCACGGGGTGCCCCGTGGGTGCAGCACCTGCACCCCGCGCTGTACCGCGCCGCGACGCGCACGGCATCGTCGAGAGCGTCTTGCGTTAGGGCACTCAGGGAGGAGAAGAGGGCGTGGACGAGTAGCTCCTGGTGCGTGCGGGTGAGGGCGAGGAGCGGGTGCGCGGACGGGGTCAGACCGGCGGACAGGAGGAGCGGGATCACGTTCGTGGTAAGCCGCTGGGCTTGTGGCGCGTCTGCAACACGGATCAGCGGGAGAAGGACGGCGAAGACACTGGGTAGAGACATACCTCTCGATTGGAGGCCGATCGCTTTGTCGAGGGCTTGCTGGCCAATGCGCAGCGCGTCCAGGACGGCATCGATATCCTTCACTGCCGTTCCACATTTCGCGCAACGCGAAATCCGACTATCTGCAAGAGATGAGATGGTGAGCGGGGGCTAGACACCTGCGAAGGCGGAAATGAAAACCTTCATCCGGGTGAGGGCACATTCCTCCACATCCGTTCGGACACCAGAGAGCTTCTCGCGGATCGACTGTCTCGGTTGCAGAACAGTTTTTACACCGACACGTGAAGTTGTACACTGCTTTCAGCTCCGTTTGACGGAGACGCGTGGGTTGAGTGGTATCGACGTAGGAAATCCGGATCTCTTTGGTCGCGGGAATGCCCTTGATAACAACGATGTGGATTTGCGGATTTGCGATCGGGGTAGCCGAAGCATTCGGAAAAACCATGACTGCGTTTGGTTCACAAGAGTGGTTGATGAGCGCCACGCTGGGTGACACGCAGATCCCGATCGGTGCCAACGATGGGGTCGTCAGTGTGAACGTGTTTGTGGTAAACTGCGGACCGCGGTAAGGATCAGCATACACGCACGAAAAACGACACACATACGCGCGAGATTAGATCCACCAAGTCACCGGCTGATGTGAGGCCGTAGGGCTCCAATTCCTGAGGAGACGACACCCCTAGGTATCGGACGACGGAGTGAGCCAGGTGAGTGTGGGTCTCAAACTCGGATGGCTGTAGACTGGCTCTGTCTTTACGCAGCAACTGAGTCACAGCATATTGCAAGGTTCGATCGGGAGACATACTGGACTGCATTGCCCTGAATTCTTTCGTCTGTACAGCACATCAGCCAAAAATTATTGACACAGTGAGACCGGTCGCGGCGTACCCAGACGCTATCGAACCCCTCCCTCCTCATGGTCCACAGCGCGCGTCCGAGGACCCGCACGGCATCCGCCGGGATGGCCAACTCATGTGATGGAGCACCCTCTGCCCATTTACGCAGTGCTGTACATTCGTTCTTGTGCGAGATCCAGTCCCGGTTTTGGCATTCCTGAGATCCGAACAACAATTCTTAGCGCGTAAACGAAAATGCTGCCAGATGGACGCACCGCATTACAGTACGACGCCGTCTTGCACCTCATACATCGTTTTCGACCCTGCTCAGACGTGGGCTTCGCGCACGCCGAACAATACTGGTCAATCACCGACGTTGACAGCGCATATACGGATGGAATGGCCGTCATTATCGTAGTCCCTATGACGCGGTGAAACCTAATGGCTGAATGACGACTGAAATTACGCACCTGCAGTGACAGCGCTTTTGGTGTACACTCCGCGCCCAGAGCGGACGGATTCTCGGACCTCCATCGTTGATGGAAGTTCAGAGTACAGCCCGCCGAGCGAGACTGGCTTTGTCGTCCGGTGCAGATCTGGAGGTCCCGGAGACGGGGACGTCTCTGTTGAGGTGTCCACTTGCATTTGATTCTGGGTGCTCGCCGACCCGGAAGATTTTTTTCTGACACCGTTCGTGTCTGACGGTCCTGCAAAGTTTGCGACATCTGTCGCAGCTATCTGCATGCTTGGAGCTGATGATGCGGGCAGATCTGCGGATATAGAAACATTTTGTGGCTTCGTGACAAACGACTGGGACTCCTTCGCTTTTCGTGCTGACTTCAGGCTTCCGAACGACATAGTGGTGGAAGAGGACAAGCGAGATCCGAGTCACGACCTCAACGTGCGGTCGGTGATCAATCGATCACTTGGCACGAGCCAAGAACGACGTTTCAAATTTCACGATGGTGACGCCTGCTGTTTGCATGTGTGTGGCTGCGCCTTGCATTCCTAACATACCAAACAACACCGACCACAATATTATGTACAGCGCTTCCAGTATATGGCCGGAAGATGCGCACGCCGGTCACTCCGGCCGCTGCCTTCCAGAAGCGCCATATATTTCCGGGCATACTTGGCTGTAGCCTGTAACAGCGTTGAACCGGACGTGCAGAGACACAGCACTTCGTCTGACACACATGAATCCGTTCACCTTCCCCGCGGGCACAGCGATGTGGATTCTGGAATGTGCAGGCGCGGGCGCCGAATGGAAAGCGACGTCAAAGCGAGTATGAACAGGAATATACGCGACAGGTATTACGAGCATCTCCAGATCCCACTGGGGCGCCGAGCAGTAAGTAGTGGAAGCAAAGGGCAGCATATGGACGTGCGATGAGCGAAGAACGTTAAAGGCTATAAATAATAGCAACGTGTTCGGGCGCACGGCCCCGGATGTCGTGAGGGGTCGTAAGAGGGCGTGAAGGACGTCGCAAGTCGTGACAGTGGTTCGATGGTTCCATCGACGGAGGCGGCGAAACAAGACACGAAGCAAGCCTGCCGTGCCCGCCATACATGAGAAATCGGCGCGAAGAAGGGATAATTGGGGCGGGGTACTTACAGAAACGGTCCAACCGAGTCTCCACAAGGCCGCCAGGTGGGGTGTTAAGGTCAAGGGTGGAAGAGAGAGTGAAGATGGGTGTCGCAGGGCCAGGGGGGGTGGTCATGATTTGCCCACAACGCTTTCGCTTTGCCCGCGCGGCCGGCCCGCATCGGGGGCGGTCGACGCGGAGCGGCTCGGTATTGACGAGTCGTCCTGCGAGTGTTGACGCGAAAAGAAGTCGTCTTCGCCCTCATATGGCGAGGACGAGGAATTGATCTGCGCGGCGGATCAGCACCCCCGTCGCGGGAGAAGAAAGATAGCAATGTTGCCGCGGCGCAAGCAGAGAAGACAACCACGCGGTCACCGAGGGCGCGTGGAGTAGGCACCTCGCTTCCGCAAGAGCACTCAGCTGCTGCGGAACCCGAGCAGAGCCTTCTCGCCTCGCGCGTTGATGACACAGGGAGGCCTGGGCAGACGAGGCGCAGGAGGGGAATAAGCAATAACTCACCCATTGCCCGAGCACGTCCGCGACTCTGCTTGCTTCCTCCGGAGTGAAGTTCACGTCCGTGCCCTTCTCCGCGTGCAGTTTCAGCAGCTCGCTCAGCGTCCGGTTTCCTGCCCCCCGCCCCAGCGAGCCAGTCGCACCATTCGCCGCCCCGCCGTGTTCGCCCTCTGCGCCGTTCCCTGGAAACGAGACTGAATTTCGTGGTGTGGGAATCGTCGTCAGCTCCCCAAGGTCGCTGCTCATCGACCGGTCCCAGTCTTCTGTATCCGCAGAGCTGATCGAAAGCTGTGACATTGAGCAGGCCACTTGCTCAGGCATAATGAAGTGGTGGAGGGGGATGGGATAGTTGGAAAGCGTGAGGCGCGGGGCGTAGTCAGCAGAGGGGCAGGGAGAGGGCGGTGTTCCGGGCCTGCCGAGAGCGAGAAGATGCCGCTTCAATCGGGTGCAGAACCGCAGGAACAGAGATAGAAAGAGGCTGCGTAGGGCAGGGAGGAGCGGAGGGACTTCGAGGGGGTGGGTTGTTTGGAGCATGGTGACGAGGCACTGCGGCCCAATCAAACGCGTTCACGTGACTTGTTTAACGGGCGTCTGATAATAATGGGCCCCCTGAGTCGCCTCAATTAAGTACTTACCACGTCTCATTCGGTCTCTCTCAACGCGTTCGACGTCTGGACGGCGCGCGGGCACGACGCGCCCAGCCCACCATATGCGGGATCATTAGACACTGTTGAGAAGGGCAAGTATGCTGCCTTGAAACCCCAATCTTGGCGACCGTGGTGGACAAGTTCACCGCAGGGCACTTTTTTCCGATTAGATGATGATGTTGAGCACCTCGCTCTGAGTACCCAACCGTCACATTGAGCACACATGGGTCATTCATCGTCGCACATCGGATATTACGAACTACGGAGGGGAACACAGAGCTGACATCCCCGCGTCGAACGTAACGTTATCCAAAGTCTATCTACGCTTTCATCTTCGCCGATATGCACTAATTGGCCTGAGCGAATGTCACCAAACTTTTTAGTCGTGCCCAATGGTTCTATCCTCCGCTTTTTCATGAGCTCGTAGACTCTCATGGTGAGGTACGGGCGCTTGAGCTTGAGCCTGAACCTGAGAAGAATTGCCTGAGCCCAGGCCTCTCTACCTTTCTCAGTCTGCAACCTACTATATGCGCGGCCGCATTCACACTCTCCCCTCATCTCCACTGGCTTGAACATCCCGAACTGGATCAGAAGATCCAGACCCAAGCCCAGTAATTCAAGGTCCCGAAACTCAGTCTGCCTCACCCTCACCCTCGTGCACCCTTGTGTTCACCTCACGTTCAAGCTCCCGTCTTTTGCACTGGCACCGATGCGCACACCCCCCGGCCGACCGGGCCTACCCTTTGCCACGAGGTCGCGACGCCCGTAGGCTGTCAGTGTCAAAGTCGGCGCCACTGCTAGCTACCGCATGTCCATGCGCAATGCAAATCCTCTCCTCGCACGACGTCGACAATATTTCCTCAGCTCCGCGCGCCGTTCGGCCTCCGCGCCCTCGACCCTGCCGCTGCCACGTTGCGCGCATCGTGGCCGTTCGGCGACGGCCCAACCTTTCAGCAAACCCCCAATCCGCTGTCCCCGACGCCGCTCCCGGACCCGTCGTGGGCGACGTGGGCGCCGATCAGCTTCGAGCGACCTGCAGGCGGCGACTGGTGCCCGCCAAGCAAAGCGAAACCCATGCCGGCGGTATATGCGCGCATCCGGTACGTCGTCATCCACGCTTCATCGGTTCGCCACTGCGCTCTCTTCCCTTTGCTGCCGTGCACACACACTATCGCAACGGATGACGGCATGTCTTCCACGCCCTCGTGCTCCCTTCGCGTACGCTCTCGCATGACCTCCGGCGTCCGGCGTATGTTGTACGTTTGTCGGGAACGCACGCATGCGGAAGAAGCTCGCAGAAGCTCGGAGAGCATAGGCGCCCACCATGGGGGCTCGACACATGTCTGGGAGCCCATCTTTTATGATCTCGTCTTCAGGCACTCTGCGTCGCACCCCGACACGTATGTGGGGGATAGGATGCGGTACGGAGTGTCTGGGCATGAGATGAGTCGTCCAATGGAGTCTCGGAGGAGAGACTGTGATTGAATCGGAACTGTGGAGGAGAGGATAGCAGAGAAACGCTGACCGTGGCAGCAGCGGCGGCGCCCCGTGGAGCCGCAGCTCGCTGCCACGAGGCCGTTGCCTTTGAGGCGTCGTTGCTTCGTCGCTCTCACGTGGTCTAGTCCCGAGGGAAAGGAACTGTGCGACGCACCGTTCTCGCGTCTCGGATTGCTCCCTCAACTCCCTCGCGAGCTGCGGACCGTGATGCACGATATGGCACTCGCGGGAGGCTTCAGTCTTCGGATGAACAGTATGATGGAGATGCATCATCATCTTACATCCAGACACGTCCTGAACGAAGACCGAGGCTGAGCTGGACGAGATGCCGTGTCAGTCTCTATCGGGCGCGCGGCGTCATCGACCCATCGCCGCCCCCGCATTCACATCTGACACAGCGCCGCGGGGCGTGGGCGGCGATCCGCGCAGGCCGATTCGCTCGATCTTGGCGAGACTGTTTGTACCGGGTCGCGGTTGCGATCGCAGAAGGCACGCCGCACGCGTATGTCCACATGGCCAGGGTCGGGGCTCGTCTTGCCCTCACAGTACTATGCTTCGCTCGCGTACTGGAGTCGAGAGCGAATTCGGCCCGCGGATCTGGTGCACAAGTGCGGGTGCCTCGCTCGCGGGTAGCGGCAGTCGCGCGAGGTCGCTCCGACTGCACCCCAGAATTGACACCGGCCCATGCGGCGCGCGATGAGCTCTGAGCGTGCGCACGGTCTCAGAGCTAGAAGGAGAAGATGTCGAGAAAACGGTGCAGGACACGGCTTTCATGGGAGCGTATGTCGCACGCAGAGAGCAAGTGTCACGGCTCGCCCAGTCACATGAGAGCAAGTACCATGTCGCCCGGGACCTCCCGCCGGCTGCGCTCTCGCGGCTTTTCATTATTCAATGTCAATCTTTGTGCCCTGTCCTTCCTGAGTAAAGCCTCCATATACGCGCAAGGGTTCCAGATCATATTGTTCCAACAGCCCCCGCACTCTTCTGATCTCTTCCATACAATCGCGAGCCAATCGAGCCCAGCAGTGCGGCGCGAGTCTGCCAGGTTCGCTCCGCGCTCATATTTTTCTTGAAAGCTTACAGTTGCCTCGTGTTGTTCTCGATGATACGCACCGAGTACCCCTGCGGAGCTTGAGGGGCCTTTCCTGCCTTCGGTTCCCCTTGACTCTGTAGGTATTTGCGAGCGCCAGCGAGTAAAATTACGTCTCCCTGGGCGGCCGGAATCCGCCGTCAGGCTCCTGCCGTAGCGGTCACGTTGAGATCCCGCGGAGCGGGACGTGCGGCGTGCGTGGTGTTGACGCCGACACCATGTCAACGCGGATGAACGCAGGACGCAGGTACGTGCTTGTTCTGTCTCCGTTACCCGCTTCCGCCACCTTGCATGTGGTCGACATAATAACGGGCGGGGACATAGGTCCCAAACACCCCGACGCCGCGACGGAAATGGCACAAGATGAATGGGGCGGGTGCATGGTTTCGGATGAGGGCATCGCAATCAGGCGTCGGATGAAGCGGACAGATGGTAGATGTTCTACGCATGGCGCTGCGCTCCTCACTGACAACCTCCGGCAGGGCTGCGCGGATGCAGGGACAACGGGATGCTGTCCAACTGCCCTCCCCTCTCCGCTTTCGTTTCCGTCAACGCGCTCCCGGGCCGGGCGAGCGGCGACGGGTCAGGCGTCTGGGGATGACGTACGCTTCTGTTAGGCGAACACTCGTGGCCGTGGACGCCAGCTCCGCCGTGCGCGACGACGGTGCAGCGCAACGTAAGGTGCGCGCGCGCGCATTTTCTTCGCGACAGCGACAAAAACTCTCGCTGACAAACCCCCGCGCGCGATCGCGCCGTCTCAGACACGAGGCGCGGATCCGATGGCGCACGCCCACGAAGGCACGAACCTTGCGCGCGTCCGTGCGCCGTCTCAGGATCAGAGAAGGTGCGGAGAGGCTCGCTCGCGCGTAGGCTTTCCCCCTGGAACCCACCCATGCTTCGCGATTCGCCCCGAGGCGTTCGCTCTGGCCCCGTATTCCACCTTCCATGCCGCGTTTCCCACGTCCATATTGCCCTTGCCGCCGCGGCCGGGTGCGATCGGGGTTGCGTGTGGAGGGACTGATAAACCTCGACCGCTCCATGGACGACGCATCGCGACCGGCGGAGGACCACATTCTGCGCCTTCGCCATCCCGCATGGGCGGACTGGACGGTGGAACGGGTGGCCTCTGGCCCTGGGAACACTCGGAGACGCAGGGTGCGCGATTCGCCCGTGCGCCGCTGGGTTGCAGGCCGGGGGCAGTCGAGAGCGGAGTCGGGGCGGGCATCTGCAAGCGAGGACGCGTGCACCGTGAAGGAAGCCCGCGCGCACGTAGGCAGGCTCAGGGAGGCTCAGACGGGGACGGAGCGGGCGGGACGTGCATTGGATCTCCCGGGAGCGCGCTCCCGCGCGTGCGCGTCTCAGGGCGTTACGCTCGAGAGATGGGCATCGGGCATCGAGAAACATGGTGGGCAGACGCGCAATCTGGGATCTATCCCAGGCGTGCAGCTCGGACAGCTGCTGCTGGGGTCGCTCGCCTCCGCGGTTGGAGTCCTGCCTCGTGCGGCACATGGGAGAAGCCCCCGCGCGCGAGCCGTATTTAAGGTCGTGGACAGGGAGGACGGACAGCACCTTTGCTCACTCGCACTCGCTCGAGCACCCTCTCCCCGTACATAGTTGCTTTTCGCTGCGCGGACACACTTTCGGCGCATACCCCACACCCCGCTCCGCCCGCGATCACCCATTTTGCCTTCGCCTTCGCTCGCCTCGACCGCTACCTCTCACTTCTCCTCTTCTCTCGCCCTCCCCGATCCGCGTCACAGATCGCTCTTCGCCCCGATGTTCAAGAACGGCCCCGAGTACGAAGAGAGGTCGGTCTTCTTCTCCGTTGCTCCCCTCCCGCTTCCGCTCACCCACGCGCACGCACGCAGGCTCGCGCGGCCATACGCGCCCCCGACAATCACGCTCAAGGAGCTGCACGCGGCGGTGCCGAAGCACCTGCTGCAGAAGTCCGCGCTGAGGAGCGCGGGGTACATCGCGCGTGACGTTGCCTTTGTCGCCGCATTCTTCTGCTGCGCCGCGTACATCGAGCCCCTCGTCGCCAGCCGCGCATGGGGGCTCGTGCCCGCGGGCGCGGGGTGGTGGCGGCCTGCCGTTGTCCGTGCCTTGCTCTGGACGGCGTACTGGTGGTGGCAAGGGATCGCGTTCACCTCTTTCTTCTGCATCGGTGAGTCGCCCGCCGGGTCCGGCGTGGGATTGGGCGTGACTGACCGGTCGTGACGTCTTCCCTCCGCGCGGTGACAGCCCATGAAGTGAGTTTGCGTTGATTCAATGGGGGTCGCACGCGTGCGGGCGCTGACGGTGTCGGTTCCCCAGCTCGGCCACGGCACGCTCTTCAAGTCCTGGTGGGCGAACAACGTGCCCGGCTTCCTGCTCGACACGGTGCGCCCCTCCGCCCCTCGCCCGCGCGGCCGCCGCGGAGGCTCCCGCGCGTGTCCGCTCGACGCTGACCCCGCCCGCCCCCGCCCCGCAGTTCGTCCTCGCCCCCTTCTTCGCGTGGAAGGCGAGCCACAACGCCCATCACGTGCGTTTCATTTCTCTCCCGCCGGAGATGAAGCAGGCGGTGCTGACTGGCGCTCCGCGCGTGTTTCCGCTTCGTTTCGGACGTGCGGATTAACAGAAGGCAGTCAACTCCGTCGAGCGCGACGAGAACTACGTGCCTGCGCTCCGAAGCGAGTTCAGCCTCCCGCCCCCGAAGCGCGCGACGACCGCGGACTACGCCGAGGTGTTCGAGGAGACCCCGCTGTTCACCATGGTCCGCATGTTCGTCATGCAGGCGATGTCAGTCCTTTCATCGACGCCCGCCGCGTGCATGTGTGCTGATCAGGGTCCTCTTTGGCGCACAGGGGCTGGTGGTTGTATCTCAGGTGAGCGTCTTTGTGACAATCCGCTTCGGCCGCAGGGCTGATCCCGCCCCGAACGCAGCGTGAACAAGCTCGGATCGAAGATGTACCCCAAGGGCACGAATCACTTCTCACCCTACTCCGCCCTCTGGAAGAAGGAGCAGCGTGCGTCCGCTCCACCCATACGATGCGCCCGGGTGCTGACAGAGCCCAATTTGCAGGCTTCGGTATCGTCATATCCGACATCGGCCTCATTGCGATGATGAGCCTCCTTTACCTGTTCGCACGGACGTACGGCTGGAAGGCATTTGTCGCCTATTACTTCATCCCGTACATGGTGCGTTCATCTCCCCGATTATGCTCGTCGCCTGCGCTCACCCGTCACCGTCTCCCGTTCCTCAGCTTTGCAACCATTGGTGAGCCCCAGCGTCTCCCAGCACCCGCCCACGCATGGTACTAATTGTTGACTGTGCTCGCGCTCGCTTCGTGCCGGCAGGATCGGTAAGTTTATTTTGCGTTTCAGGGTGACCCTGACACGCCCAGCTCACCACTTCATTCTCGCAGTGATGGTCACCTTCCTCCACCACTCCGACCCCACGATCCCGCATTTCCGCAAAGAGGAATGGTCCTTCCTCCGCGGCGCGTCCTCCACCGTCGACCGGCCAACGCTTGGCTGGATCGGCCGCTTCTTCTTCCACAACGTCAGTCCCCGCCTACCTCCCCTTGCCCTTGGGCTGGCTGACGTGGGTTCTTGCCTTTTACAGGTCTCGCACGACCACGTCGCGCACCACTTCTTCTCCCACATCCCGTTCTGTGAGTCCCGATTCCACGCGGAGCCGCTGCGCATGCTCCCCGGACCCTGACCGTCTACTCCGATGCCCAGACAACCAACCTGCGGTGACGGAAGCGATCAAGGGCGTCCTCCGCGAACACTACAACTATGACTCAACAGTGCGTTCCCCTGCCTTCCCTGCCACTCGTTTCGTCCACGTACTCACCGAGCCGCAGAACACGTTCTACGCGCTCTACCGCTCGTTTACCGAGTGCTGCTTCATCGAGGACGACGGCTCGATCGTGTTCTACTGCGGCCGGGAAGGACAGACCCAGCGCGCACTCGCGGAAGGGGTCGTCGAAGAGATCAAGGAGAAGGGTTGGTCCCAAGAACACCAGGACCAGCTTGCGGAGGGCATGCTCTCCGACTCGACCGCTCTCTGATCGCTGCCACGCGCGATGACCAAAAAAACACACGACGGAAGGGACTTGAGGTCCAGCGTCGACGCGGACGAGCCGGGGGCCCCCGCGAGGCGGCTGGACGCCGACGATGATGATTGATATTGATTGAACGACTGAACGATTGGATGAACTGACGATCTCGACTCCCGACTAGACTTGCCTCTGCACGCTCTGCCACGCTTTATTTGTTCGCACCCACCCCACGCCCCCCCCCTGCCCCACCTGCATCCACCGTTACTTATAGCTTTCGCTTCGCTTTCCTCGCTATGCTGCTGTTTATTACGCCCTAATCTTACTGTAGCCCGTATAGCTGAATCGCTGTATACCGTACTTACCCGCCCTCGAGGCAATATATCCCGAAAGATCAAAGCATGACCTGCATGTGCGCGGAAGGACTTTCTAGCTGACTGAGGGAAATTTGGTTGTTTGTTTTATTCCCGGTTAGCGCCCAGAGGGCCGAGCCCTATGGTGGGGTACATACAGGTATTCTATGAATCAAGCAAGGTCTAACACATAAGTACGGGGATGAAGAAAAGTCGCTGAGGTAAGCTAAGCGCACGTTCAGGAGTACGACACGCCGGGGCGACCATCTTTCTAGTGCCACATTAAAGCCGAGAGAAAGACAAGTAAGGTTTTCTCTCGCCCGTAGAAACCCATAGAAATACTTTTTCTGGCTGCACGTGGATTTTAAACCTTATAAACAGCTCCCAGAAAAGCTCCCAGAAAAATGGTGGCCCCGGCGTGCGAGCCTGTGGGCGATAGCAGGATATTTGTCCGCAGTACTTGAGGAACACTGGTCTCGTCCCGAGCCGCTTTGTACCGCACCCTGCCAGTGGCCACTACCCACACGGGGCCGTACAGAAGGACACAGAGCCGCTGGGGACAATACTTGCACGGAACAAGTACGTACTGTCGGAGTCCGGCGGTGGCATTGGTCCGGGAAGGCGGCCGAGATCAGCTGGTACAGGCGCCTCAGCCTTAGCGTGAGTCGTCACTCTCGACTCCGCCGATATATGCGCTTCTGATATTCCAGAACACACAAAAATCTCAGGTGTCGCCCTTTGCTCGTGTTTTATGACTCAAAAACACAAGGGAAGACGACAACGCAAGCCCGGGACGCAGGTCGCCGATCGCGCGGAGACGACAACGCGCGCGTCGACTGCGGTACGCATTCCACGCCGGCTTGATGATCCACCTCATGCGACCTGACCACCGCCATTTTTGTCTCCAGCGGCAGTGCATGTTGCCTCTTTCTAAACGATCATGCTCAACGTCGGAGAAACCTCCCAAGACTACTGCTCTCGTTTCCCGCTTTTCCTCTGTGTTCGCTGGACACAAACGTCTCCTCCCTCTGGGAACTGCATGCGCAAGAACCGCAGTGCGCTGGCACTGCAGGCAATTGGGCCCGGCTCAACGCATTCCGCCTGGTGACGGCAGCAACCCGCCCCGGTTGCACTTCGTACATCACCGCCGCCCGCACCTGACGCGCTCCCCCGGGCCTGCTCTTCTGCGAGCCCGCTTCTGCCCCTTGGAGCACCATGCGCAGGGTCACAAGTACCCCGCGCGGGGCAGCCGGCGGCCCTCCGTCGTCACGGGACGGCGAGGCGTGGATGCGCGCGGGCTCGCTATGGGCGCGGACCGTCGGGAGGTGCGCACGGCGCCGCATGCGAGGGCTTCGGGGACAGGGACAGGGGACGCGCCGCGTGGTGTGCGCGTCGCGGGCGGGCCGTGCGGGAAGCTGTTGGTGACGTTCTGTTGGACGAGACGGGGCGGGAAGGGAGTATAAAGGCTGCAGAGCGCGGAGCAGGGCGAGTGTCGACGACTCGCCTCGTTCGACTGGCTTGCCTCTCTTCTTCAAGTTCGCGAGACACGGAGAAGACGCGTCTGCAGGACGAGACGGACACCGACGCTGACGCTGCCTCATACACCCGAACTCTCATTTCGACCACTACAAAGCCGCCACGATGAAGACGGGAGTCGCGTCCACGCTCCTCCTCGCGTTCGCCATGGCGAGCACCGCGCTCGCCGTGACGATCACCGTCAACAGCTCGCCCGCGCACACCGTCTCGCCCACGCTATGTGCGCTAGTTCCCATTCCTCTCCTCGCATTTGCCCGGCTCACGCGTCATGCGTACTCGCAGTCGGTCAGATGTTCGAGGTGCGCGCACGTGCATGGAGCCTGAGCTTTCTTTATCTGACCTTCGCCTCTCGGAACCTCTGATGGCGTCATGCGCGCGCAGGACATTAACGTGAGTGCCCTTCCGTGAGTGCGCGTGACTCGCTGCTAACGGCCCGGACGTTCCCTCTACAGCATGTAAGAAAAGCTTCTGTTTTCGCGGGTCTCAGGGGCGCGCTGACACACGCATACAGAGCGGCGATGGCGGCCTTTACGCTGAGAGTGAGTGCATACAATGGCGTGTAGCGTCGGAAGCTGCAGACTGACGGTCGTGGGATGTGTGTAGTGCTGCAGAACAGGGCCTTCCAGCAGGTTACCCCGGGCACCTCTGCAGCTCTCAACTCCTGGGCGTCTCTCAACGGAGGAACTATCGCCGTCGTTGCTGACTCGACGCCGGTCTCAAAGGCACTCCCGAACTCGCTCCAGCTCAAGGTCCCCACTGGGAAGATGGGAGCTGTAGGATTCACGAACTCTGGCTTCTTCGGTGTGTACCCTTTTCCCTCTTGAGCGCTCTCATGAGCCTAACCTTTCGCAGGCATCAAGGTCGACTCCTCGTGGACATACACCGCTTCTTTCTTCTTCCGCTTCCCGACCGCGTCCTCTTTCACGGGCGCGGCCACCGTCGGTCTGCGCTCGAGCACCGGCAGCACGCTCGCGTCCGCAACGACCACCATCAGCGGCTCGCAGACGACCTGGAAGGAGGTCACGGTCACCCTCAAGCCGAGCGCGAGCGCGTCGGACCTGCAGAACACGTTCTTCGTGTCCCTCGACGGCGCCGCGGCGTCCGGGCAGACCGTCAACTTCGCCATGTTCTCTCTCTTCCCGCCGACGTTCAAGGGCCGCAAGAACGGGATGCGCATGGACATCGCCCAGGTGCGCACGAGCTCCGGTCTCGTGATCGCCCGGTTCGGAAGCGGGACGCTAACGCCGACGCATCCAGGCTCTCGCCGACATGGGTCCGCGCTTTTTCCGCTTCCCTGGTGGGAACAACTTGGTGCGCACCTTCGCTTCGCCTTCTCCCGCGCCCGTCTTGACAGAGAAAACTGACTGGCGTTGTGCTCTCTATAGGAGGTCAGTGGTGCACCTTCGGCCCAGCCGCTTGTCAGGCAATAGAAGTGCTAACTGAGGTTCCGCGCGCGACTGCAGGGTCAGTCGTTCGCGCAGCGGTGGCAATGGAACGCTACCGTTGGGCCACTGACCGAACGTCCCGGCCGGCTTGGCGATTGGGGCTACGTCAACACCGAGTGAGTCACGCGAGCCTGTCGCTTCGAGGATAGGAAGCGCTGACGATGATACTCAGTGGGCTCGGTATGCTCGAGTACCTGGAGTTCTTTGAGGACGTCGGGATGGAGCCGATCATGGCAGTTTGGTCAGGCAAGTGCCTCTTCGCTCGGGTCTGGGCCGCTGTGATCACCGTCACTAGAATGAAAAGTACTGGGGCTGACTGAGGACTTTCAGGATACTCTCTCGACACTACGGCAGTCGCTCAGGCCAATCTCCAGCCATACATCCAGCAGGCCATTGACCAGGTATGCAAACTCAGACGCTTGCGATGCCGAGAGGAATCTGATAAGTTCTCCTGCAGATCAACTTTGTTGTTGGTGACCCGTCGAAGAGTGCGGCAGGTGAGCTTCTGGCCCGCTCTCGTTGCGCAAACTCAAGGTTCTACGCATCTGACGGCTACTGACTGCGCGTGTCTCTTCCCCGCATTCCAGCCGCACTCCGCTCTTCGCTCGGACACCCCGAGCCGTTCACCCTGAACTACGTTGAGATTGGAAACGAAGTGCGTGATCTATCGGTGCCGGGCGTCCGTGGACGGCGGATCCTATCGCCACGCCGCGGCGCAGGGACCCTAGGTTCATACTGATGCTTATCCTCTTCTTCGTGCCTAGGATTTCATCAGCAGCCTTGCATCGAGCACGTCAGTCAGGGTTTTCCTATTCACGTTTCCATCTGCCCGTGACCGGGGCCCCTCCTTGATCGAGCGCGGGTTGTTGGTTCTGGACGCTGACCGTCATACGCAGTTACACCTACCGCTGGACCGCCATCTTCAACGCGCTCCACGCGGAGTTCCCTAACATCCGTGCGTCCTCGCTGCGATCGTCGCTTGCTGCATGTCTGCTGACTCTGGGTGGCTCAACAGGATTCCTTGCGACTACTGATGTGGGCAGCCCGACCCTTTCACCGAAGCCGCCGTCGTATGATGTGCACGTCTACCAGACGCCAAGTAAGTGGCTCGGGCCGTACGCCTGTTCTATTGCTGACGCGCGCCGCTTCTAGCGTGGTTTTTCCAAAACGCATTCTTTTACGATAGCTTCGCGGTGAGTACTGTTCTCGCGCTGTGGTTCCCTGACGGAGCTGACGGACGCGATCACGACGCAGCGTGACGGCACGACCTACTTTGAGGTACGCGCGTGTGAACACATTGCGGGATGAACGTGCGGCCCAGCTGACTGCGTGCCATAGGGCGAGTACGCGGCCATCTCGACCAACTCGAGCAACATCTTCGGCAGCCCGTCCACCGGTCGCCTGACATTCCCGACCATGGCGAGTGCGTAAACCTGCTTCGTTTTTCCTTGTGCACCCGCGGACTGCACCCTCCCCGGGCCACGTTGACCCGGCGATGGCTTCTCGGGGAACCGGGGCAGGGGCCGCGGAGCAACGACTCCATCCCTGAGATCTGCTGACATATGTTCCGCGTTGTACGGCAGGTTCCTCGGGTGAGGCTGCGTTTATGACCGGGCTGGAGCGCAACAGCGACATCGTGTTCGCCGCTTCGTACGCGCCGCTTCTCCAGGTGCGCCTAGCATTTTTAGACGAAACGAAACAAAGGAGCTGACTGGCACGTGTGGCAACGCTCCCGTCGGACGCACGCAGCACATCGAATCCACGCAATGGGTATGTCTCCGCTTCAATCTTCTATCTTGGTTCAACATTGACCCATCACACGCAGACACCCGACCTGATTTCCTACGAGTACGTCACCGCTTGCATTTGTGGGTCCACCCCACCAGCCTCACCTCGCTCACGCGTTCGGCCAGCTCCGGCGCCGTGATCAAGTCGACGAGCTACTACGCTCAGCAGCTCTTCGCGACCAACATCGGCGACGTCTACCTCTCGAGCACGCTCCCCACGAACGGCAACAGCCTCCAGTGGTCGATCACGCAGGACTCGAGCACCGGCGACGCGTTCATCAAGGTCGCCAACGCCGGCTCTTCCGCGCAATCCTTGACGTTCGACCTCAGCCAGTTCGCGACGGTCGCGAGCTCCGGCACGCTCAAGCTCCTCACCGGCAACCAGACCGCGAGCAACACGCCGACCGCGCCGAACACGATCACCCCGAAGACGAGCACGATCGCGACCGGCAAGAGCTTCGCGTACAGCGCGCCCGCGTTCAGCGTGAGCGTCATCACGGTCAACCTAAAGTGAGTGCGCCGCGCCGCGCCGGGCGGTGCGCGTGCCAGGGTGTGAGTACGGTCCTGTGTTGACCGGACTTTCCCCTTCTTTCCCCCTCCTTCCCCCTGCCCTTTCCCACCGCCTTTCCCTTTCTCAGGAGCTCTTCCACGACGGTCCCGAAGTACGGCCAGTGCGGTGGTATCGGTGAGAGAGTCACACCTGCTTTTTGTTTGGGCCCTCGCTCGCCCTTGCTTGTCATGTTTCGCGTGCGACAAGAACGCTGACACGTTCCCGCCTCCACTCCAGGGTTCACCGGCTCGACGACGTGCGCGGCCGGCTCGGCCTGCCAAGTCCAAAACCCCTGTAAGCCGACATTCTTCTGACGCACGCCGTGACGATTTCTTAAAAGTGCATGTGTCGCTTTCTCAGATTTCTCCCAGTGTGTGTAGACGGCGCAAGCACCGCCGGACGCCAAGTCAGTCCTTTCCCCGGAGGGTATCAGGGTCTTCTCGGAGGGTTTCCAGGTCGGTTCGGTCTCGGCGCGAAAAGAGAGATGTGCAGAGGCATTTTGTTGACTTGTAGTGATGCGCGATTACGATTAGCAGCGGCGACGCCGCGTGTATGTAAAATACTTTCTACGACCACGACCCAAACACGGCGCCGTGCACGGTCCCCGCATGCGCGCGAAGGTGGCTCACATTGCCGCCGCTTGTAGCGCGGCGACGTCGATCTCGCCCGCCTCCTCCCCGCTGGACTCGATGAGCGCGGCGAGGATCGCGTCCCCGTACGACTCGAGCTGCCACATGTCCCCGATCCGGATCCGCGCGAAGTCGAGCGCGGTCCCTACGGGGGGCGCCCTCGCGCGCTTCGGGTCGACGTCGGGCGACGGGGAGCGGGAGCGGGAGCGCCGGAGGCCGAAGGAGGGTGGCATGGCCGGGTAGCGGGCGGAAAAGTGGGTGAGGAGGATGTTCTTCGCGCCCATTCTGCGAAGAAAGGAGGGTAAGCAATCGGGGGGATGGTGGGAGAGTGAAGGGAGCGCACCGGTGTCCGACGTCCAGGGCTTGCTTGGACGTGCTGTGGGCTTTGGCTGCGGCCATGGCCTCCTCGTCTGTGCCCATGGTGCACTCGTGGATCAGCAAAGTGACATCTTTTCCGGCCCGGACAAGTTCTTCACTGGGCATGGTGTCGGAAGAGTAGCTGAAACAGTGTATGAGACCCTTCAGCAAAACGCGGCGCAGCATAGATTTTTCCCGAGGGCACTTACCAGACGCTCCAACCGGACTTATGGTGCATAACAAGCCCGTAGCAACGTGTTCGATGTTTGACAAAAACAGTCTGGAAACGATCCAGCCCAAGGACATTAGCCATCTCGTCGGCGCGTTGGCGAGCGCTAGAGATTAAAAAGTGAGCCAAGTCGGGCGAGACGAACCACATCACAGCTACATACATGCTGATATTCATGAAGTCTTCCTCAAATCCTTGGGCTCCGTACGCGTAGGTGTAGCAGGCGTGAGCGCATCTGCAAGAACCAGGACAACGCCGTTGGGACCACTGAGACCAAGATCCTCGAGTTCAGCCTGCTCCAAGAGGTATAGGAAGTGTTGCCGCAGTCCGACCACATAGAGAGGACCTGAGGGAGGAGGATCCATCTGTACCGCCGTCATTTCATGTCAGAATAGTATAACAACTGGGGGTGAAGGAAGGACGACGCATACCTGCGCTCGGAAGCTGAGCAGCTTGGCAATACCCATATGATGGTCCCCGTGCATGTGGCTGAGGAAGACGCACTGCAGGTCGCGCAGAACGGCCCATGCTCCAGATTTTCGGGCGGGATCTTCGCCAAAGGCTCGTGCAATTTGTCCCCACGTCCCTTCACCGCAGTCCAGGAGTATACTGCCATTTTCCGGGGTCTGGACCAGCAATGCGGATACTGTTGCATTTCAGGTCAAAAATGTACCTGCATAGAAGTGAGAATGCGACCTACGACTGCGAAGGTGCGTGGGGACCGCGCTTCCCGTACCCAACGTTGTGACTACAACGTCACCACCGGGGAGCCGGGAGGGCGTTGCATCGGGTCGTCTCCGCGATTGAACAAACTCTTGGGCGAGGCCGAACGTTTTCCGGGTCCTTTCCGAAATCTCCACAGGGTCGCCAGATATCGCCAAATGGTTGAAGATGTTCTTGGATTGGTCTCGTGCTGGAGGCTTCGTCGGACGGATTTGAACATGTAAGTTGACTTCTAATGGCAGGATGTTGGCAGGCAGCCCCGGAACAGCTATTGTATGCCCTTGTTAATAACTCCACTAGCTATATCAACATCAAGCAACTTACATGAGAGCTCTCTTGCAGCTTCCAGCGAGTAACGTGGGATAGGGAACATGTTTTCATCGAGTTTGTTTAGCCTCGCCAGACAAAGCGCCGATCGGTCGAAGTTGATCATGTCCGCAGTGTGAGCTCGAGACGAGATAACATGCTGAAGGGAGTGTACGAAGTCAATGACTCAGCAAGAGATCGATCCGAGAACACCGACCTGAGTCTCATCCCCAAAACCATTCATGAAGTCTTTGTACAGGTCATGTTCTAGTACGTCTTCACCGCACAAGTGATAGACAGCGGGCACAGGCCACTCGGCAACGACCTTGGGGTCTTTCGTGCGGAACTTGGCGTAGAACGGTGAATCCGTAAACGCTGTCATCAACGCCGGGATGTGCGCCGGAGTAGGAACGTCGAGGATCAGGACAGTCTTTGGGGTAAGATCAATAAATCTCCTCCACAAACACTGAAATTGAGACACTGACTCTCGGCATCTCCGTCGCCCCCATAACCTCTTCCGGATGAACCGTGCGCTGAATCTTGCCACCGTCACCATCGTCTACTTCGAACGTCACAGACTTCCCAGTGGTGAGCTCACGTCGTAGGGGGCCGTTGGGGATCTGGAGTTCTTTGGCCTTTTGGGCGTCGAACTTACCCCTGACACTGGGGCCGACGACGACGTACGCCATGGTAGGAAGAGGGGAGCCTGAATCTTCCCCAGGCGAGAAGGGCGGCAGGCGCTGCAACTTCGCCCTGACTGGGAGGCGTTTGGCTCGCTCCTTCGCTGCCCGTTCTACAGCGGCGTCGCGAGCGGCCTTCTTCGCTTTCCTGGAGGTCGATGGATCTTGAGACGGCTCTGGCTGCTGGAACGGGAACATCTCCTGTATCATGATCTGTCGCCATTCGTCTGCGTCTGCATCGGCCAGAACAGAAGGTATGAAGGACGGGGAGGATGCGCGTTGTTGTAGACGGCCCCGTTTGGACGAAGCGGGTGGAGAAGGGGACCGCTTGCGCTTGAGCGGTCGTTCTGCCACCTCGACAGAACACGGAGTTTCAGTCGACGGAGCAAGGGGGATGGAGTAAACTGTGATATTCTCGTCCTTGAATACTGGAGAGGGGGTGTCCGTGGCTTGAATCGACTTATAAGAAGCTTCCGCGACGTCTACAGAGATAGATGACCTGGAGTCGTTGGGTAAGAATACAAAAGGGAGGAAGTGTGTACATACCGGTGCAGATAGTGACGCATAGACGCAAGACGGTGGGCCAATCCATGTGGGCCAACCAAAGACAGGTGGGACACATTACCATCCGCACAGAACATCATCATGCCTGGGAAGACGGTTGATGAGCTGACATTGATTTCTCGATGCACGTACATAGCACGCCAGAGATGCGTGTAAACATGAACATACCTGGCATCCCGGCGCAATGCCGTGTTGCAACCCCGGTCACAAAGAACGCCTTCAAGTTACGTAGGGCATTGGGAGAGTGGATGTAGACGCGTCCCGACCCTTCACCGAGGTTGAAAATGTACTTTGCCGTGTCGAAAGTGAGGACGAGGGAGGGGTCAGTGTCGGATGTCGCTACAGCCAGTGTGGAAACGCCCCAAGTCGACATCTTGGCTGTATTGTCGGAGGATGCAGTTGTGAATCCGCGACAAGATGTTGTTGACCGGTAGATGGAGGGGAGGGAACAGTACGCAGCCCGAGCAAGTCTAAGACATCGCCAGGTCGAATTGAGAGCAGGGGATATTTTGGGAAACAGCGCGAAGACTGACGGGAGCGGGGGGTCGACGGGCTTTTCGACGCGATAAGTGCAAAGGTAAAGGAGAAGGAAGGAGACCTCGGTCACTCGGAAGACAGGCTAGGACCAGGGACGCGACCTGACGCGCGACGTCGACCTGGACCTCCTCACGTGCGTACATACATAAGCGCGTCTATGTATGAGCACGTCGATGTCGTCTGCAACGCTCAGCGCCCTCTGCGCTCGACCATAATGTCGGCCGGCTCCACAACCTAGCCTCTCGTATCCATGTTTGACGACAGCGGACCCCCGTCCCCCTCAAACAACCCCCTAGCTCTCGCCCCCGTCGATCACGAATGGCAGCCCATCCTCCATGTCTCTAACCAAGTTGTCCTCTACAAGCCACCTCTCATGCGCTCTCTATCCGCACACACTCCAGGCCCCCCTCTCCCTCGCAGACCGTAGCTCGCAACGCTCGATGTCCCTATTGTCACCGTGCTTTTTCTCCCACGCATTCGCGAGGTTTCCACCCCCACGACCAAGACCTGGACGCGGAATACGAGGGGGATGACATAGAGAGGGCAAGTAACCGGGCAGCCAACTACTTCCAGCTCCTCGAGATTGCGAACGAATCCTCGAGACCACCTAGTCCCACGCAAGATTCCTCGCGTAGATCGTCGCCACAGCCGAATGCATTCCGTGCAGAGAACATGGCCGAGGGATACTTTAAGGCCTTCTTCCAGGAGGTGTGTAGGCTCGGCATGGGCGCAAACGGCAGCGTCTACTTGTGTCAGGTACGTTGCGATAGAATGCTCCCAAATACCCCTGCCCACCATTCGCGGTGCAGCATGTCCTGGATGAGAACCCTCTGGGTACGGATGCCGGTGCAGTCTAGTGGTTTCCCATATAATGAACGGTCATGTGCAGGGTTGTTTGCCGTCAAGAAGGTTGCTGTTGGACAGTCACATTCTTACCTCTTGAACACACTCAAAGAGGTGCGTGCTTAATGAACGATGGTCGTATGTGGATACTCACCGTGGAATCCAGGTCCGACTTCTTGAGAAACTTCACCATCCAAACATCGTCACGTATCATCACGCTTGGCTCGAGTCGTCACAGTTCTCGTCCTTTGGACCACGGATTCCAACCTTGCAGTGAGACTTGCGTATAGGCTACACGAAATGTCCCAGCTGACTCTACCTAAGCATCCTTATGCAGTGGGCTGAGGGCGGAAGTCTCGACGACCTCATCGACACGCGCCTTGGACGCCGTGCCCCGAACCTTCCTCACATTAGGACCACCGCTGATGGATCCACTGAACAATATACCAGTCCCCAGCCGACTTCTCCGATAGAGCAAGAAGCCAGCCAACCATACTCACGGAATGCCCGTATACGGGCCTTCAGAGCATTACAGCGAGCCCCTCCTGAAGAACGGGAACGATTACGTCACGAAATGGGTCTCAATGATAGCGGGCAAGCCAAGTCGACGGTAAACCTGAAGCCGGTGCATCTGCTCAGCGCAGAAGAGATACATGAACTATTTAAGGATGTTGTGGGAGGACTCGCGTTCTTAGTGAGTAGTGCTATCGTTATGAGCCGCATGATTCTGACAAATGTTGCAGCATGAACGATCTATTCTGCACTTAGACCTTAAACCAGGAAACGTTCTGTTGACTTGGGACGAGGGAAAGCTTGTGTGAGCCGCTTCTTATATGATCATTTCCTCAGCGCACTGATCCCCCTCACAGGCCACGAGCGATGTTGTCCGACTTCGGCACTCACAAGACATGTTGAACGCACGAACGCGATCAGGCAATACCGGAACGTGGGTAACTTATCCTCATTGCGCCTCGTTCCGTCTGATGGATTCACCCCAGCTTGGAGTATTCTGCACCTGAGTCTCTGCCCGAGCCCTCGACAGGGCGGCTTCTCCAGGTGGACTCGAAGGCAGACATGTGGTCTCTCGGCATGATCTTGCACAAGTTGCTATTCTTCCGTCTTCCCTTCCGGCACACCTCCGACAATGATGATCCTAGTCGGCCAAAGGACGGCCAAGAGTATTCGGATGAGCTCGAGGCTGAGATCCTCGCATACAAGGGGTTCAAGTCTTCCGCTTCGCATATGAACACATTCGAGCCCAGACGAATACCCAAAGCTTACCTCCTGTTGCTGGAGACTCTTCTGAACGTCAAACCTTCCGGACGACCTACTTCAGACCGCGTGCTCAGCGTTATCCAAGAGGGTGGGGTGCGTTCCAGGCTGTTTAAAAGTCGAACGACGTATCTGATGTGTACCACGGTCGCCAGCTTCGCCCGACGAGCCGTCCTCCGCGTAGAAATGGGCAGGCCCCTCCGGGTACACTTGCGCTAGCACGTCCAAGCGCGGCTCTCAACCCAAACCGCCTTCGAGTCAGCCCCGACCGGACCCGTCGGTCGCGCTCGCCGTCGCGCGTCCCTTCCGCCGACAGTCGCTTTGAAGCCAGCTCCGCCAATGTCGAAGAAATCCAAGAACACGACGGCGATTCGGAAGCTCCGACGGACGAGAAGGACAGGCTCCTGCCCATCCCGAAGGGCTACGCATGGACTCTGCCTTGCATCGGCAGCCTGCGCATTCCCCCCGCACTCGCCGCTCAGGCGCAAGCCATCCACCGCTGGCAGCGGCGTGCACGAATACCTGCGCTCGGATGGCGCACGCTGAAGTCCTCTATTCTTGTTGCCAAGGTCGTTTCCCTCACAGGGCCGCACCTGCATCCTAGCACGAGCGTCCATCCCATTCTAGCGGGAGCAGCGCTAATGCTTGCGGTGGTGGATACGTGGTTCGAGAGTATGGAGGCAACACTGGCGTTTGGTGCAGCGCATTTGGCGGTGCTTGCCCTTGGACAATTCACGTCGTGAAGGCGCGAAGGGAAGCAGTGCAGATAAAGGTGTAGGTTGGGAAATGGACAGAAGAGTTTATGTTCTCAGACATTAGCCATCGAGCTGACCTTCGTCCTATGACACGCGACGCTAGACACCCTACGTAGTTGCTTGACTTTTGTTCCTGCTGTGTTGATTGTAGCGCACTTTCCCCGAGCTTGTGGCCACTCCTCCGTCACCCCAGCCTCACGCCGGGGACAATTTGCGCGTGCGAGGCATTGATAGACCCTCGCCTCGCCACAACCACGCCTTGATCCGCGCCTGGTTGGCTCGAGACCGTCTCTCCGCCGAACAAAGCATGTTCGACGTCGTTGTCCACACGCTCACCCAGGAGCCATAAACAAACAGGATCATGCCAATTCCGCGCCCCGCTACCGGCCTCGCACGACCTCAGGGCCTCAGGCCTCATCAGTCACTCTCTCCCAGCTCTGCTGTCAACCCACCCGAACCCTTCTGCATAGTTTGCATAGCCCTCGGACGTGCGTGCCCCCACCCTACTCGCACTCCGCTTTCATCGATCACCCACGCGACGCGACGCCTGGCCACCGCCTCCCGACGTACGATTCGTAACACCCCTTCAGCCGCTGTACGCAGCTACCCAGTCCTCTCGCCGCCACCTCCCTCGAGCGCACCTCCCGATGGCCACCCTCCGCGGCTACCGCAGGAAGCTCGAGGCCGAAGAGGCCTACCGCGGCTCGAGGGGCTCGCACTCCCCGTCGCCCTCGCCGATGACGGGCACGACCGCGCGCCCACTCGCGGGGACGCGCAGGCTCGCCCGCGCCGCCGTGGGCCTCCACGCGCGCACGGGCTCGGGCTCTGGGCAGCTCACGCCGTCCTCGGGACCGGGCACGCCTGCGTCCGTCGCCGCCGCGCCGCCGGCAGGCCCCGCGTCCTACTACCACCCGGACGGCTTCCCGCACGTTGATGAGGACGCGATGGCGACGGATGCGGGCGCGGAAGCGGCGGGCCCGTGGATTCATCTGCCAGCTGCTGCCGCGATTCCGTCGAGCGAGGCGGACATCGCGGTCGGAAGCGCGACCACGAGCACGCCACCGCGGAAGCGCGCGCGCCGGTGGACGTTGCAGCAGGACGAGGACATGGCCATGACCGATCACCCGGGCGCGGCGCCGGCGTGGATGGACCTCGAAGTCGCGGTGCCGCCTCCCGTGGCCAGCACCCCCATGTCTGTGCTAGCACCAGCCGCGATGGCGGGGTGCGCGGGGTGCGCCCCGTGGCGCGCGTCCTCGTCGTGTACACACGCGACCCTGCGCATGCTCTGCGCGACGTGCGGTGCCGAGGTGTGGGTCGCGCCGGACGAGCTCGAACGACTCTCAGGTCCGCACCTCCCGTTCTACAGCCGCTGTGCGCAGGAACATTACTTGCTGACTGCGGCCCGTGTGCTTGAAGCGTCGACAACGTCGACACAGGCGCAGTGGCCCGGAGGCGACGCCGACATCAGCGTGCCGACACCGGTGCCGACCCTTCCAGGACTGGAATGGTTACGGAGCGTTGAGGATGTGGACGGCCACGAGCCTCTTGACGGTCTCTACTTGGAGGTAGCGAGGCAATGAAATCCATTACGCAGTGTGGGCGAGATGGGTCAGATAGTTCGGGTCAGACGAGTCCACAAACTACGGTGGCTAAACGAGTGGCAGAGTCCTCGGTCGTATATCACATCCCGTAAAAAGCGAAGGTGGCCGGGTGGAGGTAACTGACCAGAAGGGCTCGGAATGGTATGCAGCAAAAGTGTGGGTAGTAGAGGTAGGGCGTGTATGTCCGTCATGCGCAAGATCGTCCCCCAATACGGTAACAGAGTATGCTCTGCTGTCGTGGACTGACATGGACTCATAGCGCCGCCAGCGCTGCGAAGACCGCTCCTGCAACGACGCCGACGCTCACGGTTGTGGACATCGCAGAGCTAGGAGACCCAGTGGTCTGTTGCGAGACGGAGGCAGAGTGGGACGCGGACCCGGTCGGTTTTCCAGTGCCGCTAGATCCGCTAGTTCCGGGTGCCGAGGAGCTCGAGCTCGCGGGGGAGAGAGCAGCGAGACCCTTGACGGTGGTCCACGTCTGGGCCGAGTTCGTGGTGGCGTCACCTTGCTTGTAGGGGATGAAGGAAACCGCACCGGTAGAGTCAAGCTGGACAAGCGCGGTGATCGACGCGGCGTACGACGCCCCGGTATCCTTGCTTGTAGGCGCAGCGAGGGTACTCGTGGAGTTGGTCTCAACATTGATGACCCAAACATTGGAAAAGTCGTCCGGGATGAATGCAAACTCTTGTTGAACACCGGTGGTCTGGAAAAACGAGGTGGTCTGACCGTGGCTGGCAGGGAAGGAGGGCGAGTAGGACTGAGCTTCAGGCTGGAAGAATGAGACTTTCGCGAAACATACGTCAGTACACTTCGCGAAACGTCGACTCAAGTACTTACAGTGGATGACAAAGATATCAGCCATACCAGCGCTGTTGCCAGGGACGTCCAGGAAGTGGATGTGATTCTGCGCCAGGGCCATAACGGGAGAGTAACTCTTGTCGTAAGGAGTGGCCCCGACATCAACCCAAGGGAGAGGGGTAGAGTTTGCAGCGGTCAAGCTGCTCATGTCGAGGAAGAAAAGCTCGCTCTTGGAAACGGCGTAGAAGACATTCGTGTCGTGGTCGAGAATGGCATGGTACGAAGTGGGGTCGAAGGTGCCGGCAGTTGTCTGTTGGGTTGTCCATGACTTCGACCCGGCGTCGTAGATGTGAACGTTAGACGGGTTGGCCTTGTCACCATCAATGACGTATACAGCGTTGAAGAATTGGGAGAGGTAGCAGGTAGTGTTGGTACCATCGAATGGTCTGTAAAAAATAAGTGGGGCGGACAAGTGCAAGTGCACGCCGAACACTTACGGCCGTCCGGTAGCGGTAATGTCGGTCGCGGTTCCTATTGGAATTGTGTCAGAAGACGAAGCACGATTCGTGAATTAGGAAGAGTTGGGTTTTGCATGGTGACGGTCGTGATGCGGGCAGAACACGCGGTGACGAGGATCACAGTGCGGAACACCGGGTCAGAGCAAAGCGGTCACAAGTGGTCGATGCGATATCACGACAGACGTAGCCCGCCGTCGACGAAGACTGGGAACGGCCCCCAGCCCCCAACGCCAACGGCTGAGAGCAACACACGTCCGAAACGAGCGGGCCACGAAAACACATAGTTTTACGTAGTAGTGCGCAGAGGCAGATGGATGTATGTGCGAGAACACTCACCAGACGCCCAGGTATCCTGTGTGCCAGCGTTGTAGTCCTTGCCGTCGAACCCGAAGGCGAGGAGGTTGAAGCTAGCGTCGAAGGTGATGCAGGGGCTGGCGAGGGTTGCCTTTGGGACAGCAAGGAGCAAAAGAGAGACGAGGGTGGGGATGCTGAACATGACGGGCGCGGGTGGGGGGAAGAGTAGGGACGGGATGGCGAGTACTTATTGCTCGGTCCCATATTTACACAAGCGCCATCCGGCTATTTCTGACCGGGATCGACGCGCTGCCCGCCTCAACTTCCGTCCCTGCTTGTATACACCACGTCTATCCCGCCCAACGCCCGCTGCTCTCTGAAAGCGTGTAGTTCTATAGCCTCGCCCTCGAGCCATGTCTCCAGCTCGCTGTCTTGTTGCACCATGCGGATCCCACCGCCGCCTGCGTCATGGCGCGACCCCCGATCATCTCTAAACCTCAGCCGCGCCTCCTGGCGAAAACCAACGAGATCTTTTACCATCGCCGCCCAACGACCACGCCGAGCCCGACTCACTGTGCTTTTGCCTGCTGCGCTGTGGTCTGTAAGGTCTGTCGGGATCGCCGCCTTCTGTGGTTTGAACGCTGGACTCACCATCACAGTGCGCTGCTCTTCATCTGCAGTCAATACCACTCTTTCCCCCCATCATCCGCCTGCTCAGCCTCACGAGCTATGGACGCGATCCCTTCTCCTGCTCAGCGTCGCAAGGACATCCGATGGCGTATGGAGGGGCTCGAGATGATCCTCTCCGAGACTATCCCCTCGGCCCCCGACCGGATTCCCCATTCCCCTGGAAGTCGCGTTTTTGAGAGATGACATTCGACGTCGGAAAGAGGCTTTCGAAGCACCCCGACTCTGTCCACGAACCATTCGGCAACTCGACCTCTCTTCGTCTCCCCACCGGCCAAGCAATCCCGACGTCGTCACGTCCCCTGTAACTCCCACCCGATCCTGCTATTCGACACTTTTCACGTACTCTTCGCCGAGCTACCCAGATCTGCAAGCCACGCCGACAAATCCATTCGGAACGCCAGACCTTGGAGACTCTGTCATCGCAATGTACGATCAATACTGCGAATGGTCTCGGCACGAATCGCCGTCCAAGCGAGGGGCAGACGAGACGGCACAATTGGTTCATTTCCTCGAGCGAGGGCATTTTTGCACATGACTGAGAGGTCCCCAGATTGGTGAATGTCATATATCACGCCGTTGCTCTCGCTCCGGTCCCTACCCTTGTCATTTGCGCCCCTCACTCCGATCGCCAGCCCCGGCGCGGAAATATTAAAATCCTGCCCGACCATTTCCGCCTGTGCTTTCCGCACCGCCACTCTTTCGCTGAAAAAGATTGCTGACCAGCCTAGGTCAACGCGCTTTCCACACGGCGCCAGAGGCGGAAGGACAGCTCTACCTTTGTCTCAACAGCACACAAGCTTGCATACGTCCACTCATGGGCGCCACCACCTCAGGGGCCCTAATGGACCCTTCGGTCCCATCCCGGCGACCCATCGCGTCCGGCAAGAAGGATAGGAGCGCCAGGCTGCGGCCGCCACGTACGAATCTGGTCTAGGTCCACCCTCGCATCCTCCCTACTTGATCGACCCGCCAAATCCACAGGGCTTCAAGTGGCTCCCCACATGCATACGCGTAGACACCCGCCCCATGTAAGGGCACCTATCTCGACCTTTTCTTCCACTTCCGCCCCCGGCGCGGCCCATCGCGTTTGTGGTAGATTCGAGTACCCCAAGTACCCATGCCGCTGCTATGCTCTCTCGGAGGAATCACCCCGTTCCTGATTCCCGCCTTCCACCTCTCCATCCCCGCCATCGACGCTCCCTCCGCCCTCCGCCCTGTGTTTTCCAGCCAGGCCGCCAAGCGCGCCTCTTCGCCCTACACCATGCCCCACAGCAGCTACATCCCTGACCTTGTTGGCCACACAATAAACCGCGGTCGGCTCAGATTCACCGCTACTCTCGGCTCCGGCTCCAACGGCGTTATCTTCCTCGCGCGAGACACCACAGTACCGTCAAATGCCCTCCCCGTCGAGTACGCGGTCAAATGCATCATCCGCGCGGGGAAGGGCACTCGACGACATGCCCTGCAGCGGCAAGAGATCCAGTTCCATCAGCGGCTATCCTACCACCCAAACGTGGTTACTCTCCACCGCGTCATCGAGGAGAAGGACTACATCTTCCTGGTCATGGATTACTGCCGGGGCGGAGACTTTTTCACCTTCCTCTCGAAGCGGAGAGACTATCGGGGAGACGACGAGTTCATACGGCGGATGTTCCTCCAGATCATCGACGCGCTCGAAGCATGCCACGCGGCTGGGATCTACCACAGAGACATCAAACCCGAAAACTTCCTCGTCAGCGAGGACGGCACTCGGCTATGGTTAACGGACTTGGCCTTGCGACGACCAATCTCTACTCCACGACCTTCGGTGCCGGTAGTTCGCTGTACATGAGCCCAGGTACGCCCCGTCCCTTCCGCGCCCACTTTCCGTGCTCATGCACCACTCCCCCGCGCTGCCGCCCCTGTTCCAGAATGTATAGGGGCCGACGCTCGCCGCCCCGCGTACAACACGCGCGCAAACGACATATGGGCCCTCGGTGTGATCCTCACCTCGATGATCTCGGGTCACAACCCGTGGAACGTCGCGACCGCCACGGACCCGTGCTACGACGCGTACGCCCGGAACCCGAACTTCCTGCACGAGATGCTCCCGATCTCCCTCCGCGCCAACACGCTCCTCCAGCAGATCTTCGCCCCCGAGCGCGGCTGCGCCCGCGCCGCCCCCCGCATCTCCCTCGCGCGCGTCCGCGCCGCGGTGCTCTCCATCGACTCCTTCTTCATGCGCCCCGCCGATATCGCCCGTGGGGGCGAGTACCTCCGCGCGAGCGCGGTGACTTACTTCGGCGGGAGCCGCCTCCAGGTGTACTACACCCCCTGGGCACCCCTCCCCGAACCCCTTGGAACCTCCTCCGGAGCCGCCGCTGCCGCCGCCGCCGACGATGACGACGACGAGCCGGCGCACGCCCGCACCCACACCCGCGTCCGCGTCCGCGATGGGCCTCCCGACAGCGGCAGCGGCAGCGAGCCCTCGAGCGAACGGCCGCGGTCGCGCGGGCCACGCTCTCGGCCGGGGGAAGGGCTGCGCCGCCGCGGGGCCGCGGCCGCGGTGCACGGGGACAGCGGTCGCGCGCGCGGCGGGTCGCGGGCGGGCCGCGGCGGCGGGGTAGCACGGGCAAGTCGTCGACGCTCGAGTCGGCGGGGCCGAACACGCCGGAGCTGCGCGCGCTGAACCTGAACGTGGAGGTCTCGGACGGCGAGTCGCACGCGCCGTCGTCGCCGTCGGGCTCGCCGTACGGGAGCCCGCCGTTCGGGCGGTTTTGGAGCGGCGGGGGCGGCGGGCGGTTTGCGTCGCCACCGAAGAAGCCGCACCCGCTGATGGCGCCGGGTGGCCCTCCGTCCCCGGGGCTGTTGAGGCGGTTTATGGACCGGTTTTTGATAGATTAGAGTGGGGCTTTGGTGCAATGTGTTGTTTTCTCGATGGTTCTCGGGCGCTTCTTCAAAATGTAGCGGGTCATAACTACAACTTCAACCAACTATTTCAGCATTCGTATCTCTGTAGGACTACGTCCTTGGAATCACAGTACGCAGAATGGGCAGGAGGCGCCAGGTCAAATGTATATTTTACGACAGTTCGATATGATGCTGCGGTTAGCATGAACATCTGCGTCCCTTTGTCTTCCTGTGTTGCATTTTCCGCAACGGACCGCCAGTCGGTGTCTTCCCGTGATATGCTGCTCAGAGCGCTGCGTCCCACAATTGTTTGTCTTTCTTCCCTCGAGTTTTTACACACTTTTTTATCAACTTGTGGATGACCGCCCTCATTCATGCCAGTAACGAATGCGGCGTCCGGTCAAGTCAAGTCCGTGCAATTACTCGTTATATGCGCGCGGCGCGTATGTGTGGCGGGATCTGCTCAGAACCTAGTCTCATCAGTTCAACGGATGTGGACGGGCACTTGTGATTCCGACGCCAAGTCCCTGCTCGATTTCGAACGCCCTCCATCTCATTCGTGACGTGGGGTGTACGTTGGCCACAAGTGTTTGTGCGCTCTCCTTTGCTCACTAGAGACCATGGCATGGAAGAATACACTTCGGGACGTGCAATGGGCATGGGCATGCATTGAGCAGTAACTAATCTAAGTGATGCAAAGCGTGGATGACTGTCAGAGTTGCGAGTAACGGTTAACTTATGGCTACAAAACTGCAAAGCGAAGCGTCAGCGCTTCAAATTAGAGCTGAGGGTGAACGAGACGCACCAAAGTCCAGGCATGCTAAGACGCCTCGATCACCTTTCGCGTTTCCACGGCCTTCCGTTTGAACTCTTCGATCCGCCTCTCCCCGTCAGTCTTCAGCTGAACGTACTGGCGTTCCATTTCATGCCGGATGTACTGCTCAATGGTCATGTTGGCCTCTTCTTCCGTCAGATGAGAGAGCTCCTCCGCGGGGAACTCGGCAAGGAAAGGGTGGTAAGGAGCCTTGGCGGAAGCCGTAGAGGCCATCGTTTCGCGAGCGTCCATAAAAACGTCGTCTTCATCGTCGTCCGGGCGGACTGGTGAGGGATGCGCGGAGCGATGGACGGCGGAGACGGGCGTGCCGGGCGCGGCGCTGGCTCCCGAATCGCGTGCATTGCTGTGTCTTGTCTGGGCGCGGTGGGCTGGGAGCGGCGACGTCCTCCATAGGCTCGTCTTCCTGCTCTGGAGGAGGTATCTTCGGCACGGAGATTGTCGTCTTCTCCGCAGGCTTATGAGTCACCTTGTCAGTCTTGCCGGTCGCTGTTTCAGGTGCCTTGCCTTTAGAGCGACTTTTGGGGCGCACTTCGTTCTCGCTAGCGTCTTCACCCTCTGTCTCGATTTCAACCACCTGGAGCGAATTCTTGCTGACCTTGCTCGGAGGACGCGAGGTCGAAGCCCTGGAGGATTCCCCGTTCGCGGCCGACGGAGGCCGTTTCGCTGCGGTACTCTTCTCAACGACCCCACCTGACGTGGGCCGAGCCGAAGCCTTCGCTTTCGACTTGGGTAGGGGAGCGGGGGGTCTTGAGTTGTCGTCCACGTCCATTTGATCTGGCTCTGGCGCGGGCTCAGCGGTCGCGTAACCTGCATCCTCGGACAGAGACGACTTCCGTTCCGCGGAGGGTTGCCGTTGCTGAGATGTGGTACTTTGGGCGCCCTGAGGTCGCTGACGTGGCCGCTCCTCCCTCACTTCTTCATCGGATCCCTCAACCGGTTTGGCTTTGGTGCGAGGCAGAGCTTTCCCCTTGAGCTTCCGTGGAGGTGCAGACACCACGTCGTCATCGCTGGGTGCCGTGTTTGCGGGCTGCTTGCCATTCTTCTTCGAGGTGGCTGCGGGAGGAGGCGCTATTTCTTCTATTTCGTCTGGCTTCGGCTTTGCCTTAGCTTTCGACGTAGACTTGGTTCGTGTATGCGAGCTCTTGGGTGCAGGGGCAGCGATGCTTTCAACCTCCGGATCTTGAACGACTTTCGAACGGCTTCTGCTGCGGGACTTCTTTGCAGGAGGAGGAACTGGCTCGACATCGCTGTCCTCGACGACGTCAACCTCTTCCTCCTGCATCTGTGCCTTCTTCATCCGAGCCTTGCTGGCAGGCTTTGTCGCAGCGGGTTTCACAGGCTTTCCCCGCTTCTTCTTCTCCTGCGGCTCGGCTTCAAGCCCGTCCACCTCCATCTCCACATCTTCGTCCACGCGGGGTTTCACTACTTCCTCGTCGGCCTCTTCCGCAATCGCTGAGACACGACTCCTCGATTTTGATCGACCACCGGTTTTCCTCTTGCCTTTGCTCGACCGCTTGCCTGCATCACTTTCACTTGCACCGGCGTCGTCATCTTCGACCTCGGAGCTGACAGTCCGGCTCGCTGGAGTTTTTGTCGTACCTCTCGTCGATCGACGTGACGCGGGGGTCTTGACCGGTGCTGAAGAAGCCCGTGCGGAACTTCCTCTTGCGCGAGAACTTGACGTCTTAGGAGGCGGAGAGAGCTCTGATGATATAAGCTCGTCCTCGGAGAGTTCTTCTGGTGGCGGGGGTGGAGGAGCGTTGCGAAGATTTTGTGACACGGAGCGAGATAACGGTTTTGGGGCCGTCTTGGATGCTGGCCTCTTCGCTGTGGACTGACCGAGAAGGGACTCCTCCGTCGCTGCCTTGAGGAACGAGCATTTCTTGAGCTTCCGCTTCACGTGTTCCTCGCTGTGGCCATATGAGCCGATGTGGAGATTTCATATATATATTGCACGTACTATGGATCATCATCCTCATCCCAGCCACCCAACGATAGGTTGCAGTACAAGCAGATGGCGGTATCGTCACCCGGACTGTCAGAGCTGCATACAAAGCCCGCTTTCGCTAACTGCAGACGGTATGAACATCGACGCTTAATAATGGGGTGCAGGAGGAACTTACGGCCTTAGAATTGGCCCCGTGGCCCTTGACGGCGTCGTGCGGCCACTTGGACTTGGAGAATGTCTCCAAACGCGCCTTTTCCATGGTCTTACTGGCTGGGTGACGCGCCGGATCCGTAAATCTGTAGCTAGAGACAGTGTTTGCACCACAGATGATCATAAGAAGAGAATGACATGCGTACCTCTTCTCGCCCATCGCACTCTGACACCGTACTACTGCCCAGGCGCAGGTCTCCTGGCACTTCTCGTAGTGTATTGCGAACGGATCATCCTCAGGCTCCCATCCGTCTATTGATTTGTTGCACATATAGCATGTTGCGCAGTCAGGGGAGTCTGAGCCGGGGTTGTAATAGAAGCCGGCTTCCGCGAGGCTGTCTGGGGTGGCTTTGAATGATGAGGGGTGAGGCCACTTCAACGATTGCTTGCTGGAGGACGCTTTGGGGCGCTTCTGCTTCGACGGGGAGAAGGATTCGATCCGGCTTGTGAGATACTGATAGTCCATAGCTGCACGAAGCGGAGAGGATGGGTGGCCGTCGCGACGGAGACTCGAGTGGACAAGCTGTCGACGAGCGTCTGTTCTCGAGCCGCGTTCCGTGACCCGAGGTTTGTGACGCAATGTGACGGACGCGACAAGAGTGGCGGCGCAACCTCCCATGGCCAGGTCCGGTGGTCGTTGGAATACGTTTGCAATTACGACCACCAAACGCGAGCGTCGAGTACTTAAACTCGACTCGTCCTACTCTCCCGCTGTCTCTCACTCTTTTGTTTTGTCGCGCGACCATGCAGCGCACCTACAGTCGCAAGCGGAACCAAGTCCGGACCTCTGCTCCGCGGACACTAGCCCGGAGGAATCGGCATCCCCAACGCCCTCCACCTCCCGCTCTCGAAAACGTCAGAAGATTGAGGTGGAAGTCACTGTCCCCGCAATCCACTGTCCGAGGGCTCCCAGCGGCGTGCAGGTGCGTTCCATTCACTGTCTAGGGCAACTCTGTGGTAATCCAGCCCGTCCAATCAGGTCCATCTGCTGCGTCTTCATCTATACCCTCGACGCGCACACCTTCCCCACCGTCAGCCGCGGACCGCGCTGTTCCCCCTCCCCCTTCGCGCCGTTCTTTGAAGCCCGCTTCAACGTCAACGGCGGTCCACAATGGCGAGCCTCCATCCCCTCGCCGACCCGTCAAGGATCTCTCGGGCATATTCTCATTCACCGAATCTTCTGCACGCCGATCACGGACACTCTCCGGCAAGTCCGACAATGGCATCGCGCGTCGCATGCTCAGCCGTACTCAGACGGAGGTGAATGTCACCTCTGTGGACGCCAGCGACTTCGCAAGTGCCGGTTCTTCCTCCATCCCCACAACCCCGAAGAAGCTTCGTACCACCTTGTCGGATAGTGTGGTACCATCCCTCTCTCCCCGAGATCCTCAGACACCATCAAAGTCAAAGTCACTCAACGATGCCTCTTCGCCACCTGTACGACCTTCCATCGCGAATACCACGGTGCGAACATATGCGGGCAAGTCACGTTCATTCCTGGTCGCTCTTCCGCCATCACAAGCCGCCAGTATGGGCATGGATGCCACGCTTCTGGACGATCCCAGTTCAATGCTGGTAGATGGTCCGGACGATGACCTCGAAATACGCGAATCGTATGCCGAGCTCAGGAAACGGTGGGGTGTAGACGATTCGGAGGATGACCCAAGACCCGTCATAACTTCTCCACCCCCTTCCCCCAAACGTAAAGGCAAAAGCAAGAGTCAACTTCAACTGATCCCCCACCTCGGCTGCCCTACGGGATGACTAATGACCTGAAAAGTATCACGATTTGCGCAGCAAAGGGAAACCAGGAGATTCCTCGATGAAGTCGGCTACCTGTTCGAAGGGCTGGATAAGGACGGAGCAATCGGTGTACGCAGAAGCAGGTGCGTCAGCAACCGTCACTCGTAGTGGATGTTATCCTAACTCTCCTTGATAGTGCGATGGAAGTTGTTACCAAGCTCTGCGACGTGGCATTCGCCCGCAGGGCAAAAGCTGCCGATTTCCTTGGCCGCGCATGGGAGGTTCTTCGTGATGCTGGTGCAGGTACTGGGGACAGGGTAAGTCTGCATCTTTATCTGACACGCGAAGGGTCGTAACGGTCCCTTAGGTTCTTGACAGCATACTTGCCTTCTATGCTGCACTTGTCGCACGGACCCAACGGATTTGCTAGATCTAACTGGGAAGTCCGATTTTGCGGAAACTCTTCATCGCATGCTGGCCGCAATGGATCATTCAAGCGATCCGCTGTGGCTGGTATCAACGGAGGCGGGCATTGGTGTCATGAAAGGTGTCGGGATCGGCAAGGTTGAGATTACTCTTGTAAGCCTCCTCATCGTCGTCTGCGCTCTCGCTTCACTGAGAAACAGTTAAACAGCCTCCAAGGGCTGGTACGCAACAGGTCCGGGTTATTTGAAGATCACGACATCGTAGGCCCGCCTTCTCACCTTGGAAGCAGCCGTCATTCATATCGATTACTAGATATCCAATCGACTCCTCATTTCGAAAGCTTTAGTTGGCGTCAATCCATCGGCTCACAACTTATTGAATTTGTCTTCCCTCTTGACAATGCTCATGGCAGAGATGGATCTTATACCTGCCAGAGTGGCAGCGTATCAAGCAGGGCTAGCACTCTTTCCCCCACCCGGACCTACATCATATCTGGAAACGCCGTCACTTCTCCATCTCGACAACTGTCTACGACTCCTGGACTCCTGTCTCCTAGGGTCTTGGTCGATTTCTGCTGAAGATACCCAGGTGCAAGCCAAACAAGTTGCTTCATTGAGGGAAGGAAGGTTCACCCAAGCGTTGATTCAATTGCTTGCAAGCTGCGACATCGTCCTGCAGGATCGTGATCTTGAGGATATGCGTCCTCTAGGTATGTGATGGGATTTAAGAGCGAGATATACTGATTGACAGTTCATCCAGCCACCAAGTGTTTGGAGTCTGCGCTCCGCGTTCTCGTCAATCTCACCCACGATGACTTCCTTGGACACAGACTCTCGCCGAAAGCGATGCGACTGTGTATAACATTATGCAACTAGTGGTCATCTCCCAGAGGGAACGTCGCTTATTCCCGAAGGAGACCGATACCGACGAGATTGGCTTGCAAGACCCAGAGGCTGCTGCGCATGCTCTAGACCGTCTCTGTCTGGCCCTCGGCGTTCTCACCAATCTCGTACAATCGACCACGGAGGCGAAGCATGTCATCCGAAACACATGTGCGTACCCTGTATCTAGACTGAACGTCGGCTGTTCGACTGAAAGCTATCCAGTCTGTCGTTCACTTGTCCTGGACAACGCCGCTGCCTCAACGCATGCACATGCACCTCCCGAATCAGCGCGGTTGCGTGTTTGGCTCAAGTCTACTGCCAGTATATCCACTCTCCAAGCGAGCTCGACTCGTGGTCCGCGGTCACATGGCAGTTCTATTTGGCCTTCTCATGCAAGGCGTAACGGACAACCAAAGCATCGTGATCGATACTCTTCCTGGTTCTCACCCCAGAGAAAAAGTGGACATGCTTCTCCGTCATGCGAACGATTTCACTGGTTTCTACGTTGCTCTTACTCGGAAGATTGCTCAAGCCGGCAGGGAGGAGGAAGACTCCGGGGAAGACTCCGGAAGTGGGTTAGGGTCTGACTCTACGCGCTTGCTCAAGGATACCCAGGGGAGGTCGTTGCGAAAAGAGTGGTCGCCTTCCTGGGGCAGCTCAAAAATACCGTCAGCTAGTACCTACTCATATAATGCTTTAATCGTACTCTGTAGTCCCTCCTAATGCTTTGTTTGTAAGTTTGTTTGGGTAGCTACTATTGCATAGCGACACTCATTGAGTACCGCGTGTCTCACGTAATTCAAGTCATGTGATCGCGACGCGACGCGGTTCAGTTCCCACGATGGCGCCTCGCGGAATCAAACTCCCCCTTCACGTTTCCGTCACAGGCACTGTCTCGTCCCTGCTCCCTCCCGTCTCCCTCTTCCTAGGCAACCACGACCACCACGACCTCAAGCACGATGACCAAGGCCTCTCTTATACCCGCCTCTGCGCCCACATCCCCGGTCGTCCACCGTAACAAGCAAAATCATCCCCCGACGACCCCTCAACGCCCTCTCCATCACTCCATAAGCGCACGGCATTATGCCTCTCCATTCACCCCCGCGACCCCCGTCTCGAACCCTTACACGCCTCTCGGCCTTCGCTCTTTCTCTTCTAACGGCTCCAGTATCGCGACACCTGCATCCGCTGCTGCCGCAAGACGGCGCAACTTGAGCCTGTCCCTATCTCCCCCTGATTTGCAAGTAAACGCACACCCTGCCAACCGCAGCTTGGCCGATATCGCTCAGAACTGGAGGACGCGAGCGAATGAAAATGGTATCAAGGTTAGCCCTGGAGATGAGTCCAAGTTTCAACGTGAGTATATGCGCAATTTAAACCGCTTGTTGTCGGGCTCCCGTGGCGACCAACTTATCCCTACCGTTGTTCATGGCGCTGATGCTATAAAACTTCCAGTCGATGATTGTAGCATGTCCGAACTCAGCCAAGCTTCAATAGATGAATGTATGCGCTACTCAGTGTTTGTCCCGCCCAGATATCTGACGACATTCGCAGCTCTTCTCCCAGCCCCCTTCCTCTCGAGCCAACGTCGCGCCCGCGCTATGTCTCACGCCCAGGCGCCGCTCCTCCCTGTTGTGGACAATATCCAACTCGGCGGCACCCCCAACCGTTCGGTGCCGATTGGTATCTCAACACCCCTCCTCCCCAGCCTGGGTATCGACTTCGGGGAAGCGTCACCGACCTGCGCATACCCGCCGGCGCCCTACATTCGAGCAGGTGAGTACCACTGTAGATTTTCCCTCTGCATTGTACCTATATGCGCCCGTTTTGCGCCCCCAGACGTCGGAGTTGTACAACATAGACGAAGACGACTACGCGCCCTATCCCAACGCCTTCTCTCCGCCCGCGCATTCCCAAACACTCCCTCTTTCCTTGAACGACCCTTTCAACACTTCCAACATCTCGCTGTCAGCCCTTCGACATCTCCGAGCCCGTTCAATTCTACGAGACACCGCATACATCCCGCCGCCTTCCCAGCAATACCCCGCGCCTTCAGCGTCCAAGTGTTCAGTGTGTGGGCTCATCAAAGGCTCCATCGCTGTTCTTAAGCCTTGCGCTCATCCACTGTGCTCGACCTGCCTCACGAGTGCACTCAACATCGTCGGTGAGAAGGACATGGAGTGCGCGATGTGCCATGCCAAAGTGGACGACTTCACCCTGTGCAAGAACAGCCCCGAGTCCAGGCTACCTGCTCCTTCTGAAATGAAGCTCCAGCGTATCATCGAAGAATGCAACGAATATGAGGAGTTCGACAGCGGCATCGGTCTTCTGCCCAGCGCCTTCAGTGGGACCAACGTCGGCGACATGGGCCTCTTCGAGGACGACGAGTTTTTTATGGACCGTGCGCAGGGCACTTCGACTCCTGTTGCGATGTCTCGGGCATTCCAGGAGAGCAAGATATCAGAGCGTGTTGTCTTGCGTATCGACAATGTCCCTTGGGTGCGTTCATACTTGTCCCTTTCATGGTTGTTTAACCTAACCCGGTGATCAAGGACATCACACCTCCTGCTATTGCAGCATGGCTCAAGCATCCGGTGGAGCGTGTCCATGTTCTATTGGACCGTAAGGGCAAAACCTTGAGCCACGCCTTCGCCGAGATGTCGACGAAGAAGCTGCGAAGGCGGCCCTGCGTACGTCTCAGAACTCGGTTCTAGGTAAGGGCAAGCGTGCTCGTGGCGTTACCGTCACTCGGAGCAGCCAGGAGGAGCTCATGCGGGCTGTACGTCTTCGATTTCACTGAGGTGTCTGGCTGGATCTCATCATCGGTTATAGTTATTCCCCTCGTGGCAAGGCAACTTTGACGGCTCTAGGCCTTCACTTGCCGGCCTCAGCAACGAGCATGTTATCTCTACCCTTCAACGTGGCCTTGTCTCTGAGACTGAGCTCAACTCTCTTCTTCACCTCATCAAGGCTCCAGACGTGAGTACCGCCCATAACACACCGTTCTCGCTCTGATGGTTGCGCACAGAGCCACTTCCTCAAAGTTCCGTCTCTGCCATTCTACTCCTTGATCAGCATTCTGTCCAAGTTCCCCGCCGATGACGATAGCCGAGTCTTCTGGTCCGGCAACATGCGAGATTCCCTTTATGGTAAGTCTCTCGTATTGTACAATGACATCATACCATGAAGGCTCATGCTCGTCTCTAGAAATCACAAATGGTAAGCCGCATTGCGTCTGGGTACACTGTTCCTTAATTACTCTTCACCCAGCGGCCGTTCACATTTTGGTTGCCCGCATTGAGGAGAACCCGCTTTCGGACTGGGGTGTTCTGCTCAAGGATATCGTTCGTGCGGCTCTCAGCTGCCGAGGTGAGTGATGATGTCATCCACCTGACTCATTTGACTGAGCGCCGTCGTTCTAGCTTTTACTCGGAGCAGATGAACAAGCTCACGGACGTCCTCGAGCCACTGTTCCTCAGGCTACCTCTTCCCCTCCCCAGTCTCCGAAGTCTCGCGGCTCTGCCTCCAGCAGCAGGGCGTCGATGCGCAGTGGAAGGGCAAGCCAGTCCCCAGCGGGTCTGCCACCGCATGCGTACGGACATCTGGCAAAAGAATTTGGGGTTGATCCCCTCGTCGTCGAAGCGCTTGCGCAGCGGCTCTCCTCCATTCACTGATCACCCGGTCACACTTTCGTCCATGCTGTCCTCTGTTGTCCACGCACCATGCACTCCTGGCTATCTTCTGTTTGTCGTTCCGGATGGACCGTAGTTCTTTAAAATTAAGCATAAGTTCTCATCACGACTCTCCCGACTGGTCGTTGGATCCGGAACCGTTTGTACGAAGCTCTCCTCCTTCGCTCTGTCGCTATGTTGATCGTAACGCGCCTTAGACCTCCGTATCCCATGTTCGTACCGTACATCGTCGCTTGTGTTTTGCTCTCGGCTTTCGCGCTGTTGTCCGTCCCCTCCCCTCGCATGGTTCCGCCGTCCCCAGCTTCGTGGCCTCGTATGTGTATGAATCCCCGGGCCCTCCCCTTCCCGTTATCGCTGTATTACCTGCAATGAACGTCTTGTGGACCTTGTACTAGGCGCGTGCGATGTGGGCTGCGCACCACGAGGACTGGTGCCGAAGTGCCTCGAGGTGAACTCGCCCTGCTTACTTGGGTTCATCGTACCATTGCCCTAATTCGATGTTTCACATAGGTCAGAAGGACCCATGCCGACAGCTTACGGAAACGTTCTGCTGCCCTGCAGCGGCGGCAAGCGCCAGTGCGTACTTCTCAGACAAGGACGCACCTTTCGTGCGTGTTAGGACACCATATCGATGGAGCTTCTCCTCGAGGCGGTGAGGGCGAAGGCGCTTGCGTTCACCGCCATCCGGTGGAGGACGACACCAATGTGCGAACTCTATCCCTGTTGTCTTAGCGAATGGCGCACTCGCTCGGCTCGAGGGCGGATTGCTTGGAGCTAGTAGGTCCTGGGCTTCTAGCGGGCACGACGATGACACGCAGATGACAAGTTGCAACGGCGAATCACCAGCACGGAGCGCCGCCACCAAGAGATGATCTGAGCAATGCAATATGTCGGTGCATGGCCTCGTCGCTCCCTGGACTATGACTTACTGGTCACTTTACAGGCATATTGGCGGGCACGGCGGCCCGGTGGACGGCGCGTTCAGGCGCCTTTTTCATGGCGGCCTCCTCTCCGCGGGAGTCGGGACTGTCGCCTCACACGATAAGCTTGCTTCGGGTGTTCATCCAGATATCCGTACCGAGTACGCGCACCGCCTCCCAGAGTCGATCGGGTCGCACGTCGCCTCCTGGCCACCCCGCTCTCATGCGGTCCGCTCGCGTGGGCGCATGCAGGAGCCGCGTCACCTGGCACAGCAGTGCACCATGTCCGGCTTTTGCATTGGTGATAACCGCACCCTCGGACGCCGGGCGTCGCGGACTTTGGCGTCAGTCCTTCTCCCGACAGACGTGAGGTACGTCGGTCGCGCCCACGTCGATGGGGGCGGCGTAGCATCTTACGTCGTCGCGCGTGTGGGCAGACTCCTAGGGTTCTGTCACCTCCATCCCGACGCCCGACCTTCGCACCAGCGTGCGCGTCCGTGCGGCACCAAGAGTGGGGTAGATGACCCTGCGAAAACATGGTTAAGGGCCGTGGACTTCGCACGAACGTCGACTCGCCAGGCGCGCGCCGGAAGGTTGGGCGCGAGGTCGGCGATATCTGTCGACTCTTGGACCCTGAGCGAGCTGAAGACGCGTGCAAGAATGCAATGCGCGTCCAGGGCTCAGGTGAGCCAACTGTCGTGGGCGTCACAACGTCGCTCGGCGGCCCGCCGGAGATGAGCGCGATGAGTGGCGCGGGGGTGCGGAAGCCAGGTACGACCACAGAACATCGTTCCCGCCCGCGGATGCGCGCTTGGGCCGGCGGTTTCTGACGCACGTCCGCGCAATAGATGCGAATGAAAGAGGTGATAGCGTCATATTCATTGATAGACAATCTCGGGAGAGTCGCGACCACGCCTTGTTCCTCTACGGGACCTTCCCACGTCCATGGCGTTTGGGCCACCTGCGTCCGTGAGCCGTATTCTCATTCCTCCCAAGGCCCCCTACCCATGATCAACTGACAATCAACACCAGCCCCAGCGTCGGCCGCACCGCGTGGCGTCTCCCTTGTTCACATGCTGTCGCCGCCGAGTCCGTAGACTGGGCTGCGATCTTCAGGGTTACTTCTCCAGGGCTTCAGTCCAGGTCTCCGCGGCGTGGGGTGCGCGTGCGCCGTGCGCCGTGCGCCCCCCAGTGCATCTGTCTTCGCTGTGACCCCGGGCGGGCCTCGCTTCCGCACCGTGTCGGACATGAGCCTCGTATCGGGTCGCGGTCGGCGCGCTCTTCACCGCGGAGTCGGCAGCGGAGGCTCGATGGCATCTCCACGTCTTCGGAGGTCTTGGCCCTCAAGCATATTCCGTGCTCGACGCCGGACTTTCTTGCCTTCGCCGACGGTCTGGGAGGCCTAAAAGTACCCCAGAGCGCGCCGGTCCCACTGCCGCGCTCGGCGGGGCAGTGGGCGGGAGTGCACGGATGCCGTCGCATCGCGCATGGTTGCGGTGTGTACGCGCGGGCCGCACAAAGTAGGGGCCACGCCGGGGCCTCCGTTTTGCTGGGGTATTTCTGGGAGCTGTTCATACGGTCGAGAATCTACGTGCAGTCAGAAAAAGCATTTCTATGGGCGAGAGAAAGCCTACTTGTCGCACTCTCGGCGTTAATGCGGCGCTAGAAAGACGGAAGGCCGCCCGGGTTGCCGGGCCGTTTGAAGCCTCCGCGTTCCGGTGGATGTGGGCGAGACGTAAGAGCGAGGGCCGAAGTACGCGGGTCCGAGGACCCGGACGCGAAGGCGAAGGTGGGGGGTGGATGGGTAGCGGTGGGGGAGGGGAACGGCGATGCAGAGCGAGTCTACTGAGGCATCCGGGGGAATCCCGCGCGAAGAGTTATGTACCGTCCGCCGCGACGTTCCACACACGCCCCGGCGCCAGCGGGCCACGCCCGAGCCGCACGTCCCCCGTTCTTCGTCGTTCTCCGCCGCTACGGACCACAAAGTGGTGCTCCCGCACGAGGATCGGCGGAGGTCGCCGCCCGAGGGTGCGTTCGTACGGTCCTCGCTGCGTCGTGCGTGCGGTTTGCGATGCCGCGAGCGCGCCCGCGCGCGCGGCGACACCCATTCTCCGTGTCTTCGAACACCTGGCGAGGGCGCGAACGCGCGTGTTTCGTGTGATACGCGGCGTCGCCGTGCCGAAGAGAATGGTTACTTGGGCGGTGTGCGGGTTCTGGCAGGGAGCAGGTCCCCTTCCAAGTGTCGGAGGCACGGTGCGCGTGGGTGCGGCGGCGTCGACGGAGCGCGGATCGTGGTGGGGATTCGAGGGCGGAGATGTTCAGAGGCCGTCTGGCTGTGCCCTGTGCCCAGGGGTGCGTGCAAACGTACAGTAACTCTTCGTAGACTTGTGCGAGTTGGGTGGTTGTGCGCTTAATTAATGAGCGGAGGGCCTGTTTTTGGGGTGCAGTGATTCGAGAATGTGTATTGGGAGGACAGCGATAGTAACGAGATGCGAAGTCGAACGTTCTAGCAAATAAAAGAGCAGTGAGGGCTACAGAAACTGGAGAGGCATGATGAATATGCTACAATAACGGAGACGATGGAGGATTTCGGTAGTCGAGGCTGGAATTTTGCGCTGTACGGTCGCAGTTGCCGCGCTGCCCAAATCCACTCTGCCTGCATCGCGAGAGAAACAGAGAAGGGGAATCTTGTATGGGGACAGGTTCGCTCAACACCTGTGGCACCGAATCAGCAAGGCTCCTCGCGCATCCACGGAGGGGGCACCCGACGCACCAAGTGTTGCTGTCCTGCGACCTCCGCCCGCGTAGCTCGACGGCTGCAGCGCGTACCCGTGCTGCGCCTGTGGTGCCGGCGCTGGTGGTGCCGCCTGCTCGTGCGCGCTGGTGCGCCCGCCGCTCCTCCTCCTCCCGTCGGCCTGCGCCTGCTGCAGCTTCCGCGCGAGCACGGGGCAACCCGTGTTCATGTGCCGCCGGAGCGTGTCCCGGCGCGCGAACGCGTTCCCGCAGTGCTCGCAGTGCTCCTTCATGCTCTTCAGGTGGCACTCCGCGATGTGCTTCGGGATGTTCTCGAACAGCATCTTCTCCGCGCGGCACGGGCCCCAGCGGCACTCGCTCTGCGTGCCGCGCGCGCCCGCGTCGGCGTGGTGCGTCCGGAAGTGCCGGCGCACGCCCGGGTGGGAGAGGTCGTCGAGCGCGACGTTGCAGCCGTTCCACTCGCAGCGGCGGGTGCTGGCGGGCGGGGCGAGGGGCGGATAGGCGGGCGGGGCGAAGTCGAGGCGCGCGGCGGTGGGCGCGGTGGACGCGAGGGGTACGCCATGGAGGGGTGCATGAGGGCGGTGTAGGACGTCGAGTCCGAGCCGTGGGGCGAAGGTGGGGGCGGGGGCGACGGGGTGGGGGACATTTTTGTAGGCTGGGGCGTAGGACCAGCAGGGGGACGAGGTGGTTGCGGTCCTGGGCGATGGTGGTGGACGGCAGCCTGCGAGATGTTAAGCCAGAGCGAGCGCTCGCGAGCAAGGGTGGTACTTACGTGTTGCATTGGCTGTACTCGGGCAGGTCATAGTACACCTGCGCGTCACCTCGAGGCTGGTGGACGTTCGTGCCTCGATCATAGTTTGAGTAATGCCCCGATTGGTATCAATCCCGTGTACATGCGTCTGTTTGAGGCGGGTCACTGACAACGCCACCACGCGTGAGTGATAGTTAAGGAATGTTTGAGGGGTACTTACTACGGAGGTACCGATACTGGGTGGATGTGAGCATGTTCATTGAAGTTCGGGTAGAGACGCGCGAAAGCGAGCGATGTCTAGGTGAAGTGGGAGCCGGGACCGATGATGACCTCTGGGACCCAGCGAGTACTTATGTGTCCCGGCGATGGTTGGGCCATCAGGGGGGCTTCGCTGCACGATGCGCATAGCATCTCATCCGGATGTGACTTTCGTTCAGAGCGCCGGCTTCTGCTGCAAGAACAGCCGCGATCCCGTGTAATCTCGGAGTCCGCCTGAACACCGTCCATCTAGCAGGTTCCTATGGACAGCAGAAGACTTGGAGTGCCGCATGACGCTGTCCCAGCCCCGACCCATCGGCGTGCGTGCCTAGTTTTGCCAGGCGGCAGGACGTGAGGCCCGTCGACCGGTTAATGTGGACGGCTCACCTGAACATAACGTCCAGAGGACAGTTTGAGTTGTGCGAACCGAAATAGGACTGCCCCGGAACACTGCCGCGAAAAAGAACAAGGAGGGAGAGGCGCCAAGCTGGAAGGTCGAGGTATCCAGATAGAGGGACACGCCCCTTCGGCGCTTAACGGAGCTGCGCGTCTGCTCATGGACCCTGCGCCGCATGATTCAATCGAGGTCATAGAGCATCGCCTGTACTGCACAATGCCATCGATGGGGGACACATACCAGAGCATATCCTGGTCTATGACCTGCAGCATGCCTTTGGTGAGGTGGCGGCGAGGTGGGTGGCGGGAGCGGTCTGTCGGGGGCGGCAAAAGCTCTCGCGTCACTGGATGGCGCTTCCATGACCGGGAAGGAGGGTGGGAAGACATAGATACTAGAAAGCCGGGCTACACTCGCGGGATCGGCTGCGACGCGCGGGCGAATCCCGCGCAGCGACAGCGATCCGCCCGCACCAAGGAGGGGTGGAATGGACGCCGATTGCCGGGACGCGCGAAGAGTACGCACCATCTTGCCTATGGCGAACGAACGACGCCGCCCGAGGTGGCAAGAGCAAGGAGGAGGGTCCGGCGAGAGACGTGCCTGCCTGGAGCGCACAGCAAGAGACCGGCTCAGGAGGCCGCCCGCCTCCGCCAAGAGCGCGCGCCTACTTGTCCGAAGGCCCGCGAAGCCACTCTTCTTGTGGTTCCCTCCAGAAACGCTGCCGTCATGAAACCGCTGAAAGCCCCAGCACCCTCCGCTCGGTCTCAGCAGGCCTCGGATGATGCCATAGGTACGATGAGCCGTCGGAGCTCCGTGGATGTTCTGGGCCCGCGAGTCGCGAAAATTATTGACACGAATGGCGCGTCGAATTAATGGTGACGGAATCCGAAGCCAGACGTTGGGCAGTGGTCAAGATCTTGTCCTGTGTGGTCCATGTCAGCCGGTCTCAAAGTATACCCGCGACGGAGGAACATGGCGCGCGTCCCGCAAAAAGGCGCACCTTGTCCTGGCTCTAGGCATGAAAAATTTAGCATCCTGTGCAATAAACAAGAAGATCCACTGAGCACTGACAGATCTATTGCAATCTGATCTTGCGGCGTCGGTATGTCTATGCTTGTCCGTAATGCCAGCTGGCTGCTTTACTACGATCACGAGGTCCGGTCTTCTATTCTCACGCGCTACTCCGTCCCGAGCGCCGGTGGAAGTGCTCGATATAAACGAGGAACGGAAAAGCGGGACCTACCCCGCCGGGAGAAGAGTGGGAAGGGCGGCCTCGGAGCCATGACTGAAGGCGCATTGGAAAGTGCTGCCTGCGATCTTCGTCGGAATGACGTACTCTCCGAACGACCAGGAGCGGAGAGTTGAAGGCTGGCGCCTGAGGCACCTCGACCATGATCGACGAGGAGTATCCGGATAGGGCCCTGGACAGAATTCAGCGTAGTGCTAGCAGCGAAGAGTACGGCGTGAGAAGCTTCCACGCGCGGACCGCCCATGGTCAGGCCTCAGGGCCGGTTCACCCGGACTGTCGTTGTGATGCCCGCCGTCACAGAATTGTGGGACTTCAAACCTCAGGCAGCCAGAACCTCGGGCAGGGCCAGCCCACTCCTCCAACGCACCGCCTGCGCATCACATGTGTGCATACAGGTGACAAATGCCAGCAAAAATGGATCCCATTTTGCCTTCAGGGAGCTGCAATGCATCAGTGCTCCAGCAGGCATATACGAATAAGAAGCCGAGGGGACGCGCCTGGCGTTGCCAAAGGCAAGAGACCCTGGCTTGGTCCGCATCGCGGAACGCTGACTAACGTGCAGCGCATACGGGGTTCTCCAGTAGCCGGCTATCCTGCTCACAGGCTACAGCGCGCATCGTGAGTTATCGATGATGTTGAAACAATCGCAGAGGCGCTAACCTTGAGCATGATCAACAGGATCGCGGTGCTGTGATGAATGGACGCTGAGGAAGAGGAGCAACCGCGGCGACCTCGGGTGGTGAGTAGCAGAACGCACACGTAACGCTTACGTGGCCAAAATGACGAGTGTGCGAAATACTGCGGGCCGAGGTTCCGCGCGCGGAGTGCGAAAAGTTCAATCGGAGCTGATCATGAGGAGAACGCAGCGGCTTCTTCCGGACCCGGCCGGGTTTCCGCTCCTAACGCCGCTTCCAGCCCAGGTGGCCCGCGTCACCTCTCTCAGTCTGCCAGGATTGAGCCAGCCTGTGTCGTTGCTAGGCTCACGCCCGACCTCACGTCGACCTCACGTTTCTCACCGAAGCGTGGGGTCGTCGCGCGCTGGCGTTGCTGCAGTCAATGTGATTTGCCCGTCGTGCGCGTCCGGAGGCCAACCCTCCGGTCGCAGTGGGCCCTGCGCGCCTGCGCGCACTGTTCAATGGCGAGATCGAACCCGACTTCCTACCATCAGGAGCAGAGCGCAACTTCAAACCCCAGACTCACTACAGCTGCCTCGCAGGCCCTCCCCCCGGACGTGAGACGGCCGGGTGCAGCGACGATGCGCCCGTGGGGAGCCAGCTCGGCGGATTGTGATCAGATCCAGGGGCGTCGCGTCGCCCCCGCTTCCGTTTGGACATTGATTTCGCCATCGCAGGGCCCGCGTCGCTCGGGGGGCGCGAGTCGACGCTCGCCGGGCGCCCCGCGCCCCGCGCAATCGCAAATTCGGCACGATCGAACGCGTCCGCCGGTGGGCGGTGGTGGGCTGCGCCGGACGCAACGACGTTCAACGTAGTGCGTGTTAGCCGACCCCGCGGGGGACGCCGGCGGTCGATCACACACCTAGGCTGCGCGCCGGCCGGCGGCAGGACCAATTGTAGGTAAGTGTGTAGTTTCAGGACCGAGCGAGCTCGGACCGCACCATCGGGGTGTGCGATGCGAGGGCGATCCCTCTCGCCTGTGTCGCGCCTTCGGCAGCCCTACATACAGCTTACGCTGTTGCTAGATGATGCACTTTGGCGAGCGGGTGTGTCCTCGCACCATAACAAGTGAAGTTAACGTCATGCGACAACAAACACTCAAAGACGTTGCAGCCGCAAAAGCACCTTGAAGTCGCGCCGGCAACCAACACCGCTACTAGGAGAAGGGCAGCCTAACGCGCCAGAAGGCTGTCCATGACATTAGCGAGGACAAAGTTGAGTCTCCGTGTCGACATCCATCTCGGGTCCTTGTCGGACGACCGCAAGCGGTGCATCAGGATTCAGATTCGTTTCCCCATCCCCCCGAGTCCCCACTCGCCAAACGGCCCACGCCTCCGAGGTCGCCCACACCTGGCCACTCTCCTCATCCGAAGGCGCAGGAGAAGAACCCGCAGGAGACAGGTCTCACAGGCACCCGCACAGGACACCGCGGACAGACACGATCCCGCCGCGAGAACGTGGAGGTCCGCGTCTGGCTTGGAGCTGGCCCTGGTGATGGAAGACGTCAACCACAACCACAACCACACGACGCAAGCCGTCAAATTCCCGCGAACGTAATCCTGCGCCCGGGCGCGGGCGCGGGCGCGCTGCCCACTTTTCGACGCTCGTGCTCATCCGCGGGCGCGCGGTCTCCTGAAGCACCCCCGAGCCCGCCATCTGCGTCGGCCCGCCGACGACGGGGTCGCGCCCACGCTGCGCCAGGCTCGTCGTGGGACGACAGCCTGATGGTGCCATGCATTTCCACACACTTACGTGGGAGCACGACACCGGAGCTTGAAGGCGGCGGTGGGTCAGACAAATTCACTCGCGCGAGCTCAACGTGGCCGACGACCGGCGTCGTGCAGCGCGAAATACGGCCGCGTACCGGTGTTTCCGCGTCCTCCTCTCAGCTTCCTGGCACCCCGGAATACCAGGCAGTTTCGATCGACGCGGTGTCGTCGCGTACTTTCACTTTCATTTTAGCAAGCTTAAGCATATACAGTTTCCCAACATTTGTGCGCGGCGCGTCCTGAGGCCGCATCTCGTGCCCGTCCATCTCGCACCAGCACGCAGCGGCACGAGCATCCGCCACCGACATCACCCCGGCCGCCAGTGCAGATCTCGGCGCGGGCCAGGGGGGCCCGGGGAGGGGTAGAAATCCAGAGTCTAGAGGCGGGCGGGATCCGTCCACGACCACACGTACAGCCCGCACGTCCCGTCTGCGGCCCGCCAGGCGAACACAGCGGTGCCCGTCGATCACCGATTCGCTCCCCCAGGGCCCATGGTGGACGGCCACCGTCCACAATCCCGCAATCCCACCATCCCGCAATCTGCAATCCGCAATCTGAAATCCACATGACGCTAGCTGCCGCAGAACGCGGGTCGGTCACCGCGTGGCGGGCCAGAGGAGCGGCTCAGCAGGTGAACTCGTGAACTGGTGATGGGCACCGACGCCGGCACCGACGGCGCCACCCAAGTTCCTGCAGCGAGTCCGTCGACGGGTGCGTGGGTGGGCTCATTGCTGAATATTCAATATTCAACGGTCGCCTGGCCACGGCCCCGCCCCGCCCCGCCGCGACCTCGAACTCGAACTCGAACTCGAACTCGACCGCTGCTGCTGCACGTCCGCACGTCTGCACACCTCGGCAGCTCTGGTGACGTTGGTATCGAAGCGGCGGTCGGACACCCGGCTAACCAGGTTCGGTTCGCGAGGGCGAGGCGCGAGCTCAGCTGCGTGCGTGCGAGCGCGGAGGCGGAGGCGGGGGGGAGTTTGCGCGGGGGGTGCGCGCACGTACGTCAAGCTGAAGCGAGCCAAGCCGACGTCGGTGCTCGTTTGGCGCGAGCGCGTCTCCCCATCGGCGCAGGAAGGCGAGTCTGCGGAGCCGGGGCGGCCCACAGCGCCGCGCGAAGAGAGCAGAGAAGACTCGAGATACGCGCGCAGAAGGCCCCGACGCGGGTTGCAGCGTAGACGCGACGTTCGAGGCCCGGCACGCCCGTGGCGTGGTACTCGGATCGTCTCTGGCACCAGTCTTGAACGTTGAACGCACACTCAGCAGTAGCATCAGACGGCGCGCGCGCGAGAGGGAGAGAGAGAGGCGGACGAGCACGAGTCCTGTTGCGCGCGGTAAGACTACTTAATACACGAGGGTAGGAGAGAGAGCTATATGATACAACTGTAACGATGCAGAACCCCGAGACGCCTGACGAGGCGACGCCTCCGGGAGGTGCACCGACCGACGGCGGTGTCCATCTTCTACGCCCGCCCCGACGCGTCCCGCAGGCGGCGCGGCGAGACGGGACGTATCCGAACACCCTGGCGGTTTTGTTTACCCAGGGATGCGAGCGGGGATGCGAGGGTACGAGGGGAGGGCGGGCGCGGGATGATAGGGGGAAGTCGTAAGCGTAAGCGTAGCGTAGTGGAGAGCGGCGGCGGCGGGAGCCCAGGGAGACGACAGCGGCGAATAGTTAGCGAGCGGGACCTGGAGACCGAGTTACGAGGCTGTACGGGTTCGTATAGGGGGGCGCGACGGTCCAGTAAACGGCAGATAGAGTAGAGGTGGTCAAGAAAGGACAGAGGGGGTTAAGGGCGGCGGCGGCGGCGGATGCGCACAGCGCGAGCCACGAGCCTCGGAGCTGCCCAAGCCTGCAAACAAAGAGAACGCGAGGGGGGTAAGCGCACCGTCCGAAAGGCCCCCTAGCAGGGAAACGCACAGGAAGAGCAATCCCAGCGAGCGAGCAACCCACAGGCCCCAGAGCTCCCGGCACGAGTTTGGCCTCGAGCAGCGAGCTCCGCAGCACCCCGATGCGCGCTCACGGGCTCGAGCCCGGGCTCGAACCCGAGCTGTAACCCGAGCCAGGCGTCGAGGGGGCCTTCGCGCCCGGGCGCGCGTGGCGCTCGGCGTGCGCGCGCTGCGCCTGGGGCGAGTTCGGGCAGAAGCCTTTGATATGTCGGGAGAGCGTGTCGGCGCGGGCGAAGTCGGCGCCGCAGTACTGGCACTGCTTCGTCATGTTGCGGAGGTGGCACTCGGCGATGTGCTTCCCGAACGAGGAGGGGAACATGTCCTTGCCGCAGCCGCGCACGCCCCAGACGCACGCGCCGCGCGTGTGGTTGTCGGACACGAGCACGTCGTGGTGCGTGCGCAGGTGGCGCGCGATCCCGGACGGGGACGGGTCGTCGATCGGGATCCCGCAGCGCGCGCCGGGGGCGCCCCATTCGCACTGCGCTTGCCGTTTTGAGGACGCGGACGCGGGCGCGGCGGCGGGGTACGCGAAGGGCGCGAGGGAGGAGAGCGCGGAGTGAGAGTGGGGCGGGCAATAGGCAGAGTGCTCGGAGGGGTAGGCGCGGTAGCCGTTCGCAGGTGCAGGAGGCGAGAAGTGCATCGAGGGCTGAGCGTAGTAGTCGCCAGAGCGCGGGTAACGCGAGGAGTGGTCAGGAGCGCCGAAGTCCTCCATGTAGTCGAACGGGGTCTGGGTGCGCGGTTCACTGCAGGGAGGAAGGCGGTGGACGCGTCGGGGTGAGCGGCGAGGGGAGAGGGGACGTCGGGGGATGGTACGTACTGAGAGGACCAGCCGACGCGGTCGGAGGCTCCCTGGGTGCCGTACGGTGAGAGAGGGCTGCCAGATGCGCGTCAATTGTGGTTCGTGACGATGAGGGTTGCGGTCTGGACTCACGACGAGGCCGCGAGGCCATTGTAGTGGTCTGCGCGGAACGACTGGGCACTCGCGGTGGAGGAAGGGAAAGGGCTGAGGAGGAGCGGGGCGTACATGAGTGGTGGTGCCGCGAGAGGGAGAGGGACGCGTACCTGGGAGCGGGGAAAGCGTGGTGCGAGCTAGGGCAGGGGAGCAGTGAGACAGAGCAGGCTAGCCGTGCACCGAGGACGGCGTACCTGTACGGGGGGGCGAGGGAGGAGTGTCGGCGACGGTCGGCGTCGGCGTCGAAGAGGGAGTGGGAGTGGGAGTGGGACATGACGGCGGAGGAGTGCATGGAGGCGGGCCGGGGGTGGCGGAGGGAGGAGGAGGAGAGGGACGGGCGGCGGGGGAGAAGTGCCTTCGCGGGTTGGTGCGAGGGCTTTATGAGGGACGCGCCGATGGATGATGGCGATCCAGTCGAGGACGAGGAGCGGGAGGAGGGGAAAGCGGTGCCCACAGGCCGTGGGCGGAGGACTCAAGGGGGAAAGCAGTCCGAACCTAGCCAGGACAAATCATATTCATTTGCGCACGCGCGTCACCGTGATGGGGGTTCGCGTCGCCGGCGAATAAGCGCAGATCTCGCCTCCGCCAGCTCCGGCGCCGGCGCCGACGCCTGCTCCTCCGGCTCCGTGTCTCAAGCAGCGAGGAGCCCGCGTCCTATCGCGGCTTTCGATCTCTTCGCAGGACGAAGACCGATGGCTGCCGATGCGCCAGATCAGGGTGCGCAGAAACTACGCTCTGAGTCACCGCGTGCGAAGATGCGAGGTCGTCGGCGAGAGCACGATCGGGTGCGGGTTACCTGCAGACGGGGCGACAATTCGCGCAGACGAGGCTCAACTGTGCACCCTCTGTGCACTGTAAATCGCATCGATAGAGGCGGTCCCATAGCCACGAGCAGACCAAGATCCCAAAGCTGCAACGAGTACGAGTACAGGGCCTCGAGGGCCACAGGCTGGCAGCACGCTCGGTAGACCGGTGCAGACCCCAAAGTACAGGCTAGAGACTAGTGTAAGAACGATTGATGGAGTGCCTGCGAGACGGGTGCGAGCACGAAGTCGAGGAGGGAAGGCGACAGGGACGGCGAACAGCGAGGCCTGCCCGTCGGCAAGAGATGAGGGAACAGGTCCAAGGAGAGCCAGGCTTGGCGCGTGCCGTTGCGGAGCCCGGCACAGCTGTCGCCTCCCCGCTGATGGATCGGCCCCACGCTGGTGCTGCCCACGGCGGCTGTATACTGCCCACCTTGGCGCGATTCCGATCGCACTCCTCCATGGTGTCCGGGTGCGTGCGCATACCACTTTCTGGTCTCTGCTGCGCGATCTGCACGCGCGAGACTTTGGTCCTAGGCTCGGAGTCGCGAGAGAACCCTCACAACCAAGTTCTATCCCCGAACGAATTCGACCTCTGGCTCAAAGCTCAAGGTGGCACAGATGGCCGTTGAGTGCACGCGCGCACACACACACACCACAACTTCTCCCGAACCCGCTCTTCGCTCCGCCGCCAGCCGGCGCATGCACCCGCATCACGTACGAACGCATCTGCAGCACCACTGGTCCCGTTGGCACAGTGGCGGGCGTTCGAACTTGGCCACGGTGGGGCTCCTGCGTGTGGATTGGGACCCCCAACCTGGAGCAGCGCCGGACTGAGCGGTGCTGATCGATCGCTCAAGCAGCCCCGTCGCCGCGGAATAATAATAATATCAACGGACGTCGGCTGCGCGTCGACAGGCGTGCGCGGCGGCCATCTCAGGGTGCCCACGCGCCCGTCCACGCGTTTCCGGTCCCTCCGTGGCCCATCGGAGGCAGCGTCACGACAGGCTCTCGTCCAGCGTCCTGCGCGCCGTGTTGACTGGGAGCCGGGCAGCCGCGGATCCCTCCGTGCGGATATCTGAATCGGCCAATGTTCACCCGTTCACGCTGCCACCGGCCGGGTTGATGAGATCAGGGACAGGTGCAGCTTGTTTGTCCGCACTGCACTGGCTGCCTGCACCGAGTCGGTGGCGGTATTGGTCTGTCGTCCAGAGTCGATGGAGGACACCCGGCGCTAGGCCTTCTCTGTTTCACGCCAATCTCTCAGGAGCCCGAGCCTCTGGTGCACAGCCTGCAGAATGCAGCATGATGCTCTAATACATAGCGAGAATTCACCCTAGCACTGGAGTCTGGCAGTGAGAGATGCGCCGGTCGTGCATACGTCGTCGGGCGCCCAGCGAGGGTGTGCCATCGGGCCCTAGCGCTCGCGCGCCGCCGGCCTGCTGGCACCCTGCGCTGGTCAACCCAATTTCGATGTGCGGTCTCCATCCCGCCCAAATCACTCAAACTACTGGCGGGTCGGGCGGACGATCATCCGCCCCGGCGCCCACCTGCTCTGCTAATATGACCTTTGCAACGCCTCCGTCGTGAAACCCGAGCCGAGGCCCCTGTCTGTGGGATGCCGTCGCCGCCGCCGCCGCCGTCGCCGTCGCCATCGCCCGGGCCCCGCGCCCGGCCCCTCTCAGCGGCGCGCATCGTGTGTGTGCCTGTGTGCGCCCCTCCTCGTCTCCCGCGAGCGAAGCCCGAGTACTCACCACGGGCGCGAACCTTGCGTGCACCGCGCGCGCGCGCGCGTCGACGTCCAGAGCCCGCTGACGCCGAACGACACTTCTCGAATTCGAGCCGGTGAATTTGGAAGCCTGTCCAACGCACGCAGGGCCCAACATGGCTCCCGCGATTCCCCTCGAGGCCGCGCCGACTCGCCCGCGCTCTTGGTCGTTCCTGCCCGCTCACGGTTCCGCGCTCCGTGCTGGGCGTGTAGAGCTGGGTTGAATTAAAGTTATCAACACACTCCATATAACGTGTTATATTGCCGTTAGTAACGGTTAAGGATCTAGGACCCCATATCGGATACTGTTATTTTCTAAAAACACCCCTGGGGCTCGGTCCGCAGGTCCGCGCGCCTAGACCGACACCGACTCGGTCAATGATGGAGGTCGTGGCAAAAGTTTCCAAGTGTGAAGCTATTGCTGCCCCAGGCTCGCACTGCTGTGCCCACAGACGAGTTCACGACCCGTACTTCGGTCCACGCGCCTCGCTCCAGCGCTCGGATACTTATGTATGACGGAGCCTGCCCGTGGCACTACAACGCCTCAAGGCCGCCCCAGAGATAGTACGCGATACAGCGGCGGCGGCGGCGGACTGTTTCTCCTCGCGGAGGTTGTGCGACGCGATCAAACACCGACTCTGGCATATCTGCCACGAAGGCGGGCCGCCGGAGCGGCGGCGCCCTGCACTGCAGAGGGCCCGTAACTGCAGTGCGGCGTCCCGAGCCCGCGCCGCGCCGGGGAGTGTGGAGTGGCCACCGACCTAAGTACGCCATAGAGCCCGGTCGGCGTTCAAGCAGCGGCGCTGGCGCAGACAGGGGGCATCAGAGTACTTCCAGAGAGCATCGCACGCGAGCATCGACTCGCGTCGACGCGATGATCGCGCGGGCTCCCATCTCCAGGTTTGCACGCCGGGGGAAAGGCCTGATCCGAGGCTAAACACCCGAGCACTGGCCTGCACTGGCAGCCCATTTCGCGTGATAGCCGTGTGATGAGTCTGAGTCCGAGGACGTCGCGGCCAGGCCTGTGCTACGTAGCGAGGCCGATCGGGCTTTCACGTACACTGCCACCCGGGGAGGGTCGAGGGACAGGAAACCTTGCGCACGACTACCCCAGGTGTGCTAATCGGCCCACGCCCGCAGTCGTAGCGTCCGCTAGAGAATAAGTAGAGCTGCGTGCGCAATGCGCGGGCAGACGCACCTCACAACGGTGCCACTGTACGAAGTCCGGTGTCGAGTCACCGATCATGCACATATGTGGGGCGCAGGAACAGCGGGTGCGAGGTACCTGGGCCCGTACGCACACTACACCCGCGCAAGGACAAGCGGCGCGCGGCGCGCGATGACGGCAACGTTAACGCGTGAGCGGCGTCGAGCTCGTAAGTAGGATCTGATTCTCGCGCGGCGCGCGGTCCCGTGACTGCCAGGCACGTTCGGACGCGACGCTTTGAGCCCCAGAACGGAATCAAGCTCAAGGTCTGGTGGGAGTCTGGGACGGTGCGCGTGCGACGGGGGCAGAGCCGGCGTGCTGGGCACTGTACATGTGTGCGTGTGTGTAGCCCCCCCGGCTGCTGTGATCTGGTGGTGTGGGTGTGGTTCGGTGGGCGTCGGGGGGGTTGCGGCGGGCATCCTGTCGCTGCTTTTGGGCCTGCGAGCCCTTGGGCCCGTGGGGGGTGCCTATCATCGACATCCTCTGTCCATGCCTCTGGCCGGGTGCCGCAAGCGGGGGTGCAGGTGGCGATGACGCGTGTAGGCTTTGGACGAGGGCCGCGCAGGGTCTGAGCGCGCGCTCTGCGGCAGGCTGTGTCTTCGCGGGTGCCGCAGCTCTGCACGCTCGAGCGCTCGCCGCGGCGAACGAAAGACAGAAAGAGGATAGATAGACGGCGAGCTTCCAGGCGCGCCGTCGCGCCGCCCTGGCGATGCCTGATATTGCCACGACACACCGACGCGCGCGAGGCCCTAGGTCCTAGGTCCTTCCGAAGCCCGCGCCCGATAATGAACGAGAAGGACGGCGGTGCTGCGGTGGCCTGGAAGAGTCACCCGCGGTCACCTTCGCGCGCGCCGATTGGCCGCGAGACCGCCGACGGAGAGCGGACGAAGGCGGGAACGCGATCGAGGGAAGCTGAATGCGAGTACAGCTAGGCGCCCGCGTGCGCGCCGGCGGGACGGAGCCCATTGTCCCTCCCCTCGTGGACGGGCACGCGGCGGGGACGACAGCAACGCGCACGGAGCTTGTCTGCGGCTGCGGCGGGGGCGGGACGTAAGAGCAGGGGACGGGGGGCCTCGAGGCTGGCACGGCTCGCGTGCGCGTGTGTGGGGGAGGCTCGCCTCGATTCCTGCTTGCCGCGTTTGGACAGCGAGGATCGCGTCGAGAGCGCGCGGGATGCGGAAGGGAAGGGATGGGCGCGGTGTGGGGGTGGATAGGATTTTCGGTATCTTCCCACGGTCGGTTGCACCCGGAGTTGGAGCATTTGATCCGTCCTCCGCGCCCGCCGCCGAGCCCAGGCTGGCGAGTCAGTGGTTGCCCCTCCAAGACGTCCGCGTCCACTTCGCACGCGTCGCACTGCCCGTCGAGGAGCGTGTCCTCCGCGGTGTACTGCAGGCGCGGGCCCCCTCCCCCCTGGCCCCAGACGGCGGCTCGTGTGGCCCGGCTAGAAGGGGCGATACTACGTCGTGCGCGCATCGAACTTACCGGGAGAGAGGGTGATCGAGGGGCGTGCACCTTTCATGATCAAGTTTTGCTCCCGGCCTCTTCTCGCGACAAGGGGCGTGTCGAGCGCGTCGAGCGGGCTCGAACGTGGCGTCGAGAGCCTGAGATGTCTCGGGTGTTGCGATTCTGACTGATGATCGAGAAGCGTGCATCGGCTCAGCGCTGAAGGAAGTTCGAGCGTCGAACCTGAGTAGATTGCACTGTTTAACGGCATCTTGTGCGTGAGCCGCATAAAGCCCTAATGACCGGTGCGTTTTCGAGAGATCGAAGTGCACAGCGCCGTGCACGGCCGCCGTGCAGGACCCGATAGAACCAAAGGGTCCCCCTTCAAACGCCACGGGCGGACGCTCACCGGCCTATGCGGGTCCAAAAGGGAGTTGCGTATGTCATCCAGAACGCAGTCCTGCCAGGGACGAGTCGACCACGTCGGCTCACACGACCCGGGTCGGCGGAGCACTCGCGAGCCCCGCTAGTTGCCGCACCTCCGCATGGCGGTGCGGGCAGCGGTGCACGGCAGCGCGCGTCCACCCCGCCCGCCACGGTGTACGGTGTACGGTGCATCTCCCGGCCACACGTGGCTAAGACACCGTCGACTGCTCTGGGAGGCGAGCACACGCCGCTGCGGTGGCTGCGCTCGGTCCTTGTGCCTGTCCAACGCGCGCGTCCCGTGTGCCCGGGCGAACCTGCTTGGTTAAGTGCGCGATTGCGGGGGGGCCCCACCGCGCGCACGGAGGGTTCAAACGTTCGATCCTAGCCCCGTCATGTGAGCACCCTCGCATGGGCTCACAGACCCCCACTGGCCGCTGTGGGCGAGGGTACGCCAGGGACCGGTGTGTGTGGGGTGCCGTCTTCGTCGCCATCGTGACTCGGCGACTCGAGGTGCCTGCCGCTTGCGGCTTATCGTCGACGTCTGCGAAGAGTGGCGCCGTTATCGGCGACGTTTGCTGCGGCGGTTGTCCGACTCTGCGGGGGCCGGGAGCTGGTGCCCGAGGTTCTTGGCATGCGTGTCTGGCCCATTAATCGGCGTCCGCGTGGTTAGTGACACGTTGGCCCGCTCGCCACTCGCCTCGGAGGAGGTAGTACATGTAGATGAGGCGAGGTGCGGAGGGGAGGCATGGGCGCGGCAGCGGCAGCGTGTTGGTAGAGCTTCTGGCAGATCGTCCGTTGGGAGCGGCGTGGAAGAGAGAAGACGGGAGAACGCAGTCGGAATAATTGTATTGAATGCACTGAGTGGGGTGTAAGATTAGGCAATGGCTCCGTCGGAGCTTGAGTATAGCATACACGTTATCTAGAGGGTCAACGGAGCATATGTTACACGCGGGATATAATAGGGGAAGAAAGCAAGAAGGCATATCGTTGGGGTTATAGTTCCGAGGATGGATACATAGTTCAGAGCGGGTGAAAGGGGATTCGATAATACGTACAAGTACCAAGACGAGCTCCGAGTTCTCTCGGAGAAAGGGGGAGAAAGACGGACGGAAGCGAGGCTCAGTAAAGGAGAAACCGCCACCGACAGGGAGACAGAGATGGCCCCCGAATGACGGCGGCAACCACTGGCACCCGCCGATAGACGGCCGGCGTCGTAACGATGACGGAGGGGCGGAAGTGGAGGGAGTGCCCACTCGCGCACCCCCGCGGCCGAGCCCGGCATTCAGGCAGCCACGCCGTCCTCTACGACACCGCGGAAGACGAAGGGGCGCAACGGACACGACGACGAGCACCCACCGCACAGCGACCGACCCGCGACCGCGCCGCCTCGGGCCCGCGCGGCGCGGCCGCTGACTCCGCCCTAGTTCTCCTCGCCGTACTCGGTGACACCGGCATCGGACCCGCCCGCAGGCGAGCGGCGGGAGCCCTGGCCTTGGCAGTAGAGCTGCTTGTGCCGGCGGAGGGAGTCCTCGCGGCAGAAACCCTTCTGGCATCCTCGCACCGCTTCCGGAGGTCTTGAGGTGGCAGGTCGCGATGTGCTTCCACATCCCCTTCGGCCGCACCGCGTCGGCCGCACGTGCGGCGCAGCGCCCCCCGGGCCCCCAGCGACAGGCGATCCGCGTCTCTTTGTCGGGCCCGGGGACGTTGTGCACCAGGCGCAGGTGCGCGCGGATGCCGCGGTTCGCGGAGTCGACGGACGCGCCGCACCCGTGCCACTCGCACCGCACATTGCCGTCCTGCTCGGCGGCGAGGTCGAACGGCCCGCCGTCGGCCACGGGGATGAGGGATGGGGTGTAGAAGGGCGGGAGCGCCGGCATCGAGGCCGAAGGGTAGAACGGCGGAGCGGCGGAGGGGAGAAGCGGCACAGGCGAGCCCGAGAAGTCTGCGAAGCGGCTGCCAGAGGGGTGGGCCCAGTGAGGAGGGTGCGAGTATCCGAACTCGTGCTGGGCTGGGCCAGGGAGACGGGACGACCCGTCCTCCGTCACGGGGTTATCCTGATATCCCCACGGTCCTATGGGCGGCTGGTCGAACTGGTCGTGGGCATGAGGGAAGTCGAAGGGGTGACCTTCGAGGCAACCGCTAGGATCGAAAGGGGTATACAATTCTCTAGAAGAGCGAAGTAATGAGCACGGGCGATAACATGTACAGCACAGACGTCGCAGCGTCAGGCAGATTGACGCCGACGTCAAGGGCACCTGAAGCTTCCCTCCAACACGGTATGCCGCATGCACGGCCTGTTGACGGGGTCGGGGTTCAGACAAAGCACTTACCGAGCGGAAACCTGGCGCATACTGGTGAAATCATAAGAGAGCATTGGGGAGAGGGAAGCAGGACGAAGAGAGACCGAGGGCAGAGCAAAGGGCAGAAGGGGATCCCTTGTGAGGGGGTGGGGGTGGATGCGATGGGCTGCCAGTTGGCCCTTCAAATACCATCCATCTCTGTCCGCTATCAACAGGGTTCGCAGGGTTCGATCACCTCTCACGTGGTGGTCAGCAATGTCGGCGCTCTAGGTGTCGCCTCGAGGGAGGAGTGTCATGTTTCCCGCCCAGACATCCGCTCAGGCTGCGGACAGAGGGCGAGGTGGGAAGGATGATCGGCGGAGCCGTGTGACGGCATGTACTTGTCCTTCCATGCCTGCATCTCCAACGAGACGACACCCCCTTGTAGTCGAGAAGCGAACCCCTGGATTCTCCAATCCAGATAGCCGCAGAGAAACGTGAGACGGGCGCGGAGGTGACGTTACTCATCTGCAGCGCGACAAAGGGTACAGATACATCGGAGAGAGTGCGATCTAATCGCGGCGAACACAGCTCTGGCCCGAACCCTTGCGCGTAAACATGACGTTGACACACCCGGCGTCATCCTGGGCGAGCCGGATCTTGAAACATGGGGCGAGCGAATGCGACCGATACCCACTCTGCATCGAGGCGAAACTGAGTGGGTAAGGTTGCGATATTTTGTTATTTACGACAAACACCAACGAAAGGCCGTACTACAGACACTCGCCAGACAAAAAGGAGCGCATGGTATGATGCGTTGCGTCTCGACTGGGGCTCAGTGGGGAAAATAGACAGCCCACGACTCACTGTTCCTAGGTTCGCTGAATGGTCCATGCTCCATCTGCAAGCCATTCTTTGGACTTGGATCACTCAAACAGAAAGGGATGCTGCGCGAATGTCAAACTTCCGTGGGTCTTCCTGCATACTATGCGAGGCTTACTTACCAGACATCATGACCCACGTCGCCGCTAGCCCTTGGATGCACATGGTCGTGGGGCCTTCTAAGCGTCTATACCGAAGACAACAGTTGCAGGATGAGGAAGATCAGACGGCTGGTCGTGGGGAGAGCATGGTGGGTAGAGTATACAATCGTATCGCTTCACGACATGGGCGAACAGCGAGCTCATCGGAGCGCCGAGCTCTGGCCAGCGATAATGTCACCTGACGCGACGCGACGCGCGGGTTGTTGAATGAGCGCGTACCGCGACATCGAGCGCCTCTCATCGCCGACCCCGACCGCCACCAGGTACCCCGCTGTCTCGCTCTCCGACGCGTCCATGCAGACCCTCGCGCTCCCTCCCCCAGCAACGCCCTCCCACTCTCGCCTGCACTACTCGCCCACGGCCCACACGTGCCCACCCATGCAATCATCGCCCCTCGCCAGCCCTTCTGGATCTTCGCCGTCCACCGAGGCCCAGTCGCGTCGTCGTGCGCAGTTCAAGGCCAATGGCTTCAGCAGCCCTGCAGCGCGCCCAAACCGACTGTCATCGGCATACCAGGCTCGGCGCGGCGCCAGTGGTCCGACCACCTTCGTTCAGGGAAGCTCTCAGGGGCGACGGGCGAGGAGCCACCACGCAAGGCCTTTCTCCGCGAACGCCTCAAAGCACGCGCCGTCGAGCGCGCCGTCCAAAAGCGCGAGCGCGCGCTCGTGCGGCGCAGCAGGCACCTGAGCAGCGAGCCCAGCAGTGACGGCATGGACGAGATGATGGATGAGGACGAGGACGAGATGCTGAACGACGAGGTACGTGGTGGATCGTGTGGACCCCCCGCCCGTGTGCTCTCGCGTGGGTGCTGATCGGCGGCGCCCACCCAGTTCTACCACCGCATCATGGACAATTCGAAGCGCAAACAGGTTCACGCGTACCGCCTGTCCTACTCGCTAGACGTGGGTTCCTCGTTCGACCCCGACATGGAGGACCCGCAATCGTGGGAGGACGATTTGCATGGTGCGTCTCATTTTCCGATCTTCTGCGCTCGTGTTGACACACCCCTATTGCAGCCCTGAACGCCATCTCCACAGGGCCCGAGGATCTGGACGAGGAGGAGATTGCTGCCTACGCCGCCGAAGCAGAACTTAATCTCGATGACTTGGCCGCCGACGACATATTCGGCCTCAGCGACTTTGAAGATGCGCATGACCGGGATGTCGACATGCACTGATCGTTCCTCGGCCTCGATGCCACGACATTCCAACCATGCCGTGCCGCGTAGTCCGATGCGTCCAATGCAGTGCTCTCGTACACATATGAAGCGTAGCTCGTTCATCCTCCTGGTTTCAAGTTTGACATGCTTTCTTCGGTACAATGACCATCTCTGTCGTCCTTGGCCCGCACTGTACATTATTAAGTCATATAATCGAGAGATCGTGTAACATTAGAGTTCTCGGCCCGAGCGATGACCCTAGCGGAAAAGTGAGAGCATCTGATGCTTTTCGTTCCCTCGGGAGTCAGGATGCAGCACATGGATACCCAGATTCTTGATATGAAATGAAAACCCTTGATGCAGAAGCACAAACGTTAACGTCAATGTTCGCCGAGTCGTTGCCTCTTCGATATGGGCGTCCTGGGCGACGAATATTCTTCGCTTGTACTATTTCATCATCGTTCGCGTGTGCCGTCGATCGAAATACGATTCCCGTAATGAAGATGGCTTCTTATGATGATCGCTGAACCACAGCTACCCTGTCCCATTACACACTCCGTGCCGTACAGATGTAATGAAAAGCACATCCAAGATGCCACGGAAACCCTATGTTGGCGCCATCCCATCCTCGCAGCGACGCGGACTGGAGTACTCTACCGTTACTGAGATTCGATGCAATCGCAGAATTCGGCGAGCGTAAAGTCGCCATCGTGCCGCCGGCCCCACACGGAGCGACACTAGCACCGCTCAAACACCTTGTACAGCTCCGGCAGGTCCGCGACCTGCACGACATCCGCTCCAGCAGACTTCTCGGCGGCACGAGGTAGCGCGCCATCGCCGGGAAGAGCGCGTGCTGTATTTGCCACAGGGTGGCGTTCTGCGCGGCGCCGTCGAGTGCTTCCGCGTCGCCGTTTGCCGAGCGTGCAGGCGCGGTGTCGAGAAGTGGCTCAGGCACGTAGAAGTACGCGAGTTCGCGGAGAAAGCTCTCGAAGCACTCTTTCTCCGCCGTCCAGTCCACCTGTGGGGCGATCGGGTCAGTTTCGTCGCAGCCGCACGGCGGCGGTCGACCGGTCACGGGAGAAGAACAAGGGTCCGGGTTGCACACACACGTGTACGCGCGTACCTGGGGCCCGAGACGCATGAGGAAGAGCGGGAGCTTATCGAGGTTTGGAGTGTAGTCGCGCAGGAGCAGCGGGAGCGTCTCCACGTGGCCGTCTTCCGATATGCCGAGATTGAAGTATTCTTGCAACATGTCTCTGCGCGACATGAGGATGGACACGATATGCTGAGTCACAAAAAAGGGTCCGTGAGCGGTACGCCTCAAGGCCATAGGCACGGGTCCACCCTGAGGGAAAATGGAAGTTTGAAGTTTGACTCACATCAACGATCACATCTCGATCCATATGGGCCTCGGACACCGCCTCCTCGGTGCTGACGGCCAGAGCGACGAGCATGCGGAGTTCGGGTGGCGGGTCCAGTCGGATACGCGAGAAGTTGCCAAACTGTCGGAGTCCGAGCTGGTAAAAGAGTTCCGCTGACAGCGCTCCGTGGTTGAGAAGGTAGAGTCGTGTCCCATGCTGAACAAGCGAGAGGCATCGCGGAATATCCACCACGCCGACGAATGTGTGTTTGTTCAGGATCTCAGTCAACTCTGGTCACGGAGCCATGGTGGTCAGCGCTCCATACGTCCATGGACCGAGGACCGGACTTACGGCCGTGTGGGCCTTGAGAACATCGGCGCGTAACTGGCGGATGGATGTGAGGATGGTTTCGGACTCTTTGATTCCCGTGTCTTTTGATACTGAGGGAGTAGCAGGCGCCTGATGGTTGCCTGCACTGTCCAAACTGGGCTTCTGAGAAGGATGGATGACTGGAAACATGGAGTCCAGCGTGCGGTTATTGAGAGAAGTTCTGACTTTGTGTTGGGCGTACACCTTGCGTTTCGCTAGCTGTGGTGCCGCCATGACCTGGTCATCCGCACCCTCTTCCTCGTCATCCATCACCTCATTGTCATCTGGTTGCGCTTTGCGTTTGCCTTTCGACTTCTGTGATGGATGGGCTCGGCGATGCCACCTGTAAGCAGAGTCTGTGCGTCGTCGCATCTTCAGAGAACAAAGTGACACCATCCAAAACAGAAGGGCGAACCTGATACTCGAAGGCTCGTGATTGGCTCTTCCCGAGTAGCGCTTGTTGTACTGCGTCGGCGATACGTTCTATGATGGTGTCCTCATTCAAGAAATGAACCTCCTTCTTCGTCGGATGCACATTGACGTCAACCGCACGAGGGTCTATTCGCAAACTACTGGTGATTTCAGTGCTGTTTCGCGATTGCTATCACAGAACGCACCTCAAGTAGATGAATGGCGATGCTCCTTTCGCAAGGATTCCACTGTAAACTCCCTCGAGGGCTCTCTTGATACGAGAAGACTCGACCAAGCGATCTAAAGGTAAAAACAGTAATCAGGAAACCATGTCCGTTTCGATATGCCAATCGACAGAGCAATGTTCCACATGCTGAACCTGAGCCAAAGAAGGTCCAACGCCCCGACTGATATGTGAAACGCGGGCAGAGAAGGGTGATTTCAAACTCAAATCGTCGTCATCCATTCGCTCAACGTGATACACATAGAAACAAGCATTTATATCGTATGGACTGGATCTCATGTCGAAGCAATTTGGAGGGCGTGTGATGGAAACTCACGATTTATGAACAACAACAAGGCAGTTTTCTTCGCTTGATAACTTGCGTTCGTGAACCTGATCTCTGCATTCCATGCCTCATCATCATCTGATTCTTCATCAAAGGCGTCCATGGCATCTTCAGACGTCGCAGAGGATTGCTTTGAAGATGACACTACGACGTGTAAGAGCTCCTTGGCCAACGTCTGTCCATACACGAGACGGATGGCTTGAACGGTTGTTGACGATGAGGGGGTTGACACGTCCGGCGACGGGGTCCCACTCTACATGAAACATTCGTCATACAAGCCAGAATCGCTGACTGATTCACATCACCTTTTTACACGTGAATGACACATGCGGATTATGCACGGCATATTTGGTGACAACCTCGAGGATGCGTGAATACTCTTCGGATGATCCTCGAAGTGCGGAAAGTCGTGTCGGAGTGTTGTAGAAAAGATTCTCGACCTAGATAGTGAGAATTTAGGGCTATACGCAGAATGTATGTGTTCTTTACACTCACTGTAATCGTCGTTCCTTCGTTGCCTGCGCATGCTTTAGGATCAGCATTCGCACCAGCCTTCGCAGGGCTCAAAGCTCCATCAACGTAGCACGCCCTCGTGTACTTGAGATTACTTCAGACACTCCAAGGTTCGAAGAAAAAGGACTCACTTCCATGCACAGGTGTCGGTTTTGGTTTTTGTGACCACATTTAGATTCGAGACGTAGGAGATTGATGCTAGAGCCTCGCCTCGAAAGCCGTATGTGGTCAAATGTTTGAGATCGGAGAACGTGGAGAGTTTGGAGGTGGTGAAGCGTTCGGCGAGGAGAGGTAAGTCAGCTTTCTTGAAGATGCTGTGAGCTGTTTATGGGCGAATCACTGCCACCGAGGGACGCACCCGGATCCCACAGCCATTGTCCTGTATCTGGAGGAGCTTCATCCCACCATCCTTGACAGTGACCTTGATGGACGTCGAACCGGCATCGAGACTGTTCTCAATGAGTTCTTTGAGCGCGGACGAGGGTCGATGGATGATCTGTCGCGCCGAGGGAGCTGAGTGAGTGTCAAGGAGTTTGTAGTGGGCGGTGCGTACCTCTCCCGCAGCAATACGGTTGATCACAGACTCCTGCAGACGCCGAATGGGCTTCGGGCCTGGAGGCGGAGGAGGTGAGCAACGGAGAGAGGTCGCGACCATGGAGGGCGTCTTGGCGACTCGAGCGCGGTGATTCCAAATGGAATTTAATAATCGGGTCGTTCGGGCGAGTATTGCGCCGACACTGAGAGTACGAGACGCGACTCTGATGAAGGACAAGAGCTATGGCACAACTGCAAAAGTAACGGCCGCGATGAATGTCAGAGGCGTGGTCGATCGTGGATGAAAACAAATCTGCCGCTTGACGCGACATGGCACGTGGGCGCCTCGGCTTACGTCACCAGCCCCTTCCCATGCTGGACCATGGGGATGGGCAGCGCCCGCTTTGCCGAGCTAGCGCGCGTCCGGGCGTTTGAGACGTGCGTCTCCATTATCTTTGATCTTTGGACAATCACAAAGATCACGTGGTCTATGAGATTGCTGACAAAGTCCGGGCGGTGGCGGCCCGAGTCTGGGCGGGACTCTCGCTACAGGTCGCTACGCACAAAGCAGCACAGCCAGCGGGAGACCCAGTCGAGGCCCGGTTGAGGGCACGCACCAGAACTGGAAGTCGCCAGACCGGCAGACCTCCTTCCGGCGCCAAAGGCTTCGTCCTCTTTGCGAACCTTTTTAAAGCCTCACTACCACTCTGTAGGCTCTGGAAACAATGCAATGTAAATGAGATAAGCATGCTCGAGGGACGTATAGGCCCTTTTTGTGCAAAACTTCATCTGATAAGTGAGAATGGAAGTCCTCCCAAAACGTCCTATACGTCCCTTCTATCCACTATTCTGTACAACTTTTGTGTGAGGTGTATGTGTAAAATGTAGCTGTAGCGTGCAGAAAAAGGTTTCGAATGAGCAGGTAGCACTGCTGACATAAGGCTATAGGCGCCGATGTCGTGGGCCACCGCGGCGCTTGCTAGCTCAGCCTAGCACTCCTGTCCAAGGCGATCTACGGAAAATGGGCAGCAACCACATCACCGAAACAATATCCCACCTAGAAGGCCTCAACATCTCGAATTTCTCTATGAAACAAACAGAACAAAGCGTCCCAGATGAGAATATACCACCCCCAACCACTCCGGTTCACGGTCTGTCCGAGCCTCTGCCCACGCTTGCCCTCCTGGCTCATGGTGACCCTTCCCGCTGTAAATTCGGCACGTACGTAGCTGGCAATGGGCGGGACGAACGACTGGCCTCTTGCCGATGCCGCGGCCCTTAGTCAATCTCGCTTGTCTGGGCACATCTCAGGGTTGCGAGTTCTTGATCATGTAATCGGCCATCTCGGGCGAAAGGGTCACGTCATTCGCGCCTCCCTCGCGCCACCCAGCCAAATGTTCGCAAATAAGATAAGAGATGAGATAAGACCATCTCTGACTATCTATCCATAGCCGCCCTTTCGGCGCTCGGACGCTCGCTAACGGGCGCTGCCCATCCCCATGGACCATGCTGATGACCACTGCCGGTGCTCTCAGTCACCCATCTTTCCTTCACCCTCCCACTTCCCCCTACCCGCCCGACGACGCCTCTGCGCACCCCGGATCCCTGCCATCCCTGCCAGCTTTGCGGCCCCCTCATACATTCCACACAACCTGTCGCATTGCCTGACCAACCCGACGAGCGCCCCGGCCACTAAGGGAACTTTTCCCCCAATCCACCCGGGCAATGGAGCCAGAGCGACCGTCGACGCCCGTCCGCGGTAGGCAGCCTTCGCGATATCCGGCCGCTCTCTCCAAGGGTGAGCCAGGCCGCGTTCCTCTCCACCGGCGAGGCACCTCGAAGACCCTCGAATGCATGGAGGACCTCCTGAGGGAGAATGGGTATAAGGAGACGAGGGTGCTCACCCCCAGGCGGAGCGTTTGGAGGCGATGGTTGCAGAGCGGAGGAGACAGTCGACCTGGCGCATCAGAGAATTGCTTTCGGGTGGTTGCCTGGTGCTGCGGGAAGCGAACCTCCGAGCGACGAAGAAGAAACTCCCCGGCACCAAGACTCGCATGTCTACCGCCCTTCTTCCCGGCCACCCGTCTACCACTCCACTCCGAACTCCCCTCTCGCCCAGAAGCGTCGTCTCGAGCAGAGAACAACTCCATTGCATCCCCACACTCCGCGTCTACGACTATTCTGTCGTCCTGCTCAACGGCAATACCACAGACAGTCGCGCTGTCAGCTATCAACCGATGCGGCGCCATCTTCATGAACGTGCCCCTGGCATTCGCGCCGATCTCACTACCGCCAATTTACGCGCATATGCCCAAGTCTCGGCCGCCGAGGCTACCTCCGACACATGGCCTCAGTGCCGAACCTCCCGCAACCACACTCGGCAACCCGCGAGTCTTCGCTCGCTCGGCGTGACGAGCCTCCCCTTCCTGCATCATGGCTTGATTCCGTCACGAAAGCGATTGTAGGGTCAGGCCAGGCCGATGCACGAGTTGGTGGACCCATCGCGCGATCTTCAAGCCGTGCAACCAATGCTACGACACGGCCATCCAGGCCCAGCAAACTTTCCGTCGCCAACTCTACACCGAAGGCAGCTCGGGGTTCATCCGTTTTACCCCCTGGCGCCTCCCTCTACCCCAGCCGTCCACAGACCGCTCCCAGCACTGTCAACGCGGCGCATGTCATGTGCAGGTCTGCACCGGGTTCTCGCTCGAATTCTCGAGCCGGGGATCGCGTACCTGGAAGCGTGGTCGGGTCTCTCCGCCACAAAGACCGTCAAGCACGTGGAAGACGTGGGTCCCGAGGCGGTCATATAGATCGGGTCCCTTCCCTCGCGTCGACTCGAGTGGAGGACGATGCACTTGCCAACATGTACTGGGTGGACGGTCGACGCGTCTCAGTCATCCACCACGACGACGGAGCGTATGACGTCTTCGACTCGGACGACGAAGACGGCGAGCTTGATCTGGCCCGACTTCTCGTTCCAGCTAAGCGCCAGTATTCCATCCTTAGTCTCCGGAAGCACCTCCATGCGGCGCACAATCGAGCGCCGGCCACCAGGCTCAATCGGATGACTGGGATGAAGACGACGAGCCACAACGCGGCCGCAGCCACCAAGTAGTCATAGATGACGCGGATGGATACCCCACCTTCCAGCGGACGGAGAGTCTCAAGCGACGGCGAGGCCTTCCAGGAGGATGGGGCGCGGCGGGGAGCAGCCGCTCATAGACCTCCAACTCCCCTCGTCGCTGTCCGCCTGACCCGTTCAGCTTGTACTTATTACTAAACATACCAAGGTACCCTATATCGGCACACCAATCACCAGGTCTCCCACTTGTATCATGCATTCACCCCTCATTCTTGCTACATGGACCCATCCTATCCACTCGACGCATCCGTCGCTTCTGTCACTACAATCGACTGCCCCTCTTGAACCAGCTCACCTATCATCCGTGACTATCTCGTATAATCCGTTCAGTTACCTCTGGGCCATCCGGAGAACGATAATTCTTCCGTGCTTGCCCTTTGTCCCAGACTCAATGCAGATACTCTGGTAGGATGGCATGTACCATAGAGTCACGATACTGTACTTCTTGAATATGATTACGCAGCGTATACAATTGTCATTCTCAGGGCCGACGCCGTCAGTGTTTCGACAGTCCGACAGACACTCGCCTGCATCGATGTCTCGCTTCTGCCGCGCGGTGCTATCATGAAGAACTACTGAAAATATCATTACATACACGAACACTCTATCCGTTGCATACTGTACAAGAAGACCGCAGGGCAACATGTGTCTATATCCACCTTACCAGTCCGTATCCGTATCCCACCTGTCTGCATCTTAGGTCGCCGAGAGTGAGGTATGATGGACGTCGGCGGAGCGACCCTTGGCGCCCCGTCTCCGCGAACGCTTCCTAGCCTTGCGCGCACGGCGGGACTCCTTGGACTCCTTGAGCGTGGCAACGCCGTTGTTGACGGACTCGATGGTGAATGCCACACGCCCCTCCAGACACCCAGAAGAAGTCGACGTGTCCGTCTCTGCCTCAGACAGACTTGTCTCATCCATAGCAAGCGCGCCCATCGTGATTACCAAGCCGTCCGAGGGAGCGACGCCTTCCTTCTCGGACCTTGAGTCGCTAGACGTAGGCGTCGGAAGAGGTGAAGGGGCGTCGTTCTTGTCGCAGCCTTCGTCGCAAATTGAAGACATCCACGGAGGGGGCGGGCTTGCTTTCATCCAAGCACGGTACGTTTGCAGCACCATATTCATGGAGGTAATCACGTCAATAGAGAGGTTGGTGAACGTAGAGAGCTGGAAGATGTCGTCCTGGAAGAGAGACAACAGAATCTTGCCGGCGACGATGATGGTGTCATGGTAGGGGGCGTGGAACGGGACGGGGCCCTCGATGTATCGGATGTCGTCGTGAGGGCCTTCGTTGCTCACCCTCGAGTCCCGGCACATCTTGCTAGGGAGGACAACTAGGTCATACTCAAACTGGATGCTGTCGTCATCATAGTACTCCAAACGTGACTCATCAGCGCGAGCAGGGAACGTCGACGATTGGCGCAAACTCACATGAGCGAGATCACGGCGCTCATCGTCAGGGCAGGCCTCAAAGCACCAATCAACCCAGAATTGCCCGAGGATGCTTATGTCTCTAGGAAGGGGGAGCAACTCTCCCGAGGCGATACCCTGAAAAGCTTATATTACTGAAGAACTCGGGCGGACAAGCCAAACTCGCACAACGCACCTTTAAGACAGACTCGTACTGCATGGATTTCGTTGGGTTGGCATCGACCTTCGTCTCCGAGGTGGATTTGGTCTTCTCGTCCTCATCTTTAGTCAGGGGCGACCCCTTGAGCGGAGCATTGCGTACAGAGACCATGGTGTGTGGAAGGCACGATCGACCGTTACGCCGCAGGCAGGATGGGGAGTTTCTCGATGACTTGTAGGTGATGAAAAGCAAGTGTAATGAGAGAGGCGACGGCAACTGAAGTCGGAGGAGTGTTGGGATCACAGCCACAATGTACACAAAGGTAAACAACGAGGTGCTCGCAGCAGCGCCGCCTCTCAACCAACGGGAGGAAACGACGCAGCACCCTCATGCTCGTCCTCCAGCTCCGACTCCCGTCTCCACCGAGCCCCGCCATCACTTGTGCCCGACTCGCCGCTGACGCTCTACCTCTTCCCGCCGACTCCGCGCGTGGAGCGGACGTCACCGACCTTGCACGGCTTCCTCCGCTCCCAGCAGAATGGCATTGCGAGCAGAGTGGCTTCAGACCGGCCGAAAGCGGCGTGGGCAGGGTGCAAAGGTCCTCGGTACGTCGCCAGCCCCGTCCTTTGCGTCCCTTCCACCCACGCCCGCGCCACCCCATTACCATTAGGGAGCTTTGCGGAGCTGCGCGTTATCCATCCATTGCTCGTTGGCCCATTACCATCATGGGAGCTGTAGCTACATGTCGTATCCATCTACCGCTCGTTGGCCCATTACTATTATGGGAGCTACGAGTTCGATGTATTCCTTGCTTCGTCCATGCTTTCTGTCCACGACACACGGGGCTCCCCTACATTGGGATCCCACCCACAATGCCCTACCGCTGCGCGTCAGGTGTCGACGCCCCTGAGCGAGATGATGTCATGTTTGTATGCGATTCATTACATGTGGGACACCTCTGCTCCCCAGACATTTGCATTCAATGGATGGACTCGAGTGCTCCAGACCTCGCGACGCTATCAGATGCGCCATGACATGGCTACATGTGGCGTGTATTGAACCTCCCGGCCAATAGCGTGCACATCCCACCGTACATAGAACTGGGGATATGGCCACTACGCTTCCGCAGATTACTGCTTTGTGTCCGCTTCCTGAAGTATCTCTGTGCAACAGAAGCCGCCCTGCCCAGAAAGTGTAACTGCCGGGGTGCGCAATGCGCCGGACAGTCCGCCGGTATCAATTAGATGCTCCTGTCACTGATTAGTAACACTGCCGTCGGTGTCGAGCTCACAGGGGCACAGTTGTGCAAAGGCCATTGTCACGAAATGTCATGCCGGCAATGACGAAGCGCCCTGTACGCGCAAGCAGACAGTGATGCAAAACTCACGCCGCCAGCCTTGAGCCGACCGAACACTCATGGCGCGCGGATAGTCACGCTCAGAACGTCTGGACGCTGTGGACGCTGTACATAATATCTGGGCGTTGACCTCTGGAGCATACAGTCACACTCGGGGGGTATGTATCATGAGCATCCCACAGTTCCACAACTCGCACGACGGGCAACGGTCTAGCTTCGGGGCTCGAAAACGCGTAGGAAAGGACTGCAAAAGATGTCATTTCAAAGGGTACAAAAATAGGGGCTCAGGTGACCTTTTCTCTGCAATGTTCGATGTAGCTAAGAACAAAGACAATATAATGTGTATAGTATGCGAGTAACAAAGAAGTAAGTATGAGTGATAACCCGTGTTATTGTCGAACGATGTGGAGAAAAGGTCACCTGAGCCCCCGTTTTGTACCCTTGGAAATGACATCTTTCGCAGTCTTTTCCTACGCATTTTCGAGCTCCGAAGCCAGGCCGTTGCCTGTCGTGTCGGGTGGCCCAAGATGTGGACGAACGCGCACATCCGCACCGGTTTTGAGGCAGGCAGAAGTGCACACTTTTTCCATTCCTTGACGCTTTCTCATACCCTCCCTCTGAAATTTGGCACATGTTCTTCGATGTATCTTAAAAAGAGTATTCTGACTTTTCCAATATTTATTGTACAGGAGGGACGGGCACGATCACGATTTTGCACTTCTCTCATGTTTTACCGCTAGTATGGCAACAGATGCTCCAGTCGATCACAAGCTGTGAGCGTCAGTACTTGCAAAGGCTTTCAAGAGCATGGATATTTCCGTCGGGAGAACCGGACAAATGCGGTGTAGTACAGCGCTCGAATGCTGACAGGGACGGTGTGCATGACATGCTGTTTGTGTACGAGGCAGTAGTAGTACGTTCATTAAACGACTAGACTCTGGACGAGATCAACATAAAATGGTAAATAATCAATCCACTACTAGCACCTCAGTGCTGAGGGCAACGTCATATGCGGCAAGTCTATGCACATCGGCTGCCTCACGCGCTCGCGAACTCTTTCACGACACTGACAGGGTCGCGGTACGCGCCAATGGTCTTGAACTCAATGTCCAGGCTGCGGCGAAGTGGCGATTTCGTCAGAATCGTGCCAAAACAGAACGATAACGTGCTGGGGCTCACCCGAACGCCTCGGGTCCTCCGCAAGCGAGGCCCTCTGTCGTCGTCCACAACGGGTGGCCAGCAAACGCCATGACGGTAACCCGCAGGCCGTAGCGGTATTCAGGGGTGCCCAGAGCCGCACCGTTCTGCGAGTCGAGAACGGTGATGAGATCGGGCACGGTGGTGTGGATCTACGGGAGCAGACACGTCCGGTCAGCGTCGGGGGCCGAGCCAGTCGGGGCCGTGTGGACGGTGCTCACCGTCTTCTCCCCAGTCGCCGAGAGGATGTACGCGTAGAGGTTCTCGTTCTGGAACGGGATCACCAGCCGGTCGTCGGGCTTCACCGGGAGCGTGGTGCCGCCGAGCGCGCCGCCCGGGCTCCCGCCGTCCTCCTCCTCCTCCTCGAGCAGCGGCGCGATCGTGACCTCGCCCCAGGTGAACCCCTTGCGGACCTCGCGCCGGACGTCGACGATCTTGCCGACGAAGAGGCACGCGCCGTTCTGGAGGCCGAGGAGCGCGCGGGGGATGCCCTTGAGGTCGTTGTGCTTCCGGCAGAGCGCGATCGCGCGCCCGAGCCGCCACGCCTGGGAGACGCTATGCGGGACGCCGTAGTCGGAGCAGTTCTTGCGAGACATGGGATAGCCGGCGACGCCGGCCTTGGAGCCCATTTCCGTCGCGACGGCGCGCAGGATGTCTTCGACCGCCTTGAGGTTGCGGGCGGACGGGAGGACCTGTCGGCGGATCAGTGAGCACGTCGTGGAAGTGTCCCAGTCTGGGGAGAGGAGGTCGCTGAGAAGGTGGCTTACAATGGTGCTTCCCATGCCATCAGAGATGGCGCAGGGGGTGAGGCTATTCGGGAGGTCGTACGCGCCAGGAATCCTAGGTTCGTGTGTCAATACAATGATCAGAAGCCGGAAGCCGGAAGCCGAAAGGCCGTCAAAGGAACTGCTCACGTTTGGTACATCTATCTCGAGACGTAATGCGTGGTTAAAAGGATGCCTATAGACGTGCATGAAGAGAAACCCTTACGTTAGGATACGCACGGCCCATGAGGTCGCAGTCGAGCACCGTCTTGCCAGTCTTTGCTGCAACAATCATGGGCTGCACACCGTTACCTCCTCCGATCTCCTCGGCAATGAAACCAGCGAACTCTGTTGCCCCAATGTATTGCATCAGCGCCCTCGACGCACTCGGCAGTTCATCGCCGCCCTGTAGGCGCTCCATCTAGAAAGAAGGGCCAGATGTGAATGGTCGCAGCATCGATCGGATTTTTATGTTACGTACTCCGACACTCGGAGATCCCTGTAATTAATGTGAGATCGTTATACACGCGAAGAAGACGTTCACGAACCATAAATCCGACCCGTACAAAGAGCTGCTCTTCCGGGACGTCGTTAGGGTCAGCAACCTGCGGAATGACCCATCAGAAGTCGTGCATGCGTGCCATCCTCCGGCCGATCCTCACCAGGATCTCTTTGCCCGCACGTAGCGCGGCGCGAGACATTAGGAACGGCGGGTATGAAGAACCACCACCGCCCGTTCCCACAACAGCACAACCCTCCGCAATCCACTCTGTGGAGAAGGCGATGAGAGATCAGCAGGACTCTAGACGGCCGTAATGACTCGCTCACCAATATCAAGTTCCGTGAGCTTCCATGCCCGATCCGGGAGAATCGTGGGCTTGTACGTGTCGATGTCTATCGGGGCTTCTCCGATGCCGCTGCCTTCCGTGGCTTCAGCTTCGTTAGTCAGAGACTTCTCACCCTCGTTCGACTCGGACACGTCTACGAGAACAAATTCTGCGCCGTCGACTGACGCGACCGCCTGGGCAGCGAGATCACCCGCAGCCTTCACGATGATCCGTGTAGCCTGGTTGGTGACATACTGTCGCGGAGTTGATCGGCATATCGTCGCGGTGAAGAGGCAGGCTGAGCTTACCTGGACTGGCAAGTTGGTGACTTCAACGATCTTGACGGTGGCTATGGTATTATGGCATCGTTGAGAACGATGTGCGATGTAGACCCCATTGTGGCCCGCGCTTACCTGGGTCGGCGCCGGCTGCGATGGCCTTCGCGATGGCCTGTTTCTTGATGGCCTCGACCACGGTGTGGATATCACGGCCAGCAAGAATCTCGATGGTGTCAATCTCGCCAGCAACTGCGACTGTGATCAGGGGACGTTGTATCATTTCCAGGCGACGAGCCCACACACCTTTCGCCATGGCGGCACCGACGGCGTTTGCGACCCCGAAGAATGGCGGGCGGATGATCTCCTTGACTCCAGCCAGCTCGTCGGGCGAGATGATGCTGCCACCGCCTACCAGGAGGACGGTGATGTCTTCGGGAGACGTCTTCATCCTGAAACAAGCCCGTGAACTCTAGGAAATAACGACAGATGAGCGCCTACGCACTTGTCAATGATGTTCTCCAGAAGCTTCTTGATGCGCTGGACACCCTGCGCGACTGTGTCCGCGCTGACGTCGCTTACCAGAGCCTTGTCCCCGAGCTCCGCCCGGCCACTTGCCACGATAATGTCAGTCGTAGTCAGGACGTTTCCTCCGAAAACGCGAGCGTCGCGGGTGAGATTGTATCCGACAGACTCGGGGCCTACGGAGACCTTCCCGTCCTCCGCGGCGTGAACGACTGAGCCGCCGCCCAGTGCTATCGACTGCACGTCCGCCATCGCGAAATTCGTCCGCACCCCGCCCACCTCGATGTAAGAGGCTGCTTGGCGCGGGAACCCGGAAGGGAGCAACACGCCGACGTCGGAGGTCGTCCCACCGACGTCAACGACGATGGTCGACTTGCCCTTCTCGACTTCCGACGAGCCGCGTGTGCGGTCGTCGAGGCCGGCAAGAAAGGCAGCGCCGCGCATGGAGTTGGTGGGCCCAGAGGCGAAGGTGCGGATGGGGAGGCGGGCGGCTGACGCGGCGGTGGTGAGGGTGCCGTCGTTTTGGGTGAGGAAGAGGGGACATGTGAGTTCGAGGGTGCGCATCGCATTCTGGAAGCCGCGGATGGTGCGTTGAGCGAAGGTGAGGATGGAGGCATTGAGGATGGATGCGTTCTCGCGCTCGAGCAGGCCGACCTGTCCCACTGGAAGCAAATAAGACAACTGTTGGGGTGCACGATGTATGCACTCACCTTCTCGTGAGGCGACCACGTTGACCGAAGGCCCGAGTTCGCGCTCGATAATAGCCTTTGCGGCAATTTCTTGCTTTCCGTCGTTGTCAAGCGAGGAGAATATGCCGGTCAAGACCACCTAACGAATATTCACATGCGTCAAAAACAAGCATACTTGATGTACCGGCAGGCGGTCCGGAGTGCCGACCCGCCCCGCCAGATACAATGTTGAAGGTACTCACGTTCTTAAGTCCCTTTTCCTTGACAATGGCGCATTGCTCCACAATCTGGGCCTCGTTGATCGGTCGGATCTCTCTACCGTCAACTGTGGGGGGTCAAGCTTTGCAAAGGGAGGAGAAATGACTATCCCTTACTTTCGAAACCTCCATCGACGTAACCCACATGACCCTCGGTGAGAATGCGCAGCGGCCTGGGGAAGTCGATGAAAGGCGGGCACTGTTTGGTGAAGACGCTACTGAGACGGATGACGGCGACCTTGGCAAGCCTGCGCGCGTCCGCCTCGAGCACGGCGTTGATGAACGCGGTCGTCCCAATGCTGACTGACGCGACTTCGGTAGGCGACACAGACGCGAGCCTCAGGACTTCGCGGACGGCCTCCTCGATTCCCTTGGAGACGTCGGTCGTCGTGGGGGCCTTGTAGTGCGCGAGCACACCACGGCTCGGCTCGTGAAGACGAGTCACATCGATCAGCACACCGTCTGTGTTCGTCCCTGCGAGCGAGGGTCAGCCGATGTTCGCGCTCGTGCTTCTAGCCGTGGGACGCACCTCCGACGTCGACACCGATGCGAAGCATTTGGAGAACAGTGAGGAGGGGATGAGCGGAGATAGTCAGGCCTGGTCTGTCGATCGCGTCTTCCTTTGCTCGAGTCTGCGGCCGCCACAAGTCTATCGGTGCTGATAAGATGAAGGCTAAAGCAACGTCGGCGGCCCTTATCTCTTGGGGAGAACTAGGGAGAACTGTCTCGCGTGCTCTTCGGACCGTCGGGTGCCCGTTGCGATGATCTCCGAAGAGGATGAACTGAAGAGCAATGCCGAGGATCAATTCGATCGCCGGTGGGCCAGGGGGGGAAACGCTAAACGTGTCGGAGGTCAAGCAAGACACCGGCTGTGATGGAGATTTGCACGGGCGTCTCCATGTGTGCTGGCTGCGCACACTTACCATATCCTAAAGTTCGCAAGACACGAAATATGCAGGCCGTATGAAGCTCCATCACAGAAATCCCCCCGATCTTGCAAGGTGATCGCATCTGCTTAGAAGATTATCGGAAGTAGCTTTATCAGTGTAAGGTACGCAATCAGTGTAACACGCAATTTATCCAATAGAACTGCTTACAATCTGCGTGCTACACTGTTGCAATCGTCTCGCAATCGAGCAAATATTCCAGGAGTGGTCAATGACGAGGATATTTTACCGTCTGGTGAGAGGGTGGTAACAGTGCAAATATTATATGGTCTCACGAGCATATCCTAAGCGAGGCATTATACGGTGGATTGCAATTGCAGTGGAAGGACGGCAACGATACCATCCATCCTAACACACTTCTATAGGGCTGAGGACGTATTTCGGGTTGCCATTTCAAGACGATGTATATAGGATGCAGTACCGTACATTTCTCGTGCTGATTACCATGCAACCACAAAGGGACCACCCTCGCAGACGCAACCCTCCCAGTATGCACGTTCCACAAAACCGTACCGGATGTGCACCACCACACGCCCCCCACCATCCTCCCAGCAGCGGAGACGTGGGCAGCGCCATGCCAGCACGCTTGCCACCTCGTCGTTCTTCCGCGTCCGCGAGCGATCCGAGAGGGAGAGCCTGGGCGCCGCTGTGTTGGTGCGTGCAATGGCGTGGAAGACACACACCCATAGAGTGTCATGAGGTGCGGTGTCTGCTGCAACACCGCCGTCCACTCAGCCTGGGAGAAGGTGCGGGTCAGCACAGCGAAGAGAAGGGGACGCGAAGACACGCACCGCGTTAGCGACAACATTCGCCACCTTCACACCAACACTCGTACCTGCGGTGTCCGTTTGTGCGGGAGCAGGTCCACGACGGTCGACGTCTAGCCACACAAGCTTTGGCACGCACTCCACGAGCCGCCGGTTGTCCTCCATCTCATTCCGCCCCGCGAACTCAACCCGACGGACACTCGGCTCGTGCACGCGTAACGTGTCCAGGAAGGTGCGGTCGCACGCAGGGCCGCTGGCGAGACCTACGTCCCACACGGTCTCCAGTGGGCGCGGCGCTCCATCCGGGTGGTGAGCAGGCAGGAGAGGACCACGGCGCCTTGAACCGTGGAAGGGCGCCCACAGGGAGCTTCAGCTGTGCCGCTGCGTTTCTGCCAGGATCGGTGTGTACGGGGGCTGGCCGAAGGCGATATCGAGGTGAGAACTTCGACCACGGGGTGAGCGACCAGGAACACGGCGGCGGCGTCGAGGCTTGTGCCGGACGAGCAGATGAGGACAGTAAGCGTGAGGGAACGCGGCGCGGCAGAGGAGGGCACGCCTCCCTCGTGCACGCCACGCGCGCCCTCGCGACGCACCGCGCTAAGCGTGAGATGGCACTCGCGCAGCGCGAGCTCGCCGGAGCGGAGGAGTCGGGTGCTCCACGCGCAGTATGGGCACGCGCGATAATGACAGTGTAGTTCTTCATGAGAAACATACCTGGCGAGTGTACTCCTCTACACCATTAGGACCACCGTTGGCGATGTCTTCTCAAAGCCGGAGACCCCTTCTTGAAGATCCTCTCCAAAGAGGCCGTTGATTGAAAGGAGGCTCAGGTAAGCACTACAGGGCGCTGGTCGGGACATGCACATACCCAGCTGAGAGCACTGACGCTGGTGAATTGGGTTGAGCAGCTGGTGGTGATCGATGATGAAGTGGTTCAAAGGGTGAAGCTTTGAAGGATAGCACAAGGTGCCTGCGAATTAAGGAGGGCAGGGCGCCGGGCGGCTTGGACGGGTGGCTTGATGCTGGCTAGTTCAGAATTAGAGTTCGGACATCACGTGTAGTCGTTCAACAAGTGGTTTGAGGGCAGAAGTGACATCATTGGTGGTAAGTGCCTTAGAGAAAGGTTGGGGGAGAGTCGGAACAGATTTGCAAGACGGATACAATGAGCGCAATCGTGTTCGGAAGTGATCCCAGTTTGCATCTATTTACAACTTTCTCACCACTATCTCGCATGGACGCCCACTTATGCGCCTGTTCCCAGCGCCCCCTAAGACGCTTGTACGCATGTCCCGACGAGCGCTATTCTAAAGGCGCTCGCAAGGGGGCCAATTTCAGGGAGAATTCTGTGATGTCATTGCGTTAATTTGGGTAGGTGGAAATTAAATTGCCGTTGCCGTTGTCGTCGTTGAGATCTTGAGAGCTGACTCCGGTCCGTCTGGCCTGGGGGTATAATGTTGGTATGATGCATATGACGGGGAGAAAGGGGACATTAGAGATGTCTCCGGGAACCCGCATAGGCGGAACCGCAACCGTAGTACTTCGACACTGCGTATTTTATCACTCCGGAGCCCTTGAAGAAGTCACGACAGGCAGCCCAGGGGCGTGTGAGGTAGGGAAATGTTATCAAATATGTTATTGTATCGACCCCTGGGCGAGACTCCGTCAGCAACTCGGAAATGTTGAGGGATACATAAACTCTTTGTCAACATGCGCCGATTCTTTGTCAGGTAATCCGGCTCACAACGTGCGCGAGTCTCGGAAATGTTGAAGTTCAGATCACATGACTACCGTCCCTTTAAGGCGTAGGGCCCACCATGAGACATGAATCGATTCTGGCAGCCTCTGAGTTGTCTGCACCTGTACCTCACGTTCTTTTAATCAATTGATCTGGTGTCACCCCCCTGGGGTGATACCAGATTCGGAGACTGCAAATGCGTAACTGTCTGCCACTAGTAGACCCTCTACGAATAACGGCTGATATTCCCTGCAGGGAAATGGTAGAACGCGGGCATATGCCCAAGTCCCCCGCCCCCTTCCCCGACGTTCCCGAGGGCCCTCCTCCGCGAATTCCCGCGCTGCGCCTGATGGCCGCCCCGTCGGCGCCTTCCCCCATGCCGCGCCGCGCGCCCTTGATGGCCCCGACATCTCCGGACGCTGCGCGCCACCAGGTCTCCGCCGGCGCCTCCCCACTCCGCCACCCGTGCTCGCCGCCCCCAACAGCGAGCTCGCCGTTCCTGCGTCCTGCCCTCCCCTCCCCTCCGTTTCCCTCCGTTCCTTTTGGGATCCGCTTGTATTTAAAATGCGCACCTAATGGTACACAATGCAATAGCTGGAGTTGGCTGGGTGTGCCTGTACTGAGCCCTCACACCCCCCAAAATGCGTGCAATATAGGGACATACACAAGCCGTCAATTGATGGGCTAATTTCTGCAGCAGATAGTCGTAGATGATAGCTGCTGTAATATGAAATCGCAGGTGGATAGCTAGAGGGGTGCATGTATGATGTCATATGTCATTTCAGAATGACATACTCTACAGTGATATGGTATGTACATTTATCGTCCCATGTACACCTAGAATCATAAATAGAGATCCTTCAGAGTGCACTGCAACAAGAAGAAAGTGGAAAGACGATGTTGTGGTGAAGATATGACATATGTTCAGAAGGGTGGACTGCATTAAAATTGCGGCCTTGATATGTTTTTGTGCAAACCTCCAATCACTGTGCATCTTCTTGCGTTACTTTTATATGTATACAGAGAGCTCAGATCGTATCTTTCGTGCTTATCGGTGGAGGATTGGAGACAGGGTATGGTATGTCATTATTCTATGACATAGAGTATAGCAAGATGGCATGTGCTCCGATTGTTATTCTGAAAAGCGGAATGGATCAGGGCACTCTCCTGCTTAACGATGCAGAAGAAATCTCAAGAAACGGTCGAGAAGTGGTTGAGATATGTCAGATGGGTCTGGAATGGCAAGTTGTCCGGAGGACGCCCTGAACCACCTAGACCACTTTGCACACTTCAAGCTCATATGACATATCTCAACCACTTCTCGACCGTTTCTTGAGATTTCTTCTGCATCGTTAAGCAGGAGAGTGCCCTGATCCATTCCGCTTTTCAGAATAACAATCGGAGCACATGCCATCTTGCTATACTCTATGTCATAGAATAATGACATACCATACCCTGTCTCCAATCCTCCACCGATAAGCACGAAAGATACGATCTGAGCTCTCTGTATACATATAAAAGTAACGCAAGAAGATGCACAGTGATTGGAGGTTTGCACAAAAACATATCAAGGCCGCAATTTTAATGCAGTCCACCCTTCTGAACATATGTCATATCTTCACCACAACATCGTCTTTCCACTTTCTTCTTGTTGCAGTGCACTCTGAAGGATCTCTATTTATGATTCTAGGTGTACATGGGACGATAAATGTACATACCATATCACTGTAGAGTATGTCATTCTGAAATGACATATGACATCATACATGCACCCCTCTAGCTATCCACCTGCGATTTCATATTACAGCAGCTATCATCTACGACTATCTGCTGCAGAAATTAGCCCATCAATTGACGGCTTGTGTATGTCCCTATATTGCACGCATTTTGGGGGGTGTGAGGGCTCAGTACAGGCACACCCAGCCAACTCCAGCTATTGCATTGTGTACCATTAGGTGCGCATTTTAAATACAAGCGGATCCCAAAAGGAACGGAGGGAAACGGAGGGGAGGGGAGGGCAGGACGCAGGAACGGCGAGCTCGCTGTTGGGGGCGGCGAGCACGGGTGGCGGAGTGGGGAGGCGCCGGCGGAGACCTGGTGGCGCGCAGCGTCCGGAGATGTCGGGGCCATCAAGGGCGCGCGGCGCGGCATGGGGGAAGGCGCCGACGGGGCGGCCATCAGGCGCAGCGCGGGAATTCGCGGAGGAGGGCCCTCGGGAACGTCGGGGAAGGGGGCGGGGGACTTGGGCATATGCCCGCGTTCTACCATTTCCCTGCAGGGAATATCAGCCGTTATTCGTAGAGGGTCTACTAGTGGCAGACAGTTACGCATTTGCAGTCTCCGAATCTGGTATCACCCCAGGGGGGTGACACCAGATCAATTGATTAAAAGAACGTGAGGTACAGGTGGTTGTCTGCAACGACAAGCCCAGTGCTCACTGATGCGGGAACCCGGACATCGACGACACACACGTGATCAACATTTCCAAGACTTGCGCCTGTTGTCAGTCGGATTACCCGACAAAGACGGGGAAATGTTTGGCCCATGTTAACAAACGGCTTGAGTATCTATCAGAATTTCCAAGTCTCGCCCATGGGTCGATACAATAACATATCTGGGAACATTTCCCGATCTCACACGCCCCTGGGCTGCCCGTCGTGAGTCTAATGATTGGAACATACATGTGACACACTGGTGGCCAACAGTTCATCTTCAAGGATCAAACCGTCAGGTTCGGAAATAGTGCCGAGTACTAGCGCCGCTGGCAGATCCAACGTTTGAGTCTTGAGCCCGCATATGGTTCCATAAATCGGATCCAGGAGATTGAGTGCCAAGTGGTGAAAGGAGGGGTTTGGAAATTGGCCAAGTTGCGGTGGAACCTTGGGCGGCACGGGCTTCGGGCCGACATCGTCCCGCGGGATCGCTGCAACGCGATGGCCCCCCAATGTCGACGGCCGTTTCTTGGCCATCTCTTCGCCACTTTCTCTTGCCCCCAGCGCGTCTCGGCCCACAAGATGGCCGATGCGACACCCACTCTCCCACTCTGCGAGTTGTCCCTATATCCCGCGACGAGGCAGCAAACCTTAGACTCTCGCAGAAGACACTTCGAGCAGTGGGGCCGCGGTATGCCCTTGGAAGAGTACCTTCGCCGTGACGATGTTCTGGATAGCGATCCACACGCAGCGAACGGAAACATGATCACCTGGTAATCGATCCGATAAATCTTTGCGAAATACTAACACCAACACCCCTCACTGCCCAGGGTACTCGTGCGGCGTACCGAGCCCACGAGCCTCGACTTCCTCTCCTCCTGCGAGACGTGAGTACTTGAGTCCCCAGCACTCCGCCCGCACTCGCTCCACATTGACCCCGGCGCAGGTACCGCCGCACCGCGACCGCCTCGCGCCGCGGCTCCCCAACCGCGGAGGACGTGACCGCGTACGGCGTCGCGTCCGTCTTCACGGCCCCCGCGAACCGCCGCAAAGGCTACGCGCGCCACATGATGCGCCTCCTCCACTGGGTCCTCGCCGCGCCCGACGCGCTCGACCGCGCGAGCTTCCCCGCCGCGTGGGGCGCGCCCCCGGACCCCGAGGTGCTCCGCGCCGCGGGCGTCGCGAACGGCCGCTTCTCCGTCCTCTACAGCGACCTCGGCCGCGACTTCTACCACGCCTGCGGGCCGCGCCCCGACGCCCCGCGCGCGGGCTGGGCGACACTCGGCGCGCGCGAGACCTTCTTCGTCCTCTCCGCCGAGCGCGCGCCGCGCATGGAGGCGGCCGCGGAGGAGGAGCTCGAGCTCGCGCGGCTGGACAAGGCAGACGTCGAGGCGCTGTACGCGCACGACGCGCGCTGGCTGCGCGCGGACGTCGCACGCGCGGCCGCGGTGGCGCCAGGGCGCGTGCGGCTCGCGTTCCTGCCCGACGCGGGCGTGGGCGCGTTCGTGATGTCGCGCCTCATGGACTTCGACATGCGCCTGCGGCCGACGATGAACCTGCGGCTGTGGGGCGCGGCGGTCGTGCCCGCGGGGCAGGCGTTCGCGGACGTGCTGGCGGCGGCGGGCGAGGGGCGGGAGGAGGAGGTGCGGTTCGTGTCGTGGACGTACGAGCTCCGGACGGAGCCGAAGACGGTCGTCGTCGCGCGGCTGCGGGCGGACGAGCGGACGTTCCCGAAGATGGTGGGGGAGCTTGTGCGGGCGGCGGAGGAGCACGGGTGCACGAAGATCGAGTTCTGGTCCATGCCGGACAACCTCCGCGGGCTCGCGGAGAAGATGGGGTTCGCGACGAAGGAGCGGACGGATCACCTGTCCGCGATCAAGTGGTACGGAGATGAAGGCGAGGAAGAGCTGGACTGGCTCTACAACGAGAAGTACGTGCTTCTACTGTTGGTGCCCGTGTGAGAGGAGGATGCTGGCGCTGACGCTCTGTCCAGATACTGTTGGTGCTGAACGTGTGTGAAGAACGCCACCGAATTACATACAGAACGGTCCTCATGTAGAAGTACAAGGCGATTACATGACGGGTATCGATAAGTAGACACTAGCGTACGATAAGACGTGAATCAAGAGCGACTCCGGACCCAAGAAATGTGTACACGGTCGGGGTATTTCGGTATGGAAATGGGGAGATATCGTACGAGGTATTTACAGAACCTGCGGAACGAAGGGTCTACCAGACTCCCGGAGCGCAGCCTCGACGACCTCCATGCCCGCCAGAGCCTTCTCCTCCTCGAAGCGTCCGGCAACGACTTGTACCGACAGCGGTAGACCGTCCATGGCCTCGGCGTCATAGATCTCGTGCACCTGGCGGGCGACATCGCTCAGCCCGCGATACTTGTCGCTCTTCTTGAAGCCTGCAGTATAACTATCCCGGGCCTTGTCGACCCGGCCCACTGGTAGTACACCCGCAGCGTAGTCGAGCTACATAGCGGGATGCGAACATCAGCCAGGAGTCGCGCCGGCGCCCACATACCGCGAACTCGTGACACGCACCACGTTGTACAGGAAGGAGTAGTTCGCCGACACTAGCGTGGCCTTGTCGCTCACCTCCGGCTCGATCGGCATGGCGGGGAGCGCGTGCACCGGGGTGAGCACGAAGTCGAGCCCCTCGCGCCGCCACGCGTCGTGCCACCGCGCACGATACGCGTCGCGCTGCAAGACGAGCCCGTGCTCCTCCAGCGCCGAGCGGGGGTGAAAGCACGCGAGCAGGTCCGCCCACGCGTCGTTGCGCCCTTTCGGGGTCGACCACCAGCGCAGGAAGGAGGCTTGCAGACGCTTGAGCCACAGAGGCAAGCGGAGGATCGTCCGGACCGTGCGTAAGGCTGGTGAGATGGACTCCCCAGTTCGCAAGGGTATGAACGCGGAGGCGCCTGTGGCGTCGTGAGTGCGCGTGAGAAGGGAGCGGGCTCGGGCGGGGGGCACGGACCTCCATCAGCGAACATGAGCTGGTAACCGATCTTGAGCCCTTCAAGCGGACTAGGGGGATGGCTGCCGAGTGAATGCAGTGGCACGGTGAGCGGCGAGATGCGGCGGCGGCGGAGGAAGAAGCGTACAATGACACGACCTCGTGACCCTGCTTCCTGAGCGCGTCGGCGACCTCAGCGAGTGCACGCGCATTCGCCGGTGTGGGTGGAATGACACCTGGGGAGGTGATCAGTCCTTGAAGCGTGCTAAATGTTTGGAAAACCTTACCATCGTCCATAATCAGCCCGAACTTCAATTTCTGGCCCGAGGTCACGTAATCAGAAGGCCGCCATGTCAGAGGCACGCACTAGTGGAGAAGGGCTAGAAGCGTGAGCGGCGCAGACACAATGAACGCCACTAATTCGACGCACGGTATGGTCATACTCCCACGGACGCATGCGAACTATGCGTTCCCAGAAGTCACGCAGGTCCGAGAGTGAACGGGCGAGCGGAGCAGTGATCGTTGGGACGGCGTCCAGTCCTGGAAGGCATCCGAGGGAACCATCGTTTGGGAAACGACCTGCGGAGCCCTTGACAGCGTAAAGGCCGCAAAATGCGGCAGGGTAACGTGAACTGCCGCCAAGGTCGGTGCCGACTTCGATGAGACTGCCCTGCCAGGCTAACAGAGCGGCGCCCCCGCCCGTGGACGCGCCGGGGGAGAATGCGGGGTTGAAGGGATTGGTAGTGCGTCCGAAGAGGTCGGAGCTTGTCTCGAATGAGAGACAGGCAGTGGGGAGGGTGGTCTTCACATAAACGAGTGCGCCGGCATCGCGGAGAAGGCGGAGGAGAGGGGCGGATTGGAGGGCAGGGTGACCGACACGAGATGAGAAACCCACGGTGGTGTCGTGTCCAGCAACGTCAAAACACTCCTTGATGCTGACGGGGACACCAAGAAGAGGTAGTTCTGAAGTGGCCGGTGGTATGGACGCGTTTTCTGCCGCTTCGTCAAGAAAGATGTCGGCAAGACAGTTGGTAGCATTGTGAGCCTCGAGAGCCCGCTTGCCGTATGCTTCAAGGACATCCAAAGGGGTGAATACGTCTGCGCTCCCGCAGGTGGAAACAAGCTCGGCAAGTGAGAGGTCGAGGATGGAGGAGTCGGCGGCGGAGAGGGCAGTCCGATAGATCGCAGGAGTAGAGTCAAACTTCTGGCGCAACTCCTCTTGCTTCCGTGCACTGGATAGAATGATTGAGTAAGTAGGTTTAAGGTGAATGACGACCATGCATGGGACCTGTTTCACGCCCCGCCCTTGGTACGGCGGCGTATATGCGCGGACCCTGCCTCTCCTCGGACCGCCCACGATGAGCCGCGGCTTGCGCATCTCGGGAATGGAGGAGGATAGAGGGTGCGACGCGCAAGACTGCATGTGGCAGACATACCGCTTGGCGCAGTGTACGCCTTGAATCCACACCCTCTAGTACCCTCCACGTACGTGTCCCCTCACATGGCCCCCTAGTGCACTGCGGGGGGACAAAGGTGTATGGGCAAGTCTGTGATGATGCAGAACGGAAGTAGGGCAGCGAGCTTGGCGTCGAGGAATTCCACGTGCGCACATGGAGTTCCGCCGTGGGAGGGCGCGCAACGCAAATGGCGTGGAAGAAGCGAGGGCAGGAGAGGACTGACCAGTCTGCACGGTGCGCGAAATAGGAAGACATGAGCGCGCTGCGCGCGGTCGAATGCGGTGGTGTAGGGAGAAGCGAGCAGAAGGGAGGGCGGGGAGAGAGGCAAACTTCATGAGGAGAGCAGCGCGGGGGGAATAAGTGCGCGGGGCATTAGCGCCAGTCTAAGGACGACGTCCTGGGCGCTGGCGCGGGGCCCAGAAGTCTTGCTGTCGTTCCCATCTTGGGCGCGGTGCCCATGCGCTGTCGGGCAGGCGGTCGACGCTGTTCCCCGCCCTCCGTGTTCGCCACCGCGAGAGCCGCGTTTGTCTGCTGTGCGCCGTGTCTGCCATGCACCGTTTGCTATTTCTGCCCGCGGAGAATGCGGCCCGTTGGACATCATCTCCGCGCCAGTCGGGTTCGCCACAGTTTCTTTTCTTTTTTGGTGGAATGTCTTGCTTCTTCGGCACCTGTGATGGGTACGCTGGTCGCCGCCTCGAGGGGATCTCAACGTTCAACCCCGGATGGACTGCGTTGCGCACTCAGTGTGGGACACTCGGAGGGCATTATCCGAGTCCAATATTGTCAGTGGGATCCTCAGCACACCCAGTCTTCCAAGTGCTAGGCCACTTTGCGCGCTTGCACTGGCGCGTACCTGCATTCGGTCGAGGCCGAGCCTCCTCTCGCGTAGTACATACCTTTGCGATTGCCCGCTCGGTCTCCATATGAGGTTATCGCCCGTCTTTAGTGTTGTTCTCCTTGGTCCTTCGCCACCCCTGGCCGCCCGCCGACGTCGGTATCAGTCAACAGGGCAATATCTTTCTTCCACCGATGACGATAAGCCTCCACCTCTGCATCAACCATTCTCTCTCAGTTTAAGTGTTCGTGGAAATGTCACGCTCCGGATCGAGTCCTCCTCACCCCCCTCTCACGCGCCGTTCCCACTCGAATCATGCTCCGCATTGGCGTAGATGTCGGGGGTACGCAACCTTTCCTATCCCCGATACCGGAGCACTCACCGGAGCATGAACTGCAGGAACCAACACGGACGGCGTCCTTATCGATGTCACCCGGCTCCACCAACCAGGCCGAGGCGTTCTCTCGCATTACAAGGCTCCCACTACCTCCGACGTCTCCAAGGGCATCGAAAACGCCGTCCGCGAGGTTCTCAAGCTAGCCTCCGTCTCTCCCTCGGAGGTCGCCTCCGTCAGCATCGGCACAACTGCATTCATCAACGCCGTTCTTGAGGCCGATGCTCGCCGGCTCTCCAAGGTCGCCGTCATCCGTCTCTGCGGTCCCTACACGCGTCAATGCCCTCCATTCATCGACTTCCCGAAGCCTCTGCGGGTTCTCACAGAAGGGCACGTTGGATATATTGACGGTGGCTTCGAAAGTGCGCATACAACCTGTTCCTGTCATCTGTTATGCGTTGACAGGGTTTACAGTTGACGGCAAGGAGATCCGCGCTCCCCAAGAAGAACAGGTGGTTGAGCAATGCGCTATCATCAAGCAAAAAGGTCTCAAGAATGTGAGTTGAGATGCATTCTATCTCTTTTCCGTGACACCCATGTCCTGGTGCCCAGGTCGTTTTGACCGGCATATACTCTACCCTCGACAACGAAGACAAACACGAAGGGCGCGTGCGCGACATCATTGTCCGCGAACTCGGTCCCTCGGTGAACGTTGTCTGCTCCAAAGAAGTCGGCCAAGTCGGCCTGCTCGAGCGCGAGAACGCTTCCATCCTCAATGCCTCCATCCTCGCCTTCGCTCAACGCACCATCCGCGGCTTCCAGAATGCGATGCGCACCCTCGAGCTCACCTGTCCCCTCTTCCTCACCCAAAACGACGGCACCCTCACCACCGCCGCTTCTGCCGCCCGCCTCCCCATTCGCACATTCGCGTCGGGGCCCACCAACTCCATGCGCGGCGCCGCCTTTCTTGCCGGCCTCGACGACCGCACACGCGGCTCGTCGGAAGTCGAGAAGGGCAAGTCGACCATCGTCGTTGACGTCGGTGGGACGACCTCCGACGTCGGCGTGTTGCTCCCTTCCGGGTTCCCGCGCCAAGCGGCCTCTTACATCGAGGTGGGCGGGGTGCGGACGAACTTCGCGATGGCGGACGTGCAGTCGATAGCACTGGGCGGTGGCTCGGTCGTCCACATCGCAGAGGACGAGAAGGTCTCTGTAGGCCCCGAGTCGGTCGGATACAACCTCACCCGCGACGCTCGGGTGTTTGGAGGCAAGGTGCTCACCACTACCGATCTCATCGTGGCTAGCGGACGCGCGGAACTGGGGGACAAGTCTCTCGTAGGCGATGTCGGCGCGGACACCATCGAGCGGGGT